CTATACGCGAATGTATGAGATGACTGGCCTGATGCATTCACCTTTCTGCTGTGTTGTGCGAGTCCCCGAATCGATGCATTTGTTCACGCCATAGGGCTCCTGCGAGGGCATGGGCATTGCTTACCCTTTGACTGCCTAAAATGGCGGGGATCAACCTCTCCATATCCATTGACATCGACAGCAAATCTTGACCGCTTGCCGTGGTGGTTTCCGAGGGACCCACTGTTGGAGGGGGGGATCCCTCTTCTTCGTCTGAGAGTGTCAGATCAATTACCAGTGATTCTTGCGGCCGTCGTGCGGCTGTGTCTTTTACAATTGTGAGATACCGGATTAGATCAGCAGATCTAAACTAACGGAGCAGACCATTGGCCGACCAGGGCAACCGCCCAGTCACCCCACAATCCTCATCAATGGGCTGCTCTCGACTTACCGGACACGCGGCGCGCGGGCTGTTGGGATGGAGGTTGCGGAGGCGGGTGCTGCGGCGTCGGTGGTAAGGGAATTGCTGCAACTATTTTCCGTGGCGGCTCAGCGGCAGAGTCGCTTTCGTCATCGTCATCCGAATCGAGGGATACAATCTCGGACACGGACCGCTTCTTCACCGGCGTTACTGCTGCCGGAATGGCGATCGAACTGTCTTTGATCTTCCAATTCCCATCAGGCATGAGTTCGACTTGATCGTAATCTGCCTGCGATGCCCCGGCCGCTTTCTGGAGTCTATTGGCCTCCTCGACAAACTCCATAAAGTAATCATCCACAGCCAGGAGCGTCCAGAATGCGTATTTGTCGCAAATCGGGCACTTCCAGGTGCTGATGTTTTCGTTGAGCCTCAAAAACGACTCGCAGTCGAAACACTGGATATGCTTGCACTCGGATGAGCGAACAGCAACCTGAATCGGGACCCTCGAAACAGGATCACGAAGTGACAGGATTTCGGATGAAGATGCCACCTCGTCCTCATCATCCGCCTGTGCCTTTCGACTGTGCAAAACGGATTGCTTGGATATATGTGGTCGCTTCTGGACGATTTCAATCAAATTGTCGATCGGCTCCTTCTGGACCAAATCGATGGTCATAAGGTATTTCTGGAACGAGATTGGTTCGAGGCACAGCCGGCAGAGGAACGAGTCAGCCCCGTACTTCTGGCCAGGGCTGCCCATACAGGATGCGTGCTTACCGATGGTGAGCTTGTGTACGTCAAATCGATATAGTTCTTCTTGTTCGACTGCAGAAACGGTGTCAAGTCGGCGCCCTGCGCAGTATCAGGCTTTCCTTTCAGACCTTCCAATTTCTAAACATTCATTGGCCTCGTTGGATTAGGTCAGGAGCATTGTGCATCAGATTCCCACTCAACAGGGATCGTTGCAATGACAGAGCGATAGTAATATCATGTCCTGTCTTGTGCCGAATCGCCCCCCCCCGAACTCCACCAATCGATCGCGATCATCTATAGTTCTATTGCAGTTGTCCGGTAGTTGGATGCGACTACCCACACTTGATAGGATCCAGTCTTTGCCATTGATTTGGATCTTGGGTCCTCTTGGATACCGAATCTTGTGAACGCTCGATGACTTTAGCTTCTCATGGGACTCGAACAGCCCGACATAGAGACGAACACGAAGGTTGGAATTCGGCGCAAATACTCGCGTTTGGTCGTCCCGAAGAATTTCAAACTCTTGACGAAGGCATTGAGTTTTACCAGCTATCGAGTAATCGGGTCAGCTAAGGAAAAGGGCTCGTCTACCGGACGACAAACCTTCGCAGTAGGGGTTGTGCTCCACCGTAACTCCTGCAGCCATGCCCGAAGGTTGACTTCATGCTTGCCCCAGGGCTCGGAACAATGCCGAAGCTTCTATCGAGGAACTTATCAACTCATACCATCAAATATTCGCAGCGGCACCAGCTGCTTGACCTTTGAGTAGTATGGCGCAATGTTGAACTCAGGAGTGAAGTCAGGAGGCAGCTCCCAGGCTGCCCCTGGTCTGGAGGGCCCTTGCGATGTTGCAGCATTGGTGTTGAAGGACTGATGTGGTACCACCGAAGTGCTCGAGGTGGTTGCAGGAGCCTGCGTTCTGGATTGGGGTGTGTCGGAGTGAGTTTGCCGTTCTGGACATCATGCCGTGCGCTGGATAATCGCCGCTGGAGCCAGTATCTGTATCCAAGAGAGGTGCAAGGAAACGTCCTGGCGAACCGACCTCTCCACCCATTGTCCCCGTCGTCCGCTGCCCTCGTGAATGGCCTGGATAACAGCCCGGAGCGTTGGGTAGGATCCAATTCGATACAGGTTATCGATCAAAATCTCCAAGTTCCGGCGCAGTTGATCCTTGTTTCCAGTCTTTCGTCCACCACCATCGTTGAGTGCCTTCTTGAGATCTGCTAGCTTCAGATTCACAATGTCATTCTTGGCTCTCTGTGGTGGGTGGACTGGTGGGTCAGGCTGTGGCATCTGCGTAAACCAAAGGCAAGGTGTTGCTACACGGCAGCATCACAAATTAGAAGGGAGCATAGGATGCTCGAACCTCGCACATACAATGAGTTCGTCGGCTGTGACCTCGCTCATGGATCCGGATACCCTCTCTTGTAAAAGTGGGAGACTGCAGGACACAAGGCGGCGTGGGGCACCGATGTTCGTCAAACAGGTTGCAGGCAATACTGGGTGCTTGGCTTGGGCCGGAGACTTCAGACGGAGTGCGCTTCCAAGCTGCTGCGGATCTGATGAACGGATGTTGCTTGGTCAGTCGGAGAGGAGAGTGTGCCGGTGGCTCCCTCGATAGCATCGATGCACACAAGGCCGCTATCCCTGAAGCGAGCAGCATCCTAACATCAGCTGGGCGAGGAGCCGGCCAGCCTTGGCCTCTCCGGCTGCATCCCAGCCGCCTCCTGCTTTGCCCCGATGCCTGGCTGCCTGCCACAATCCGGACAGAAGCACAAAAGCAGGTGCCGCGAGTCAATATCAGCAAGCGTCGGGGGTGCCGCCTTTCTTTCCTGACGCCTACATCGTGCAGCTCGCCGGGATCGCTCGGATGCTTGCAGGCGCTTCGGTTGCCCTCGATGGTCCGGCTGGCTTGCCGGCCCCAAACAGCTTCAGATCAGCGTCAAGAGCGGCGGAAGGAGGCGGCTTCCAGACCGATTTCGCTGGCCGGCCCGCTGGTTCGAGCGATCCGGCTCGAGCCGCACACTCGATCCACGCACCGGCTCGAGCCAGGCCCGCTCATCTTTCCTTTTTCGGCAATCCTGCAGCCAGCGACCGGTGACGGGGTGCTCTGTTCAGGCTGCTCTCTGAGCCGCATCGCTGCGCTTCCGTCGATTCTGCCTCGCATCTCACATCTCACATCTCGCCATGTCGCTTGTCGTTCTCTCGGATGTCCAGGTTAGGCATGCATGCCTCGACGCCACGAGGAAGTGCTTGTGCCGGAGAGGCCGTCTATCCTGTGGACTGTGCATGTGTTGATCCGATCGGGAGTTTGCCCATAACGCCAACTGTATTCCAGGTGCTCGAGCCTGTAGCTCCATTTCTGTCGCCGTTTCAATTCAAAATCAGCATTGACCTCGTCGAAGAACTGGAACAAGGTGGATACACTTGACGATGGGGTGTGCTTCGTGGCTGGGCGCCTGGCAGGGCTCGCATTCCTCACCATATCCCGAGATCTCGGATCGACTCGGTGTCCTGCCCCATCGACCGGCCCACTTCTGACATTGCTCTTTGCAGATGTGGAATTCAAGCTGGTTTACATCGTTTCTGCCGACCAGCCCAACCTTGATCAAGAGCTGGAGTCGATCGAAGTCGGTCCCATCCCAGTTGGCACGAGCAGCTTCGTGTTTGAGGTAGGCTCAGGATCAATCTCACCCGAGAGTCGTGAGGACTGAATGCCGACCCTGAGGCTGGACTCGAGCGGTGCCAACGTCCCCCAGGTGCTCGCAAGGAGTGCCACATCATGGTGGTGTCAAGCCCGAGCATGGAACGGGCTGACGGACTGCTCTACTCATAGGCACCGGCTCCCAGTACTGAGCTGATACCCCCAGAAGACGCTCTCGGCGTGACCGTGATCTTGCTTTCGTGCTCGTATCGCGGCCAAGAGTTTGTTTCTGTCGGCTATTACGTCAACAACGAATACACCGACGAGCAACTGAAGGAGAGTCCTCCGAGTCGACCCAACTATGAAAAGCTGCAAAGGACGATCCTCTTTGACAAGCCAAAGGTATTTGGAACCATACGTTCGTTGCAATGACGAAACCAGTCATATTGCTATCGACTACCCTGAGGAGCTGCATTGATGGCGATCCTGTCGTGCATCCCTCATCTCCGCCTTCGTCGATTGCTAGCGGCACGGTGACTCATGTCCTGCTGCGGCTCTATGTGTTTAGGTGACCAAGAAACAAATCGCATGGGCGCCGAATGCAGCGAACCTCTTTTCTGAGTTTGACGCTGAAAACGAGCGATGCAATCAGGATCTCAACGAGTCCGAGGAGGAGATGGCGTGGGACCCATATCTGAAGGACCGCTCGGGCCAGCCGTCGGCACAAGCGAGCTCCGCAGCTGCTTCAGATGTCGCCAACGCAGAGCGGGACCAAGACATGGGCGACGATGACGACGACGACGACGGCGATGACGACGACGGCGGCGATGATGATGAGTCCGATGGCGACGACGGGGACGACGCCAACCCGGACATGGAGGAGGATCTGGGCGACGAGGACGACGACGGGGGTGACGAGGAAGACGAGGCTGCTGCGCTTTGACGTGCGCAGCCGTGTTATCAGCCTGCCGATCGGCCTGCCCAAATGAAACGATACAGAGGATATACGCTAATGCCTTGCGGGTTGAATGGCGCCGATCGTCGCTTGGCTGCTGTGGAGGACTCGTTGACGGAAGACCATGGGCCGATATCGCGCGGCGCTGGTGGTGGGGCCAGTTCGGCAGCCGTTTCGCTTGTGGCTTGTGACCCCGTCGATTCCGTCGCTCTGGCCCTGGCGCCCCTCTCATCCGCCGAGCTCGTGCCTGCTGGTGATCCGGCACCTGCCAGCCCTTCTCAATCTTCCCCGGCTCCTGCCGATCGAGCCTCGTTTTCCCAGCGGCATCCTTCGCCTGTCTCTGCTCCCGGCCATCGCCCAGGCATCAGCCCATCTGGCGTCGCCCTGTTCCTCCACCACAATTCACCAGCACTCTCCCCATCGACGAGCCTCGTCTCGCTGAAATGGCCCCATCCAAGAAAACCTTCCAGATCGGCATCATCGGATGCGGTACGAGTGCAATCCCAAAGCAGCGCTGGCTATTGTCGGGGCCTCGAGGCGCCTTATTCTGCGTTCGGATCGCTCACAACTGACGATTCTGCGGTTCTGTTTTCCCGCTTCGCGGCATTCGCTGAAGGCGACATGGGCAAGTTCTACGCTCGGCAGTTTGTCAAGGCTGGCTGGAAAAAGTACGTCACTCTCGATCGCTTGGGAACACCTACTTCCAATTGCCAGACACCTGCTCGATAACTCACAGCCCTCCTGATCTGTCCTCAGAGTCAATGTCTGCGATATTCCATCCAAATATGATGCCCTCAAGGCCGAGCTTGATGGTGGGTGCTCGGCGCCCACACCGACAACTGCTTTCCGCTCGACCCCGGCGACTGCCTAGGTCGCAAATGACGCAACAGGCTCAAGCCCGAACGGCGCCATGATCCTTGCTCTGTCGCTGCATATCTGTAGATGGAGCACCCAGTTCCATTGACTCACCGTGTGGCACGATTCGCCGTGCATTTTTGCTGTCGATAGGAACTGGAGTCAACGTCTGTCCAGATGGATTCTCTGTCTCCCGCCAGAGCGACTTTATCCTCTACAGCGTCGAAGCAGCCCTCATCGATAAAGTCGTTTCGCTCTATGGACCTGGTACGGTCCCGGCTCGTGATAACCCTTGACTGCTCAGACGGCGCATCTGATTTGACAGCGTGCGCTTGCGATCATAGTTTCGGGCCTCGGCCAAGTTCACGGCCCTCATGCTGACAATGACATGCCGTCTTTATAGCGACGAAATTAGGAGCCATCGTTGGTGGTCAGGTACAGCCGATCGATTCCGCATGGCATATCATGAGGCTGATCATCGCCCCATCGCCCCACCGTCTGCTCAGCGTGCTCCGTGCTTACCAACATCCGTCACCTGGTCCCCCCCCCAGACCTCCGTCAAACAGCCTGAAATCGCAGCGTTTGAAAAGTATCTTCCCTCGGACGTGCATATTGTCAGCTGCCATTCGCTTCATGGACCCGGAGTCAATCCCAAGGGACTTCCCCTGGTAATTGCATGACCGCATCCTCACAATCCAGCGCCCTCGGAGCACTCGTTCTCCCACTCAACATCGATCCGTTTGACCAACTTTAGGTCATGATCCAGCACCGTTGTCCCGACGAAAAGTTTGCGCAGGTCGTCAGCGTCATGAAGTGCTTCGAGTCGAGCATGGTGTTTCTGACTGCAGAAGAGCACGACAGGATCACGGCCGATACCCAAGCCATCACCCATCTGGCGTTTTTGAGGTTGGTATTTCGTTGTCGGTCTCAGCATCGGTCTCAGCATCGGCATCGGCATCGGCATCGGCGCAGCGAAGCTGACAAAAACTATCCCTGCCCGCAGCATGGGCAGTGCCTGGAAGGAGCAATTACAGTTCCCGGTATGTTAGCCGCACTTGGAGGATCCGGCATGAGTGGACGGGGAGGCTGCCAAACAACAGTGTTGGTGTGAATGTGCTTTCCTCAGTATGAGCCGACTCGGCAACCTCTATCATGCAGTGGGAAAATCCTCAGTACATCGGTGGCATCGAGAACGTCAAGATCCTCATGTCGCTCCGCATCTATGCCAACAAGTGGCACGTCTACGCCGGCTTGGCCATCATGAACCCAAGGTGATCCGAGGCCAGCCCAGCGCACTGATTGTCATTTCCGACCAGACTAACTTTGGTCTTGTTTCTGTCTCGGCCAGTGCGCAGCTTCAGGTGCGCCAGTATGCCAGAAGCGTTTCCGAGCTGTTCAAGCTGATGATCCAGGAGCGCGAAGACGAGTTCCGCCAACGCCTCAAGCAGGTTCGTTTTGATCCGAGCAATGTCAGCCCACGACCAATGCCCCACGACCAATGCCCCATAGCTGCGAAATGGCTGACTGCTGGATGCACCTATGTTTCCAGGCAGCCGATTATGTCTTTGGAACCGAGCAGCGCCAGCCGATTCTCCTCTCGGATGCCCTGCTTGACAAGTTTTCGCTGTCGAGCATCCCGAAAGACCAGCGCAAAGCGGTACGGATCCTGTCGTATCTGTGTCACAGATCTCGGACTCTGCCAGTACCACTGGCATCGCCAAGCACCCTGTGCCATTGCCCACAATGCCATCCTTCGATTGATTTGCCTAACTCGGAGCGGCAGTGGCGCGCTTCCTGTGGCCGTGGCATTCATCTAATTGCATTCATCTATGGGACTAGAACTCTCATCTGTCCCTGTTGTCGATGGTGGATTGCTGGTACCATCTGGGAATCAAGTAAGTCCAGCTCCACCCCCTCCATGTCCACTCCAGCTTCTTGGGGGCACATCAAAAGTAACCCTCGAGTCAATTGTGTGCTAATCATCCCGACCTCATCCAAACTACGCCCCAGACCATATGAACACCTGATTTGTCAAACTCCTCCATTCCGACTTTTGCTGGTACAGCTGTCGCCCCTTAATACTGCGCCGCTCGCTGCTACTCTGCCACCCCTGATGGACCTCCGTCGCGACCAGTTTGCCGGTCAGATGGGAAGTTGCTTTGGTTCCTGACTGCGTTTTAATCACACAGGGAATCACAGAGTATCTCTTTCGGAATGTCGACTTCCTGGACTCGGCCCTCACAGCCGCCATCCATGACAAGGATATTCGCGCGGACGACATGGAGTTTTGCTCTGCCGCTGCGCGCTGGGCCGAGTGCATCGAGCATTCGAGCATGGACTCGTACCGAATTCGGTTTGAGCAGACCTCGGACTTTTTCAAGGAGCGTCTCAAGACTGCGGCTCAGGTACGAACCATGTTTAGCGCTGCCTTCAGCCTGCAATGCTGGGCCGATATCCAAACGCCCACCTCGCGAGGACGGCCGAATCATATATGAGCACAGCAACTTGCGTACTTATATCCGGCCAGAGCCAGGAATTCCTCCCAGCTGATGATGTGTCCGTCCGGAGAACTACACGCCACGAAAGTTGGGCGCCATAGGCATCCGTTGTCTGTCTCCTCACGCTATCCTTCTGTCGACACCGTCCTCTACAGAGATCGTCGGCCTTGATAGAGTCGATCAGCCAAAAGACCGTCTGAACTCTTTTGTTTCATTGGCTCCATTGCCCCTACCATTCTGCTCATCTGCGCCGCGGTATTCGAATAAAATTTCCTCCGTCCGGTTATATTGACTGACCGTCCCTGAACATGCACGAAGCTGTCAATGATTCGGCCTGATCGGCGAATGTCTCGGAGTTTCCTCGATCCCCAGCGGTCGCAGCATGCGCCACCGTCCCTGCCCTCCCTTGTCGATCAAGATTCGATCGGCCTCATTCGCCTCACTCCTCCATCATATCAACCTCGGCATCAAAGCTGTCGCCTGGCGCTCCCTCATCTCCTTCCTCCTCTTCGTCCTCGTCGTCCTCGTCACTCTCATCGTCAAGATCCTCTTCGTCCTGTTCAATCTCGTTCGCGTCTTCGTCGTCGTCCTCGTCATCGCAAGAACGCTCGTCTTCGAGTCCGCCCCCAAGCCCGGCGGCGTTGGCGTGACCAACAAAGCCGCCAAAGTTGGCCTCGGGCATCAAGTCCACGCCTTGATTGACACGGGCATCTTCCAGCTCAAACTGCTGCATCTGTGAGTCGGCTTCGGTCGGGTGCCATTGGATCTGGCGCCGGGTGACCTGAGGCAGGAAGCAGTGGCGGGGCTGTTAGTCCAGATCATCGGCGCTGGCGTGCTCGGCATGGCACTGGGAGAAATGGGATCAGGCACTTCGGTTGAACAGACCTTTGGCTTGTCGACCAGGATCCGTCTCTGGATTCGGGTATATTCGGGGACGGCAGGTGGGTTGAGCGCAAGTTGCTCATCGTCATAGCCGTTGCTGATGTAGTAGCCGATCGAAGCAAACTCCTGGCCCTGGTAGGCGCACGCCAGGAGCAGCACGGCAACATCGAGGACTTCTTCGTTCGGGATCAAACCCGGATTGGGCGGCGGCGCCTGCAAATCCAGGCAGGGAACATGAGGCAGACAAGGTTTCAGCCACCAGAATGCACCCGTGCTCTCTTGGGATAGCCGTCCCCCGTGTATCCCGATCCTCTTGCCGTACCGTCAAGACGAACTTGCTGGTTCCCATAGGAACAGGGCCAACCGAAATCGACTCCAGCTCTTGATCGTATTGCTTGGCATACGCCGAGCTGATATAGTAGAGGGTAAAGTCGATGTCTGCATCGCCAAAGGGGCAAGCGGCGGCAGCCCAGGACGATGAAAGCATCCCATTAGCTTCCCAGCAACCTCCCGGGCGCTCGTGTGGTTCACCTCTCCAACAACTGTGCGTCTGGCTGGCTTACCGTGAGGAAGTGGCTCGACCACATCGATGGTGATCTCAAACTGGAACGGGGTCAGGAAGGACGCATGATCGCTGGACAGCTGCAAGCCCAGCGCATCATTCACAGAAGGGAAGAAGGTTATCATTCCTGGCGTGCGCTCCTTCAAACCAATCCCTTCGCAGGCCATCACCCCTTGCGCGAGGGCGTTGCGCCGTCTCCATCGACTCGGACAGAGAGAGCTCCCGGTTCCTACCGAGATGTTGGTGACCATAACGAGAGCCATGTTTGCGTTATCGGAGCACAGATCGCGTTGGCAACAGTGAGATGCGTGATCGATGTCAGCAAGACGCAGCAGAGGCGGCAAAGGTGGCAGGTGGCAGATTCTGCGAGGGCGAGGCGCTGGATGGGGTTCTGGCGAGGGCAACAGGATTGTGTCTGGGTGAGGAAGCCCTGGCTTGCCCTCAGTTCAATCTCCGATTGGAAATGCTGCCATATTTGGACATATGGGTGTTCGCCATGTTCGAGTCGCCGGAGGATCGGCAATCGAATCGAGGAACATACCGAGGGCAGGATCGAAAAGAGGACCGAGGAGCGAATGGCGGAGCATAAAGGCGGTGTCATTGAAATATCAATCGAAGCGGATCGTATTATTGTGTATGTTTCTGGCACCTGGTTCCCACGCACAAATCCAGGTGAACCAGAACGGCTTCTCATGCCCTGTTGCATCATGTGATAGCGCAGCCGCAAATATACCCAGACACCAAGCAGCCCTCGTCAATCGTCGTCACGGCCATCTCCATCGTCGTAGTTGTCATCATCATCATCGTCGTCGTCACTTTGGTCATAGTCTTCATCGCTGTCCTCATCTTGGTCGGATCCATCAGCGTCGTCGTCGTCGTCGTTGTCGTCGCTGCCCTCATCCTCGTCCTCGTCCCTGTCGTCACCGTCATCTTGCTCTACTTTCTTGATCTTCCGGAGGCGACCAGATTGGGAGACCTTGCTTTGGTTGCCATCGGTTCCAGAGTTTTCGGTCTCATTGTGATGCTCGTGATCTTTGTCATCACGATCTTCATTCTTACTCTTCTTGACCACGCGCTTACGATCTCGTTCAGAGCCGGTGGCCCTCTCCTCATCGTCATCGCTATCTTCGTCGGCCACGTGCCTTGGTTTCTTTTCCAGCCTTGACCCGCCTGCTTGCGCCGCCGTAGACTCGATGGGTTGTCTTCGAGCTCTGGTGCGTGTTCCCGACTCAATAATGTTGGAGAGATCGAGGCCTGGAAGAGCCAACGCATTTGATCGCCCGCAAACCCCTCGTTAGGACCCATTTTGATTTCCTCACTCGCTCAGAGGCCCTTAGCGTTGGTATTTGAGCCTCCCTTGTGCCGACAATAGCGACCATATCGCCGGAAGGGCACCATGACTCACTGCACCATGCCTCACTGCACCATGTCGAACTCACTCTCTTGCTCCTTCTGCCATTCGATTTTCTTCTTGATCTTCTCGCATTGGCTCAACGTCGGTCGCCCTTCGATTCCAAGCTCCTTGAGAATCTCCTTCAGTCGTCTTATTCGCTCTGCGCCATTCATTCCTGCGTATTCCCGGGCCCAGAATTTTTTCACGCCGCACTGTGAGGACAGGGCGAACATATTATTCAGTTGACCATTTGTTACTGGCTGGACGGCGTGCACTTCGCAGGAGTGCTTCCACAGGCACAACACCCCTCCACATCCTTATAGTTGGGCGACGAGCGTTGCCATGGTTGTCTGTGTCTATCAGAGGGCTTGGCCACGATCGCGACTGGGCTCCACCAAAATACCAGCGCCCAGATATCCTCCTCACCTTTCCAACGTAATTTTGGAGGTTTCGGATCGTGGCGGCCTGCTGTTCAGAGATCTGTCGACCGACGAATGGAAAAAGTTGGGTCTGAGTGCGAGCATCTTCGAGTCGATACAACAGCGCTCTCATACTCAAGCAGCCGATCGTGGCCGCCGTGCGCCGCCAATGTCTCGGCTCACAGACGCAATATGCCTGGGATGCCGAGCAAAGCAGAAATATTGGGTATTCCACGCAAACGATCGATCACCGTTGAGCGGGCGCACTCACTTCTGTGGACGCTTCGCCCGCCTTTGACTTTCTTTGACGCTTTTTTTTCTCTGCGGCCTCGGAGCCTGGGGCCTCTCGTCTCTTTCGTGTGTCGGCCTTTCCCTGGGAACTGTCGTCATCGCTTTCCTCCATACCGTAGCCATCGGAGGCACTCTCATCCTGCCCCGAGTTCTCCCTGCTTTCTTGTTGCTGCTTGTCGTCGCTGGGGCGGGCCACCTTGGCGTTCTTTTGGATTATCGCCTTTGTTTCTGGAGTGCCATTCTTGGCTCGATGTTGCTTGGGATCCGCTTCATCTGGCTCAGGCTCAGTCTCGGCCGAACGGGCAACATCTCTATCGGCGCTAGAATCTTCTTGGTCGCTCGCATCTTCCATGCACTGAGCGACCCATGCCTTGATATCCGCTTTGAGTCTCGGCTTGCATATTGGGGTCGGAGCACATGCAACTGCGTCAGAATCATCAGGTGCCCAAGTCCCAGGGCCTTTGGGGTTGATTCTGTGCTATCAATCGCATCATTCTGACATCATCCGCCAACATACCTCGTCGAGGTGGTTCTCGTCAAGGCCAAGCTTTTGCTCCGCCTGCCGCTTGATCATGCGGATCGTCAATGAGCTGAGTAGAGGCATGGGCGTTTGGCGGGTGGAGTTGGATGTACAGCACTGTGAGCGATCCTGGCTGCCACAGACCTGTGGATGTCTGCATGATGGCCTCGACGCAGTTACCTGGGATCCCCGGTGCGAATGATCGACCGGATCGCGGCTCTCAGGGCGCTATTGTCGACCATTGCGGAGATGGTTGGTAAATCGTCGTTGAAGCTCCACGGGCCAGATCGCCGCCAAGATCGCCGCGGACACGATCCGCTTGGCCCTGCGGTGCCCCCACGAAGCATGCGCAGTCCCGTTTGATCACCATTCCATCCCAACACGGCCCGGCTCCAACATGGTCCGGTTCGTTGCTCCGCGCAACGTCGCTGCATGCCCCAAGGCGAGGGACTGGTGAAGAAGCCTATATTGATTTCAAACCACCGCAGACTGTATCAAGTCCACGCTCTCGAGACCGGCCCTCTATTCGTCGCCCTCGTCCTCGTCTTCCGCAAAGAGGGGCTGGAAGCCCTTCCATTCCCGGCTCGGATCATCGGGAATGCGCCTCCATACCGCAAGGAACTTGTCGCCTTTGTTGCGGGTGACTTTCTTGCCCTCCTCAGTGTCCTCCCGAACACATGGGATGCAGGGATCGTCCTTGAGCTCCTCATCCGTCATGCGCGCAAACAGTGGGTGGTTGTCGATGTGCTTGACCATCCATTCGTGAAGCGCCTTGACATCGGTGATGGTATAGAGAATGCCTCCCGGGCGCAAGACGTATGCGTATTCTCCAAGAAGCTGGGGCGTGACAATCCGGTGCTTGTTCTTTCGCTTTTTGAAGTGCGGATCGGGAAACAGGAAGAAGATCTTGGAGAGCTATCGTGGGCACACAGTAGTGTCAGCAGATGGCCCTTGATCGCACAGTCGCATACACTGCAAGCCGTACAGACGGCTGCCGCTTCGTTGCGCACCTGGCCTTTCTTGAAAAAGTTGGGCATGAATTTCATAGCGTTCATCCGCATGACTGACACGTTCTGGTACGAGTGCGGCTCGTCACGGCTCTTGTCGCTGTTCTGGACCCGAAGGGCCTCAATGCGGCGATGAACGTACTCTTCGACCTTGTCGCGAATCTCCATTCCCAAAATCAACGACGTTGGAAACAGCGGCGACAGCGCCACTGAGCGGGACAAATGCGTCAGCATCGGTGAACCCTGGCGCTCACAATGCTAATGATGCCTCGCGACCAGTCCATGTGGGCTGATCGAATCGGTTGATCGAATCGGTTGATTGAACTGCCTGGGCGATCGGCTTGCCGCAGAGTACCAGCCATGATCTCACGAGCGAATACGATCGGCCTTGTCCACCAGCGACGCACACATACCACTGAGACCGCCATATCCGCATCCTATCAAGATGCCGAGCTATCGTTAGTCCTTTCGCCACGATCTCGACCATTCCCTTGTTCCGCGATGCTGATTTCACCCTCATCGTGGACCGTCGGTCATAATCTGGTACGCATGTCATTTGCGCAAGGATCATCGATGGCGACGTGCTTGGTCGTCCATCGATTGCCCATATGCCAGGGACCGATTCGAAACGCCCACACCAGTTTGATCCGGATACGCACCAATGTCAGCAAACTCGACGGACTGGAGGTTTTCGGGGTCGTTGAAGAAAGCCGGATAGTGCTTTGACCAGTCGTAGTCGGCGGGCAAGACGGGGCTGTGTGTGGGCGGGGCCATGAGCCTTCCATCGCGGATTTGCCTCACTCCCGGTCGTGTGGGCCATGTGCGCCATAGCCTGCCAGCGGACGACCCGCCCAGTGCGGCGATCCATCCAGTGCCTCGGCCCGACTGATCGGCTGCAGCTCAAACTCACTATGCCAGCTCATGGTCAGAGAAAGGGTTGGCATGTGCCCTGTCGGTCGCAGGAGTTCAGAAGAATGTCAGGGCTGGGTGTGCTGCTCGTGTGGCTCTCCATCGATCGTTCGGCAGGCTCGCGGAGATCGGGATAGCTCCAGGCTCGAGCCAAGCCAGCTCCTCGGAGCAGTCGCACGTACCTCTGGCGGAAGTACTTTTTCTGTGGGAGCTTGGCGACTTGCTCTTCCTCCATGGCGGCGACTTGCTCTTCCTCCATGACGGCGATTGTGCGATCGGCGACAGAGGCCTCGCCAGCGACCACCGCCGATCTCGCGAAAAAACAACCCACACAGCCCAAAGCAGCCATATGAAGTGCTGCGCACACCCGTTTTCTTTTTGGCGGTTGTCGAGGCCACATATCAACGTCGATCCCGCCTGGGCGACGATTCTGTCGTTGTCTGTCCAGCCGCCCTTCAGCCTGAAGCGAGCTCGAGCAAGCACCCGACTCTGGCAAGGCCTGCATCGACTCGATCCAGCCACGATGGCCGACGACGGCTTGATGATGAACTTTGTGTCCGCCCCGGCTCCGACGGGCTCGGGCGCATCTTCTGCCTCCATCAAGAAGATTGCGGATCAGAAGAAGGGCTCGTGGTCCAAGCGCCGAGCAGCGGCCAAGAAGACCATCCGTCGCATGACCAAGCAGCACCTGGGTGCCACCAATGCCACCTCCAGCGAACACGACTCTGGAATCGCCAGTCGGCCGGACCATCCCGCCGCCCCAGCACCCTCGGCCACTGCCAAGGGCCCTCGCACCAAATCAGCTTCCCAAAGGACATCTGCCCCGCCCTCGAAACCGGCGGCCGCTGGCGAACATGGTCAGTCCTGCGATCCCTCGGCGACTTCTGCCCACACGGTCGTCGAAACCCTCTTGGAGCACCTTCGCGAGGCATGCCACTCATATGTCCCTTCCATCGAATTCCCTCAGACGAGCCGTCGGCCTCAGCCTCAGCCAAGAAGCGCAACGTCGTCTCCTCGCTCTTCACATCCAACCCAGATATCCCAAGTCTCCCGGCTCCCGAACCTGCACCGAAGCGCCAGGCCGATCTGTTTGCCCCCACAAGTGGCTTCCAAGTCAATGCGTCCGCCAAAACCTTTGCAGCGCTGAACTTGAATCCCTTGCTATGTGGGCATGTATTCGCCCGGATGGACGTCAAGGTCCCAACCGCCATCCAACGCGCTGCCCTGCCTGTTCTGATGGACTCGAATGAGCACGACGTTGTTGTTCAAGCGCAAACGGGCTCTGGCAAGACCCTGACGTATCTCTTGCCGCTGATCCACCGCATGATCAAGGCCGAGCAGGAAGAGGCCTCTGGCGCCCGTCTGAATCGCCAGATTGGATGCCTCGCCATGGTCCTCGCTCCAACACGTGAACTGGCCAAGCAGATTTATGGTGTGTTGGATTCGCTGCTCAAGTATTCGGCGTCGACCCTCAGCTATGCTGCTGGCGAGAGTCCCGAGAACGCCGCCGATGCTTCGGCAACACCGAAATCGGCTTTCTATCGCCATTGGATTGTCCCCGGTCTTGTCATCGGCGGTGACAAGAAAAAATCAGAAAAGGCGTGCCTTCGGAAGGGCGTCAACATCCTCATCTCGACCCCCGGGCGACTTCTGGACCACCTCAAGACCACAAAGTCGCTTCAAGTCGGCAATCTTCGCTGGTTCGTCCTTGATGAAGCCGATCGTCTGATGGAACTGGGATTTGAGGACACGCTGAAGGAGATTCTGTCGCTGATCGATCGCCAGCGGCTCGAAGCTGTGAAAAACAAGAAACGCCTCCGCATCGACATATGGCCCTCCAAGCGCCAGGTTGTCCTCTGCTCCGCAACCATCCGCGAGGGTATCAAGAAGCTTGCCGAGCAGAGTCTGGAGAACCCTCTGTTTGTGAGCGAAACCGGGATTGCGACGGCAGCCAAAATCAAGCGTGTTTTCGAAGAAATCGAGTCCGGCACGGTCTCGTTCATGGACGAAGACGGAGAAGACGATCTTCCTGGGACAGCGGCTGCTGCTGCCCGCGAGGCCCAGACCATGGAACCAAAGAAGAAAAAGGCCAAGCCGTCGGTGGATGTCGAGGAAGAAGGAAACGATCTTACTGCCTCGGTCCCCAAACAGCTTCAGCAAAGGTACATCGTCACGCCGGCCAAGCTTCGGCTCGTTGCACTCATTTCCCAGCTGCGCCAATTGGCACAAAGCCAAGACGTTTTCAAGATCATCGTGTTCATTTCGTGCACCGATTCGACCGACTTTCACCACCATATTATCTCAAATGGCCACAAGGCGCCGGCTCGTCACGAAGACGACGATGCGGACGAAAACAGCGACGAGGAAGCCCTCCGCGAGTTTATCGGGCGGAAGAACAAGAGGGGCCCCCGCGGATCGACCCAAGCTCCCGAACCGGATCCAGAGATGGCGCCGCTGGCCCCAGGCACGCTCCAGACCGGCTCGCAGACCCCGCTCGTCCCCGACACGCTCCTCTTCAAGCTCCATGGCAACTTGCCCCAGCCGGCACGCTCGGCAGCATACAAGGGCTTTTGCGATGCAAAGCGAGCCATTCTCTTTTGCACAGATGTTGCTGCCCGTGGCCTGGACTTGCCGGACGTCACAGCGATCGTCCAATACGACCCACCGGCGGATATCAAAGATTACGTTCATCGTATCGGACGCACGGCACGCATTGGCCGGGAGGGAGAAGCGATATTGTTTCTCCTGCCCAGTGAAATCGAGTATCTGGATATCCTCAAGAGCCACGAGCTGCTGCTTACCGAAGTGCGAGTGATTGATTCGCTGAGGTGTCTCCTCACGCTTGGCTCCCTCTTTGACAAGGAATATCCAAAGACAAAGGGCAAGGGAGACGGTGCTCCTGAGCCTTACGAGATTGCTGCCACGGACGTGCAGATGATGATCGAGCGGTTCATACTGGCCAATCGTCAGGTAAGCTCGATGCGGCCTGGGCACAGCACGCTCTTCATCGGCTGCAGATCGGCTCGGCAGTCCCGTGGCTGCACTGCGATTTTGCTCATTGCATCCTGCTCGGCGAAGCATTATGGGGGTTTTCGCTTTTAGAAGTGCAGGCCAATGTGACTGTCGACTCATCCTTCCATCTTTCGTCTGTTTGACATATGCTCGACACTGCTGCCCTCTCACAATGACACCATCACCATCGCCATCATTGTCGTCGTCATCCAGAGTGCCGAGCTTGCTCGTTTGGCGTTTCGTTCGCACGTGCGTGCCTATTGCACGCATGTCTCCTCAGAGCGACACATCTTCCACATCAAAAAGCTGCATTTGGGCCATATTGCCAAATGCTTCGGTCTGCGGGAAACGCCAACGGACCCCATGGGCAACGCTCAAACCAAGAAGAAGGCCGCAGAGGCTCAGCAGGCCAAGAACTTCAAGGACTACAAAGACGGCAAGAAGGTCAAGGGAAGCAAGGCCATCGGCGCAGGTGCCATGAAGCAGAAAGCCTTTGCAGCTGTCCAGAGCAGCGTCAGCGAGTTTGGCGATGGCGACGTCAAAAGCCTCGTCGGCGGGCTCACCAAACGCAAACGGCGATAGTGTAGACGACTTCCCCGGTCGCCTCCCAGGGCATATTCAGCGCACGTTCAGCTCACGCGGTGGACGGCATTATATTTCTGCAAAGGATTTGAGAGAGCGTTTGCTCCGTATGGTAGTGGAAACTCAATACACAGTGATGATGAGACTCCAAGTAGAGTACCCCGCATCATTTTGCAAGTGCTACAGCCCCGCATCGAATCCCGTGCACGAATCACTCGACAGGAGGGAGCCCTTGGATCCGCGGAGGTCGGTAGAACTTGAGCAGCAGGCTGCTGAGAACAACGGAGACGGAGCTGAAAGCCATGGCGGCCCCCGCGATCCACGGAGAAAGGCTGAATCCCAGCGAGTAATACAGCACTCCGGCAGCGACGGGAATGCCGATGATGTTGTAGCCAAACGCCCATGCAAAGTTCAACTTAACGCGTCGCAAAGTTGTGCGTGACAAGTCAAAGAGTGTCAAGACATCGTGCAAGTCGGACTTGACGAGGATCGCCTCGGCAGCCTCGACCGCGATATCTGATCCGCTTCCGATAGCAATCCTGCACAGATGGGCATTCAAATGAGGTTGATTTGAGATGAGAGTCAGCAAAGAGTACAGGCGCTGATCGCCACGACGGACCTGCTTTCCCCTTCTTGCGCACCACTTACCCGACATCGGCTTCTGCGAGCGCCGGCGAATCGTTGATTCCGTCGCCTGCCATGGCGACCGTGGCTCTCTTGCCGCGACCAATTTGCTGCTTGAGTTCCCTGATTTTCAGAGCCTTTTGCTCCGGCAGAACCTGCGAGATGACGCGGCTCTCGGGAATGCCCAATCTTTCAGCAACGCACCGTGCCGTTTGATGAATGTCCCCAGTTATCATCCACACATCAATGCCCATCCGGTGCAGACGCTCGATCACTTGCGGAGCTTCCGCTCGCACAACATCGGCAACGCCAACAACACCGAGGATGAACCCTCTTGAAGGGGATCTGGGCTCGACGGTCGAGGTCAGAGCGTCGTCGCTCTCGATCTGCTTGCGGATGCCGATATAGACAAGCGAGTTGCCTTCTTGTGTCCACGACGAAATCTGCTGCAGGCTCCTGATTTCTTGGTGTGCATCGGAGTAAACGCAGTGATTCTCGTTCATCCACCCTTCGTTTCCGACAACCACCGACCACTTGCTGTTGAAGTTTGGCGATTTCTCTTGGCCTGATACCTCCAGCTCGGCCACCAAGCCCTTTCCTCGGACCTCTGTCACGCGTGACAGGACCAAATCGGCACCGACCACAGCATTGGAGTGGATGTTCACCCTGAGGTCATTTTGAGCAAAGGCCGAGACAGCTTTGGCAAGCGGATGTTCGCTCCGGGCTTCGATCAAACCGAGTAACTGCCAGACCAGGGCTCCTTGATCCTGGACAGCGGGAAGAGCGAGTTCTTGGGGCAGTGGAAACAACATATGCTCCTTGACGCGGGGCTTGCCATAGGTCAAAGTGCCCGTTTTGTCGAACGCGATGACAGACACATCGTGTGCCTTCTGAAGCGCATAGCCTCCACCTTTGATCAAGATGCCATGAGAGGCAGCAACTGTGGCAGCATATTCAAAAGGGATTGAAGAAACACGTCCGGCGTTAGTACCCTCCCGACATCAGGGTATCTCCGCTGCGGTGGTGCCTTGACGCCATCGGCAGCGATAGTCATTCGTCCAACCCAAGATCCGGCATCAGCAGTCGGTACCACACCGCAGCCATGGCCACCGTTGGCTTTGATGCTGATCGGCTGGTCAGTTTGGGTCAAACATATATCCGCAAGAGTCGATCTCCGCGACAGCGATAGAAGCCCCACCCACCCCACACAGATCGGCTCTTACCTCCTGTGCCGACCATGACCGCCGTTGGTGTCGCCAGTCCAAGCGCACAAGGACACGCAATCACGAGGACCGATATGCAGAATCGAAGTGCAAACCCCAGCTTGGTGGATCCCGCCGGGATGTCCTTGTCAGGAACCAGCCCAGATAGGCACAGGGCATACCAAGTCACAAAGGTACCGATGGCCAGGATCACAACGGCAGGGACAAAGTACATTGATACTTGATCCGCAATCGCTTGGATGGGTGCCTGGGACATTTGCGCCTCCTGGACCAAGGCGGCAATTCGAGCGACCGCCGTATCTGCAATTGAGTCGGTGCGATTCACCACCGGAGCATGTCAGCAAATCATGCGCCCCCAAGAGTGGCCGTAAACATTCGTCCAGCTGAAGCGCACAAACTGGTCTTTGCCCAAAAATCATGAGAGCGAGTCGCCTGTCTCTCCTGATTCTCGAGGCTGGACAAGGGAGTGCGCTAATCGCATGCCCATCTCGATTGATGACTCGACAGCGCATGTGTGGGCGACGATCCTAGCGACCACTGCGGCCACTGCGCGTCCTTACCTGCTCCGACACCAACTGTTTTGACAAAGATGCGTTCGCTCTGGTTGACTGTTCCTGCCATGACTCGATCTCCAGAGGATCGCGCGACCGGAATCGACTCGCCAGTCAACATGCTTTCGTCGACAAACGACTGTCCATGGACAACCACACCGTCGCATGGAACGCGGTCACCCGGCTGGACCTTCAGCACATCGCCGACTGGGGATGCGTTCCAACAGCACAAAACGATCGTCAGCATCTGGGAAACGTGAGCATCGATAGTCAGGGGAGAAGCAAGAGGACCTACCCTGCACAAGCCCAACGTCGATGACTTTTTCTTCCAAAATGACACCATTCTTGTGGTCGTCGAGAGTTACGAGGGTTGCGCTTTCCGGCGTCAGCTCCAACAACTTGGTAATGGCGTCCGATGTCCGACCTAGGGATAAGTGCACGGGCCTTCGAATGAGTGTCTGTGGGTGGCCCCGAAACCGAGCTGGACAGCATCGTCCAATGCCAAGCACAGCGACCCAGTCCTTCCTACCGACCTTTCGAGTAGATTTCCATGTACTTTCCGAGCAGGATGAAAAATATCAAGAACACGGATGTTTCAAAGAATTCTTCGACTTCTCCTGCGGCTCCACGGCTTGACACCGAAAGCGCCACCGAGTAGATTGAGTAGAAATACGCTGCACTTGTGCCCAGGGCCACGAGCACATCCATCTGCACATTTCGAGGGCCAGATTTCCGAATGTGGTCAAAGCGGATTATGAGCGGGACTGCGTAACTGTGAGAGCAACCACATGCTGCAGAGAGGACACGTGCAGCGTCTCCGAAGGGATTGCCGCCAAACGGCACTTACATTGGCAACCTTTGTATACCGGATGGATTTGTAGGCACCTCGGTAAAAGCGATATCCGAGCCAGAACTGAACCGGCGTTGCCAGCAGGAACAGAACTAGGGAAGAAACCGACAGCCCCGGGATGATGTTGTGCATGAACGCTTCTCGGGCCGGGTTACCCTCAGGCAGCAGCATCATGACGACCATCGATATGACAAAAGTCGGGATCACCAGCACAAGCGCATAGAGCACTTGGCGGCGGGCAGCTTCGAGGTCCTTGGCATCTCTCTCCTTGCGAACGTTGACTTGGTTGGAGCTTGGCTGAAGCGTCGCCGGATATCCAAGCTGGCTAATGTCTTCGATCAGGTCACGGACACCAATGACATCCGCGTAATGCTTGACAATCGCCTGGGGGATCGAGGCAAGATAGATTGTGTGAGACCATGGCGCTGTCGGTCGGGTGGAGCTGCTGAGTGGAGCTGCTGGGTGGAGCCACTCGACGAAGCATAATGTACGAGCTCAACCGACCTCGTGGGAGAGCAGACTGACGGCAATCTCCTCGACACCGACGACCTTCCGCATGGTCCCTTCGATTGCCGAGACACATGAAGCACAGGTCATGCCGCTCACAAAGAGCTTTGTCGTAACGAGTGTGTGTCGGGTTGGAAGCGTCGGGACAGGCTGCGACACAGGAGGCTCGCTGTCCTCGACATCGACGACCACGCTGACTGGCGAGGCTATTGGCACTGGGACATAGCGAACGCCAGCTGAGCTGAAGCTTAGGACGCCAAAGCCAGCGTCCTCGATGGCTTGCTTGATGCTCTCAGCAGGGCACTGCGAGCGCTCGTGCGTGGCCCGAACGGCTTGAGGCAGAAGTGTCACGACCACGGTGCTGCCGTCTACTCCGGGTATCTTGGATATCAAAGACGTGAGTGTCGATACGCACGACGCACACTCCATTCCGTCCACGGAAAACGTGGTCGAGAGCCAGGCAAGGGCAGGTTCTGGAGAAGGAGTGATGTGATCCAAAACAAGGATTAGCAGCTTTTACCACGGCACGAGGCACACCATCACCCAGTTCAGACCGTGCACTTCTCAACCGCCCATTTCGGCGGAGATATGAATGTCGGCCGGGAGCTATACCCAAGTGCCGACAAGTCCACAGCCTCCATGGATCCTTGGTCAATTGCCGCCAAAAGATTACCTGAGACTGTGGGATGGAGCGGATCCAGATCTTCCCAGCGTGAGTCGAGAACCTCAAATCCCATGTCGTCGATCTTGGCTTTGATGGTCTCGAAGACCCCAAGACCGCCGCCATGGACGACAGCCACGCTGTGATTTTCCAGGGAAACGTCGATCGAAGCTGAGTCAACTTGTGCGATGCTGCTGAGAATCGAGTGGATTGAGTGGACGCATGACTGACAGGTCATCCCATCGACTTTGAGGGTGGATTTCCAGCCCGTCGCCGCAGCTTGATCCTTGGGGGGACCGGGCGGATGGAGAAGGCCATGCGATCCTGGAATGATCTCAGCGGCTTCGACACCAGCAATGCGCTTGATCAGCGATCGGCACTCCTCCGCCGTTGCCTCGGAAGCCGCCGATTTGTAAAATACATCAATCTGCAGAGCGACGCGGATGAGCGATCGAGAAGGAGGCATCAGCTTCAACAAGCCAGCGTCGAACGGGTCAGCGCCAGACGAGCCCAAGCAACCGATGCGCCAGCATTCCTGGGCCGGATGGCCAGGCTTCATGAATTTGCTCCTTACCAGGAGTGTTGTGTCATGGGAGTCTTCCAGCGTTTGTGTATCGACCCAAACAATTCCACGGACGACTTCGATGCTGGAGATGAGCTTGACCTTGATGGAGTTGACGAGGCGATCGAGGCGCAGCGGATCGCTCGAGAGACTCTGAGACAGGGCCGGCCCAGGCGAGGGACCAAAGGGATCGTTGGCCAGGCCACTGGCTGTGAGATAGGGACGTAGGGTGATCCGAAACCGCACCGATGGAGGCGCCTTGATGTTGCACTGCGGTGCACGCCTGGAGATGTTTTGGCAGTTGCATGACTCGCATCGGCAGGCACCGACCGAGGAGCAGTGCAGATCGATCAGGCGAGAGTAGGGATTGCTGGCCATGGATGGGCTTGGGTGAGGTCGAGCAGGTTGACGAAGAATGGCAATGTCCCAAGGCGACCGAGGGAGTGTTTGAATGCCGAGTCTGAATGCGATGGCAATGCGGTGAATGCGTCTGGGAGAAGCTGCTTATATCCCGGGAGGGCGCTGCACTGGTTTTGCGGGACGGTTCCGGGAGCATGCTTTCGGTCAGCCCGAGCGATGATTTTGCGCGAGCCTGGGTCCGGGCTGGCCCTGGATGCGCAACATGTGCGATTGGGTACCTGGCACTGGGCGACAGCGAAATGCCCGCTGGTATGCGGGGTCGGTCGTGGGCGACGGTGACGGTGGCGACAGTTCGGCAAGCTTGAGACCAAGGCTTTGTCAGGCGATCGTGAGCAGCGCCGGCGCTTGCTGGTCTGGATGGTGCTGGATGGTGCTTGCTGGTGCGGGATGGTGCGGGATGGTGCGGGATGGTGCGAGCAAGACCAAGTTGAAGGACTCGGCCCAGCAAGTCCCCGGAGTGGACAGCACAAACCGTGCGCCGCGCAGCTCCGCCCAGCCGGCTCGAATGCATGCGCAGCAGGCGAGAGGCCCAGCGAGAAGGCCCAGCGAGAAGGCCTGGGTTGTGATCACGCCCCGTCGCTTGCTCTCTGGCTCAGCCGGATTCTCGGCACATCAACACGACGACCAGCGATCATGGACGAAGATCTGCTGAATGACCTGGAGGAACTTGGCGGAGAGGAGCTCGAGGCCGAGGAGGAGGAGGCCGCCCAGGGTCTCCTTCGAGACGGCGATCAAGACGATGATGCCGACATGAACCAGCACGAGGAGGAGGACGATCTGATGGATGACGACCCCGATGCTGCCCAGAAGCTCAAGGCGGCGCTGGCCCTCGCAGTCAAGGGCGCAGACGACATCCGACAGATAGCCAAGCTCATCGGCTCAAGGACATTCAAGGACATTTTGCAGGTCAGCACGCGGCCCTGCTGGCCCCCTCCATCGCCAGATCAGAGTTGCGGCTCCAAGTCGCCCGCTGGTGGGTGCATGCACATTGGAGGCACCCTGCCAGCAGCCTCATCGAGCTGCCGCTTACCCGTCGCATTCCCATGCCCGCCCAGAAAATCGAGCATTTCAGAACCATTCATCGCGACACCAACTCCAGCAATGGGCCAGTCGAGGAAGATCCCGAATACAACGTTATTGTGCAAGCCAACAATCTCATCGTCGATATCGACAACGACCTGCTTGTTGTCCATAAGGTCCCGATGCTGTCCGAGCTGTCCGAGCCTTGCCTTCTGAAACAAATATTCATCCTTGCGCCTTGTATTTGAGCCCAGATGCATGCTGACGTGCCCTCTTCCTCCTTTGTCGCCTGTCGATAATCCAGTTCATCAGAGACCACTATTCCCCAAAGTTCCCTGAACTTGAGTCACTCATTCTCAATCCCAACGACTATGCCTGCACCGTTCAAGCTATTGGGAATGAAATGGTACGGCGTATCGCTGCGCCATGACTTTGCCTGGATCCTCTCAGACAACGTCTCGGCTGGTGAAGCCAATATCTTCGGACTTGACGCCTATTTACCTGCTGCTCTCCATCGCGATGTAATCCAGGACTTGACCAAGATCGATCTCAAGGCGCTTCTCCCCTCGGCGACCGTCATGATCGTCACCGTCACAGCCACTACGACCAATGGTCGGCCACTCTCGGATACCGAGCTCAAAGCCGTCATGGATGGCTGCGAGATGCTCCAGCAGCTCGACGGCGCCAAAAAGATGGTAGGTCCGAGTGCCGTTGTAACTGCCGGTGGAGCAAGGATCCTGTGCGGGATGTGGAGCTCGCCGTTCTTATTACGGACAGGGCGTCCGCATCGTGCATCTCCTTGGGTTTCAATTGCGACTGGCAGCACTACTTTGCATCGCTGTGCAACCACAAACTCAACCATACAATGTCGCTGTGCCAACATGTAGATCCTGGACTATGTTGAATCGAGAATGAATCTAATCGCTCCAAACCTCTCGGCCGTCGTCGGCACGGGCACGGCGGCCAAGCTGATGGGTATTGCCGGTGGCCTCAGCGGCCTGAGCAAGATACCGGCCTGCAACGTGCTCGTCCTCGGTGCCCAGAAAAAGGCCAGCGCGGGACTCTCGTCCGTTGGACAGAACCGGCATCTTGGCCTTATCTACTACTCTGACATCATCCTGCGGACCCCGCCCGAGTACCGCCGCAAAGCCTGCCGTCTCCTGTCTGCCAAGTATGTCGATGTGCTGCAGTGGTCCCCCAGGGTCCGCACTGCGTTCTCGACTCCCTTAGTCCTGCAGCTAACCGAGTGACCCATTTGCTTCAAACTGGCCTTTGTTTGCGACGATTAGGTCCGTTCTCGCAGCACGCAGTGACCGTGCTCGCACATTCGTCGATGGCGCGTTCGGCCGAAAAATGCGCGAAGAAATCGAGCGAAAAATCGAAAAAATGCAAGAACCGCCTCCCGGAAAGGCCATCAAGGCATTGCCAGTGCCCACTGAGGGGTCCAAAAAGCGTCGTGGTGGAAAGCGGTAAGCTCGCACCGTTGGTATCATCACACAGCCCCGATCGACTCATGACATTATAATTGCTGCAAACAGACTGAGACGACAAAAGGAGGCCCATGCCGTTACCGAGCTACGAAAGGCCCAAAACCGAATCGTGTTTGGCATGGCTGAGGAGGAGATTGAAGTCGGCGACGACACAGTTGGTCTTGGCATGCTGACCCAAGGGCAGACGGGCAAGATTCGGGCCATCACGGGCAACCCTCGTGTCGGCAAGTGTAAGTGTTGCTCTGATCGCGGACGAGAGCAGGAACAGCTCTCTGTCTCTTGGTGCTTGCTTGGAGAATGCAATCTCCTTGGGCACCCGATCTTCGTCAAAACCCCAAGAGTGCGTCTTGACAATCAAAGTGATTCTGTGGTGCCGCTCATGCCTCTGTGCTCATCGATGTCTTTTTTACTGCCGTTGTCTTCACAGTGCCAAAGAAGGTCAAGGTGATCGGTGGTTCGTCTGGAAACACCTCGGGATTGTCTTCTTCACTGGCCTTCACGCCTATCCAAGGCATCGAGCTGGAGAATCCCGAGGCTGCTCAGCAGCGCATCAAAGACGCCAACAATCGCTACTTTGGTGCGGCAGGCACGTTCATCAAGGTCGCAAAGAATGACGAGCGGCCTTCTGCGGCGATGGCCCCGCCTCCAGCAGTGTCTCGGAGATCATAGGCGCTGCGTACATCACACACCTGCCATGCATACGATCGAGCGCGATCGAACCGCCTCCCTCCATCTCGTGCAAGGGGGTGCGCTCAGCCTTGCAAAATAAAGAGTGGTCTGTGATCCCAAGATTGGGTGTGTAACGTTCATTACTTCCAACCTTGGTCAAGTGCGTAGATCAGAGTTGCCACCAACGCCCGCTCCTCCAAAGATGAGGAACAAAGCAATGGATTGAAGAACATGCAAATATATTGAAGCATTCGTCCATAGGGCCACACCAAGGAACAACCCGGCATCAGCACGGCTCATGTTCAGCGGGCTCATGTTCAGCAGGCTCATGTTCAGCGGGCTCATGTTCAGCGGGCTCATGTTCAGCGGGCGATTGTCCACCGGCCCCATCGGTGTCGTCCAAATGCAACGAAGGAGTGATGATCGATGTTATGTTCCAGTCGGCAAGCGACATGACCGAAGACCTCCTGGATGTGGAGCCTCCAGCACTCAAAGACTCGTCAATCAGAGTACGGCGATGATGGGCGATCAGGCTTGGATTCGGCAGCCCAAATGCCTTGGATCCCGCCGACACCCGCGATCCAAAAGATGTGCTTGACTGTCCAGAGTTGGCCGAACTCGCCCTGGTTGCTATCCGCGATATAGTCCGAGCACCTCGTGAGGCGTCGATAAAGCTCTCGGACCACGTCCGCAGAAGAAACAGCTTGCGGGACTCGAATTCGTTGATGAAGCCCAAGACAGCAGTCGATAGGCAAGCCTCAAGGATGGACGTCAGCACATATCGACTGGCGCCGGGGATGTGGTTGAGCGTCAGCAGAATGGCAACTTGACTCGTGATCACGAACACGAACATGGCGATGTAAAAGTACGAGATCAGACCCGACTGCGGGCCGGCCGCAAATACGGCGACGGCAACCTGGTTCAACGTTCGATGGAAATTGAGCTGGCTGGTCCCACGGAGCCACAGAAAGATGGCATATCGCCCTTGCCATCCAAGAATGTTGGAGACACCTGTTGCCAGGATGATGAACTGGCAGCGCATCGGTGAATCTCGGACTGACTTGAACACAAGCAGCAAGTTCGGAAGCACAAGGCACACGGAGAAGAAGATCAAGCTGCCGTTGTTGATCCAGTTGGCGAAGGGGCTTTCGGGAAACTCGGAGACTGTCGACCCGACAAGCTCCTCAAAGAGCACAGTTGCTAGAGCACCGAATATGTTGATGAGCGTCGTGAGGAAGTGCAGTTCGAGGGTCGTACGCAAATTGTGTCTGTGCATCACAGACGATCGAGGTACCCAGAGTCGTCGTCATCGATGAGGATTCGTTGCGACAGGCAGATCAACAGAGTCCGTGAACGTCGTGGGGGTGATCGAGCATACGACATAGTCAGCGGCGACCCAAGCCCCGCTTGTTTCCAATCCACAGCCAGTCGACACACCTCGACAACACTCTTCAGCTGTACACTTCGACAACGCACTTCAGCAGCACGGTTCGGCAGCACATCCCAACTGCAGCGCTCGGCCAGTGTGCCTACCGCAAATACTGCTGCTCCAGCTCGGCACTCTCAAACTTGAGATATATCCAGCTCTTCAGGACTCTGTACATGCGCTGCAGCAGCGGGATCTCCTGGTTTTTGGCGTGGGGTGGAATCGGAAAGATGTGTTCGCCAGAGCCGAGGTTCCGCTCCGAAAAGTATAGCGGCAGCAGATCATAGAGCTCTGCACACGCTGTCGAGGGAAGCTGTTTGCGTCCCGAGATATGGCGCGTCAGGATGTAGGTTTCCCGTCGGTTGAAATCCTGGTTGAGATGCGATACATTGCGGGCACAATGGCGGTCAAAACCACTTCTATCGGATACTGCAAAGTGTCGGTGGTGTCGGAGATGAATCGATGCTCTGCGGGTTTGTGTGTCGTCCGGATCAAAGTGATGACGGCTGGGTTCGTCCCAGCCAGCCTTGGCGCAGACCTACTTACCTCAGCATAGACACTGAGCTGGCCCGTGAGAATCACTTTGATGAATGACAGGCTGATGTAGAACCCGTTCAGGCCGCTGTAATACTCGGGACACACAAGGCTCATAGTGACCCCAGAGGCAATGATGAAGACCGCAAAGATAATCATGCACGTCGTGCTGTTGCCCTGGTACCCCGCTGACATCGTGTAGATCAGGACGGTCATCATCGCCGTCAGCACAACGCCTTGATTTGACACGACATTGTTGAGAGTATTCAATAAAAGGCTCCCGAGGCATGCCATCATCGTCAATGTCGCGAAGGCGATATGATATATCCGAAACCTGGGCATAAGGAGGCATATCAGCAGCGACAGAGTCGCAGCGACTGTGCCAGGGATATCTGGTGACGAGGCAGGATGAGTGAGTTGCTCTTGGCTGCTCAACGGCTCGAAAGAGTGTATCCAACGAACCACATTAGATCCGCCACCCCAATAGGTATCTCAAACCGACAGTCGTTGCAAGCCGTACCAACCTGGTATGTTGATGCTGCCGTTGGCTCCCCAGTTGATGAAGGCGGCGAACAGATACACAGCGCAAAATGCGGCGTTGATATCGAAGCGGCGCGAGGATGTGGCCGAAAATACGATCCATTCCTGCTCCAGCTTGAGAGAATGGCCACGGCAGCCCGTGCAGGAATCAGTCGATGCTGTGGCAATGTGTTCCCTGCAGTGGAACTACGGCGGCTCATGCCCTTTTTGACCATTAGCGGTGGACTGGCATCGAAAAGTCCATCCTCGACCAAGCAGCCCGCGCTCTCCCCTTCACGATATGCGAACAGCACGCGAGAGCATCTATCACACGCCATCAATACTCCACCTACCGCTGGATCCAAGAACTTGAGTGGAAACCGCCTTAGAGTGGTTGTTATCGGCATCTTGTTTGCGCCAGCCGTCAGCTTGTGCCCTCGGGACCTGATGCAGAGCGCAAATGGAACGAGAACCCGTTTGAGGCCGATGGACGCTTCTGTGGAATCCCAAGTTTGCACTCTCACCCTCCACATGCCCAGTAACTTTCCGCAACTCCTCTGAATTTGGTATCGCGGCGGTGCAATGCTTGATCCGCAGCCTGTGTAGGGCCACTGTCGCCGTCGTCGTCGTCGTCGTCGTCGTCGGCTGTGTATCGGCGCACGACCCCGTCGACGTCATGTTCCTCGCGGCTGATTGAGCCGGCGATTGGGAAAGGAATCCAATTGAGTGATCATGGCATTGCCTCATCTTGCAGAGGAATATCAATCGCCGGAAATGCCCGGAAGTGCCGAAATTGCCCACACAGTACAGCTTGCTCTTGGCTGGAGCCTCTCTTGCCCTCGGCCCACTATGAGGGAAAGTAACGCCAAGACATAGCCGGCCATCTATCGTCAGAGCGTTCCATCAGCGAACCAAGGTATGTGGGCACTGCGACGAGTATCATTCAGATACAGCATGGTCAGCGCGATGTATTCTCAACCAGATGGAGGACCACGTTTCTTTTTGGGGCTGCCGGCTTCTTGTCTCGGCCTCTTCACCCCTGCCAGGCTCGGCGTCGGCCTCTCAAGCTCGGATATGTCTGAGCGAGGGGTCTCGCTGTTGTTGGACTGAGAAGCATCGCTATTGTTGGCGTCGGCGGGCTCGACTGTGTCGGATTTGCGGGAAACGGGCTTGAAGAAGCTTGTGATCTGCCAACACAATCGGTAATAGTAAGTCATGTGCATCATGACCGTCGGATCCTGATCTGTCATTGCCAGCACAATGCTGCCATCACTTTGAAACTGAGGTATAGCTTGTAGCAACCCTGAAGCGACCTTCCGCGCCTCCGCACCCATCGCCTCATTTGCCGGGATACTGTACCTTGCCTCCTGGTCTGGATCCACCCGAACCGCCTTTGGGCTTGGCCGCCAGCGACGGCGTCGGCCAGTCCGAGTGCAAGTCCACGCTTGAAAGGCTCAGCGAAAGCGGACAATGATCTGATCCCATGACATCAGGATGGTGCTCGCACGTCTCGACACGGGGACTGAGGCCCGAGCTCACAAAAAAGTAGTCGATTCTCCAGCCCAGATTGAGTGGGCGCTTGCCTACATAACAGCACATGTATCAGCACAGCACATTGTCGGCACTGTCTGCGCCAAATTGCGGGTTGGTCTGCGGGGACTGGCCCTCTGCTCGACATGGTCGGAGACCCCGAGCTTACCGGTCTTGGTGTCCCAGAAGGTGTATTGGCTGGCGAGGTCGGGATGGTGTTGCCGGAAGGCATCCACAAAACCCTCCTCCAGGAAGCGATCGATCCAAGCACGCTCCTTCGGCATGAATCCCGAAAAGTTGATCAGACGCTGCAGCGATATCAAAGGTCAGCTTGGGTCCGACCACAGATGCCTCGGCCTGCTCTCGGTTGGATCAGCGTACCTTGGGGTCATGGACGTCAATGTCCTTGTGGGCGGTGTTCACGTCGCCAGTCACAATGATCTCCCGCCCGCTGGCGATCAGCGCTTGGCAGCGACTGTTGTCGTTTGTCCGCGTGAGCCAAAGCAAAGCAATGCTCTCGGATGAGAGCCATGGCGCATCTTCCATTTTGTCCATTCCAGAGCATGCATATTGCGGGTGGTTGAATGGCGAGGAGCAGTGTTCGTCCAGATCGTGGCGAGAAACAGCGTCCCAGCAGTAGTGTCTCGATCCTTACCGTTGAAACGATTCGTAGAAATCCAGCTTGTACTGAAGACGCTCCTCGCCTCGACCACCGTTCACGAAATAGACATTGAAGAGGACAAAATCCCCATGATCCGTCATGACACAGCGGCCTGGATTGAAGCACACCAGGCCCCGGCTGTCAGCGCCGCCTCATTCTCCAACAATCAATGGGCGAGATGGTGACTCGAGGCTCCTTCGGCTGTCCGGCCATCCACACCGACAGCGCTCAACTGCAAAGCATAATAGAGCGGCAAATGGGCTTCTTACCTTCGTCGTTGAAATCATCGTCGCCAAAGCCCTCGCTGGCGGCCAGGGTCGAGCCCTTCTTTGCATAGGTGACGACGCCGCTCCATCCTTTGCGTTTCTTGGAAAACGACCAAAACGAATCATATCCAGGAACCTCGATCAACTCCCGACTGTCGGCCAGATCATCGAGGCCCGAGACTTTTGTTTCCTGTTCCGATCCGAGTCCAGATCCCATTCTGGTTTCAGTTTCGGCATCCCTGCGCAAATACGGAGTGTGCAAGCGCAACCAGCAGGCTGGATCGGCGGTGTCGGCGGGCTGGCTGGCGACGGCCGGGACTGTACCTGAAAGCAGACGATATCCGGCAAGTTCTGTTGTCTGAAGAACGAAAGCAAGCCGTTTCCAGAAGCGAGTTTGCGTGAAACAGCACGGATGCCATTGACGTTCCAACACAGGATCCGCATGGCCCAAGATCGAGGGAGATGCCCAGCCGATGCAGAAGCCGAGAGATCGGAGCAAAAGACTGCGAAGCCCAGGGAAGACAGCAGCCAGCGCCCAGAGCCAGATGGAGGCAAGAAACAGCTCCCGGGGCGGTGCTGGTTGCTTCAAAGGCACTGGTCCGTCTCAAGCTGACCTGCCGTCGAGCGCCATCGAGACAGGATGCGGGGCTGCGATGACAGCATTGACAAAACGAAATGGGTCACCTCGTTTTGAGCCTGGACAGCCGTTATTCTCTAGTTCTGGGCCCACTCGCCCATCGCTACCATCGCCAAACAGTGTGCTCACAATGCCGGGAAGCCAAGCGACTCGAGAAGGCCGAGTATCTTGATATCGATGCACCATCGAGCTGTCCAGAGGGTCGAGTGGATACTCCACACAAAGATATTGCCAATCGCACGGCTTTCTCACCGCAGCCTTCAGTATGCCAGCGGGTTGTTCCGCTGCTCTATGGATCTACTGAACACGCACAGCCAGTGCACTGTATTGCGAACTACTGGAGCCTAGAGTGGCTCGATATCGGTGTTCTCGTAGCATACATCCATCCATCGCTTCTCGAAGCGCGCCGTCTGCTCGAGGATCAGACATGAGGCCGAAGCAGCAGCAAGACCCCGGCGGAACGACTGAACATAGTCCTGCAGCCGATAAAACAGATCAGTCAACCCACCGATTGTGCGTCTGCCCGCTCCGTCCGCTCCAACCTCCACACGCCGATCTTGTGGCTGACCTTGGTTCGCAGGAACTCGAGCAAAAAGACGGCGCTGCATGTATCTCCGGCGCCGAGTGGGTTGATGGGCACATCTGGTTCGAGGACATCGCCGAGTGAGATGGAATTCGGTCAAGCGTATCAGACATGGAAGGCCGCCGGTCAGACCTTGGGCACATACCTTCTGGCTTTTCGGCCTGCGTCTGGCCGGAGGCATGAACCAGGGCCTGGACGTTGGGTATGGAATAGGCATAGCCTCGCACAGCATCCGCCGCTCCGGGATCTCGCACAAATAGATAAGCCCTATAAAGTCAAAGCGGAGGCGTGAGCATCGTCCAAGGGGTCGTTCGTGCCAGGGACCGGGTACATACTTGCTTGGCCCATCGGTGATTGCTACTGCCCTGACTGAAAATAGTCCCAAGAGCATACTGCCGAGATCGAGCGTTGCCTTTGTTTCGCTTTTGTTCACCGAGCCAGCAAGTGGGATGCACCAAAGGAGCAGAGATTGGAGACCATATCACAGATCCCAGATCCACGACACAAGATCCATAATCCAGCCCAAGATTCGGGTCCAAGATCACGGCCAAAAGAGTAAAAGTCAAGGGATAAATGCCGTGCACCACACACCGCTTGGCATATGGCACATGGCGAATGGCAAGCATCGGGTGCCCAGATTCCAAAAGCCCATAGGTCAAACTGGTGGATTTCATGCATCCGACACCGACACCGGCGCTCGCTTTCCACCACCAAGATGGATGCGCACGCGCATGCACTTACGGCCTTCCTGCCAATATGTAGGCTTCCTCGGCGTTGATCTTCAGTATGTCGACCAGTCCACGCCAAAGGCACTCGACGTTGCTGACGGCATCGAGAAGCACCACGGCCTCCTTGGGTCGGTGTTCGCAGATAAAGGTGTACGTTTCGCCATCAAGCCCTGGCGGCAAGCTCCCTATGATCGGCCGTTGCGATATCAAACGATGGGTGCATGTTCCGAATGATCGATGGCTGCTCCCTTGGCACTGCTTCTGGATGATGCTCCCGCCGACCATGTGCATCCTTGTCCGGAAGCAGCATTGGGCTTACCACAGAGGGCAATCCCGCGCAGGCTCTGGCTCGCTGACCCAAACATCTCCAGGACAACCGACTCCAACTCCTTTCGCTCGGCTGAAGAGATCGTGCCTGAGGGCTCCTGCATTGGCAAGTGGCCGTATTGATGGAGCAAAAGCGGGTCAGTATCGGCATTGGAGTTCGACATGGCACACTGACCACCAAATGGCGCCATGCCTGCCATTCAAGTGCCCTGGAGGGATTGCCAGATACTCTGCCGCGGATTGCATTGCTAGACTCTGCCAGACAGCCACCCATTCTGGCCTGCCTATCTTTCCTTACGATAAGCTCTGTCATATCACCAGTGTGTGCATCCAGGATCGTCGTGCACGTTCGAGTGGCCTGGGCGACAGGAACTATTGCGGTTCATGGGATCCCAGCGCAAACTTGGGTTAGACGAGTGGGCTTGACAGGGTCGATGTGGATTTCGTGGCCATATCGTCGACGTTATCCCAGAGTCTGTCGATACCGTAGCTACTCGCCACCTACTCGTGCGGCCTACCAATGCGCTGGGGGATGCCGAGCTCTTGGATCGACTTTTGGACCTCGGCACCCGTTGTTCCTCCAAGGGGATGCACGAGACAGATCTGCAATGCTTGGAGATCAGCACAGCCTCGACCAGCGCGCCATCAAGGGATCGGCTTCTGCAGCCTTGGATTGCTTCATGACCAACCTCGCCTTTGGATCCATATTCGCTGCAGGCAATCGCAAAGTTCTGGCCTAACATGGCCCAGCGTGGCTTGCGTCAGGAACAGCCCGGCCAGCAACGATCCATGCAACCGAATGGGTAAAGCAGTTCAGTGCACCCACCTTTGCCACCGATGCTGTTGGTTTTCCTGTTGGCTCGGTTCACCTTGCCCGGGTGGAATCGCTCAAAGTACAGGGTCGCCTGATATGCGGGATTGAGACCTGGTTGGGGACACATCGGTGTAAGATTGTGCTGGCGTCGATTCAGAGCCCTTCGATCGAACCGTCTCGTCACAAGCAGACACCATACCAAAGACGATGACTTGATAGCCATGCTGCGGGTCGGTCATGGCCTGTGCTTGTGCCGGTGTGCTGCGTATGGTGCTGATGCAGATCCAGTGGCAGATCGGCCAGGGTGAGGCTTGTGGGCTTGGGACCGCACAACCAGGATTCGAGGCCGGCGCTCTCGCTTGCACTCTCGCCTGCTCTCGCCGAGACAGCTCTGTCGGCTTCAGCTTTGATCTGATCTGTTTCCTGCCCACAGCCCCGCCGGCCATCGAAGCGACAGCTCCAGGAGCCAGTCCAGTCCACTGCGCTGCCGTCCGATCCGCCATTCCAACAAAGCTCGCATCCTGTCCAGCAATCCCGCTCAACAAGATCGCCGAACGCACCCCGCTCAACCCGTCCGCCTGCTCTGATCAATCCGTCCAACCCGACACACTTCCACCAGATCGTCCACAACAGCCGCAGCCATGGATACAGCCGAGCCCCTGACTTCCCTGACCATGTCGGCCATGGCCCTCTCCAAGGTCTTCAAAGACAACACGGGCAAGATCACATCGCTGGACTTTGACTCATCGGGCGAGTATCTGCTTACCTCATCCGAGGACGAGTCGGTCCGGATCTACGACGTGAAACAGGGCAAGTAAGTCAGAGCCCGATCCCATGCGGCAATTGTTTCACGATCGCTGCTGCTTGTCTGAACGCCAGGTGCTTTTCGGCGCCCCAGCGATCGAACGCACGCACTTTTGTTTTTGATGGGCTGATCCGTATCCGGCTCTGACCGATCCTGACTTCCCTTTGCCCAGACCCACCAAGACGGTCTATAGCAAAAAGTATGGGTGCTCGCTGGCCATGTTTACCCATCGGCACACCACTCTGCTTCACTCCTCGACCAAGGAAGACGGTAAGCCAAGGCCTGAATACCGAGCAGCGTCCCCAAGGTCATCGGCTCGGCTGGGCTCGGCCCGACTGACGTCCGGCTCTGCACCTTTGACCAGACACGATTCGGTACCTTTCCCTTCACGACAACAAGTACATCCGATATTTCAAAGGTCATAAGAATCGGTGAGCACTTGTTGTATGCTTGGCTGTGAGCTTGGTGAGAGGAGTATGTGGTCGCAGTGGCTGTGGTCATGGGCCTGCTTTCTAACGGATCGTTTGCTCCGCCAGCGTCGTGAGCATGGAAATGTGCCCCTCGGACGACGGATTCATCTCGGGGGCGGTCAATGATTCTGTCCGATTATGGGATCTCCGGTCAGCCAACTGCCATGTACGTGGCCTGTCCAATACGCCTGGAGAATACCGACCAAGCATAGCTATCGCCACGATTCGTCCGACTGTCGCTGGTTCTGACTGGGATTTCCTTGCTCTTGGCTACTTTGTCACAGGGTTGTGTCAATATCGTCGGAAATCCCGTAGTTGCTTATGACCAAAGCGGGAGTGTCTTTGCCGTGTCGCTCGACTGGAAGAGAGGGATATACCTATACGATGCCAAGCAGTATGAAAACGTAGGATGATTTGTCCACGCTCACGATCCGACTGGCACATCGCATTCCCTGCTTTCATCGCGGTCGCACTCAAGCCGGACAGATGCACAGTCGCGCGGACGCCTGGACGGCGCTTCCTTTCCTTTCCTGACAAACTCCCGCCTTTGTGGACTTAGGGTCCGTTCATAACCTTCCATGTATTCGATGAGAACCTTGGCAACGTTATCCCTGAAATTGTGGGCCTCGAGTTCAGCAACAACGGCGACCTGCTGCTGGTGTCGACCAATGTGAACGCCATCTATGTCCTCGATTCGTTTGAGGGCAAGCTCAAGTTCAAGCTCACAGGCCATTCCAATCCAGACCGACTGCCTCTGAAAGCCATTTTCACCCCGGACTGCCAGTTCGTGATGTGCGGTAAGCCCTCGCCGTATGTCCTCGCAACTTTGGCTGTGGCCCAGAATCAAACTGGCGCCTCATCGGCATGCGTGCATCGCCTCGCCTCTTAGCCACCCATTCCCAACCACAGTCCCTCAGCTTCGCCGCTGCGTTGGCTCGCTTGTCGTGATATTGCTCTCAACTGATGCAGCATGCATGGTTACTTTGCATAGGATCCAGCACCGGCGGCATCCATGTCTGGTGTGCCAACACTGGCCGAGACGTCGGCTGTCTCGATGGCCATATTGATGTGCCAGAGTTGATCAAGTTCAACCCCAAATATCTCATGTTTGCCAGTGTCGATAGTAGTCTGGTGAGTGGTCTGTCGGCAGTCGCTACCTTGCCCTTTCTCATATATCCGCCTGAGGGCAGAAACCTGGGCCATCCCGTCCTCCCGGCCGATCGTGTTCCCCAGCTGTATTCTATCATTGGACATGCCTGGTTTTTCTCGATCGGATATCAACACCCAAGTCACTGGGTCGACCGTAGTCGCTGGATGGTGCGGGTGCCGCTTGTGTGCTCGCGCAGCCACCAGTTCGATCTTCGTTCGATTGGTTCTGTGACATCAAGGGGTAGTGCTCCACTTGAGCCCAGACATGCATGCTCCAGCATGGCCAGAGACCGCGCTTGCCGCTGATTTCTACGATCAACGGTCGCCTGATCTCTGGGTCTTTGTGGTCTGGGCTTGATATCATGCACTGCACATCGATCCTAGAGCGTTGCTGATATACGCTAGTTTACGAACCAACAAGGGGCAGTTGCAAGCGTTGCATGGCAACGTCGCATGGAAACGTCGCATGGAAGCGGGATAAACTTTGTAGCCTTCGCTAACACTTTGCTCTGCTGGCGATAACGTAGGGCTTTTGGACCCCGCCCCCACAATGACGTCGCAAGTGCTGCTCGACCACTGCTGTCCGAGCGGGATCACGACGCCGTCTGCCACCATATCAGTCAAGACCAGCGATCCATTCTGCCACGCCTTCACGAGCAACCGAGGCACCAGAGATCATGGCTGAGGGCCGCGATTCATGAATGGTGGTTGCCGATGAGGACTCCATTGCGCCATCGCACCGCTGTTGCTGTCATGCTCATCCTGGTTGGAGTGTCCATGTTCCGACATGTCCTTGGTGCCTGCATGGCCTTGATGCTGCATGTCCGTGATGCCCATGATTCCCACCAGTAGAGCGGCTCGTTGCATACGGATTATTCTCATCCAAAAGCAGGGATTCCGCTCCCTCTGTGAGCGATGTAATACAGCATGTTGAAGTAACAATGGGACACATCATCTCGTTCGAACATACACGGCGCAGTCGGATCATATCACACATCCGGCCAAGTCATTTCCCTGGGTGCCCTGTGTGAGGGAGAGCGATGCAGGGCAAAGGGAAAATCGCTGGTTTGGGGTACCGATCAAAGCCGTTCAGCCAGATCGATCAACATCAACCGATCCACAAGTCATCTGCGTGTGAAGGTGTCCTATTCAAGACCGTATGCCGCTGCTGAGATTCCACGCCGGGATCCTGTCTCACAGCTCAGAGACAAACAAGCCCAGAGGCTGAGGCTCTCCAAACCCAAGCTCAGACTCGTTCAGGTGTTCGCTCGGATGCTTGCCCAGTTGCTCGCTCAGTTGTTTGCCCAGTTGCCCGCTCAGTTGTTCCCTGGTGTGGCTTGCGTGAGCGACCGCAGAGATTGTGTTCTTGGCGGAGCGGTATTGTCTGGTATTGTGGACGGTGCTGAGGAACAGCATGGCCTGAGCTGTTGAGCACGAAAAGGGTCGTCGGAGTCAAGGATGGTTCATGTCACTTGGGCAATCTGCTTGGGTATATCGACTCCGCAACCAGAATCCAATAGCATCTGACATACCAAGAGTAATCGTAACGCCTGCAACATAGATCAACCGCGTGCCCAGGAAGGCGCCAACGCAGAGCACCAAGTACGTCGCAGCCGTCAGCATTGTCGAGCCGGTGCACCAAGCGGCCTCATGTCGGCTGAAGGACGGTGCCTCCTGGTGGATCCGATCGAGCCGGGAGGCTTTGCTGGAGGTCAGAGTGTGCTCGTGCTCATGGCCGAGTCGACGCCAGCGGATGGCGAAACCAACCGTGAGCAAACAGTAGAACGCTGTGCTGGATGTGTAGAAAACCCCTCCGAGAGGGTATCCCGGCCCGGAGAGCTCGAGACCAGGGTTTGTGGCGTAGGACGCATTGACGAACATTGGGGAACAGGGGCCTATGATCAAGCGGAAGCAGCGGCGAGGATGGGATGCACACGACAGCCGGCGATGACCCATCGAGTGTGAGCATCGTGACGAGTGCGGAGCTCGGATGATGTGCAGGAGGATGTAACTTTTGACCAGCGCCGCTACTTTTGACCAGCACTGCTGCAGGAACCAGAGCTGCACCATACTCTCCAGACGGTATATCGAGTTGACGTAGACTTGGTAGAGGACAAGCAGAGCTGCCCCGCTCAGACAGACCAACGCTCCCCTAACGGAGCGAGGTACTCCCTTCCAGTTCTTGAGCAGCGTCCACGCGCAGTAGGCCGCTTTGGAGGCATCCTGCTTGAGAAGCGATACTCAGATCAAGCCGAGACCCAATGCGACGCCAGAGCGTCGCCCCGCTTCAAGTTGACGGGCCAAGATATCGCCCGCAAGCCGCGGGACCTCTGCCGTCTATACCTTCAGCGCCCACAAGAGATCGCAGGCCCATGCCAGGCCCACGGTCAGACACTCGTAACCGTTGGGCTCGATGTTGAGGTAGTTCAGGTTGGCGAGAAACAAAAGCGAGCCCAGCGCGTCGAAGTAGATGGCAAGCTGCAGCAGCGACTTGAAATCAAGGTTGATGTGGCCCCGTTCGAGCACCATCATTGTGACGAGGGTGTTGATGGGAATCACGACATGCCCATATTGAAAGACATTGAATACGCTTTTCGTCATGGCGGTGGGGCGTTGCAGAGGCTGATCGAAAGTGAATCTGTCTCCTTGCGAAGGCGATTCAAAATCCCGACCCAAAGCGTTGCGGGAATGCTCTGTCTGTGAGGTGCCCGTCGCCTGATTGACCGATTGGCACCAGGTTGCCGAACACCACCAGCGGCCTGAATACAATCGTGCCTTGCCATTGACATGTCAAAGTACTCTCGTCGCACGTTGCAACATCTCCTCATGATGCAGTGGTGGGCGGCAGCGTCGCCGTGCTTTGTGGAAGTGGCCGGGAGCATATGGTTCGCGGGATCAATGCCAATGCCCAGGGCGTCCCGTTTTGATTGGACAGGCTCTCGGCCATTTGCCAGTGTCGGTTCGAATGCACAAGCCGGATCAATCCGCGCTCCTGGCTGGCCTCGGCCCGGCTTTTGCTGGGGTTTGCTTGTCGTCGACCGCCCGCATCGGCCTGCCCGCCTGCACTCCAGCTCATCGCCCAGAGATCCTCGCGAACCCGTCCACACCCCGCATCCCGACAGCATGGTGGCATCGTCAATATTCATTCTGGACCTCAAGGGAAAGGTCCTCATCTCCCGCAACTACCGGGGCGACATCCCCATGTCTGCCGTCGAAAAATTCATGCCCTTGGTGCTCGCGGCCGAGGAGCTCGACCAGACGCCGTCCCCTGTCATCTCGACCGAGGATGGTGTGCACTTCTTGTACATCCGATACAACAATCTCTATCGTGAGTATCTCGTTCCTGCGACCCTCCGTTCTGCACCTCCACCCCAGATCAACGCCTGCGTGGCTGCTCGCGTGCAGTCGGTCGCATCAGCAGGCTTTGGCAGGTCATCGCCATCGACGCCGGCAAGACTCCGCTCCCCCGGCTGTTCGGTTGCATCGGATAGCCACGACTGAGCCATGCAGGAGGACAACGAAGCTGGCCCTCTGTATCGTCCAGCGGATGACCATCCTGCTGTTCAAGGGCCCTCGTCGTGTCCATCTGGCCCTGGCTCTCGATCACTAAAGGAGCTCCGTCGTCGCTGCGCTCTCCTCTATCCGCTGCTGCAGTCTTGGCCATGGCCAAGAAGAACCCGAACGCAGCTACAATCCTTCTTTTCCTGCACAAGCTTGCCGAGGTGTGTTGCTTGATCATTCCCCGGCCCGTAAACGGGAGGACGGGTCTTGGATATGCGCGCGGTCAGATATTCGAGACGAGTCTTTCGCATTATGGCTTGCATCATCAACGAATCGACAGTATCGATCGGTATTTGTTGGCCAGCATCAACGCTCCCCCCCCCGTCTCAGCTGCCGGTCGATAATGCGCATCGTCGCCGCGTCGTCTTCTCTCGACCTCGCCTGCAGCACCACTAACGGACACCCTTGCCTTGGACTCGATCCACCCGCGTCGGAACGTCGACAGATCTTGAAGGACTACTTTGGTAGTGTCGAGGAGGAGTCGATCCGAGACAACTTTGTCGTGATTTACGAGCTTCTGGACGAGATGATGGATTTTGGCTATCCCCAGACGACGGACATCAACCTCCTCAAAGAGTGTGTATCTGGCCTCCCTTTTGTCTTGCTTCGCCGGCAACTCTCGTCTCTGGCGCAGACCCGTACTCGCACCCGTTGGGCGTCTGTCCATCGGCTCGCTCATGGACCAGTCCGCACCCCATGCTCACCCGAACATGCATGTCCTTTGGCTCGTCAGGTATATCTTGCAAGAGTCCTACGCCCTTATTCCCCAGCAGCAGCCCAATGTCCCTCTTGCCCTCACCAACACCGTGTCCTGGCGCTCGGAGGGTATCAAGTACCGCAAGAACGAGATCTTCCTGGACGTCATCGAGTCCGTCAACCTTCTGGTAAGAAGCCAGCCGAGTCGATCGAGCTGGCCGTGCGGGCAGCGATTGCCCTTTAGCACATAATCATGTCATTGTCTGGGATATCGCCGTAAGCAGCCAATAGCATCTGTCGGTTGACTGAGCATGTCTCTCCGCCCTTCAGGTCAACTCCAACGGCAACGTTTTGCGCAGTGAAATCCTCGGTGTCATCAAGATGAAGTGCTACCTCAGCGGCATGCCCGATGTGCGACTGGGTTTGAACGACAAGGTGCTGTTTGAGTCGACGGGACGAGGTAAGCAGAATTCAGTTCCACTTTGGATGTGGGCTATGCACAGCAAGATAGTCGACAGCTGCGACCCGGGGCTTCCGGAGCTGATAGAGTGCACGGTCTGGTTAGGCTTGCTTGTGGCCTGTGATTGAATCAGTCGGATACCACTGTGATCGTATACGGCCTGAACCCTTGGTCGTTTGTGCAATGCCACTCACACAATGCCATGCCTCCTGCAAACAAAATGGCGTGCAACCACCACGGCGGATACCTCGGCTGAAGCTACCGGGAAGGGCAAGTCGGTGGAAATGGAGGACGTCAAGTTCCACCAGTGTGTGGGACTGTCTCGCTTCGAGAAGGACAGAACCATTTCCTTTGTTCCCCCCGACGGCGAGTTTGAGCTGATGTCATATCGCCTCAACACTCAGGTACGCCCAGCGTCTCTGCGGAAGAGAAGTCGTCCTTGGCCCCGCTCACACACGCCACATGGCTGAGACATCATAGCGAGTCAAATGGCTTGACAGCCTTATACGGCTCGTGCGTGTCCAAGATCTGCCTGCGATTTGGCTGACGAGACGTCTTCGTCCTGTGCCGACTTGTGCTGCCAACAGGTCAAGCCGCTGATCTGGTGCGAGGCCGTCATCGAGAGCCACAGCAATTCGCGTCTCGAGATCCTGATCAAAGCCAGGGCCCAGTTCAAGCGGAGATCGACGGCAAACAACGTCGAGATCATCGTCCCTGTCCCTGAAGATGCGGACACGCCAAAGTTTAAGGTGAGCGTGGATCGTCACCGGTGCGATTTCGGCAAACCGCTGTCCTGTAGCGGAGCCACTGATCGCTGAGACTTGAATACGGCCGTGCGACCTTTGCTCGACTGCTTTGCACAGACCACCATTGGAACAGCATCGTACGCCCCCGAAAAGAACGCCGTTGTCTGGAAGATCAAGCAGTTCCAGGGCGGCAAGGAGTTCCTGATGAGAGCGCACTTTGGCCTTCCCAGTGTCCGAACGGGTAGGCTGACGCTGCCGAAGCACCAATGACCATCCAGCCGAACGGACACGCGCTGGGGTGTGCCTGGCCGCCTCTGGTTACATTTGGCATGGCCAGTGCTGCTGCGGCGCTAGTGCAGGCTTGTTTCCTCACCGCTCATTCCTTCCAACCGGGATGCCTATGCTCGTGCAGATCTCCCTGATCGCCGCCCTCCCATCCAAGTCAAGTTCGAAATCCCGTACTTTACCGTCTCGGGCATCCAAGTCCGATACCTCAAGGTCACCGACAAGAGCGGATACCAGGCCTTCCCCTGGGTTCGCTACATCTCCCAGAACGGAGGTAGAGTTTCCATCGTTGTCGCATCTTGCGGACTGAATCACGCTCGATGGCCAAGCGGGCATCAGGCTCGCGCCGATCCCATGTTTACAGAGGCACTCCACTCACCCTGGCCTCCCAATCTCGCAGATTACTTGCTCCGACAGCCCGAGGTCTCCAGCAACACCAACAAGCTCGGGGCGCTCTAAGTGCCATCAAAGCATGAGACGACGGCTCCGAGTGACCGGGCTTCCTCCCTCCTCACCGCGAAATAGCCGCCGAAATGCAAGCTCAAACCGCTTGGTCCGAGCAGCAGGCGGTGTGCGCACAGCACCGGCCATGGAGACTCGACGATCGAGGCGATGTCAATATATTCAAACTTTGGTCGTCAACAGGCACAAAACATGAAACGTTCAGGATTTGGATGACTCACGCAGGGAGGACCAACGGGCTGAGGGTGGCGAGACGAGAAGCGAACGAGAAAGTGGATTGCAGGGAAGCGCGGGAGAAGCGAGCCAAATAACAGTTCTCGATAGGGCAAAGAAACGGCAAAAGACGGCCGGAGGGGAAGCAGAAGCTCCGCTACGGGGCCTCAACGGATCTTTGCGGACTTTCAAATGGGGCAGTGCGCCCCACAACCGGGTGCACAGCCATGGGATTAGTGCGCTGCTTTGGCGACGACATTGGCGGCATAAGTGTGCCACTCCTTTGAAAAGGACGTTTCGGTGAATCCGAGCATGTAGCCGAGGCCGCGAACGATGCCAATGGTTCGCAGCAGGATGCTGTACTGGTTGGGCATGACTTTGAGCTGGTCCCGCTCGCCCAGATATGTGTAAAACTCCATACTTTCCATGCCTGTATGACGGGAGAATGGGAGAATGGGAAAAATGGGAGAATGGGAAAAATGGGAGAATGGGAGAATGAGATGATGAGATGATAGCCATCGGCCAGATTGCAGCGATGGGGTGAGTGGCAAGCACACCATCGACTTGACGAGATCATTGGCCCCAAGGTCATCCCATGATGGCGCTGTCGGACCCAGGAGGCAAGCAGCCATAGCCGCATCTGTCTCCGCTCTCTCATTCCTTCGACAGCAGCGGCAACAATGGACGCAGGATCACTGTGCTTCATCGAGTCCGAGCGATCGTGGCGATAACTACTCACCATCGCGGACTTCTTTATCGTCACGATCAAAGAAGATCTGCATGTACTTGTAGAGGGCGTATTCGTCGTTCTTTTGGGTGAGGAAGCCCTCGTTGCGAGCCAGGCGGGCGACCTCCTCAGGGGAGGCTGACTGATAGAGCAGCTCGTAGAGCTGGGCGCAAAACTCAACGTCTCGGGACGTCAGTGCTTTGGCCTGGCCGAAATCGATGAGGCCAATCCTGCCATCGGGCAGCAGGATCAGGTTACCAGGATGAGGGTCGCCGTGGAAGAAGCCATCGACAAAGATCTGATGGCCCAGGACGGCCAGAAGGGTCTTGAAGATGGCGGTCTTGGGGATGGCCTGTTGTGGAGGCGTGGCCAGAGCCAGGGGCTGGCCCGTGATGCGGACATAGACGGCTGAGAGGACGGATGCGAACCGGTCCCAGAGTTCCCATACGGCCAGTCGGAGAGTCATCTGGACCTGTTCGCCAAAGGTGAAGCTCCCATGCCGCTGGACAACTTCGTCTAGGGTGAAGCCCATACGCGAGGCAGTCCTTTCAAACTCCTCGTTGATGCGGTCGACGAGCTTCTGGCCCGGCACATAGTCCATCACCAGCACATCCCGTGTGCAGTGCTCGGCAACGGGCAGGGGAACCACCACATTCTTGAAGTGCGGAGCGAGGTTGTCATGCACGGTTTGCAAGGTGCGGGCCTCGCGCTCCAGATCAAACTCAAGGCCGATTTGATCCTCGATCTCGCTCATGTAGGAATCGGACTCGGGATTGATGAGCCTGAGAGCCTGGGAGTCGCAGCCGGAGAGCCGGGGAAGCGGGGAGGGGCATGGAGAGCAGGAGGAACACAAGTGTGAGTAATGGGAGCCACTCTGACAAAGATAGGCCTCATGGCTTCGTGCCGCTGGGATACTCGAGTTTGAACATGAAGTGGCAGCTGGAGCTGGTCATTATCGCTGAACAGGATTCGGGATATTGATCCAGCGCATACGCAGGCCAGCTTGATGTGCTGCATTCCATGCTGAGTTTGATATTCCGGTCCAAAGTGTAGCCGGCGCGGGAACCTTGTCGATCGCCGACAAGAGCCCTGATACTTGCTCCAAAGCCCATCCGAGTCCATCGAAGCCCACCCGAGTCCCATCCGAGTCCAGACAAGTCCCACCCGAGTCCCAGACGAGTCCCAGACGATCCATTCTCAGTACTTGCCCCCTGCTCGCACGCTCGCCCGACATCGACAACCACACTCCGTGGCCCACCTGGCGAATGTTGCGCATGTCCTTGCTAAAGTTGTGCTCGACGTCGGGATACTTGATCTTGACGACGACTTCGCGTCCGTCCTTGAGGGTGGCCCGATGCGCTTGGCCAATGGAAGCAGCCCCAAGCGGCGTCTCGTCAAAGGACGAAAAGACCTCGGAAAGCTTCTTGCCCAATGCCGACTCGATCATGGCAACGGCCTCGAGGCTGGAAATGCCCTCGTTTCGGTCGAGGAGCTCCATCATCTGGGTCATATACGTCTTGGGCAGGACCTCGCCAGCCATGGCGACCTCCTGGCCAAACTTGACATAGATACCACCGAGGCGTCTCAGTAGGGTTTTGATCCGGGGTGCGTAGAGCTCGTGGAGTGTCTGGTACTTTGCCTCGCGCACATCCTCGGGGGCATTGGGATCGAGCCAGGCGAACGAGAGCTTGGTCCACTGGTAGTGCGCAAAGACGGGCAGGACCTGGGACCAGAACAGGACGCCTCGCGGGAGAATGCCCTGGACTTGGTCTGGGTAGCGGCGATAGAGCTGGTCCATCAGAAACAGGTCGCCTGCGAAGACTCCTGTCAGCACGATAGGCACGGCCACAACCAAGGCCGTGCCCTTGAGCATCCTCTGCTGCCACAAAGGCCGGCCTGAGGAGCCGCCGGGATGCGGCTTGGCGGAAGTCGCCAAGGGCCGAACGGGGACTCGGAGGGCCTTGATCGTGGTCGAGGCAAGGAGCGGGCGACAGGAGGATCGAAGCATGGCTCACGACAGGATGTGTCGGCGATGACGGGATAGTGAAGAGGAGATGCTGGGTCGATGAGCAGTGCTTGTGAGCAATGACTCCAGGAAGGTGAAGAAGAGCTGAGCAGATGAGGCTTGAGATGGGTGGTGCTGGACTGGCTTGCAGCGCGAGGGGGTGGGTTTATAGCATGGCCGCCCCCCTGGATTGAGTTCCTTCGCATCCGCAGAGTCAGATCCATGCCAGCGCAACGGTGTGATCGAGACAACCGGTGCGCTGGCCGCTGTCGATCCACGAACCTGCCTGCGGATACGAGGCATTGGCGACGTGGCAAGCTCTCGATCGGCAACGAGGCCAGGGCAAGGTTTTTGTCGATGGGATTGCGGCTGGGGAGGGAAGCGAATACGGGATGCCCACCCGGAGCGAGATGACAGCGGAAGCCCGTTAAGCCCGGGGAGGACGCTGAAGCGGATGTGGTTGGCCGCGGTTTGACGATCGTCACCCGGTTGGATGACGGCGACCGACCGACGATGGACTGCTGCGATGGCATTGGCGGACGAGATACCGTGGGATGGACGCCCAGTCCATGCGGATGGTGTGATATCGTCCAAGATCGTTGCGTCATGGAGCTCTGTCAAACACAGCCCGCCTGCGTCGCCACAGGGCTTTGAATGTCAAAGCCCTGCGGGTTGTCGCTTCGCCAATCTCTGCCAAGAAACCACAAGACCGGCGGCAGCACGGGGCTTTCTTGGCAGAGCGGGGAGTCTGCCGACGCTTGGCTACTTGCAAGCGAGATGCGGCCTGGTCTGCGGGCTGTCCATGCGCATTGGGCAGCCCATGGCCGTAACAAGACAAGTAGCACTGCTGCTAACATTATAAGTAATGTGACACGTAACATTGCTGCTAACATTACAGCTGACATTACAGCTGACATTACAGCTGACATTACGAACATTGCTGCCATGATCCACCGACGTACATTGCCATTACGGATGCCATTACGGATGCCATTACGGATGCCATTACGGATGCCATTACGGATGCCATTACGGATGCCATTACGGATGCCATTACGGATGCCATTACGGATGCCATTACGGATGTCATTACGGATGCCATTACGGATGCCATTACGGATGCCATGCAGTATGCCATCAGCCCACCCCAACCGCTCAGTAACCCACCCGCCCGGCGCTTTCGCCAAGCACCCGACACTCGGTTTGCGCCGCCAGAAGGAGCCTCCGCGCGACTGCTTGTTTGTGCGCTCGTTGGGGCAGGCGCTTTTCTTGGCACGGCTTGGGCTGGGTGCTCTATAAGAGCCGAGCTGCGGCGATGTCCTGCGGCTTCATCCTGCTCCTCGATCGCTCGCTGTGCATCTCCCCCCATCGACCATCTCCAGCCGATCGCCCTGTTGCCCGCCCAAACCCGCATTGCCAACCACGTTAACAACCACGTTAACGACTGCCGAATCGCACACCCGCTCTCTCACACCCTCACCCGCTCCCGCTCTCGCCAAATCGCACATCCGCATCACCGCCATGGCCGCCGAGCAAAGTTCCCTCTATGTCTGCAAGTGGCTAGACTGCACCATTTCCTTTGACGACCCCGAGGCGCTCTACGCCCACCTCACCAACGACCACGTCGGCCGCAAGTCCCGCAACAATCTGTGTCTCCAATGCCACTGGGACTCGTGCAAGGTCGAGACCTTCAAGCGAGATCACATCACATCGCATCTGCGCATCCACGTCCCGCTGAAGCCGCATCTCTGCCCCGTAGGTGTTGTCTGGTCGTCTGGTGGTGGCCATGGCTCGTCGTCTGGTGGTGGCCATGGCTCGTCGTCTGGTGGTAGCCATGACTTGGATCTTCGCCTGTCCAATCCAGCCCATTACATTACATTACATTACATTACATTACATTACATTATATTACATTCCAGTCCAGCCCAGTTCAGTCCAGCACGGCCCAGTCCTTATCCATTCTCTCGTCCGCTCTGCCACCCACTCCGCCATCTCCTCTGCTATTCTCTCTCCAGGTCTGCCACAGAGCCTTCAAGCGCCCGCAGGATCTCAAAAAGCACGACAAGGTTCATGAGCCTCGGGCTGTCCCCGAGCCCGAGTCCGAGTCCGGCTCGCTTGGCTTCTATCCCGACCAGGGCCAGCTCCTGGTCCCTCCCTATGGCATCCACGGCATTCCGTCACCCCTGCCCGGCGGCCAAAAGATGTTCCCCATGCTGGCCGTGACTCCTCCCCCGGCCCAGGCGGATTTCGACGGCTCCTATATCCTTAACGGCCCCTACGCCGTCGAGGTTCCCTATCCTGTTCGCGAGTACAAGCCTGTCTCGCCGGACATGACCGAATACGACCCTTCGATGAGATTAGGTATGTCGCTCTGCTGCTGCCGCCAGCCTTCTGCCGTGTGTCCCGAGTGAATTGCCGGCACTCGCGCTCGACCAAACTTCCGGCCAAACCAATGCTGGCGCCATCGAACGCTCTCTCGACAGATCGAGTCTGACTCCTTGGCTCCTTTAGCCTCCAGCCTATCTCCCAGCAACTACGATCTCGACCTCAACGCACACCTCTCGGTCGATGCCCTCTACCCCGTCGTCCCAACGGTCTACAGCACGCCGACGCCGCCCGTCCTGCCAATCCACGGCCTGCCCGGCAGCCAGGATATGCAGTTCTCCCAGCCAACGCCGGTGTCGCGGAAGCGAACTTTCGATACCTATACCTTTTACGACTTTGTCAACGACGTCGAAAACGGCCAGATTAGCGCCTGCTACGACGACGGTATGTGCAATAGGCGCCGCAAGCAGCGCCGACTCTCGTTTCTAGCCTCGTCCTTTCCATCTAACACTCGATCCATCATCCACCCTCCTCTCTCGGCACAGACATGGCCTTGCGTCTCGATGCTCTCTGCCACAGCTTGAGCCCAAGCACACCGGTAACCAACATGGGCTCGAATCCCTCGCAGCCTCCCGGTGCCTTTGGCTCAAATATGGTCTCGTTCCTGGACACCCTCAACTCGGACCTGTACTCGAGCACGCGCCAGACATTTGGCTCCCAGATCGCACTCCCCATCCAACAGGGATTCGCTTTCCAGTTCCAGAGCACCGACCCAATGCTCTCGACCGACCCGCTGCAGTCCGACCCTCTCTTTGGCCTTTTCCCAAGCTCTTCCTCCTCCTTCAATGGCGACATTGCGCTGCACGACCAAGCCTTGCCAGTAGCCACGACGGGCCTGTCTCTGCCGCCAATCGGGGCAGCCTCGCAGCCGATCTCGCCGTACAACCCGGATCTGGATGGCGCATCGCCATACAACCCGGATCTCACGTTGCACTTTGTCACGATCGCACAGAGCGCCCCCGCTTCTACGAGCACCAAGATCGAGCCCGCAAAGTCGCTGACAGAATCAGATCTCGCTGCCGCCGACTCCACCGCTGCCGCCGCTGCCCCAACGACAGCTCCGAGTGCCCAAAGCTCCGCAGGGTCGCCTGGCAACGATGGTATGGCTCAGCTGCTGGCTGCCGTTGGTCAAATGTCGGTCAAGGACAGCCAGCAGGATGACGAGTCGCCCGTCGATGCCGCTCTCAATGTACGGAAGCGGCACGCTGCCCTGCTCAGATATCTGATCCAGTATGTCAGCAACAAGAGCAAGGTTGCGGCCTGCTGAAGCCGAAAGCCGTCAATGCTCGCTGGCGTCGGTGCCCACTTGGGGTCACTTCCACCATCCATACCGCCCACTCGCGCCTCTTCCCACCAATGCCCACTCGATCTCCCCGGTCCGTAGCACCGTCTGGAATCGCATAGATTGCTGGAGTCCTTGTTTGTCGTCTTGGAGGACTCGAGCCACCCTCTATCGCCGCGATCGCTGCACTGCACCTTGCTTCTTCCCTCCCCCTTCCTCACCTTCTTTCTTTTTGGAACCCTCCTTTCCGAGTGCCACTCTCTGGATGCCCTGTCCGATCTCTGGATGCCCCTGTCCGATCTGCGGAGCTGCTGTCCGATATCGAGTATTACGATTGTCTTCCATCGTGGATCAATCCAATCCTGTGTCGGAGAGTGCCTGAGATTGTGCGCGACCTCATGTCCCTGGTCCTATATCGCATATAGTAACAATCAAGAGAACATTCATGCATTTGGAACCATCCTGGGTGACTCTGTTCTCGGAGCGAGGGCGCGCAAGAAAACGTATCACAAATGGCGATGTTTCTAGTTAGACGATGGAGCAAAGAGTCAGGTCCGATGCGCATTATGAAGTGCACGTTCTTCTCGAAATGCCGAATCCGCAGGCTATCTTCCAGTACATCCAAGAGCACAGCCCAGTCCGGGGATGGCGGTGGTGATGCCCACGGTTCGACGGCTTATCTGCACATGTAACACAGTCTAGAACTCCAACACCGGCACCGCGAGGAGCAGCCGTCCGCCATGGGCAAGTCACAAAACTCAACTATATATATATATATATATATATATATTCAAGAAAGGCGCTCATCCAAGAAACAGATTGCGAGCGAAAAGCAGAAGCGAATCGTGACAAGCAGAGACAGCATTGCCCACATTTCGGTTGGGCTGAGAGACTGGTTGCAATAACCAAAAAAAGAAAAACAAGAACAAGGCATATTGTGAATCGCTGCTCCTCGCAGCTTCCGAAACGAGAGAGGGCGCCGCTTCCCTCCCTGGATTCGATGAACTGGAGAAAGAGGTGGTGGTCCAGAGCTGATGGTGTGGCCATACACACAAACGGGGTCGATTCGTACGAAGGGCTGAGCACAAGCAATGTGAGAAGCTCGCTCTCCAAGCAATGCAAATCGCAGGGGCTGGCTGGTTTCTGCTTGTTTGCCAGGAGCACAACGCTGGATATGCAACTCTTGTCACTCCGTGTCGGCCGATACCTCACCCACGAGTGTCGTCGAGCCATCATCGTACAATCGAAATGTCGCAGTTTGCTTCTTCCTGGCGGCCCGAGTCAAAAAAAAAAAAAGTAGAACACTGTCGAGTACTTGGGATGCCGGCCAGGCTCCGATGGCGACATCCGTTTTGTCCACAGCATGGCGACTCTCGACGCCCCACCACTCAGTCGCGGTAGACCGGAGGCCGGTTGGTTTTGTTGCGCTGCAGTCGCAGTAGCAGCCAATCGACTGCCTCCTGAATACCATCGCTGCTCACAAGACATTCACAGGAAGAAGGAAAGAGACTTAGCTGCTTGGGCATATGCAGGCGCCTGCACGTCCGGCGCGGTAGCCACAGCATGCCCCGCTCTGCACATCCAGGAAGGGCCGCAACTCGACTCGACTCGACTCGACTCTCGACTCTCGACTCGAGCTCTGTCCACGGACTTGACATACCCTTTCAGCGCCGACACCGGAAGGACTTTGCTGTCGCGGGCCCCCAGCTTGACCGCCACGGGATTGAAGAGCTCTTTGATTTCATGGACCTTGAGGGCCTCATCCATATCCTGTTTGTTTGCCAGCATCAGAATCGGCACTCCTTCGATATGGTCGTTGGTGATCACGCCCTCTGTAAACGGCGCAGCACTTGTCGTTAATCACCAGCGACCAGGAGCTCTGGCCGTGCAGTCCCTCTCCTCGCCCGGCTCGACGGTTTCTGATTCCTGTTGTCGTCCAGCGCCGCCACAAGCTCCACTGCGACTTTGGATTCAAAATCACCAACCAAACGTTGTCTTGACTTCCTCCAGCCGCCCTTGATCCGTCGCATCAACAACAAAGAGGATTGCATGACACTCGGTGTAGTACTTGTCCCAGAGCGAGTGCAGCTCTCGCTGCCCACCCAGATCCCAAAAGTTGATGCGACTGTGGCCGGTATCGATCTTCCCGACTGGCAAGGCGTTTCCGAGACGAGGACGGGAGTAGATCATATGACGAGGCAGACACAAAGTGCCGGCGAGAGTCAGTGAATGGCAAAGTAGATCGCTCGAGCCAGGGATCCCGCCACATGCAGCGCCGTTGGATGCAGCGCTGTTGGATGCAGGGCACTCTATGGCTGTTGCCTGCCGCTGCGACATCGACGTACTGTTCAGACCCACGGTGGGGGCAATCTTCTCGGGGGCCATGCCAGGCAGCCCCGTAAACAGAGATTTTATCTTCTCGAGCAGGGTCTGGGTGATTGTTCCGCAACCGGCCGTTATCGGCGAATCGATATACGCAAACGAAGTAAACACACGAGAGTCAATCGATGGAGCTGGCCGACTCTTTTGAATCGGGGAGGGGTCGGAGGCAGTCTTGAATTCCGGATGGAGGCATCGGGGGCACTTTGCGCCATCGCCGATCGGATTCGCATCGATACAGGGACCGGTGCGGCGGACAGAGGCAAAAGCTTGGCCGTATCAAGACAGGGCCGCCCCCCATGAGACCCAACAGCATCGACACGAATCAGCGGCACCGGAACTCCACGACCACGACCACAACATGCCCGTACCGTCTTGCCGGCATTGTCGAGGCCCAGGATGATGACGTAGAACTCCTCCTTCCTCGTGAGCTCCCGATAGAGCCCGGTGAGCAAAGTGTACATGGGTGTTGGCGGATGGTTGTTGGGATGGCGGCTGCGAGAACACCAGAGGATGCGAGCGAGGAAGCGCCGAGAGAGGAGCGAGCAAGGGTGTGTGGCTGGATCCAAGTCTGGCTGGATCCGGCTGGATCCGGCTGCTCCACGCGCGACATTCCGACCAGTGTCGGAACGAGTGCGCTGTCTCAGGAGCCAACTTGCTCTGGACATTGCCTCGATCGTACCCGTCCATCGCCCCGTCGCAGCCGATCGCAGACTCTGCACGCTCGCTCTCTCGCCTTCCTCAACCCAGATCCAGCGCATCCAACATGGACAAGATCTTTGCCTACATCTCCCAGAACCAAGACTCGTACATCAAGCGCCTTGCTGAAGTTGTGGCCATTCCGTCGGTCTCGGGCGACGCCAAGCACCGCCAGGATGTCGTCCGCATGGGCGAGGTGAGGCGCCGCCCGCAATATGCGGGCCGACTGCAATATGCGAGCCCTCTGGACTTGTAGGCTGTGTGTGTCCAGGAGACATGTGGTGGATGCGTTCGGCGGACCTCCAGATACGCCACCCGTTCCTACTAGTCCGGCACATGCTGGCTCGCATCCCCAGATCATGCCTGTGATCGAACGACTGGCCAGCGTCTCCCTAATGACGCTCGCTGCCATCCTCCACTCGGCTGACCCGCTTCTATCTTGGGTCCGGTCTGGCGCAGTGGCTCGTCCAAGAAATGACCCGCTTGAACGTCAGCACCAAGATCCACCACCCTGGAAAGCAGGTTCTCGATGGCGTCGAGCTCGACCTCCCCCCTGTTGTCCTCGGCACCTACGGCACTGATCCCGCCAAGCGGACCGTGCTTGTCTACGGTAGGACTGTGCATCTTTGGCCGATCATCCGTGGCCGCAGCTTGCATCTGGCGCCATCGGTGCATCTCGATCCTTTGTCGATCTGCATTTACTTCAAGCAGTCAACAGCCAAGTTGCTCGCGCCGGGACAAAACACTGACGGAATGCTCTTGTACAATCTCTGCAGGTCACTACGATGTCCAGCCGGCCCTCAAGTCCGACGGGTATGCGTGCACTCCCTCGTCCGTGAAGGCAACGCTATGGGCTTCCAATGCGACTTTGTGCTTTGTGCTGTTCGATCGATCGGCCATCTCATGCTGCAGCGACATTAACGTTCTCTGTTGCCCACAACCCCAGCTGGACCCACGACCCTTTCACACTCGTCGAGGACGAGCAGGGCCGACTCTTTGGCCGTGGCAGCACCGACGACAAGGGTATGTGCAGCAGCTTGTCCGCGAATTGGTCATGAGCACCAGCACACCTCGATGACCCGGGCACCATGATGATCCGGATCATCTACTTTACTGATCTGATCTGGGTCGGTCTGCGTGGGAGTTGAGCCTAAGTGAGCTGGACTAACCAAAGTGACATGGCGTAATGCCATCCAGCCCCCATTATTTCCTGGCTCTGGGTCATTGAGGCTCATCAGAAGCTCAACATCGACCTCCCTGTTAACATCAAGATGTGCTTTGAGGGAATGGAAGGTGGGCCTAGTCTCGGCAACATGACACAGCGAGCACTGCGGAATGTCCAGCCCAGTGGTGGCACCTGCACCTACCTTCCTTTTTCCACTAACACCCGGTGTGTGCCTTTGCTCTCCATGCAGAGTCTGGTAGCGAGGGTCTGGACGACATCATCTACAAGGAGGCCAAGGACTACTTTGCCACTGTCGACTGCGTTTGCATCAGTGACAACTGTACGTGGTCGAGCTACTCTCGTCTGTTGGGGATTGCTCGGCAAACATGCAGTCGTCGTTGATGGCACACGTTTCCTGCCTCTTTCTGACCTCCTGCGCCTGTTCCTCCAGACTGGCTCGGTACCAAGAAGCCTTGCGTTACTTACGGACTGCGAGGCATCTCATACTTTACTCGTAAGCCTCTGGCCCATGCGATTGGATCCCGCTCGATAGTCTTGAGAGCTTGAGTCGCCGAGACGACGCTTGCGAACCCAGTGGCCTGTGCCCATCCGCTGACTTGTTCCGCTGCGGCTCTGTGCATTGTCCAGTTGAAATCAGCGGTCCGGGCCGCGATCTGCACTCTGGTGTCTTTGGTGGAACGGTAGGCACATCAATCACCTGGCTGACTACAGTGGCTCTCATCGCCGTTGCTTTGTTCGCTATATACCCGAGCCGATTGGGGTCGCATGGCTTTGCTTTGGCTGGCTGGCTGGCTGGCTGGCTGGCTGGCAGGCAGGCAGGCAGGCAGGCTGGCTGGCTGGCTGTATTCTCACAGCCTCTCAACTTATTGATCACGTACCCTCGTGTCGTTGACAGGTCCATGAGCCCATGACCGACCTGGTTTACCTGATGAGCAAGCTTGTTTCGCCAAACGGCAAGATTCTCATTCCCGGCATCTATGTGAGTACCCACGGAATCCTGCGACTGCCATGACCAGGGTGCAACTACGCCGTGGCTTCATCTCGGAGCTGCAGCACCAATCCTTGGCCTGCGGGAATGGTCTTGTCACTACGCTCTGCCTGATGCCTGACGCCATGTCTTTGTCGTTTCCTCCAGGACGAAGTCGCCCCCGTCACTGGTACGCTATTGGGCCATCGTCCTCCATGTCGCCGGCTCCATGACCAGACAACCCATTCTAACCACGCCGCTGCCCATGCTGGATGCAGATGATGAGCACAAGCTCTACACCGATCTGGATTTCAGTGTCAAGGACATCCACCAGGCCATCGATGCCACCAACACCATCCACGAGAACAAGCAGGATATCCTCATGCATCGGTATGTTGTGACGACAGTGCCTCGAGTGTCGTTCCTTCACGCCGTATTGGCCGAGTCGCCCGCCCACTCACCATTGCATGCTCTTGCCTCCCGCACAGATGGAGATTCCCCACGCTCTCTCTCCACGGCATCGAAGGTGCCTTCTATGGCGCCGGAGCCAAGACGGTCATTCCCGCCAAGGTCATCGGCAAGTTCTCTATCCGGTGAGTGACGCCTTCCTGACACGTCTGACGATCCCTGAGTCCGACGACAACGGAATTACTTTTGTGCTTTGCATTTGTGTGGTTCTCTTTCAATCGTGCCGCTTCCTCCCACTGTTGTCTCCCGTTCTGACTCATTCATCTGGCAACCTCATCGATACGCCCATCCCAGCTCGGTGCCCAACCAAAAGCCCGAAACCATCAAGGCCCTGGTCACTTCGTTCATCCAACAGGAGTTTGCCAAGCTGAACTCCAAGAATAAGATCACCATCACCGAGCTCTCGGCCGGCCCTGCCTGGGTCGCCGATGTCAAGCACTACAACTTCCGCGCTGCCTCCAAGGCGATCGAGACTGTCTTTGGCATCACCCCCGACTACACTCGTGAGGGCGGCTCCATTCCCGTCACCCTGACATTCCAGGAGGCCCTTGGCAAGAACGTAAGTTTCCCGAGTCACCGCCTCGGGGTCACGACCCATCCCCTCGGCGCCGCTGCCACCAATGCTGACCGATCTTGCTTTACTGCTCTGCTCGATGCCAGGTCCTGCTTCTGCCCATGGGCCGTGCCGATGACGGCGCCCACTCCATCAACGAGAAGATTGATCGCAGCAACTACATCGAAGGAATCAAGCTTTTGACCAGCTATCTACATGAGATCTCCCATGCTCAGTAGGCCGTCGCACCATTTTTAGCCAAGCCAGACTTTTGCTTGGCACCAGATCAGCACCGAAAGGCAGAACGTATTTGTGCCGCGTTATGGAGCATCCCCTGCCCTTGGCCACGTTGAAGTTTGGTCGTCTCGGAATATCAAATACACATGAGTGCTCCACATAAATAGAGTCGGGCGCATGGACCCACGGTAGCGCTGATCCATACGATGGGCTTGGCTGGGGAGCGTAATGAGCAGATTGCATATTGATGGTAGATGCTGCCAGTGTGATGACAAGCCTCCCGCTCTGATTGTGCGATTGCGCCCCACCCTCCATCCTCATCAGCCCCATCCGCTCTTTCCTTGCCCTCTGCATCACATCACATCGCATCGCATCCGCCATTTGCGCTGGCGACACATCCCCTGTCAATGACACAACCCGACGCCCTCTCGGTCGGCCGCCTGATCGACTTTACCGAGCAGGTCGCCGGCCATCCCGACACGATCAAAGCTGCCCCGCAGTTCCCCGACCGGCTGTTCAAGTGGGCGTCCCCGACCGAGAGCCAGTTTTATCGGGCGCTGGATCGCCAGCGGCAGCAGAGCCAGGGTTTCGACCATGCCCAAACCGCTGCACCCCGGCCGCTGTATTCATTCGCACCAGCATTCTATCCCGACTTTGACTTTCAGCCGAATCCTTTGCACACCAACTCTCCCGCAAGCAACGGCAAAAGCAATGGTGATGGCGACGGGAACGACGATGGCTCGCCTTCCTGGATCTGCATCCAGAACCTGATCCATCGATATCAGCACTACTCGGCGATCGATCTGAAACTCGGCACGCGGCTTTACGACGACGATGCCACTCCCGAGAAGCGAGCGCGCATGATCCAGCATGCCCAGCAGACGACATCCGGGGCAATTGGTCTGCGGATATGCGGATACAAGGTGGGCGTTCAGCCTCGATTCGTGCCTGCTCTTCGGCTGCTTGGGCACCGGCGTATTCTGGGTCTGGGTTCGAGGCCCTGGCCGCCATTTGGAGCGACTCATCCGAGTCCCTTCTGCCGCCCATCTGCTGGTCTCCTCTCTCATGCTCGCTCCGATTCAACTTGACTTCATCATGGCTCTGCGCTGCCCACAGAGATTCGATCTGGCCACCCAGTCGCATGTCGTGTACAGTCGCGAAGCAGGTCGTCGTCTCAAGCCCGACACTTTCTATGGCGACTTTGAATCCTTCTTCCGGAGCAACGACGGCGGCTTCGTCTCCCTCGACACCCTGAGAGGCATCCGACACCGTCTGTGCGAGTTGCAACAGACCCTTCGCCAAACCCACGTCCAGCTCTATGGCGCCTCGGTTTTGATCCTGTACGATAGCGGATGCTGCTTCGATGTCGACCCAGGACAGACCTCGAATCTCGGCGAACCAAATGCCCCCAACCAAGCGGCATCTGCGGATGAGCCTCGACCAACACAATCCCGGGCTCCGTGCCCAGACCAGTCCGCTTCGCCCCGCTATGACGTTCGCCTGATCGACTTTGCTCATGCGCGCTTGAAGGACGGCATTGGACTGGACGAAGGGGCGCTGCTTGGAGTCGATCATCTCATCCGGTTTATGGATCGATTGATTCTGGCGGCAACGAGCCAACCCATGCCCTGATAGGTTACATACAGCATGTTCAGAATGGATCGAGACAGTTCCCCATTTAGGGTTCATTCACCGGGACTATGGTTGGTTTGGGAAGCAAGTTCTCGGGCGACAATGTGCATTCGACCATCTGGACAGCCTCCACGAGGCCCACTACGGGCCCACCACGAAGCACACCACGATGCCAGCATCCTTGGACACACGGTTTGATCATAGCAGGCGATGGGTGGATGTGTATTCGGAACCCAGAGGAAGCATCAACTCTGCCCTCGACTCTACAAATCAACAATCAAGTAGACGACCTCATTCCTGGCCGGCCGTTGCGGAAGCAGACCACTGCCTCTCCATATGAGTGCATGATGAACATCCAGATAGACCCAACGGACAAGCAAAGTCCAGGAGCAGCGGCGATCGACGAGTACCCTCATTTGCGAGTGTCGCTCACCGCGCGATCACCGACAATTGCGCAGAGCCAGTCCATAGACACTAGAACTCCTCTCTATGATCCTGAGTCGATAGCAGCTGCAGCCTCACGGACTCGTGCAAGGTCTCCGGCTCCGGTTTGCGAGGAGAGGAGCGTGGGCGATCTTTTGGAGGCTCCGGAATCGACGCCTCAGCCTCCATATCCCTGATTGTCCGGTCGTCGGGCAGAGAGCCTGTGCTGGATCCAGGCGCTGACGAGACCGAGTCGGTTCCGGCCAGCGGCGGGTTGCCCTTCAGCTCCCGAAGCTCTTTGTCGAGTGCCGAGATGCGCATCGACAGGTTCATGATCAGTTGATTCTTGACCTCGATCTGCTGCAGCAGATGCGGTGTCGAATTCGACGAGCTGGGTCCGGTTTCACCGCTGGGCGAGGAAGGAGAGAGCCCAAGTGACTTTGTGCTAAGCAGATCGATCGGCGGGGATCGAGGGGCAAAGGTCCTCAGCGCTGTCGTCCGTTGGCCCGTCGAGCATTAGTTGAGCGACGATACCCAGTCGACACTATGGCTGGTATCGCGGCGGCCGGCATCCCAGTGGATTTCACGCACTCCATCTGTGCAGCATGAGAAAATCCAGCATCCCGTATCGCCGTAATGATGCCCCTACGTGCCTTCCGCATCCAGTATCTGCAATATGGACTTACCCTTGGACTCTTCTTTGGCCTCATAGAGCTTGACTGCCGCCTCCGCCTTGTGCCGGGCTGATCGATTCTTCAGCTTGGCTATGCGCTTTTCATAGCGCTCGCCCTGCTCCGTGACCTCCTTCCTAAGCCGTTTGATTTCCTCCTCGAGCGACTGTGCCAGGAGCACCGAGTTGCTGCCGCTGCCGCTGCTGCCACTGCTGGATGCGGTACTTGTTTGAGGGACCACAAACCGTGTGAATGGCAGCATTCCAGGGGATGCAATCGAAGTTGCCATGAGGGGCGGCAGGGCTTGATGCAGTCTTTGCGTGGGTGTGAGAGCACCATGGCCATGAAACAGCGGCGGTCGTTCCCGGGCCAGCACGGACTCTCGGCCATCATCGGTGGAGAGGTTGTTCGACGGGGTGGCCGGTGGGGTAGTATCGTGGGCTTCGGGGTCTTTGGAGTTCGCGGAAATCTCGGTCGCCGTCTTGACCTCTGTTTTCTCTTGCATCTCCTTGAGCTCCTGCTCTCGCTGCGATGCCTGTTGATGTACAACCACCACGGAGCGACAAACAGCCAGGGGAATCAGCCAGCGCCCTTCATCGTTGCGGCTCAAACATAGGGTGCTGTTCATACCAATTCGAGCGCCTCGGCCAGCCGAACTTGAGTTTGCGAGAGCTCATCTTTTGCCTTGATGATCTGGCAAGCCAGCATAGTCGCATTAGAGCCCATTGAAGGTGCAGAGTTGGCAATCGGATGTGGGCTGCGATGCAGACACTTGTGTCGAGGCCGCCACGGGCAGCAACAATCACTCTCCCAACCAGACACTGGTAACGCACAAATAGACGACATGGACGGTCTCGGCTCAGCGGTCGCTCCAGAGGAAAGGCGCTTGCCTGATTCACCAGAGACATCCACGATGCGTCCGTTTGAGCATCCGCGTCGCACCGGAGGGACTCGTCTACCACTCTGAGATTCGGCTGCTCAGCAGGCTCATCGTTGTTGAGGTCGTGTGTCTGCTGCAGCGACGCTTTGCACGCAGTGCCTGAGTCGGCACGTTCTTGGCCGACGATGATCAGGGCCGTAATCAGTTTCGATGTGGTATCGCGCAGCTCGCATATCTGTTGGGCCATGGATATCAAGTGAGCATCACGGATGAGAGACGGGGACTGGATAGCCTCGACAGCATCGCCAAGAGCCATGTGCAGTGTTGACGATGCTCAGAGCTGGAGGAGGCATGAGGGATGGTCGTGGAGCTCAGCCAAGTAGTGGCTCGGGGGTGGTCTGTGCCGAATCGCCGCGGCGACAGGACTCGATTGTCACCAGAGGGAAGGATGGTGCGTGGGAAAGACGAGCGGAAGCCACAGAGCGGGATGGGGGCATTACAGTATTTCTCATCGCGACCGCCTCGGAAGTGTCGGCTACTGCCGCTTCGATGGGCTCTGCTGCAGATTCCAGACTATCGTGCCGCTCCTGCAGTTCTGGCGATGTGCTTCTTGGCGGCAGCTCCGACGGCATCGGGTGGACGGCCGACGGGCCTGCTCTGTGGTGAGCAACTTTCGAGGCTCCACCACCCATCTTTGTGGTCCGCTTGCAGCTGCCTGCAATGACGATAGTACGATGGCGTGGAAAGAAGGAGATGCCAACCGAAAAGGCGAGGCTCGGTGAGGGGCCGCATAGCCAGGGCGGGTCTTGTCCACCAAGCCCGGGGCGGGCAAGCAGGTCGGATCGACGGATGGTGGGCACACACTTTCCCACCTTCGTGGCCACAGCATGGCACCCACACTCTCTCAGCGTCCGAAACTACAGCTTGCGAACAAGTCAGGCGTCCAAGTCAGTATCCAGCGCAAGCAAAGACTCTTTATTTGGCTCGACGCAGGGTGTGTTCGTATGAGCAGCACTTTGATCCGGTCGAGACATGAACTTGCACTTCTGCCACAGATCCACGCCGGAACGGCTCGGCTGCTACTCCAACTTGATTTTCTTGTGACTGCATTCGTGCTTGGACATCCTCTGATCATTCGAGGCAGCAGCAGCATAATTCCGCCGCGAGTCGGTCCATGTGAGCGATGCGGATCAGCGTTAGGTCCTCAAGGAACTCGATCCGCCCCATGGCGACGCATTTGCATCCAGGCTGCCGGTTCAGATCACGCCAGTACCTCTCGGATCTCGGCGATCCTGACTTTGATTTGAGCGAGCTCTTCTTCAGCCTCCCTCAGTTCCCGCTTCTTCCGATCGAGAACTGTGCGGTATCCAGAGCGCGACGGGAAGATCCGCAATGAGGCTGATGCTCGGGGTAGTTCGAGAAACTCGCCATTCCAGCGGGATGGAACTGTTCACACAGCGACAGTTGAAAATGCCCATTTTCAATCGACAGAAATACCTGATATCGGACCCTGTGTGTCATCACCATGGCGAATCAAGAACAGACATTAGCCCTCCACCTTGACCGATTGAAACAGCCCAGCAAGCTCTGGTGCGTATTCCATGAGCCAAATACCTCCTCCTTTCGAGCAATCACAATGCTGTCCCATTCCTCCTTGGGTAGCTCATATCTGCACAGTCGTTCGGCCAAGAATCCAGCGAGAGATGGAGTCGGTGAGCCATGTGGATAGAGGCTGCGATGCCAGAGCATGCCCTCGGGAGCTAGAAACAATGCCAACATCCTGACATGGAGCTGGCAACGCAACGCTGGGCGGCTCGGAGCGCTGCAAGAAACCGCATAAAAACGCAGCGCAAGACGGGCCAGCTGGCTCCTGCAATCAAATCCTTACAGTTCCTTGTTTCTCTGGATCTTCTCAAGCAGCTCCTTCCTGCTGACCTTGCCTGCTCCCCATCGATTACGGCAGAGTGAGTAGGCTCGATCTGACCAGGACCAGACCGCCGCTGATCACGCATCTGTGCCTTGCGGCATTCGCAGATCAGCCCGATAGCAGTGCCTCGATAAGCAGGTTGTGTGCGCTACCTCCGGTGTTGATGATGAATCCGTTCTTGCGGACGATATGATCGCCGGTTTTCTGGGCATTTATGGCGCCGATGGTATAGGGATCTATGTGCAGGTTGGCAAACTCTTTGCGAGTCGAATACAGAGCCGTCCATGAGCCCGATGTCAAAGCGAACGCCGGCGAGCGTGGCTACGATTGATCATCCATTGATGGTCATTCGGCCAGGGCTGCTCGGCTCGGTTTGGGCTCGGCTTTGGATGCACTGAGAGGCTCTGCATCTGCCTGTCGGTTGCTGCCCTCTCGGAGGGCTCGGCTGAACTCCTACCTCCAATACTTTGCTGTCCAAGCATCCGCTGGGTCTGAAGATTGAGCTGGGCATTGGTTTTGTCCGCCAGCACACTGCACTCCATGATCTCTTTCCAGTTGCCAATGCCGTATTTGATCAGTGCATTTCTGAGGACGTTGGCCTCTTCCCGGGTCCAGCCTGGATGGGCAAACACGCCGTTTCAGTGCCGATCATCAGATAGCATACCGGGATGTGGATATGTGCACGATCTGTCGTTCACAGTATCGCTCATGAAGCTTGGGCAAACCTTGAGAGAGAGAGCAGTTCCAGAGCGACGCCGAGTCGTTGGGACGGAGGACATTCTTCTGTCCGGTCGGCATTGACCTCGGCTTCTCTGCACTCATGATGGCAGCGATGCAGCAGGGAGATGGAGCGGCTGAGGGGTGATCAGTCGGCCGGATCTGACGGACGGATAGGCGGAGGAGCCGACCGATCGGAAAGTGGCAGGCTGGTCGGAAAGCGATGGGCAGATCGAGACAGCACACAGGGCCGGCTGTTTTCGTGTCGCATTCGCTCCTTGGCCATACTCGCATCGCATGGCTCCCCGGTGCTGGAGTGTCGCTGGGGGGCAGCACTCTCAAACACTCAGTCGCAGCGTTAAGGCCGGCAGCCGCACTCCAGACGATGCCAAGGGGTGCAATTAGGGACGATTTATATATGGAGGCACTCGATTCGTGCAACACCGTTACTGCTCCGGGGAGGCCCTGGGATCGTTCCAGCTGATGCAGAGACCAGAGAGCTCCTTGGTGGCATGGAGAGCAAGCCGAGCAATCGCTTTGCCTGGGGCCTCGGGGCGCAGGATGGTGCCCTCCTTCTTCATTTGCTTGAAGACCGAGTGCTGGGTCGGGTTCATGACGAGAGCACCGTCCTCGCGCAGCTTGGTGGCCATCTCGGTATCGACATGTCCTATGTGTCAAGCGAGCGGGAGAGACAGTCGATACAGCGATATGTCGGATGATCAGCGCATATGCCGGCGATGAAGCAGTGCTGCGACACAGGAAGGGCAACACAGCAACTTGCAAGTGCTAGTGCAAGTGCACGCAACCAAGGCGGCATCCTCGCTTACCCGGCTTGACTGCAACGCAGACCAGGTCTTCTTCCATCGCCAGGCCCTGGACAAGCATGGTCACAGCCACCTTGGACGAGCAGTACGGAATCACGCCCGCATGGGCCTCCTCGGCGCCGCGGGAGCTCAGGACGATGATGCGTCCGTTCGTCTGCCGGAGATGCGGCAGGGCAATCTGGATCTGGCTGATGACCCCGAAGAAGTTGACATCAAAGACCTTTCGCCAGAGCTGCAGATCGACGTTGGCGATGCGCTCGAGCGGGTCGATGATGGCGGCGTTGAGAACCAGGGCATCGAGTCGGCCCCACGTGGCCACGACTCTGGCCACGATCTGCTGCTGAAGCTCGGGATTGCTGCAGTCGCCCTCGACATAGACGAATCGGTCGGCAGGCAGAGAGCGCAGCTCGGCGGGGATCTGGCTGGCAGCAGTCCGGGCGACTCCAAGAACGAAACAGCCAACGGCAACGAGCTCCTGGACGATGGCGAGACCGACTCCTCGTGAGACACCGGTCACGATGACAACGGACGGGCTGGTGGGCAGCGACATGGCAGATGGCAGATGGCAGATGGCAGATGGCAGATGGCAGATGGCAGATGGCAGATGGCAGATGCAGGGCGAAGGGCGATGAGCCGATGGGTCGATGGGTGGGTGGAGATACGGGCCTGTGGCACCGCGGCTTGTGCCGACCATGAGGCGGTGGCGGTGCGGACATGAGTCTCACGTGAGGCGATGTTCATGCACCGCCACGCCACCCACACGTGTCTCCACGTGCCGTGCACCCCGACATCCCCGAATCCACCCCCGACACCGCCCGAAACCCAGGCCCTCTCCTGCATCTGTCGCCGCGATCGGCCATCGGCGCTATCCGCTGCATATCCGCTGCACATCCGCTGCAACCCGTGGCCCCCACCCGCCATGTCCAACCCCTTCTCCAAGCACAGAATACCGCCGCGAGGCTCCGCCCGTCCTCGAGTTCGGGCCCACGTCCGATCCGAGCCGATCTGGTCCAGGATCAAGTCAGCACCCGGCGACTTTTGGATGAGGCTCGGGGAGTGGTGGGCCTCCTGGGACAGCGAGGCCATTTTCGAGAGCATCAGGTCGGTGCCGCACCATCGGAGCCATCGCAAGGATATGGCCGCTTGACCATGGTCTGCATAGAATCATGCGGCTTCCTGGATGTGGTCGCAGGACATGGCATCTCAGGGCACTCCACGAATCCGGCGCAGCATGCCATGATCGCATCGGGCTAATGCCGCTCGTCCAACCGATCGCAGCATTCCCACCGCAGTCGGCGTAGCCACCATCCACACAATCGTCTCGATCATCTTCAATCAGTTTCTGGAGGCCGAGAAGGATGTGCAGAACCTCGACAGCCTCAACCTCAGCCTCCGGTTCAGAATCATCCCGGACTTTCCTGCCGTCCTCGATGCCAGCACCTCGCATCAATTGGTCCGCTATGGAGTAGGTCTTGGCCAGTATGCCCGGGGACTGCACAGACTCTCCCCGCGGTCGCATTGGTGCGGCAGCAGCAGCGGGACTGATCGATCCGACACCAGCACAACGCATCGATGCACAACATAGCACCGCACGAGCCCGTGGTCTCACCTATCCCTCTGCCAGCTCTTTTTTGCACAGACCTCCCTGTGCACGCTCTCGCTTCTCAATTCCATCTTCCTTTTCCGGAGATCGAAGCGCTTCGTCCTGTTCCGCGAGCCGGTATGCGTCAGCCATATCGCTCTCTGCTCCATGGGCTACTCTAGCCTCTCCCGAGCCGCGTCCCACTCGCCCTCCCCTTTTGAAAACCCGCTGTCACCATAACCATTGGCATGGGCTATTCCTCAGGTGAACGAAAGTGAACCAGCACCCAAGTTCAAGAGTCCGAATGCTCAGATCATCGAGATCAATGTGGACCAGACCCAGTTCGACGATGGCGAAGACGATGAGCAAGACATGAACGAGGATGAAGAAGATCCGGCGCTGTCTCCGTCCAAACCAAAGCGGACCCGGTATGCATTTGCCTGGGCATTCTCTAGCCTGACACGAACGACAGTACTGGTTTGTCGCCCCTTGGCCATGCTGCTCGGCTGCCAACTTGGGCTTGCGTCGGTTCGCAGACAACTGACTCTTGCCCAATCTGTCTGCTGCTCTCGCAGTGCGTGGTGGCCACTCACGCCCAAGCGAGACAGCGGCCCTGAGGAAAGAAAGCAAAAGCTCGAAAAGAAGTGGGTCCTCAACGTGTGGAATCCCAGTGTCTCGTCACTCAACTTTTTCATGTAATGTATCAGCGGGGACGGCGAAACAGCCCACCGTTTCCAGAGGCATGTTGTGCCGCCTCATTCGTTCGAAGCACCCGCAACTTTTTACTCTTTCCAACAATATGCATTCCTTTGAATCTCACTCGCTGTTCCCTCTCAGCATTTTCTCTCCCCCAACAGCGCTCACGCTTTCGTATTCGACCGAGGATACTGTGTTGACTTGCATCTTCCAGACGTCGCTTGTCTCACTGGCGGTATGTACTCATCTCGATCGCTCCGGCTCAGTGATCCCGCATCCCTGCCGTGGTGGCACATTGCTCTCGCCGAAACGTATTCCTCTCACAGGGCAAATCAGTGCGCTGACTGTCCTCGTCTGGTCGCTTACCATCGCCTCTTCAGCTCTACTTGCTGGTCAAGGCGTTCCGCGAGCTGTTGCACGACCAGGAGATCCTCAAAGGCCAACTGCTGCAGGAGTATTCCGTTGGCTTTGTTTACAAGCAGTATCCCTTCAAGGCCAAGAATGATGCCGCCTGCGGTGACTCGGACTCACTCCCGGACGACCACCTTCGCGACCGGGTATTCTCCTGGATGGAGGACACCCAGCCAGCTGACCAAAGCAACCAATAGCCAGCCGTCGCTCTGCACAGGACATCCCGACAGCGTGCTCGTGTAGCGCTTCTATATTTCTTGCACATTGTAACGACTGCATGTCTCTTGATTCACATGCTGCGAGCTGCACGAGAACTTGCCGATATGCAAACAACCGTACTCATGTCCCACGAGATGGAGCGCGCCGAGTCAGAAAGCCAAGCCATGGCCAACGACAGTGCGACAATCTGTGGATCTGACTCGAACACAACTGTGTGGTCATCCAGCGGCACAGCAATGCGAGTGAGCCCGTCATCGATACTTGTGTCGGTGTAACTCCGATGCCATCTTGATATGCCAGTCGATGGCCATGGTCAATGTATCGCTCGTGAACACATATGCTCATTCCATCTCATAGACTGCCGCTTGGGGTGTCTCACAATGTCCTAGGTCACAATGTCCTAGATCGCGATGTCCTAGATCACAATGTCCTAGATCACTCGTAGAGGTGCAGCATCCAAGTCCAATATGTATTGGGCGGTGGAGGACAGAAGCAGGAGCTGCCACCAGCGCCAGTACAATCGATCGAGCCGCGACAGTGACCTGCGCACTCTCTGCAGTCCCAGAACCGACATCGGGAGTGGGACAGGACCGCTAGTCGCTCTCTTCGATCGTCACAACCAATAGCGGGTCGTGGCTGCTGCCAACGCCGTGGTCCTCCACGTCGCCTGTCGAGCCCTGAGGCGCCGTGCCATACGAGGTGTGCGAGCTTGAAGCCTGTTCGTCGTATTCCCTCGAGCGGACTCGCTCACGGGCCCTTCGGGCTTCCTCTTCCCAGTCCGTTCGCGAGATGATCAGGATCTGAATGATCGACACCACAAACAAGCCCACTGTCAGTCCGATCCAGAGACCAACCAGCTCCAGATTGTACCGAAAGGCAAGGAGCAGAGAGAGCGGGATGCCCAATGCATAGTACCCTGTGAATGGAGGGAAGCCGTAATGAGCCCACTGACTGATACAATTGTTACTCGAGACGGCTCGCCTCGGACTCGATCGCAAAGCTCACCAAGGCGCCATGTTGGGCAGTCCGACAGACAGTCCGTGAGTGCAAAACGAGGACCCATGGCAGCGTCTACACCCTTACCAGCAAGATTGATGTATGCCCCAATGTGCTGCCGGCCGCATCCACGAAGGATTCCTCCCGCAATCACGCCGATGCCGTCGCTGATCTGGAACATGGCGCCCAGCGGCAGGATTTCTGCAATCAGCTTGACGACTTCGGGGTCGTTGTTCCACAGATATCCCCACTGTCAAAGACGCAGCGCAATGTCAGTCACACAGGTAAATGCGGCAGATCGACTCGATGTCTTTTGGTTGAGCAAAGTCCGCGCGAGCCGCACATGCTTCGATTTGCGGCCCTTCCTTGGCTATAAATGATGTCATTGCGGAGAACTCTCCGGCCTCCACATGGACGCTGCGACGACAGACGACATCTACCTTCTCGCGGATCAGGAACAAGATCGTCGAGTTGAAACATCCGATCATCAGTCCGATCGACAGCGCAGTCCAGGCGTCGAGACGGGCACGGTTCTTGCAGTTGGCTCCGAGGGCATTACTGAGGAAATGGATAAGGTGGAATGAAAACAAGCGGAGTGGCGATAAACGAAATGGCGGCGTGAGATACAGCCTCATGATGGCAAAAAGATCGGTGGTTTCGCATAGTCGAGATGCTACAGACGCCTGCCTTGCGGTTCATCAATGCACTCACCCAATGCGCGTCGTGGCTGCGATCGAGATTCCCTGGGGAATCATATACATCAGCGAGCAGGTGTTCAAGACAACCGCCTGCGCAGCGAGATACGAATCGCCCAGGAGCCCAGTGGCGAGGGTGATGATCTCAAAGGCCCACCACTCGCTGCAGACCATCGCAACGCCGGGTGCCCCAAGCTTGATAAACTCGACGATCTGAGAGACATCGAGAGCTTCCTTCCAGTCCCAGCCGCCCCAGGCCTTCTTGCCTACAAATCGACAAAATCGATCATGCGGCCGGAGATTGACCCCACGCGACAAAGGAGAGAAACAGGACGTGAGCACGATACACACGGCTGCTCGGCTGCTTGGGCGAGCAACAACTGCATGCACGATATGCTGGACAGTCCGTGTTCTGCCCACCGTTTCCGGACAACGGAACGCAGCTGTGACCGCTCCTGTGCATACACACATCGCGCATTGCGAAATGCCACGGCGATTCGATGCCTCACCATCCACAAATGCGATATAGGCCAACGTGAAAATCGGGAGCAGGCAGTAGGTGATGGCTCCGGCTATTGGCGATCCGATGTATCCGATTCCAACCGGAGACCACACCAATAGCCACTGCAAGAGCATGTTGATAGGCGAAGCGACTAGGGTCACATAGAAGCTGGCTTGCATGATCCCTGTGTCATCCACGGGCATGGGCGAGAGTGAATGGATGAATGAGTGAATGCATGAATGAATGATGCGGTTTCGTCAAACAACAAATCAAGAGATGCAGAATGAGCGCGAGTGGCAGGAACGAAGCGAGCATGAACCCGCAGAGTAGCACTGATGAGCGGCGATCTTGGCCACAGCGTTGACTGCCCAAGAGTCGCAGTGGTCCTATGTGCCGTCACTATCCGTACCTTGGCCTTGGAGATATCGACGCAGGCATTCATAAATAAACTGGGGGTACAGCCCTATGGTTGTCCACTTGGCGTACTGTCCCGCTGGAAGAAGCGCAGAAACGAGTACCCGTGAGCATCAGATGCACGCCTCGGCTGCGACACTCGTGCAAGTGAGGTAGCGTGCTTCAATGAGACAGAATGGAGTGGGGGACTGATGCTCGGTGGCGCAAGTTCAAGTCAGCCGCTTACCCAAATGAGCAAGCTCGGCCTCCTGTCCAAGCAGAACCAGGATCTGATCGGTGAAGAACCAGAGTATCGCCACCGGGATAAACAGTCCAGCCATGACCACAAGTCCCCGCTGGAGATGCTTGCCAAGGGCGTGGGGATCTTTGCTGCCCGTATGTGCCTGGGAGCAGAGTGTGTCGAGCGCAGTTGACATGCCCTGGAAAGTGCCAACGAAAAAACGATGCGAGGCTCAGCGTTAGCAGGATACTCAAGCCTGTTGAGGCACAGTTGATGTGGCCATCAGCTCGTTTGTGAGGGATGGTCATGGGGAGCATACGAACCACGCCGATCGAGAAGCCGGTGATGTTGCAGAACATAAAGGCCAGCGAGCCCGAGGCCAGTTCCTTGGTTCCCAGATGGCCGAGCGAAAACACGCTGATGGGTTGGATCGGATTCAGGTAGAGCGGGAGGGGATCAGCCAGAGTCGGGAGACAACTGAGGGTCCCGCCCATCCAGGGACCCTTCGTCCTCAGCCTATGAGCCACCCTGCCTCGCTTGATGAGGGCTATCCCGGCAGCCCAGACTTGGGGCGGTCTCGGCCAAAGCGACTGCATGTGTGTCCGTATCTATCTATCCGCGCCCATATCCAGATCCAGGTTGATTGGCTGCGAATCGCCGACACATTGCGGTCCAGAGATACGAACGTTGTGAGTCCGAGGGACATTTGCAGGAGTGATCCGGCAGATATGGGCCAGGCCAGTTTTCCTGAACAGAGGGCCGAGCACACAAGGCCGAGTCATGTTAGCTCAAGTATCCTGTGGGCCGCGATTGGATGCAGGTTTGGATGCAGGTTTGGATGCAGGTTTGGATGCAGGTTTGGATGCGGAAGGCGTTGGTTCTAACGCATGGAGTGAGACGAGCGAGCCGAACGAGAAACGTTGGCCGCGGCTGGGAGTGGGCTGCTGCACTCAACTGATTTGCTTGACTTCCTTCCTCCAGATTTCAAAGGTCACAACCGGCTCCGAATCGATGTGCTGAATCTGGGACAGTAGCGCTGTGGCCTCATCTGCGAGCGAGTCCGTGCTGAGATTGCCCTCGGCCAGAAAGGGCGGCGCTTTGGCCGAGGGCGAGGTTGACTCTGGATGCTGTTCAGATTGCATGGCCTGGTGGGTGTGCTGCGACAAATGGCTGGACAGAGTGCGGCGATCGAGCCGTTGGTAATGGGCGACGGTGGATGCATGCGAGACAGAGATGCGCTATAAGCCGAGTGCAGAACTGCAGCCGGGCGAATGGCGGATCCCTGAGTTCTTGCGAGATCTCACCGACGAGAGGACGGGTGAGTGGCAACACAGGTTGGCAGATGCGAGTCCGGGGCTGGGTCGGCAATGCAGCGCTGAAGCCAAGGCAGATGAAGACAGATGAAGACAGATGAAGACAGATGAAGACAGATGAAGACAGATGAAGACAGATGCAAGCAGATGAAGACAGACGCAGGCAGATGCGGCGACCAATCTCGTTCGCGCTGACCCCATTTCCTTCGGCGAGAAGGCCCTTGCTCGATCAGCGCCCGATCCGCTGCTTCTGCCCGTTGTTCCGAGGATGCAAATCCTCTCCTTTCACCCACCACAGAGTACAGACGAGGTGCGAACGGGCAAGCTGGCTATACAGCGCGTTGGATAGGCAATGACACTGATCGTTTCTTGCCCCGGGCGTCCGTTTCATGGAGGCCGTCCAAGGTCCAATATCTCTGCAGTCCCCGTCCCTGACCCGGACGGATTCTGGCCACTCCAAGAGCACCCCCCCCGTTCGCCCAATCTGCATGGGATTTGCAGGTTCCGAGTGCTGCGCCCAGTCACATCACGCACTTGAATACACCTTCCGGATGGCTTCGACTCCGCCGACCTTGGCCCAGGTCACCGGGCACCGTCCGTACTCATCGACATAGCGGTGCAAGCACGGATAGCAAAAGACGTAGCCGGTGAAGAGCATGGACGGGTTGGTTCGTGTGTCGAGGCAGAGTCCGCAGATATTCGGGTCGGCCGGCATCCGGATTCCCTGATCATGTCGCTGAAGTGATCGAGTCGGCTGTGAGAACCGCTGCCGCAGCGCTCTTGCAGATGGATATTGCCATTTGCACCATGAGCACATCGCACCGCACCGCAAGCGAGCACACACAGCCATGCGTCCCAGCAGCTTCCTTCGCTGCTCACTTCATACCGGTATGGGCTCGGGCGGCGGCGGAATGACAGCGTCCTGGCCGTCTTGTCGCCGGGCCAGATTGGCGTCAGAATACCACCATCCAAGGAACCGATAGACCAAAATGCACGCTGGCAGAGCCACCTTGAGGAAATCCAGCCCCTGCGTCACTGCGGCTCTTGCGATGCCAAGCGACGTCGTCGATCGGGTCGGCGGCCGGGTTTGGGACTCGTGGTTCTTCTGATGGCGACAGCATCAGCAAACGAAAGGATGAGCGACGGGTTGCCGAGAAAGGATCCTCGATCCCCCAAGTGCGTCGATCGACCATGCATTCAACCGATGCCCATCCCGAGCAACCTCTCCGTATCCGTCACTGCGGATGCAGCGATCGAGGCGGCATCAACCCACATAGTCATTGGCGTTCAGACGCCGGTACTTGAGTCCCGCGAGGTGCATCCACGGACTATAAAACTCGGTTTTGCCGTACAGATACAGAATCTGGTACACGAATGCCAGCAGGGAAGTGCCCGAGCCGAGATATGGATAGACCGCAACGGCCGCCTTCTTGACCTTGGCTTTCCAGGTCTACGTGCCAATGCACAGATGGATGTTCAATACCCCCCATGATGGCGTGTTATGCGAGGCACACCTGCAATCAAACCAGATGTATGTGCTGCAACGCACCTGAGCATTCGTCCGCTGTACACCAGGCCGTGGGTTCTCGGCCTCGGCCGCCGCTGCTTCGGCATAGAGGTCCATCTTGGACTTGAGATACGGAACCAGGATCTGCGGACGGCACATTGCACAATCAGGGACTTGTCTCGAGCCGCCAACTGATCCCAGCTTCTGCCTCGCTGCCTCGCTTCGCAGTGCTTACCAGCGACAGCAGGGATATCCACTTTTGTCGTCGGCTGAGACGTTCCGCCGAGTCTGCCCCGGACCGGGTGCCTGTCCGCCGCAAGCCGTAAAAGTTTTCCGAAAACGATCCACCTGTTGTGATGTCAAAGTCGGGGAAGAGACGAGGCGGCAGACATACCAACCATATGTAAGAAGCTCGAGCCGAGCCATCTTCCTGTCCGCCGTTCCATACGATCCGGATCGGGACTGGCTCGACTGGTGAATGGCAGCGACGGTCTCACCCCACGTCGTCAGATAGTACCACTCGACCCAGAGCATCAGCAGGGCATATGCCTCGTCAAAACGGTTGGCCAGATGGATGAGATAGCGCGGATATCGCTGGGCATAGTTTGAGAGTATGTAGTTCAGGGCCGGTTTGAAGAGCTCAGCAAGCTTGTCATTGGCAACGAGTTCGAAGAATGTCGGTCTGGGGGCGGTAAACAGGGACGGGATGCGAGTCAGACGAAAGGCCAGGGCACGCCGGATCCGAGCCCGAGTGATGTGCATGCAAATGACGATGCTGTGCATACTTGTCTTCGAGCGAAGAGTGGCTGCCGATCGCCGAGGGCAGATGCGTTGAGAGAACCTCCATCGATTCCGGATCCTTGACCTGCACCGACGCGAGCAACGAGAGATGGGGATCGACGATGGCGGGACGATGAGCAGGCGCTGGGTAGATGGATGGGGCAGTTGGGTCGATGGGCAGATGGATGGGGCAGATGGACAGATGCCCGGGAGAACACACAAGCCAGCGCTGGGCCGGATTGCCGCCTGCTTTTCATGTGCCCCGCTGTCCTTGATCCAGCTCGCCCTTGATCTGGGCATTCCCATTCCAGCCCACACCTCCAGTCGCCCAGGCAGATCCGCAGCTCCAGTCGCCCAACCCATGGCCAACTCGTTCATCGGCACCATCATCTCGGTCGGCGACGCAGCCTCCACAGTGTACGTCCTGCATCTGGATGAATGCGATCGAGCGCATGCCCTCACCCCCAAACGCACCGCCTCCGACAGAATGTTTCGGTGCTCCCATTGCGAGCTCTCTACACCGGGCCATGGAACAGTCGACACAAGCGCCTTGGAAAGCTATCCAACAATCGAATGCCGATCCGAGGCCTGTGGCGGCTCGGTCCAGCAGGCGGTAGCTTTCTATCGACTCAAGGTGCGTGGTCACGCATCGCAAGGGCTCTCGGCTTGCTGATCATTATCGCTGGCTGTCCAGAACGCTCAACTGCCCGCTGGCTATCTGCGATGCCATGCTGGTCATCAAATGACGAATCGACATTGTGTCCAACGGCTGCTGACGTCCCTGGCACACAATCCCTTGGTCGGTGATCCTGCCCACACCAGCTTACCGTCTCCAAGTCCGCCAGGGTGCTTCGATTGGCGGCCTTTGAGTGCGTTGGCCGATTGATAGGTACGTGGAATCGATGGAATGGTGGACTGGTGGGTTGATGAGGGTGGCGAGAAAAGATGGCTGTGCCAGGTTGAGAGGCAGATCGATATCTTGGGCTCATGGGCACTGCATCGTCCCTTGTTCGATCAGGCCTCCACCCGATTGACTTTTTCAAGGTAAGGCACGATCAATCGTATATCTGACGAGCACCCAGTTGGATCATTCTGGCTCATCCAACTCGGCCCAAAGCTTGCCGCTGCGTTCCCAGGGCGTATCGACGCGGCCATGGAAGACTATTTCATCGGCCGCCACTGCCGGTTTGTGGTGCGCAAGTCTCAGAAACGACGCCTCGAAGCCGACGACAGTCCCGCTGGCGGCGATGTCTGCATCAGGATTGCACTTTTGAGCGACTCGTCTCCGATGGTCGTGGATCGAAATATGGTCGACCTGATCGAGGACTATCGCCAGCAACAGCAACAGCAACAGCAACAGCAACCGATGTGACCGACGCCAAGCAAGCACAGTCTCTTTCAGAACACAACTGGCATCGGGAATGATCGCATCGAACCGGCACCATCATTCGCGTTGCACTTCCGAGTGCCAGCCGATATCAAATCGGGCGAGCGGCCTCATGCACTCTGACATACCGTTGGTCCATCCCCATTCATCGAGTTTCCGTTCGCTGTCTCTGATGCACCTCCTCGACCATCCAGCCCGTCCATGACTTTGGCTGCCCCTCCATCAGCTTGGGACGAGTCCAAACGGACCGCACAGCCAGAGGCTCAATGTGGATGGCTCTTCGCATCCAGCTCTCGACATTGGTCGCACCATCCTTCCGAGTACGCCGGGACGACCCAACCTTCTGCCGGCTTCCCCCGAGATCGATCCGAAGAACAGCCGGTGTTCTTCGATGCCAAATCACCCCCATGACCGTCAAGCCTTCCTGGCAACACAAATGCCATGGAGCTGAACCACTGGCGTTATCTCAGTACAGCTTCACCCAGAGACTACTGTATCTTCAATGGAGTGGTGAGACAGTCGGGTGCGCATGTCACTGAATCGATCTGTTGTTCCAAATGAAAGTCAATAGCAATCCATCAACACGCCGTCTCTCTTTCCGCCGCTTGGTCAATGCAACCCACACCTCCTCGTGATCAGCCCGTGCACAACCCTCCCCCAGTCACCTGCATTCGGCTGCCGAAACACGCTGCATTCGACAATAGCTGCGATGTCCTTTGGATCTCGGCCAAGGAAATCGGGAAAGTACCCTCGGGCTCTCTCGGGAGGTGGTCTCGGTCTGGTCCGAGGGGAAAGACTCGTCATCTGTGGCGAAACACGCGTGATGCGTCACCGTCTCTCATGGCAGACGATGGAGGTTTGGCAAGAACAAGGAGGATTGCGTCCCATGAGGATTGCATCCTGCGCGGCAAAGGTCTGCGGATCGCAGGGGAGGGTACCCGGCAGTGAGATGCCGCAAGATCAGGCGGGCAGTTATGTTGACGATTGGATCATGCATCGGACTCGTCATTGGAAGCAGAGCCATGAATGATCGCAGTCCTTCAAGTTACTTGTACGACAACTGTGGCTCACTTGCATGCCCAAGAGATCCCCAACACCGTCGGAAGGCACAACCCGTGGCGGTGGATGTCGGTGCGAAGCATCGGTGTTTGACACACTCTGCTTCGGCCGTCATTGCATTTGTGGGAGGGTCCAGATTGGCATCATCCGAAGCGAGTGCTCGCGGTCGATTGCTCTTGAATTCGCGGTCCTGCCAGCTTTATCAAATAGAAATCGCCGTGGCCCTCGGTTCTCGGCAAAACAGATGCACCTTCCCGCTGAGAGCGTGGCCATGGGACTGCTGCGCCACCTCGGTTCCCGGCAAAATCGTCCCTGCTGCACGAGCCCCACGGCACAGCTTCTGACACCGCTTCCCACGCAGCATTTTGATGCAGCATCGAGCGGCTTCGCGGGGCAGCGGGCCCTGTCTATATAAAGCCACTCGCCAGCAACCCGCATCGCACTGTGCCTCACCTCAACTTCCTTCGACCCCTCCCCCGTTCGTTCCGAGCAATCTATGAGCCAACTCTTCTTCCTGGCACTGGCCCTGGGCCTTCTGGCGTCTCGATCAGTCGAAGCACTTCCTCTCAGTCGAAGACAATACTATTACGACGGTAGGTTATACGAACGATACCCAGTTCTTGATGCCGTCACTGAGCCTCCGATACGTGCTGATATGTGTTACCATTTCTGACTCTAACCCATCTCTGTCAATCTTTGATGCACAGATTCCTTTTTTACAACTCAGAATACTTTACTCATAGCAGGCGCCGCGCTCCTTTTAATTTCCATCATGATCCGCTGCTGCATTGTTGTGAATCAGGCGACCGCGCAAGCCAGCCCACCCCAGGTCCCCGCTGCTGGCAAAGTCGCCGCCGGCCAGGGACAACAGATGGCCGGAGCTACACCGCATGCGCCTAACAATGCATCTCAAGTCTGAGCCTGGGATCCCTGTCCATAGTCTTCGCCAAGCGGACCAGCTGTACCTACTTCTTGCTATGCTACTCTCTCTCCTGCTATTCTCCACTCCCTCCTGCTATCTTCCACTCTCCTGCTATTCCCTACCCTGGACATCTGTTGGGATCTGCGTGCGGGTTCCACCAGGAGCTGGAGGTTTGTCTTTCTGCTTTCCCCGGAAGTCGCTCTCAACCCCGCCGTTGTCTATGATGCCGAGCGTGCTCTACCGGCACCGACGATTGTGTCAAGCAATTGTAACCCTGTCCAACTTGGCCAATGTCGTCTAATATATGAGATCTCATAATCCTACAGCTTGAACCTAACGTATGCTCCCTATTGAGGGGTATGATGTGAACACCACGGCAATGGGCAGTGGGTTTTGTCCTCAGAGACGACGCTGGCCACTGCCATGCCGTTGCACTTTCATGGAGTAGGACTGCCTGCACACCAGAATATTCAAGCAGTATTTCAGGGCTGTTTATCGTATTGTTGGCATTCGGGGCGGTGACAGTGATCCAGACAACAATGTCGCTCTGGACAATAGTCAGTGTGCTGTGGCAAAGATCGAGTATGCTCTGAACAACAGCGACATCGGTGCATGCGCCTCATACCCACGGCCCGCCCTATGCTGAATTACGACGGCCCAAGAGACCCTGTAGTTCGCTTCGGGCCTCTGACGAGCCATGGTCATTTGCCGCCTTCTCCAGCCAGGCCGTTGCCTCCTCGATATCGGCTTCGGTGGCGTCGTGAGCGTTGATGAGAAGCCGAGCGTACGCAACCATGGCTGGCTCATATCCTCCTCTGGCCGATTGAAGGATCCACTGGGCCGCAATCACCCGGTCGGCCGTGGTGCCAATGCCATTCGAGTACATCTCTCCAAGCCTGAACTGCGCTTCGAGGTGGCCTTGGCTTGCCGCCTGTGTGAACCAGCGAAGGGCCTCGTGTGTGTCTCGTCCAACAAACACCCCTGCAGACCTGTAGCTGCCCATTTGGAATTGAGCAGTGTCATCTCCGTGCTCGGCTGCTGCCTCGATGTACCTGAATCCCTCCTCCTCGTTGCGGAGCACTCCACGGCCGGTCATCAGACATTGACCAGCCATGAACGCCGCGCCGGCATGAAAGGGCTCTGTGTCGGTCAGATCTTTGTAGATGCCACAGGCCCGGCCGAGGTTGCGGGTGGTGCCGCGGCCGTGGTAGAGACACTCGGCGCACTGAAACTTGGCTTCGCGGTGTCTCTGGTCGGCTGCCAGTCGATACCATTGAAAAGCATCGCTGTCGCTCTGATCCACCCCGAGTCCAAGGCGGTAGCATTCGCCCACACGGAATTGTGCATCGGCGATACCGTGGTTTGCAGGCACCTGGAAGAGTTCAAAAGCACAGTGGTGATCGCAGTGCATTCCGACCCCGTCATGATAAAGCTCGCCGAGTCTGATATGAGCCGTGATGTGGCCCTCCTCGACGGCAAGCCTGTAGTGGTCGATGGCCGCTGCGTGGTCGATGCTGGTACCACGGCCGTTGAGGTGGCATTCGGCCAGTTGGAAGTGGACCTCTGGAGCGGGCCAGTGCTCGACGCACTCCTCAAGCAATCGAAAGGCTCGCTCGTCATCTTGCTCGACAGCGCTTCCTTTGAGGCAGGCCAGGGCAAGGGCGTATTGGGCTTCTGGATGCTGGTTGCCGGCGGCCTGCTCGAGCCAGGATACGGCACGGCTGCGGTTCTCGGAACTGCTGTCGTTGGTATAGTGCTCGCCGAGACGGAACTGGGCTGCCACATGGCCCTGTGCGGCTGCCCTGCGGTATCCATCCAGGGCCTCGATCTTGCTGACACTGCGGCCCCGGCCGAGCCGGCAGCATTCGGCATGGTCATAGCAAGCCTCGACAACGCCTTGTCTCTTGGCCTCGGCCAGATATCTCTGCGCGGTGAGGTAGTTGATGCTGACGCCATCCCCGATCATGAAGATGTGGCCGAGATAGTACTTTGCGTAGGCGTGGTTGCCCCTGTCGGCCTCGGAGAACCAGCGGACAGCCCTGGAGACGCTTCGATCGATGCCGAGCCCAAAGTAATAGCACAGTCCGACCTGGAATTGCGCCTCGCGGTGGCCTCGTCGAGCAGCTTTGAGGTACAGATGGAAGGCAGACACATGGCTTCGTTCGGATGGCTGCTCGCACTCCCGACCCATCTCATAGAGCTCGTTGGGACTCACGACAAAACTCAGCCGTCTGCACAGTTGGCGATAGACCGTAACAAATCGATGCCCTGTGGTTTTGAAGAGAACTGGGCAAGTCCAGAATACGGAAACGAATGGTGAGATTGAATCGGTGCAGAGTTGGTGCGTTCTGCAACCCATCGGCAGCGCAAAAGCACACCGACATACTTTCATCAGCCGTGGAGACCACTATGCGGATGACCAGGACATTGACAGCAACAAGAGCCGCGGACCAGAGCATCCCAGCGAGCCAAGCGCCGAGTGGCGTGCATTGGCCAGAGCGTGCTGGGTTGCTGCAAGACCCAATTGATAGCCTCAGCAGCTCCGATGTCGCTTGAGTGAACGCAAAGTATATGAACACATTCGATAGCATAGAGCGCAACATCCTGGAGCGTATCTCCCGGCTGACAAGGAGCAAAGTGCGAAGGAGGAGGGTACAAGGTCGAGACTCTGAGCTGCAGGGGCAAGAGCTGTTGAATATAAGGATGTGATGGTGGTGGGGATGAGACAGGTGTCTGTCTCAATCCAATCATGCCCACGTCTGGGAATGCTGATTGGCACAATGCTCTGATTCGAGCCCGGCGAGATTGGCCCGAGAAGCGTCCTCGAAACAACCCGATCAATGAACGGATTCAGCGCAATGAGTCCATTGATGCGGCGAGGAAGGTTGAGAGTGCCCAGCCATCACAATAGCCCGCTATCACAATAACCCACCATCACAATAACCCAGCCATTGAATCTGCTGGCTGTCCCATACCTCGGACGATGGGATGCTCGCAGCAACTGTCTCACGACATATCTTCACGAGATAGCGAAGGCAGACATGATGTGCTGCGTGGTCTATTTGGTATCAACTGTGATCACACACTCTGCTTAGCATCATCAAAACCAAGTCGCTCAGGGTTCACCCGGCCCCTCACCCAGCCCCTCACCCAGTCCCTCACTACTTTGCAGTCTCGACCATCCACAACCCAGGGACCGCTCACTAGTCTCTGAATTCAACGGACACAATCGAAAACAGTGGACCGAGGGCGTTGCTGAGCAGCTGTAGGAACTGTGGCGTTTCATGCGATCTGCTCAGAACGACTCGCCTGATCTGGCTCATGAATGGAAGCTGTGTGAGGGACCGCAGGCCCGTGGAACTCGACAAGTCAAGGGTGTGGATGCTTGGCATTGTTGCAGGGAGCCCTTCGAGTGTGTGGATCAGTGGAGGCAGGATCAGCACCTCGAGATGGTCCAGGTCCCGCAGCCCATGGAGACTCCCAAGATTGCGACAGAGGCGCAGATCCAAGAGGCGGAGGCGTGGGAATCGGGTACCGATGCCGTCAAGACTGAGGATGGTGTGCGGTAGATGGAGATTCCGCAGTCTCTCCAGGGTTGGAAGAGGTCGCAAGTCGTTCATGGCTGTGCTTGGGATGCTGGTGGTTTGCATGATCCGGAGGGTCACCACGTTCCGGAGTTCGTTGGGATGGCTCTGCAGGATGTTGGCAGCAAAGCCGCCAACCAGGGTGAGACTGATGTTGGTGAGGCGCTGCAAATAGAAGCGCTCGAACCCGAGCAGGGTGTTCCGTGGGATTCCAAAGGGCTGGTTGAGAAAGCGGACGACAAAGAGCCGATGGCTGGTCTCGCCGGATCTTGCGCGAGACTCGAAGGTGCTATCGAGAATGTTAGCCTCGTCGAGGAACCGGAATCGTTCAGCGGGCTCCAGGCGATCGAGAAAGTCAAAGTCAAGCCGAGCTGCGTTGGGTATGGATGTCCATGGATAGCTGACCAGGCTGTTGCACTGTTGAAGCAAGTGCTGGATCGACTCTCGTCGGGCCGAGTCACCACTCAGCTGCGACCACAGCGGTTGCTCACGATTGTATTCGGTGATGGAGGCTGGAAGGAAAGGCGGCACTCGGCTGAGGAATTGGAGCAGGCCTTCGAGTATCTCGGGTGGAGGAGTGTCCGATCCGAAGTGTAAGCGGAAAGTGGCTTCGCTGATGCCAAGGTTCAGACAGATGTGTTGGATGAGCTCGCCTTGGCCGCTGCCTGGGTCTGGGCTTGGGTGGCCACGGCTCTGCAGCGACGATACTGGAGAGGCGTAAGGAGGCAGCTGGTCGCTGCGACTGGGTATGGGAGTCGGTGTCGAGAGGCCTCTTGGGCTGGTCGTCGAGTATGAGGGCGAGGCTCTGGCTGTATCGTATCGCCTGTCGATGGCTGACCGTGGAGTGGCAAATACACGATCGGGATGGAGAGCCGACAGCGTTTGTCCGCACAGATCCGAGGGAGTTGCCCGGTGTGCCACGGACGATGCAATCGAATGTGCGGTGCTGGATTTCGATCGGGCTGATGAGACGGAAGAGGGGCTTCGATACAGTTGACTGGATGCCGAAGAGCCAAGGCGAGACAGCGAGACGGTACTTGCCCTGGAAGATGAGCGCAAGGGACTCTGCTGGACATGCAAGTGGCGACAACAGATTCTGGCATTTGTGCAGTGGGAGCAATCGACAGTGGGGCATTGGTCGCAAGGATTGAGGCACCTGGGCCTGTGGCAGTTATTGCAGTGGTGATCGCACCTGGTGCGGTTGTTGGGGCTCTGACGACGAGGGCTGAACTCACCATCGCCTATATCGCCATCGTCGCCTCGCTTTCGCTTGGCCAGACCCTCAGCCACCGTCTCCGAGGCGGCGCTGACAAGGCCAATAATTCCCCTTGCAAGAGTTTTGGCAATGTTATCAACGAGCGACATTGCGGCCACCAAGTGTGATGCTGTGGGAAAGTGCGAGTGAGACTGAGGCGAGCAGAGGTTGCGGATGCAGGCTGGAACAGCAACGAAACGAACACAGCTCAATCGGACAGCGAGCAATTGCGGGAGGAGATGGGGGAGGAAAGTGTCTTATATCAGCAGTATGGCATCGGGCGAGTAGCTCTGTTGTCAATCAGGGGTAGTGCCAAAGGCGACTGCCATTGTCGAGGCGGTGGAGTGATTGCGTCGATCACAATCAAAGGCGGCCACGATTCCAATCAAAGTGCTGCACTCGACCAAAAGTCAAAGACAGCACCTCGTCCAATCCACTTGAACAGCTGTGTCTGCTGCTTGATTGTTCTTCCCGACAGTCGCTAGACGAGACATCCTCACTTGGACATGCTGGATATCCTCACTTGCACACGCACTCTACCGTTGCCAGAGAACACCACCATCATCAGGCACATTGCTCTGGTTCCCAGGCCCGCAATCGCCGTGTGCCCTGGTTCCGTGGCAGCAGCCCCCGTGGCCCCTTTGGCCCCAATGTCCCAGAGTTTGCCTTGGCCCTCCACGTCCACCTTCTTCGCCTCGGTTCCATCTTTCGACACACCCGGCCATCCTGCCGATCATGGCCGACCGTCTCCCGGGCAACTTTCCCGACCAGCCTTCTGGCGCCGACAACAGCGAATCTCACCCAGCCGCCCACGACCAGGATCATCTGGCCGACGGTGATCGGCGTCCACAGGCAGCTCCCCATATCCCAAACGACAACGACTGGGTCACCGACGACGAAATCGATGACCAGCTCCACAGCGACCGGCTAACCCACTGGTGCCATCAGTGCCAGGTGCGAGCTGTATTTTGTATCTGCCGCCGGTCCTCTCTCCACCCTTGGCATCGGTGGTCGGACGGACGCCATCCTCGACCCACCGATGCGTTCTATCGATTCGGCCACGGCTGTGTCTGACTCGATTCTCTTGACCATCCCGCTCTGCTCTCCGCTCCGTCCAGGCGGGGATCAGCCCCATAATGGACTCTGGAACACCCACCTGTCCGGCCTGCGGCTCCGAGTTTGTTGAGGAGGTAGGCCATTGTGCTGCTCTGGCCGAGGGGAGCGAGCCCATCGCATGTATGCGTCCGCAGCCGGCTCCAATTAGCCTCGCCGAATCGGCCCATGCATCGAGGGTATCCGCCGCAGTGGGTATCCACCGGCTGCTGCCACTCCCGGCGCTGTCTCTGTATCGGCGCAGGGCTTGTGGTTGTTGTCATACGTGGATGCCTTTGCTGGGCCGTGACGGGCGATGCCGGTGCTGGTGCCGGTGCCGGTGCCGTTCTTGCCATCTGGCTGCTCGGTCCCCGTGCGGCATTGAGAATCTGTAGTGAGACCAACCTTTGCTTCACCGGCAGCATTCGTCTGTGGCTGACTGTATTGCGCTCTGCGCCGCTCCAGGTCGAAATCAACTCGGACCTCAACGCATTCTATGACCCCATGGATGATGCAGACGAAGGCGATCTTGCAGCAAACGTCGGCACCCTCCAGAACCTGCTGCAGCATCTCCTTGGTCCCAACGCAATCGTCAATGTCGATGCCCCGCTCGCACCTATCGACTTTGATCGCCTGAACCGCAACTTTGAGGACCACCATGCCCAACCGGCTGGTGGGATTGTCATGGGCAACCCAATTGTTCTTGGGTTCCCTGGTGCCGGCGGCACCGCGACGACAACCAGCATTGTCTCCGATGGCACCCGGACAGTTCGGACGACCCGGACTGTCGCTGCGGATGGCAGCGCCGTTACCGAGCAGCTTGAAGAGATTGTCCCAGAGGATGATCCGGACCACCACCAGCGAGTCCGCCTCAATTTCAACATGCATGCCGGCCAAGTCAACCCCGAAATGGAGCACATCATGGCGTATGTGTCCTTGGGCATCGCATCCATGCAAGCGGCGAGGTCATGCGCTTGACCGACAGCCCGGACTGCTGCTCGTGTTGTCCAGTCCAGTCCAGTCCAGTCCAGTCCAGTCCAGTCCAGTCCGGCTGTACTGTATGCCAACGGTCTCGGTTGCTGGCTCATTCTGTCGCCTTGCCCGCTGCGTGCGGAACCTCCCTGCTGATTCCGGACTTGTATTGCCTGGTTCGTGGCATCACAGCACCATCCAGGCGCTCTTTGGTCCCGGCATCGAAGATAATCCGCTCATGCGCGTGTTCAACATGGTCGGCGACCCTCGAGGTACACTTGCGAGTTGTGTGTTTGTTTCGTGGGAAGCGCCCACGGGGCATGATACTTGTGCTTGTGCTTGTGCTTGTACATTGTTGGGCCTGCTCACTAACTAGCGATCGATGCCAATTGCAGACTATGTCTTTGGACAGAATGGCCTGGACGATATCATCACCCAGCGTAAGCTTCGTCGGTCTTGACTGTGTCTCTGTTATCGGCTGCATGACTCACGTTGCCTATCCAATGTCCACGAATCTCTACAACTGCGCCGTCTGCGCCGGTGATAGTGATGGAGCAGACAGCAACGTAAGTGGAACGTCGCTGCAGCAAGCTACCCTCGTGCACGCTCGGCCTGGAGAGGGACATGCACAGTGGTCCGACATTCATCTGATATACTCTGTGAACCGATGCTATTCTGGCTGCCACCCAGCCGAAACGCGCCGCCTCCCGCCTCCGCCGATGACATTAGTCATCTCAAGAAATTTCCCGTTCATCGAGACAGTCTCGGTAGGTGATCTGCCGCATGCACCAGCACTTGGCCGACAGCTGTATGTATAATGGCCCCCGCCAGCTCACCTGCATCCGCCGCTTGGTCCGCAGGCGAGCAAACCGAGTGCAGTATATGTCAAGAAGAGCTCGAGGAGAACATCGAGGCCGTCGAGCTGCCTTGCAAACACCACTACCACCCCTACTGCATCGAAGCGTGGCTGAAAGTGAACGGTAATCGGCCGTGACAGAGATGCTGAGTAGCACTGTGCCGATGTCTATCATTTGCCAGTGCATGGAGCCCTTTTGTTGGCCTGGCTTTGCCCGATGTCGCTGCTGACCCAGCCCTCCGATCGTTTGTGGTTTCCAGGCACATGTCCGGTGTGTCGGCAGCCGATTACCAACGCAGCCGAGGTCACTCCGACTGGCCAGGAGGACGCTGAGCCGTCGGCGTCGTCGTCATAATGCTAGCGGCAGACTGAGGGAACCTGAGAGGAAGCGGAGAAGAGAAATGAGTTTCCGCATGCTCCAAGCCCGACAGCGGAGACACAGTCGAGTCGGATCGTTCAGCGCCGTCGCCCATACCACAACCAACAATTCACCCAAGCCTGCCTTCGGTCTCCACTGTTGCGTCGGCCATTCCTGGGAGCTTGGCGCACCGCGATAAGCACACAAACACATGTCAATACATGTGCCAAATATGTACCGCGGGCGCTCAGGGCGAGGGGCATCGCTGCATGCCGGCATTGCTGCCAAACATGCAAAGCAAACCCCTCGCTGGTGTTTCCCAGGGTCTCCGATCACGTGTCGCGTGTGTGTGTGCTCCGTCTGTCTCGGAACGAGGGCCGGGCGAGGGCGAGAGCTGCAGCGAGGACGCCCTCTCTCCTCGCGCGCATGTTTTCGCTTTTTTCGGAGCCGGCCATCAAGGCCCTGGATTTGCCCATCTCATCCATCCAGGCACCGCCATCAGCAACCACATACCACCATGAGCGAGAGTCTCCCGATGGCCATCGAGGCCGAGATCCCCCTGTCGCAGCAGGAGATCGAGGTACGGCCCCTGCCTCGATGCGTCTGGCTTGTCTGCGGCGTGAAGCGGCCGATTGCCTGATACTTTGCTCTGTCCTCTGGCCACGGCGCCGCGGCTTTCGCCCAGGTTCTCCACCAGCAATACATCAGCGAGGGCGACAAGGTTCGCCCCCAAACCAAGTTCAACTACGCCTGGGCCCTGGTCCGCAGCAAGTCCAAGTCAGACCAGCTTCGAGGAGTGTCGTTGCTTGCCGGTGAGTGTCCCTCCTCCCGAGATCCAATGCTCGTAGCCATCTTGCATCAGCCAACTCAAGGCATGCATGCAGCAACACCGCGGCAGGTCTTCGAGCGCAGAGAGTGTGGCACCGAGTCCGCCTAACATCTGTTTCGCCGTCGAATGGGTGTCTTTCGCGATTTGCCTGCGCATGACTGCAGACATCTACCGGGAAACGCCAAGCCGTCGTCGTGAGTGCCTGTACTATCTGGCCCTGGGAGAGTACAAGCTTGGCAACTACCGCAATGCCCGGAAATACAACGATAACCTGTTGAACCTCGAGCCCAAGAACTCGCAGGCCCTCGCGCTGCGACAGACCATCGACGAGCGGGTCCGGAAGGGTCAGTCGTTGCTCTGCTTTTGCTCATTGCAATTCTGTCGGACGTCCTCTACCCTGGGCGAGAGTCCGCAAATCGCTTGACTGGTTGTCTGGGCGGTGGCCTCGTGACTGACCTGCTGTTTGTCTTCCACATGCGCTCGGTTCTGTTCATCCTCTCCATCGATTCCGTTTATCCTCTCTGTCGATCCTGCCAATCGTCGACAGATGGCATCGTCGGAGTCGCCATTGTCGGCGGCGTCGTTGCCCTCATCGGAGCGCTGACCCTGTCGCTGCTGAAGCCGCATAAGTAGTGTCCTTGCAACGGCGGCGCACAGTCATGCTCCTCGAAAGATACGAATAGAACCTCAAGCCTCTTCCGCTTATGATCGATCTCGTATTCTGCAAACTATGTATCCCCCCCCCTTACTTCCGACTCGGAGGGGTAAACCCGTCTCTCGCGTTGCTCTCGAGCTCATTACTTGGGCCAAGCCCCATCGGCACGGCTATCCTGTTTGCTCTCGAGCTTCCTGAACAATGCTGGTGTGAAGTCGGCATGGCCATTGTTCTCTGTTGCGACCAACATTCCTCTTATCTTGTGCTATTTATGATGTTGCGACTGTGTATCGACACTGGATTTACGCTCGCTGGGAACGCAGAACCAGCACCCATTTGTATCGGGCGCGTATGCTTGTTTGGCCAGATCTTTGTCCTGCGCCGGCATCAGGCTGCTGAATGTTGAACCTCATTGAAGTGGAAAGGAGAATCCGGCCAGTCGAGAGCAGAGGGGAAATGCCTTGGCTACGGCAGTGCTTCGGTGGGGCTTTGTGCCAGGAAATCGACCCTTCATCCAGCCCAACGGCGCTGTCCAGATGGATCATCCGACACCGTCCTCTGTGCAGAGTACTCAGTCCGCGCAATCGGTGTGTGGTGTTGTCCTGGCAATCTCTGGCCATCCTTGACGATCTCTGGTCATCTCCGACGAACCCTGGTCATCCCTGGCAATCCCTGGTGGACCCTGGGCTGGTCATGGATTTGCTCTCCGTCGCTGCGCCTCTCGTTTCCTTCTCCTCGTTTGTCCATCACCATCGCCATCGCAGATCCTCATCTCCCACCGCCAGCAACAGCAGCAACAATGACGTCCATGTGGCTTCCTCTCGAGTCCAACCCCGATGTACGTTGCCCGGATCGTCGTGAGCCGCAGACACTGCTGCGTCTGTCGAGCAGACCCGACCGGGGTTCTCTCCAGCAGTTCCTGATGCGATACGGCGAGTTGCTTCGGAAATTGCTGCACTGGTATATGTGTCGCATATCGCAGCCGCAAAGGGAACTCACATCCGCCCAACCGATATCTTGGATGGCTGCCACCACACAGGTCATGAACGAGGTACGACGAGTTTGCCGGTCGCCAGCGCATCCTGGATAGCGACAGAGTCGGCCCACGAGCATCCGCCTTGCCCTGATTAGAGCCGAGATGGATGCGGTCCGTGTCCATTCATTCTCACTCTGGGATCGGCGCATGCAGTACGTCAGCAAGCTCGGCATCTCTTCCAGCTGGATCTATACCGATGTTTATGGTATGTCCGTGTGAGCCAACCCAGGCCGATCCATCGACGCTCGCTCCTGCTCGTCGCTTTCTTGGCTGCTTGCTCCATACTCGCTGCGTCGTCAGCGTTCCGCATACTATTTGCGCCGCCTCCACTCAGTCTGCGGACTGTGTCCTTCTGCAACCAGGATTCGACCCGGAGCTACTCGGCTTCATCCCGCGTCCTTGCAGGGCCGTTCTGCTCCTCTTCCCGATAACCGAGAAGGTGACTCTTCCCAGCAGCTCAGCTTAGCCTCTAAACTGGTGCCGATCATATCCCAAATGGCAACATCAATAACTGTCTGGATATTCTCGATTGTGCAGTACGAGCAGTTCAGAAAAGACGAGCAGTCTCGCATCGAGCAGAGCGGCCAGACCGTCAGCGACCAGGTGTATTTTGTCCGCCAGACTATCGGAAATGCATGCGGCACCATTGGACTCATCCACTCGCTCCTGAACAACCGCGACGCCATCGATCTCGGTACGGTCAGCAGTATGAGAACCAGCACGATGAGCGCCAGCGCTGCGATCCTCATCAGTGTTCGATGACACTGCCGTTGGTCCTATACGACTGGATACCCATCAGGCATTTGGTGTAAAGGCTGGGCCACTAATTGGAGCCAACACTGACCAGGAAACGGCGCAATCAAGTCCATTTGGGATCAGACCCAAGGCATCAGTCCCGAGCAGAGAGCCAAGACCCTCGAGTCCAGCAAAGAGCTCGCTCGAATCCACGACGAAAGGTAGACTTGTCCTGGCGGCATCAATGATGGGACTGCTCCCGTTACTTCGCAATCCAGGATCTTTGCTGCGGGTCGAAAGCAAGCTCTGTCAAGTAGAATCTTGGGTGCACCCATGTTGGATGCGCCTGAGTTGACGTTCGCCGCCGTCGCGGGCACCCTTGGATTCAGAGCTGCGATTCTCGCCCCAGTTCCGCTGGCATCCTCTGTGTCCCCGATAATCGGCCAATTGACTCACTCCTCTCCTGCCGGTGCAAAACACGCGCGGATTACTCTGGACCCGAACCATGTCCTGGCTTCCAAGTTCCCACCAAGGACAAACCCATGTAGGTTGAAGTCTCCGCTGGAGGGTCTGCCGGAATTGGTCTGGGCTTCTGGTGCTGCAATTGCCTGTGCCGCGATTGTTGACATGAGTTGCTTTCCAGGCTCCATCGGCGGACGAAGAAGTGGACCTGCACTTTATCTGCTTTGTCGAAAAAGAAAGGCACATCTACGAGCTCGATGGTATGTGGCTTCTGGAGACGATGTCATGGCGCAGCGCGCGGGGTGCATGGACATGCATAGCGGGCCCGGTGTGCAGGCGAGTATAAGGTGGATCTTCGAGATGGGAACTCAGCAATTGTCTCGGACAGGACGCAAGCCATTCCCGATCAACCACGGTGTCGCCACCGGCGATCTATTGAATGTAAGTAAGGCTCGTCAGGAAATGCCATCCGTCAGCGCGAAGCCACCTTTGATCGGAAGGCCATGAATCGCTGCTCCACCGTTGACGCACTCGAGCTGCTTACTAGGACTCGGTCGAGGTCATCAAAAAGTTCATGGAGCGTGAGCCCGACCAGCTGAACTTTACGGCGATTGCGTTGGTGCGCAACCCGGACGAGGCCTGAGCCACGACAGCCGGCGTGAGCGCCATGTGTGCACTCCCCAGGCAATATATTTGGCAGAGCCAGCCGCCCGCTCTGACTGACGACGGGCCCAGCTCGACTATCTGACCTGCCGCCGTCGCTTCCGCCCAGGAGCAGCAGCCGGATGACACTCGTGGGAGTGTGGTGAGCCATGGGCAGCATTGGCACCGTCACGTGTGCCTCGACACACACACACGCGCGGTTCGATCCAGCCCGTCGAGATTCTTGAATTCTTGCCATCTCGACTGGGCTGGTCGGCGAGCCACATCACCGCCATCAAACCGTCTGCGGGCACCCCTGCTGCACATCAAGCACGACCCCGCGCCCTCCAGCACCAGCCTGTGTCCGCATCGCACACCGACGCCGTGGTCAAACACTCTTTTGGCCGTCATCCCTGATTCCTCGTCAACATGGTGCGCTTGCGTTTGCCTGGCTGTCGCTCTGCCGGCAGTCTTTGTGCCGAGGCCTGTTCTGCCGCCGATGCCCGGCCGACCGGGCGACCGGCAGGGGCTTCCTGCGTCGCAGAGCCACTCTGCTCTGCCCGTTTGGCATCTGCCTCTGTCAAGTTGCTACGGGCGTCAGAGTGCATACGCCTCGCACCTGCCTGCACTAACCATGCTCCCTCTCCCGATTGATCTAGGTTGTTCTTGCTGCATCGATCTGCACCAAGTCGGGCAAAGGTAGATACGCCGGTGCAAGCTCGCAGGCCTCGGCTGCAGACCCAGAGTCATATCCGTGGTAGCCTCAAACGGCATAGGTCACCCTCAGTCTTCCATGTTGAGCTTGCCTTTGGAGCCAAATCCTGCCGATCTACTCACATCCTGCTCCAATGCTCGCCGCTAGCGATTGTCTCTCGCCAGTTCATCGAGATGACTCGCTCCCGCATCGAGGGCCTCCTCGCATCGTTTCCAAAGCTGATGGGCAACTCGGACCAGCACACTTTTGTTGAAACCGAGAATGTGCGCTATGTGTACCAGGTGTGTTGTTCTTCTCCGAGCGCTTGGTCTATCGATGTGCTCTGCATATATGTGCTCGTACGCCGCTGAACAGGCCAGCCCCGTTGGCGCTTGTTGCTGTTGGCAGCCAGGGTGCTTAGGGCGGGTGGGTAGAGGTTTGATCTGAGTACCGATACCATGCATGCTGGCATCGGCCCTATGGCTGGCAGAAGTCCTATGGCTGGCACCACCCCACTGACACTCTGACCTTTGTACTCAGCCTCTCGATGATCTGTTCTTGGTTTTGGTGACCAACAAAAACTCCAATATCCTTCAAGACATCGACACCCTGCACCTCTTTGCCCGTGTCGTCTCCGAGACCTGCCGCCAGTTCGACGAACGCGAGATCCAGCGACACGCCTTTGATCTGCTGTCTGTCTTTGACGAAGTCATTGCTCTGGGATACCGCGAGTCGGTGACTCTGCCGCAGATCCGAACCATCGTCGAGATGGAATCCCACGAGGAGCGCATCCAGCTCGAGATCGAAAAGGTCGGTTCGGTGGCTCCTGAGCCTGGCTTTGATAGCGCACTGGCCTTGGAACGGCGCGAGGCTGGTCGATTCTGCGCATTTTACTCGTGGCCTCCGGAATACCGTTCAAGGGATGCTGCTGCGCTGATTTGCGCGGAACTTGGCTGATACGAGGGGGAGCATGACTGATGAGTGCAAGTCGGTTGGTCTGAGCTGATCTGAGCTGATTTGATCTGAGCTGAGCTGGGCTGAGCTGAGCTGACCCGCGCCTATTCGATCTCGGCCCCAATGCGACGCACCCTCAGAACAAGGAGAAGGAGGCCAAGGACGAGCTCAAGCGCAAGGCCAAGCAGATCGAGATGATGAAGCGCGAGCAGAAGAAGAGCGGCTTCTCTGGCAGCATCTCTGGCATGTCGGGCTTTGGAAACAAGTTTGGCGGCAATGGAAGCGGCGGATATGGTCCCAGCAGTGGCGGATATGGCCCGGGAAGCATGGGCGGATCCGGCGGATCCGGTGGATTCCGCACCCAGGGCTACCCCGACTCTGGCAGCAGCTATGCCGATGACCGCACCTACAGCTCCTCACCGTACGTTCACCTTGGCTTACCGCTTCCGAGGCTAGAGAAGCGGGGCGTCTGCTCTTTGTGCACTCTTCGCAGCGAATGTATATTATCGGCTTCCCACCCCGATACCCGCGAGTCGGGCAAGGCTCAGTCACGCAATCCAGCACTGACATTTGTGCGCATTTTCTCCATGAGCAGGAGCTTTGGCTCCTCAGCAACTCCCCAGCGCCCTTCATCCGGAAAGGGAATGCAGCTCGGCAAGAAGGCCAAGGACATGTCGCTGCTGGAGGAGATCAAGTCAGACGAAGGCATCCAGGAGCTGTCTGGCACCGCCCAAGCTTCGGCCGTCGGACCTGCAGCAGGAGCTCAGTCGTCTGCCAGTCAAGAAAGGTACAGCCACCCCACCAGACGGCTCAGGCCGTGCTCATGAGTGGCATCTAGTTTGTACTGCATCCGCTCAACCCTGTGCATCATCATGGATGCTTGTGCCGGCAGCAGCGATGCAGATTGCGGCTACCTTCTGACCTGCGCCTCCGTTCTGATGTGTCCGCATTCCTTCGTAGTGTCCATGTTTCTGTTACCGAAAAGATTGCTGCTACGTTCAACCGCGACGGCGGGCTGCAGAACCTCGAGATCAAGGGCGACATGACGCTGAGAGTCTCAGACCCTGACTCGAGCCGCCTGCGCCTGATCATGCAGCTCATGCCCGACAGCAGTGTCCAGTACAAGGTATGATGTCGTGTGTGTAACTGCTGTGCTGCGTTCTCGTTGGTGCTGACGAACCTGTTCCCCTTGCAGACGCACCCCAACGTCGACAAGAGCCTGTTCTCCTCGGACGCTGTGATCGCCATGAAGGATCAATCTCGGCCTTTCCCCACGAACACATCTCTGGGTTTGCTGAAATGGCGATACGCTTCGCGAGACGACAGCCTGTGTCCGCTGCTGAGTACGTTTTCACTGAATGCCGCTGATTGTCTCGCGACATCAGCTGTGTGCGACGGATAATGCGCAAGATAGCAACCAGAGAGATGAGATGCATTACTGATCCCACCTCCTCCGTCTCCGTCACGATCCCTGTCCAGTCACCTGCTGGCCATCGCCTACGGGCCACGGTGCCTGCGACGTCAACATTGAATACGAGCTGCAAAACACCAACCTGGAGCTCCACGATGTTGTGATTTCGATCCCGTATCCGTACGTGCATGTTGCTCAGGTGCACCGTCGCTGGCTGCTCCATATCCTCGTGCATATACTGACTTGCTTCTGCTGCGTCGCAGTGGTGGCGCTCCCCCCAAGATCGGCGATCTCGAGGGCCACTACAACATCAACCGAGCCGCGCACACCCTCGAGTGGCAGCTGCCGCTTGTGGATCGCAGCAACGCCTCTGGCGTGCTCGAGTTCTCTGTCCAGAGCGAGGACGTCGATGGCTTCTACCCCATCAAGGTCAACTTCTTCAGCCCTCGACTGATCTGCGCCGTTGCGGTTGCCGATATCCAGACCACGGACAGCGGAAGCCCGGTGCAGTTCTCCAAGGAGACATCGCTGACCGTCGAAGACTACAGCGTCGTCTGAGCCCCCCCCCCGTTGGGTCGCTCTGTTCGGTCCTCCATTCCGAGGCCCAACAACGACTGGTTGTTAGATCTCTTGCGGCTCAATACACACACCCTCTCAATACAACAAGACTCTGAGATCCATCTGCGCGCTCGGCCTCTCGCAGTGCCAGGTGGTGTGTCTTGCAGTGCACAGAGCATATCGAGGGCATATCGAGGGCATATCGAGGGCTGGGCGATATGTTGGGTGCTCTCGCCGAGCCGGCTGGTGCGATCCTTCCTCGTTCCGCCCAGGGCCGCGTTCAAGCGATGCGGCCCTGCGGATGCTGGCTCTTGATCGGCCTGTCGCTGATCTCCCGCACCATCGCCCTCTCTGTCGGCTCTCGCCCAAGCATCCCACCACGATGTCGCACCATCCTGCCTATACTCTCTCTGGCCTCTGTAAGAATACGATCTTGACAACCAGCGCCCTTCCTGCTCGCTCGCTTTGCCCCTGGTTTGATGGGGTGCAACTGGCGTCGTTCTGACACAAGTCTCTCCACCCAGGTGCTGTCGGGGGTGTCGTCGGCTATGCCCGGACTCGATCCAAGCCCTCGCTCATCGCCGGCCTGGCTTTTGCGGCGCTCTTTGGGGCTTCGGGGTGGGTATCGTCCTCGGGCAGCCATCGCTGCTCCCCGTGCGCTTGCGATCGGATACGGCTTGCACACAGGGATGTGGTGCTTTCACGAACCGTTGCCGATCGACTTTGGCTGGCTGGTGTCGATGCAGCGTCCGGAGAGGCTGCAACCCACCGCCTCTCCTCGGCTCGCCTTGATTCAGCAAACCCGGCTTGCTCTCGCTCTCACAGCCAGCTGACGCCTTGCCATACGATGTGACCTCAGGTATCTGATCCAGTCCAACCAGGACTGGGGCGTTGAGTTGGCATCCGCCTCGTCCGCCATTCTGACCTCGGCGATGCTGCCCCGGGCCATCAAGACCCGCAAGCCCGTCCCCGCTGGTCTGGCCTTGGTTGGTGTTGCCGGGCTCGGATACTACGGCAAGAAGCTCTACGAGCAGACCTATGGCCTCTAGCTTCGGCCGATCCCAGCAGCTTAGCTTGCTTCCCCCGCACCAGCAGGCACTGCAGGCTGTGCCAAACTCTTTGCAATCAGAGCCAGTCGTCCGTGGCGAACGACAATACAGCTCCTTTCTCGCATACCGAGACACTTCCGCGGCGAGGATGTTTGCACCTCATCTCCTCTCATCCGACTGCAGCGCCGTATAGGGCTGCGAGGTGCAAAGACAAGGACATTTTGGATTTATCTTGTTTACATCGGCAGTACACAGCCTCCAAGCGAGGTGCTCAGAGTTCAATCCATAGGAAAAGCAGGCTCCTGGGGGTGGGGGTGGCACCAGGGCACTGCACAGAAAATAGAATTTACCAAGGTGTGTGTTGGGGGGGGGATGTCCAGCAGGCGCAAGAGCAACGGGCTGCTGGGCAATCTCTATCTAAAATAGTTTAACCGCGGGAGGGCTGGGGAGGGTAGTAGATATCGGCATCGGTCTGGTTGGTGCTGAGGCAGCCATTGTAGGCAGCAACGGGCTCGTGGTGGATGAACTTGTTGCCGGCAACGTTCATGAGATACATCCAGATCTCAGAAAGGTACTTGTTCTTCTGGCTGTCGGTGACACACTGGATGGCACCCTCGTATCCGAACTCGGCCTTGAGGGCAGCCTGCATGGCGCTGAACTTGTAGGTGGTGGTGTTGCTGGGGACGATGCCGTGCTTCTTGAAGGCGGCAAAGAGATCAAACTCCTTCCAGAGGCTGTAGATGCGGCGGGTGTCTGGCAATCGCAGGGTAGAGCAGCAGGGCAGGTCAGTTGGCCGAGCAGACACAGTATCAGACAAGAGGCATCGACAAGTCCGTGTTGCCAGACGGCCACACCACAGCAAACTGAGGCGGCCGGCAGTTGCTGGACGACACTCACAGTCAACAATCTCCTCGTTGGGCTTGTAGTTGGTGTAGCACTTGGGGTTGAGCTGAGAGTCGCAAGTGCCGTGCTTGACGAACTCGTGGCTCCAGAACCAGTCGTAGCTGCCATCGGCACCCATCCACATCTTCTGGAGCTTGCCATAGAGGTCAGAGTCGGCGCCCATGATGCGAGCGGGGACATCGGTGTAACGACGGGTGGGATCGCAGCCGAGGTCGCTGTTGGAGTCTGGGGTCGGCAAAAGTCGATGGGATCAGAGAAGAGCGGCGGGTACACAACCGGCTATCACCGAGGCTCGGGTTGCCATGCTCGGGTTGCCATGCTCGATTCGCTGTGATCAGCACCGGCACAAACAGCAGCAGTCCGTGACACCTACAGGATCCGTTGCAGTAGTCGGGCCACAGGCCGTGGACGGTGAACTTATGGTCGGGGAGGTGGCTCAGGGTCGAGGGGGCGCAGTAGTGGTTGGGGGCAGAGGAGAGACAGTCTGGTTGGGGCCGGAGCCATCCAGCGAAGGTGTGAGTTGCGTGCGAGTTGCGTGCGAGTTGCGTGTGATCCGATTCATTGCTGGTAACCAAAGCAGAGTTGACTTACAGCCGGCAGTCCAGTTCTGGGCAAAGACCATCAGGCCCTGGTCGGCAACGCAGCACGAATCATAGGGCAGGCCGGTCAAGGGGTTGTTGGTGCAGGCGACGGCACTGGCAGGGCAGTCGTAGGAGGGAGCCGGAGGGTTGGGAACGCACTTGTAGTCGGCAGCGACGACGGTGGCGACAGCGGCGATGGTGGCGACAGCGAGGACCTTCATGGTGACAGACGGCGGCAGATGGTGGCAGGCGGCGGATGGACAGAGCGAGAGATTGAGCGCAGGAGCGAGCACTTTATACCACGGAGCCACGGCCTTCTGGAACCGGGGATTGTGGGTGCGCCGAGGCGGGTTGTGTGGGCATGCGGATGGTCAAGGAGGGCAGAAAGCACGCGGTCGCAGATGGGTGGGGTGTTGCTGGACAGCCAAGTGCACTCTGGTGTGGGGCTGTTGGGTGGTGGGGTTCTGTTTTGTTACTGATTGGCGGATGCTCTTGATGTTATGCGGCAGCCGTTGATGATACGGAGTCGCGGCTAACAACTGCCCATGGTACTCGGCAGCATGGCCCGCATGTAGTTCTTTCGGCATCGACGAACATCCACGAACATCCACGAACATCCACGAACACCTATCAATATCCATCAATATCCATCAATATCCCGCAGCCGCCAACAAGGACCACATCCCCACCATCGATACATCGCCTCGCCATCACATGCATCGCAGGCAGCACAAACAAACAGTCGCACCGAGCACGGCGGCTGAGGCGAGGGGGCGTGCGTTCGGATCAGCACCAGCCGCGGGCGATCCGCGTTCGCACGCCGACCTCCTTGCCATCCGCGACAAGGTCGGGCTGGGACGCCATCCGGCAGAGTCGAGCCGAGGCTGGTGCGTGGGAGTGTTGAGCAACGCACTCATCACCAGGGGAGGGACGATGCGACAAGCAGCCGCCGGCTTACTTGGACCACACCAGCAGTCGCCCGCACGCACCATCGGCCACCCAAGCATTGATCCGCCATGTCTCGATGCACACAGGCGTTCGCACCGAGCCCGTCCCACGCCCGATCAAATCTGCACTTCTTGTTCGACTGCACGCAGCATCGTGTTCCGCGGGGTGCATTTGCACCCAGCCAGAAATTTTGCCTGAACCGGCGCCGTCTGCGTGTGCCGGCACCACGGGGTCGAGCCCCTGGTCTTCAGGGATGCCGTGCCGTGTGCATGCGACATGGCATCGCATCCACGAGCCGCGCCCGTCGAGCCACCCCGCGTGGATGGTCGGTTTCCTGCTGGGTTTCCTGCTGGGTTTCCTGCTGGGTTTCCTGCTGGGCTTCCTTCTCGGCAGTCGTCCTTGGCAGCCGAGCTTGTTGTCCTTGCTTGGTCCGTGGCTCGCCTGATGCATCTTGCGTTTTCGCCTGCTTCTACCCAAGCACCGACAGGCCTATTCGCAGAGCCGCCAGGGCACCAATAGCAGCCGGCAGCATGGACGCATCGCCCCACGACAAGACGACCCATGCAGCCAGAAACGCCTGGATTGCGCCCGAGTACATGCTTGCTCGCCAGCTGTTCGTTCAAGTCGAGCAGCGTCGGGAAGTGATTGTCACTATACTGCCGAGCACCACCATCCATCACCATCCATCGCCATCCACCACCATCCACCACCATCCATCGCCATACATCACAATCATCTTCGAGTCAACGCACTTTGCTCCAGCAACGATCCCGCGATCCCGCTGCCTCTCTCGCGCTGGTCTTACCCGATCAGTTTGATGCGATCGTGGAATATGCATTCAATCCAGAAGAACGTCGCCGCGGCCACAACGATCATGGGCTTGATGTGATTCGCGGATCGATCCGCTGCCTTTGCCCAGATGATGAGCTCCGGTACAGAAATGAGCGTCGACAGTGTACACAAGCCAAGTGTCGAGGTCTGTGCGGTTCTCCGATTGTGCTAGTGCCGGAAATCAGCCGTTTGGCAGAGCCACCGAGATTGCGGTGAGGGATGTTGTGAGGTTACATTCAATCCGAGCTCCCGCTCCCAGCTGGTGCTGAGGACACGCAAGGTCGCTCCCATAACGATAGTCGCGGGACTGCCAAAGGCGATAGATATATCCGCGGCTCTGCGCCGGCTCAACTGGTGTCCCGTGCTATCCTGAAAGCATAAACTTACCATTCTCGAAGCTTGGTTGGCAATCAAAGACAAAAGTCCCACCAGGAAGCCGAAAAATAGCGGCAGCCGCGTCGCAACAACGAGCAGCACCAACCCGAGGGCAGCGACTCTCGTGATGAGTGATCTGTGATGGACATCAACTGTATGAGCAGCCCCTCTGCGTGCGGCTCATCTTGGGCTCGTCGAGTCAGTCGAGTGTGCGCCTCGGATTATCGGTGGTACTCACCTCTCGAGTCGTTGGCTCGGAGGAACGAGTCGTCTGGCAGCAGCTACCAGTGCCGCTGCTATGCCTTGGATCACAGACGCGGCGCCAATGCCAGCACGGTATGTTCCGACGGACACCCAGGCGATGTGCCAGTTCAGCGAGTTCCACGGCGCCGTCTCTGTCATTTCTACGACTCGCGAGGTCCATATTTCGCCGAGGCTTGTCCCGGGAACGTATACGTAGTCGTGCAGGGCCGCAGGTTTGAGGAGCAATACCACAAACAAAAATGCCGCTGTCTGCATGCCGGACCGCTTTGGAGATTTGGCTAACGGGATCAGATCCGTACAGTGTCATCATTTGCGCACAGGGTATGCTCTCAGGGGGGCACGCCAGAGGCCCCTACGAGTCTCTGCAGTTGCATATCCCATCGTACACCAGACTGCAACCGGGCCGAGCTCTGGCTTCTTACCTGTCCGACCCGATGCATCAAGAACCACCAGCAGCGCGTACTCGAGTATCCTTTGCCAGTTCGTCCTGATGACTTCGGCCAATGTAGCGATGTAGTCGATCGTCACTCGGAACTCGCAGGTCTTGTCCGTCGGTGAGGCAATAAAATGCAATCCCAGCCCGGAAGGTCGCGGATGAACAGGGTTGACTCCAAGCCGCTCCAGCGCCAGAGGGACACTCTGTCTGCGGCTGCTGCAGGCTATGGTGTGGTACTTTTCATCCGAGGTATCGTTGGCCCACAGGTGGACCGTGACGGCGACGTCGCTGCTATCTGGAGCATGAAGCGCATCCGTTCGAGCGGATTGGCGTCGGGTGCAGCCAAAGTCAGCCGCTGAGCAAACCAAGCACTATGATGCGATTCGGAGGACTCGCTCCCGGTTTGCATACTGGTATCGCTGCATCTGTGCTCACATACCATTGGCGTCGTGGGTGCTCCGCCGATATTCCAGGGCATACTTGATGTATCCGTTGCGGATCCATGGCGCCGTCGTGGCGACATACATATCGGTGGTGTTGAACGTAGCCCAGGCGAGGCTCGACAATCGCAAATCTATCAGCAGTCATTGTATAGCGATCTTAGTTTCTCGGGTGGCTGAAGGGCTGACGCTGTCATTCGCATCCAAGCGGGAGATGGACAGCGTGCGATGCATATTGCACAGACAGTCGCTGCTGTTTCCCACGGATGGTGTCATCCGACGTACCTGCTCCGCCGCTATCACCGACCGCGACCATCGCCACCCAGGAGCCCATCGGCGTCATGTCTGGATATTCGGACTGGTAGTTCCGGAATCGGTCGATGGCTATCCATTGCTGCTTGCTATGAGCACGCATCCTGCGGTCCCAGGAAACGAGAGAGAAGGGTGCTTGAGGTGCCGTATATGGAACGACTGCCGCTCTGTGCTCGATTGGATGGCACTGGTACTCTTGCGTGGCCGGATCGCCAGACTCACACGAGTATATGCCCTCCACAGGATGGTTGGTCAACAGCACGGTCGTTACCGTGACGTTGCCGAGATCCAAAACCAGCCACGGCCTTGACGCTGGCTGGCCCGTTTCAACAAACAGTGGGCCGGCGGCCTCTTGCGGAGCCCTAACGACGATGCTGCTTGGTTGATGCTGGGGCTGCCCCGAGCGAGCACCCGATCTGCGTCCGAGTCCTCCCAAAAAGGTGGCTTCGAGCACTTGCATGCGACTTGAGAGATCCCGTGTCCTCAGCGCCCGATGTGGGTCCCTGGCGCTGAACATGGCCTGCACGAGTTTGTGCAAGAGCTGGCTGCACCAGACGATAGCCTCGTGCTCAATCGACGTCCAGACTTCCGGGATTGATGTCGTATAGACGGTGAAACCATGGTGATGCGGCAGGAATGCTTCCACTTCCGAAAGCTCGGATCGGATCTGGACACATGTACCAAATGAGTTACCCAGGCCGCATCGTCGGCGAACAAGAATCCGAATCTCGCGAGTCTTTGCGCCATTTCTCCGCCCGCAACGTTGGAACGCTGGAGACTTTGTTACCATGTGGTCCTGATTGCCGCCTGCGATCGATACCAGCGATACATTTTCAAAGCCCGGGGCGTGCTTCTGAAATCCCCCTTGCCCCCAGATCCTGTTGACTCGGGAGTATAGCTGTGCCATGCCGGGGGCAAAGCTGGCGGGTGGGGCCAAGTGAGGCGTTGAGAGCGTAAAGATGGTGTCGACAGATCCAGGCCGATGGCTGGGCAGCGTCATCGCTACTCGGACAACGATCCCGCCCATAGAGTGCGCTACGACCATCACCGACGATGGCTGCGGCTGACCGGAATCGTGGGATCGATAGAGCGAGAGGATATGTGCGATAGCCTCGTTGACATATTCGGCTTGTTGGAGAACCAAATCCTCTCCAAAGGCAGTGAGCTCTTCCTGGGTATCGACTGCCAGGGAACAGACCGTCCACAATCGTCGTCCGGGTGGTGGTGGCAGACAGATACGCTTGAATCACCAACGATATCAAAGCACCAGAGCGGAATGCGCTGAAGCCCAGGGCTCGGCTGCCCGGATCGAGCGACGAACGTATCGCCAGAGTCCCGCTGCCATACCTGTGAACACATCAAATGGAATCTGGCTTGTATCTGGCCCGCCAAACATGAGCCGCTGGTGCTGGTAGTGTGCTCTTGATCCCAACGAGCGGGCTTGCTCATAACTTCCGGCATGTCCTGGAATGAATAGTACGGGATGGCCGGCGGGCTGGCGGCATCAAAGTTGCGTTACCAGCCGCGGCAAACCGCGAATATCGATCGCTGCCGATGCTGTCCTCCCAGTCAGGATGGCCCGCCAGAACAAAGTGGTTTTGCGCATGAATGAGACGGCAGTACATCGACATACCACAGGACTGGATGGTGGCATGCCATAGGGGAGCTCCATGTACCAGAAGAGGCGATAGCGGGGATGTGGCGGCCCAAAGTCGATCTGGTGAAAATACGGATACATATAGGGCAGGATGCATCGACGACGGTCCTTGGCGAGGACGAGCCACGACACCAGCGATGCCGCGACAGCCAGAAGCAGCGCAAGGGAAAGGAGGATCTGCCTGGTCCTCATGGCATGTGTCCGCAGATCGAATCGATGGGCTCGCTGTCGAGGCAACCGATGTCGATGTCGAGGACAAGAAACGGCTCGCGTGAATCCGGGACGGCTCTCGTCTGTTCTCGCCTGCTCTCGTCTGCTCTCGTCTGTTCTCGCCGGCTGCAGCCTGGTTCCAGCCGCCCAGACGCCGCAATCCCAGGCAGCGCCATCGATCCAGGCCCCCATCCACCCGCCATCCTCCATCATCTGCCCGTCGCCCACCCGCCTCCCGCAGAGCATCCCCACCATCGCCAGCACCCGCACGGGAACCAGTAAGCACAGCGGCCATGGACAGGTACTTGTCAAGAGCCGCCCACCTCGCCCAGGAGGCCTCCAAGCTCTCCCAGAAAGTCACCCACCAGCTCGTCGAAAAGTCCAAGGAGGTCACCATCCAAGGTCACCTCTATGACATGACATCCGAGGACAAGCTTGCCGGCATCAAGCCCGCCTTGGACTCGAAGGTATCCAATCCTTGAGCTGATTCGATAGGACCTGCAGGGGCGAGCAGCATGCGGGCTTTACCCGCTGTGCTATGGAGTGCTCGGCGGCGGCGCAGTCGACGGAGTGCATGGGTTCCGGCTTGCTTTCTGTCGATCTGACCTCTGCGCCAACGAGAATGCTCATCGCCATCGGTGCACCGCCCGTCCCTCGGCCTCTAGTTCGACAAGGAAAAGATCGATGCCCTCAAGAAGCTGATTGCGGTAAGGATATCCGCAGTCTACGCCGCCTGCCTGGCGCCGGCATCTGGCGATCGGGCTCGTCCAATATCGACTTCATTTTGGATCGCGGGTCTTGACGGGCCCACGTTGTCCATTGGTGCACCAGATGATATCCAAGGGCAAGGACGTCTCCGAGTACTTCCCGGGTATGTTGTGCTTGCCGCAATTTCGGCACGCTGCTGAGTAGATGTACTCATCCGCGTTGCGTCGCAGATGTGGTCAAGAACGTTGCCTCGACCTCCTTCGAGGTCCGCAAGCTCGTGTACATCTACGTCCTTCGTTACGCCGAGGAGCAGCCCGATCTGGCTCTGCTCTCCGTCAACACGTTTCAGAAAGGTATGTCATGCGTACTTCCGGGAAGACATGTGGAGGAGTATCTTGCGCCCTCACTCACCGATACTGCCTTCTAGAGCTCTCCGATCGCAATCCTTTCATCCGGGCCATGTCGCTTCGAGTCTTGTCAAGCATCCGAGGTAATTTCTGCCACAGAGCATTAGCGGTGGCTCTGCAGGCTTGGCTACTGCTCGCCACGGACAGTGGCAGCACCGTTCCATACGAACATCGCCTCCCCTTCCTTTGATCTCATGTACGATATCTCCACTGACACCGGCTCGATATCGATGCAATTCTCGTCCAAAGTTCCCGTCATTGTACCAATCGGTATGGGCATGCCTCGTTCGCTGATGCATGTATGGCAACATGCAGTTACCTTGCCAGGGATGGATATGGATATGGAAAGGATTATCAATCGTCTGGCGATGGTGTCAGGGCTGAATGGCACCAGCATACAGCGGCATTCGAGCCACCGGCCGTGACTCGTCGGCTTGCTGCACATGATGTGTTCGCCTAACATCTTCCTACTTATCGATCCGGATCGCCTTTGGAACAGTTATGCTCTCCCTGAAGAAATGCACCACCGACCTTTCTCCCTATGTGCGGAAGACCGTCGCCAACGCACTTCTCAAATGCTACAGGTATCCCGTGTTTGCTCGGGGCATGTCCCGCAGTGTCATTCAGAGATATGTGTTGGCACAGTATGCGCCGTTGGAACTCCACATATTGATGCGTGTGCCGCCCTTCTCTGCCCAGCTTGGATCCAACGCAAAAGGAAAGCATTGTTGAGATCATCGAGTCCCTCCTCAACGACGTCTCCACCATCGTGCTCGGCAGTGTCGTTGCTAGCTTCAGCCGCATCTGCCCCGAGCGGGTGGACATGATTCACAAGCACTACAAAAAGCTCTGCAAAATGCTCCCTGAGCTCGATGAGTGGGGTCAGGTTGAAGTGCTCACGCTTCTCCTGCGCTACGTGCGAACCCATTTCCCTGACCCAAGAGCTCCGGTGAGGATCCGTATCGCTGCTTGATTCGAGCCACCGTGGCACTCGACCCGGGCATTTGCGGCCAGACTCCAGGGCCGCTCACTCGACGACGCATTTCTGGCGCACCAGACGAATCACGGATCATGCGGGCCGGTTACTTCTTGGCCTCGGATACTGCGTGCCGATGCCGACCAACCGACTCTAATGCCACTGCTTTACGTATTTATCTACTCCTTATCTCTAGAGCTCGTCGGCTTCCGACTCGAAGCGCCCCGCCAAGGCTAACTTTTACAGCGATGACGAGGAAGAGCAAGTGCACTTCCAGCCCGCTCAAAGCATCGTGAACCCCGACCACCAGCTTTTCATCAACGCTTGCAAGCCGCTGCTTGGAAGCCGCAATCCATCGGTTCGTGATCCCTCCAATGCACCAGCCGTTCCTCCATCCGGCTGTAGGCTACGGCCCTGCTAACGAGCATCGCTTGTTGCTGCGCCGGCACACCAGGTCGCTCTGATGGCCGTTTCGGTTCTCCATCACGTAGCGCCGCAGTCAGATATGGCCAAGTCTGCCAAGACCTTGATCCGCCTTCTCTCTGCTGCACCCGAGGAGCAATATGTCGTATTGCTCCACATCCTCACGATCGCACACAAGTACCCAGCTTTGTTTCGTCCGCACCTGAAGAGCTTCTTTGTCTTCCATGGCGAACCCGAGTACTTGAAGAGCATCAAGCTCGAAATCCTCGTGATCCTCACGGACGAGAGCAACCTGAGCATTGTGATGCGCGAAGTCAAGGTACGACTCTTTCAAAAGACATCTCTCCGGGCCAAGAGCTCTAGAGCGGCAGCGACGGTCCTTGGTGTTGATGCTGTATTGCGCGGTGCCAGTGCAGCCTATGTCTTGTCTCTCGCGGACTCCATCAGAGAGCAAACACCAGCCCACCCCTGCTATCTCGATTCTGACTCGCATCGCACTCGATGCCTTCTATCGGCTCTTCCAGGAATATGTCAATAGCACCGACCTCTCGTTGGCTCTGGCCACCGTCAAGGCGATCAGTCGGCTGATCTCTCGCATGCCCAAGGCATCTGAGGCCTGCCTCAAGATCCTCATCGGCGTTGTCCCGCGGAAACAAGGTCTGTCCTGGCTCGGATTCAGTGCTCATGGAAACTCTGTCCGGCTCTTTGGTTGAGCGACATCCCGGATTGCCTGCATCCTTTGACGCACCCAATCGCTTATGCTTCATCTGTTCACTGTTTCTGCGCACCTCCCTCCTACCGGCCGGCAGCTGACGCCCTGGTGTCCGAGTCGATCATTGTCATCCGCCAACTCTTGCAACTTGACACACGCAGCAACGACAAGACCATTACCTACCTGTCAAAGTCGCTGGAGCAGATCGCCTCGCCGGGTGCCCGCGCCAGCATCCTGTGGCTGATTGGACAGTACTGCGAAACCGTTCCTCGTATTGCGCCGGACACTTTCCGCATTTCAGCCAAGAGGTTCGCCGATGAAAGCGAGATCGCGAAGCTGCAGATCCTCAACCTCGGTGCCAAGCTCGTGGTGTCGACGGTCCAGGCTGCTGATAAAGCCGTATCGACTGTGATCAAGAAGATCATGGAGTATGTCCTCACCCTGGCCCGCTTCGATGCGAACTACGAGATCCGTGATCGGGCCCGGTTTCTGCGCAGCCTTCTGGCGGGTGTGATGTCGGAAGGCGACGCTGTCGCCGGGGCGTCAGAAGGCGCCATTCTCGGCAGAAAGCTCCGCGAGATCATCCTGAGCACCAAGGCCATTCCGGTGACAGAAAGCCCGTATCTGGCGCGGGGCGATCGTTTCCAGCTCGGTTCGCTGGCATTTGTGCTGAACCACGCCAGTAAGGGGTATAAGGAGCTGCCTCAGTGGAGCCTGACAGTCGAACATGCCGAGCTGCGAAGCGTCATGGTAGGGCCGTCTGATCGAACCAGTTGCATTTTATGATACGCCGGCCTCAGTCGAGCTTTGCGCATTGACACTGAATCGTCAATACCGCCTCTGTGTTTCAAGGACCAGGAGCAGGTCTGGAATCGCGAGCACGTCGTTGTATCTGCGCTTATCCAGCAGGTCAAGCGCATGGAGTCCAACAAGACCCAAAAGAGGGTCGTCAACCTGAGCCTGGACAACTTCCTGGACGAGACAGAATGTGAGTTGCATCGTGCAAGCGACGAACTGACACTATGCCGTGTCGACACCGCGGCCATGTGCGCTGACGCGTTTCCACTCACCAGCCGAGGACGAGGAAGAGGGCGACGACGACGAAGAAGAGGAGGAGGAAGAAGACGACGAGGATGACGACGAGGACGATGAAGAGGAAGAAGTGGAAGATGACGAAGACGAAGAGGAGGAAGATGATGGGGAGGATGAAGGGGAAGAGGAAGTGGAAGAGGAAGACGATGGAGACGAAGGGGAAGCGGAGGAGGAGGAGGAGGAGGATGCGACAGCGGCTCCTCTGCTCCACTGATTGGGGTGTGCGGCCAGAGAATGTCATGTCTCCAAAGTGAATATGGAATTCGTGATTACAGCCATGGCTTTCCGAACATCTCAGAATTGGATTCGCGAGCTTGTTTGCTGCTGGCGTGCCATCCTTCGCAGTCGACTGCAAAGCTTGGCTCAGTGCCCGTGCTCGGGTATGCGGCACTCACACAGGACAATCGGTTTGCGGTGCCCAGCACCAACACCAAAGCCAGAACCAGCACCAGAACATGGTCGGTGACGTCAATCCACGCAAGCCACACAGTCACATGTCATCGCCTATATTGTCTTGCTTTGTTCCGAGCTGGTTGTGCGGTGCTTCGCTTTTCTGTCTGCACCGCCCCCCTTCTCTCTCCTCGTCTTTTCTTCGCCCACTTCGGCCCCTTCCCTTCGTTCATCGCCTTTGCCAGCTTCCAGCTTCCCTTGGCAGACATGATTCGACCGACCACCAACCACAACCCAGATGTCTTCACCATCATCTGCTTCAACGACAGCTTCCAGCTTGCACTCGACCATGCCACCATCAACAGTCTACTGCTGGTGTGCAAACGTGCCCAGCCGCTCCTGAGCCTCAAAGTGACTCGCTTCCACACCTGGTGCAAGGAAATAGGGTTATGCCATCTAGATGGGTCGCTGCGGACCGGCCTCACACCCAGCGACCAAATTGCCCTTTCGCTGCACTGCAAGGATCAAGCGACAGCCGATCGATCCTGGCTCGTTGCCCAAGCAGAGCAGAAATCCGCCGCTGCCTCATACCTTCTGGCTCGCATCCTTCAAGCTGATCTTGACGGCCCGCAGCCTCAGGACGAGTCCTTGCACAAGGCCCAGCAGCAGCAAATCTTCCAGTACCTGCATCAAGCCGCCACCGCAAATCATCCCATGGCACAGCTCCATTTGGCAGAATGCTATCGCAACGGCCACGGAATCAACCAAGACCACACCAAAGCCGTCGAACTGTATCGGAAGCTTGCCGGCCATGGATTTGCACATGCCCAGCTCTCCCTCGGTCGATGCTACGAGAATGGCGAAGGCGTCGACCAAAGCTTCAATGCGGCCATCGAGTGGTACACCAAGGCTGCAGACCAGGGCAGCGACGACGGTCGCCTCCGCATCGTATTTCTCCGTGGCTGGGCCTCATTCATCGGTCATGGCGTCCCAAAGAGCGACGCCGACGCCCTCCACCGCTGGCACGAGGTCAGCACCAAGTCCACCGACCCAGTCATCAAGTCGATCGCCACACACATGGTCGGATGGATGCACTACCTCGGTCGGGGTACCGTGCAAGACAAGCAGAAGGGTATCAAGATCATCCGAGAGAACCGGTCGGATGAGTTTGCCCTTGGAGAAGACGAAAGCCTGGCGTTGGAATGGGACGACATTCCCTGCAACTCACCTGCATCCCGCAAGTTCTTCAATCTCTGCCAGCTTGGATCAGAATGGGACTGGCTGTGCAAACACCTCATGGCAGTGTGCTTGTCTTTTGGACTCGGAACCGCGGTGGACAGGAAGAAAGCCGCAGTTATCTTTGAACAGCTGGCCAACGACGACCACAGCGACAGTCAGTTCTGTTTCGGAGACTGCTACCACTGGGGCCACGGAGTACCGCAGGATCACTCGAAGGCGTTCCGGTGGTGGAAAAAGGCAGCCAAACAGGGCAACTCGTATGGGCAGTGGTGGGTTGGCGTGTGCTATGCCGGTGGGCACGGCGTCAGCAACGACTATACCAAGGAAGTCAAGTGGTATCGAAGGTCGGCGCATCAGGGCAATCGGCGCGGGCAGTACTGGCTCGGCTACTGCTACGAGCACGGCTACGGAACGGCCAAGGACACCGAAGCGGCTGTCTTCTGGTACCGCAAGTCCGCAGAACAGGGTTCAGAAGAGGCAATCAACAGCCTTCGAGACCTCGGCAGTTGACCCCGAGCCACTTTGAGCGCTGGCTTCCAACCACCGCTCTGCGCCGCCGAATGCGCAAGAGATCAAGCCGCCAACACCCGCCAACACCTCGATACCCAGACCAGACGAACTTGCGCGGTGGCTCCTGTGAGGCCGCACAGGTCGAATCGCTGCAGCGCCTGACCTTCAATACATCCCAACATACAAAAATGCGCTGCCCCGCAACGTTCAGCGTCATTGGCTGTCCATAGCAAACATTGACATGGCTCCGACACCACATTGGGTCCGGGAGGGAACCAGCGGCGGGAATTAAGCACGTGCCATCGTCAGGACACGGAGCCATGGCAATGTTTGCTTCAGACAGTCAACATCGGCGAATGCTACGGGACAGCGATCATGCACATTGGGGCGATTGAGTGACAAACGTAGCACTTATCCGACCATTGCTGCTCCGTCAGAGCCACTGCGCAAGTCACCGAGTCTCGATGGCTTGTTGTCGGCAGCGGGGCGCTGAGCATGGTCCCTCTTGCATTCAGAGGCGCAGCGGGGTTTTCGCAGCGCTGGCACAAAGCCGCTCGGGATCAAGGTCACCTGCTGGGCTCTTTGGGCCATCGATGGCATATTTCCAAACATATTCTGCGGCCTTGCGGTACGAGAAGACGGCAGCGCCAGCTCTTGGTGGCTCGCGGTCGTGCTCATAAGCAATGACCGAGCCAATTCTGCTTGTACCGATTACCTTGCTTGGCCAATCCAGAAGCCACTCAGCCGCCTTGGCAGTTCCAATACCGTAGGAATAACACGCGCCAGCACACCGCTCCCCATACAAGCTGACCTGCTTGACTGACTTGGCACTCGAACACGCTTTTAAGCTTTTCTCCAGTTCTCCCCAGCCCATGTAATGGCAGTATCCAATCCACAACTAGCTATCGCTGTGGCCATCGTTTGCCGAGCTACCCAAATACCTTTGCTGCCTTCTTCCAGTTCGCTTTGGTTGCGGATCCACAAGGCAGACACACGGGCACGAGATGCTTACAGAGCCGGTCTCGTTCCAGTCGCAGTTGACACAGCCGAAGAACTTGCGGGATGCACGGGTCAGACCATATGGAGTATGACTGAGCTGCCAGACTTTCGCCTTCTGAGAAAACACGTCCAGCCGACTGTCTCGGGTGATCTTGACGCCTTTCTGCTTGTCTTGAACTATACCCAGACCAAGGCTATGCATCTACCCGACCATGTGCGTGGCGATCAGTTTAAATGGCAGTATCGGTTGACCTGGTGCTGACCTCATACTAGCAAGGAAACGCAAGTTGACCCCTTGTGGAGACATCTAGTTTGATGAACGAGGACCAGTCGCGGAGAGACACGCTTCGAAGTCGAGTATCTGCATTGCCTTGATCGACAATCTTGGTGCACCAATCAACGGCTGCATTGTAGCATCAATAGATTCCTTCGCCATCCTCGAGGCATCGGCCGAGGGCGACTTGAGACTGCGCTTGTCCATGGTCTGCATGCTTGCGATACAGCTCGAGAGTGTTATTATGGTCTCGATGTACCCCATGTCCGCTATAGCAGCACTCAGCCATAGGCAACTGGGCCATAGGGTGGTTTGTGTTATGCTGCTGCTTCAGGGTGCTGGAGTTTTTACTGATGTCTGGCCGCTTGTTTGGACCGGTCGAGAAGCTGCCGCCCATCGATCGCAGTTTGCAGGACCCCAACCAGAATGTACGGGGCGGAAGCATTTTCTTAGTTGGTCGGGTCGATGAGCCAGGATCTATCAGCTGTACCTCGGTCATTACAGTGCAGCGAGAAGGCAATCTGGCCACCAAGTCAGAGAGCAATCCACATCTGGACATCTGGACGACAGGGCCGTGCTTCCTGCCACGAGTTGTGGAAGCGAGTCAACTCCAGTATCAAGAGCGACTGGGTCCGCTTGCACACGAACAGCAGAGTTTTGATCATAACAAAGTTGGGGGCTGGCTGGAAGTTGTTGTTGAAGCACACGATAGTGAAGTCAACTGGGCCGATGGCTCGGTGGAGTCACGTATCGATAAGCTTAGACTTGATGCAGGATCGTATCCGACGTTGCGCCGCTCGAAGGCAGCTGCGACGTGACGGAAGGTGGGCTGTCCGCAGGATTGATTGATCTGCTTAGGGCGCTTGTACGGAAGGAGTTGTGGCCCGATCTTGGAGGATATGATGGCCCGGCCGCCTGTAGTTCAATAGCTTGAGGCTGTTGGGGCCTTTGAGGATGGTGATTGCAAAGGTGATGATCTTGATGGTGGAACGCTTTCCAGGGCTTTGGGGCGACCGAGGGCGTTGCGTTGGTCGGGTTCGTGGAGACAGCCTTGTGCTTGGTACGGACACCGGCATTCTTGACGCCACCATGGGAGATGTCGCGGTTATGGGAATATACCGTCTCCAAGGCCACCTGGTAGAGCAGACGGAGCTTTCTTCGGAAGGAGTGCTTCTTCTTGCCGACGGAGGTTCGAAGATGACCGTTCGGCATGAACGAGGCCATCGTCGTCTTGGGCACAGGCACCGACGGAAGAGAGGACGTTGTGAGAGCTCAGCCGCTTCCGGAGACCGATCTTGCAATGATGGCTGCCGCAGGCGCAGATGCGCTGCCTGCTTCACGGCGGTCTTGGAGCAGAGTTACGCGCCGGCGTAACCCTTGCCGAAGCCACCGCGGCCGAGGAGGACGGCCGGGAGGTCAGCGATGTCGCTCGCCGATGGGCCAGGACAGGCTTGGAGTGCCGGCCATGTGGCGGAGGACGGGAATGCCAGTGTGTTGGCGGGAGACGGAGGTGGATGGAGGTGGAAGGAGGAGAGAGCAGCTGGGCGGGAGGAGGCGGCAGGAAAAGAGAAAAAAAAATGGCGGAAGAAAAATTAACGCGTGGCTGGCGCATTGGATCCGGCGGATCCAGCCATGATCACCCTTGTTGGCGCACATTCCATCCATGCACTCCATCCGGCTGGCTCCGATTGGCTCGATCCGGATCCAGCGACCGACCGCGCAGCTCCAGCCCGATCGCCCCTTGTTCATCCATCCCTCATCCATCTCTCACCCATCTCTCATCCATCTCGTCTCATCCCGCTGAGCCAGCCAGCGCCATGTCCCAGGGAAATCTGTCCGTCGAAGACTCGCCTCTCTCGGAGACCGTCAAGCTCATCAGCTCCGACAAGTTTGAGTTTGTCATCGACCGGAAATGCGCAATGGCATCTGGAACCATCAAGAACATGCTGTCTTCGCCTGGTGAGCCATCGTCTTGCCTCGCCGCTGCCAGTCCCTCCGCATCGCTTCCCATCCGGGATCCCGCTCTGCTTGGGCACGGTGCGCCCAGCTTCTCACCAGCCGCGTTGATTTGGTCCTTGGGTTGGCTTCCGCTTTCACGTCGATAACTGGCGTCTTTAATCATCGGCGTTGAAACTGATAGGTCAATTCACCGAGTCCGTCCAGAACGAGATCAACTTTCGTGACATCAAGTAGGTGCTCTCTGCGATAGCCCCTCTTTGCCCTATACCGCATTCACTTTCCGCCCGAATCCAAAGCTCGTACTGCACCCTCGGCTTATCCACTTTGTTCGCATTTCCAGGGCCGTGGTTCTTGAGCGGGTCTGCGCGTATCTCTACTACAAGGTCCGATACGCAAACACAGCCAGCGAAATTCCCGATTTTTTCATTGAGCCGTCGCTAGCGTTGGAGCTGCTGCTGGCAGCCGACTTTTTGGATTGCTAAGGCGACCACATCCGACGAACGGACACAGCCGAGAACTCGATTGGGCAAATCGGAGCCACTCAACCCGGACATGCCATCGGCCTTCGTGTTTTACAGCCATTCTAGAAAGTTAGGGGGCAGTGTCCCCCTTTCCCCGGCATCAGAGGCTTGCAGCCTGCTGAACTTCCGGGGCCTCCGATGGGCACGCTGTGCGATTGTTTTCAGTCCTGGTTGGCAATCGCTTTGTTTCGTTGGTTTTGGGATTGTGGCCATGAATACATCCGGTCGATCCCCTGTGGCGATGATCGACCGGCATGCCGGCATCAAGATATTCGGCCCTCTCGAGTCGCTTGGCTTGCAGGTACTGTGAGTACACTGTTTGATCATGGTAGCGATGGTTGGGTGTATTCAGGACCAGAAAAAGAAGAAAAAACGACAGCCCCGACTTGAAACCGGGTGCCCCATTTCAAAACAGGTACACTGTAGATCGGCATCCCCCCCCATTGAGTGCAACAGAGCTCTGTTGCTCCCAGCGTATACTGCCAAACTCGATAATCGGCGTGAGCATCAAAATCGTGATACTCTAATTGGGCGGAGGCTTGTTCGCGCGCGATAGGCCGGAGAAAGATCCGTCGTTAGCCCGACCGGCTATACGGGCTCGCTCTTGACAAAGTTTGGGGGTTTTCCATGCTCGCCAAACGTCTTCTCGGACACTTCCTTTGTGTTGGGTTGGTCAGCGGTGTGGTGCCCCCCAGAGTACTTCAGCAGCAGCTGATCGAAGATACTGTTGGTGAGCCCAAACACCAGCGATAAGAGCGACACTGAGATTGAGGCGATGGCGATAGGCACCCATCGAGTCTGGGCCGAGACATAGGCTTGCAGAGCTATTTGTGGCAGGTCTTGAACCAATGTGGAAAGCAGCGAGAGATACTGCCCAGAAACGTTCGCCAGAGAGCTGGTTAGATGGGATCGCTCACGCACTCGCCGCGACTCCGCCATCGGCCACTATCGTATACCTTGACGTTCTTGGAGAGCTCAAGCGACAATGGAGCGGTGAAGACAGCCCACTTCATGATCCTTGATGACGACAGTTTGATGATGGCCGGGTTGAGCGACGACAACATCATCACTGCACAGAGCGGCAGTGTGTATCGATCCATATACTTTCGAAAGGACGAGTTCTGTCGTAATTGCGCAGCGCAGACACGCACGGTGAGACACCGCAATCGGTCAGAGGCAACAGAATCCACCGCTCGGATACACTCTTACGACCTTTGTAGAGCGGAACGGCCTCCGTGCAGAAACAGCACTGAAGGCGACGCAGGTGTCCAAGTGACACATGCTCACCTTTTTCACTTCCCGACCGAGAAGTGTCGACATCAGGAGAAACGACAACAGAACAGGGGCGCCGATAAAAGCCACGCCAGTGAACAATATATAGACAGACCGATTGGTGAATCCAGAGTATCTGTGTCGGAGATGGCAGATTATTGAGTGTGTGCAGGAACAAATCAATCGCGCAGAAAGCCCCGCGGTCTCAACAACATGAGCCGGTTGAATCACGGCATCTCTGCATGGGCACAATGTCGAGTATCACAAATATCTGCGCAGCTGGCGGCCGTGGGTTGCCATCGAAACAAACCTGATCCAGAAAATGCTGTCGGCAATCACTTTTGCGATGCTGAGGCCAATCGAAAAGACAATTGTATTCTGTCCACTTGGGCAGTTGTATCTCAACGAGAGATAGATCACGACCAGAATGGCACTGAATGCTAGCCCGCCGGCGATAATAGGCACTTCGTAGGTGTTTTCGGGGATCCCGCAATCGACCCCGGACCACTGGTCGACGCAAACGCACTGATTCATGAAGCAATAGCCGTTTGGCGAATTGCAGTTGTTTGGGCACTGCCGAAACCACAGCCATCTTGACCAAGTGGCATTGTTCTGAACAGCATAGCGATGGATTCATGGAGGAAGAGTGAGAATCTAGTATATGCAGCCTGGGTGGTGGACATACACTCGGTGAAGCACAAACATATGCACTCTGTCAAGGGTGAATGGAGTGTGGCTCATTGGCATCGAGCTGAACTGAACCGAGTCTTCACCGTCGAAACGAATGGCTGCTCGTGAGCTCTCACCTGCTTGACCCACATGCAAGCCGAGTCCCGGTCCTCCAGCCCTAATATGTCACTGTAGCTGAGAAAGTTGTTGATATCGGTGTTTGTGATTGTCCAGAGACGAGTCAGCCAGTAAACCTCTGGGTTTGTTGTCGAAAGCTGTGAATTGACGATTTTTTGCACCACCAAGCTCGAGACTGGAGCAGCCATCGGCAAGGGATGTGATTCGATTGCAGTGTATAGGAACAAAAGCATAGGGTCAGCACAGAGTCAAGTCAAGAGACGTCGACAGCACACGATCTTCACGATTCCCGCGCCGGTTAGTACTTTGCTGGCATGGCTATCATCTTGCCGCCTCGCTTGACCCGCTGGCCCTATTCCGTCACTTATACGTTCCCAACTAGACGCAACGCACAGTCAGCGCATGATGCATTGCAGAGGTTGGAGTCGTATTCTGGCAATGATATTCTTGATAGGCGATAGCTTTATGGAAGGGTGATGGAAAGAGCTCGGTGAGTGCGCTATTCGACCCTGTGTTCATCTCAGCATGCCTCTCATTCGCCTCAGGGCTCTCGGGGACTACCTGGAGTCGTTCTTGGCAATCCAAAGATTGAACAGAGAGTGTGGCTCGTAAAATGCCATAATGAAAGGCTGGTGGATGGCGTTCAGCTTTGTAAACGCTTGAATGAGCCCGTTCTCACTTCCAGACCATTCGACCATGAGATTCATGTTGTTCAGAGTTACATGCAGCTGAACGTCACCTGAAGTGGGACAAAGGTTTGCAAAGTCGGGCTCAGTACAATATACACCGTCTGGATGGAAGGCTACCCTCTACTGCCAAAGACTGCGTTGCCTCAATCTATCCACTCTACGCGCGATCGGATATGTGGCCAAACGGATATGCTCCAGGATATCGTTATGCTCAGATTTGCGAGCCTGTCTCCGCCAGAGTCCGTCCGTGTGTGCTGAAATCAGTCCCTCAGATTCAGTCTCCCAGCTTCTTCCTCACCTGCCCATGATGGATCGATCGCAAAAAGCGCTCCGTATCCAGATGCAGTGGTATTCCATACACGGGCCCCACAGTCCGGACAGGCGTCTGGGGGGCCAAGGCCCGATGCATTGAGAGCCGACGATGTGAGGGCAAAGCGAGCCGATCCATTGAACTGCCGCTGCAGCCCGCGATAGGAGGCCAGCTCGGGATATGTGTCCATGGTCCACATCTGCGTGAACCAGCCGATCTGCGAGATCAAACCAGAAGGACCTGCAAACAGACGGATCAGTGTTTGGGCATCAAACAGGCTGCGGGTCATGGGAGCAGAGAGAGGGAGAGAGATTCCTCCGGGATTGAGTTTCCGGGCATGCCATCACCCAGTACTCCGATAGTATTCGCTATTTTCAGCCACATCGAATTACCAGCGGCCTCCAGTGTTCGCTGCGGGCCGGTGCTTCGTTGCTGGAGAATCAATTGGCGGGCTGGCGACGCGTCGACCCAGACCTCTATCGTAGTCGGAATGTCGTGAGTCGCAGTGGTGAGCAGACAAGCGGCTAGTCTAACGGCAGCGCCGGAGCACCAAAAGCAGTCTCCACGGGAGCGCGAGAGGGCATGGTCTCTGGCCCCTGCCGCACTCCAACTGCATCGGATGTGCTTGCGGGGCGTAACGGATGGTGCTGGATGCAAAACGAATGCGCGTGCGAACCTAGCGAAACCATCACGGTGCCGTCTGAGAGGCCATCCCAGTTGTAGACCGAGCATGTCGGACAGCTCACAAGAGACACTTTGTATCCCAGCTGCTCTTCGAGGATGATCTTTGCAATCCAGTTGGTGATATTTCCGGAACTCCAAGTGTAGTCGTCGATGGTGACGATGCCAAGCAGAGGATTGAAGACGGGATCCGTGCCAAGACAGTTCCATGCCGCCGCCAGAGGCAGCAAAAAGGAGGCCATCAACAGCATGGCTCTATGCGCTGACTCCATTTTCTTCCCGGCAGACGTTCGCGTTGAGCTACCCAGGAGAGAAAAGAGTAAAATGATGAGGCGACAGGCTTGCGGAGGCAAAGGCGTCTTGGTGAAAGCGTGGCCACTGCGATGCTCAAGCTCCCACGCTGCCTCGGTGTTGATTCGCAGCTCCATCAGGCAACTCCCTCGTCCGGAAGATGAAAATGACCGACACACGGGTCATTTGTGGATGCTACTGATACGAAGAAGGAGCTATGTAATCTAGTCACCTCGACTGATTGGACAAGTATGACATCACCATACCGAGATCGGATCATGCAACGGAGCACATGCGATGAAATGCACCGATCGACTGCCAATCTAGTTATTCCAATAAACCCTCAATCTTCCCACCGCCTCCGCTGTTGCTGTGCATACGCGTAGGCATCTTGCGCCAGGCCAGCCGAAATAGCTGTACTTGGACCCGTTGATAGTCACTGAGGCATGTTCTCATGTGCGAGCATGATGAAGTGCCCTGTCTTGACCGATACTATCACTGTCCCGAAAACACCACAGGTGCAATCTCGAATTGCACTATCAACATTTCCCAGAGCACAACCGGAGTGCGCTCGATCCGGACTCCAGAGGGATCGGCCAGTGTTGTCCAGATGCATGTCTCCTGCGGCGCTACGGCAGCGGGGACAATGCGCCAACGAACCTTTCCTGGATGGGAATCACTCTGATACATCCGGTATATTCTGAACCTGACGCAGTACCCCGCTTCCTCTCGGAGCGCAGAATAGTCTGGTGCACATGCAGGAACACTCGCTGTTTGTCTCCTTGGACACAGTACGCCGAGAGCAGCCGCAGCAAGACTGTGGGCGAGGGGGTAGACTGGGGAAACTGCCGCTGTTTCATTGAGCCTCTACACAGCTGACCCCGAGTCTTGTGGCAGTGACTTTTGGGTGTTTGTGGATTTTTCGGGGCGCAGATCGGCCCTGGTGTCTGATTGCACCTCGCGGTATCGGATGATGAGGTGGCTAAAGATATTGCTGATGCTCTCGAAAACGAGCGATGCAAGCGTGACACACAACGCTGCAATCGAAATCGCCACCCAGCCAGTCGTTGCAGAGACATAAATTTGCAGGCCAATCTGTGGAAGATCTTGGATAACCAGCGCCGACAATGATAGTATCTGGAGGAACCAGCGCGGAGTGTCAAATTGCCATCATGGCGCTTGCAAGGCAGAGTGTCCCACGACTGCTCGCCATCGTGCATTCCCACCAAAACCTCACACTCTCGAGACACTTGATGTGGCTCCTCGCAGGACTACGCACCTTGATCTGGCCCTCGAACTCGATCGAGTACGGTGCCCCAAAGCCCTTCCAGTTGGCAATCTTGGACGAAGATAGATATATGGTGTTCGGGCTCAATGATGCCAGCATCATGATGGCGCACAGTACCAAATTATGGCCATCCATGTACTTCCGGAACGAAGAGTTCTGCAGCAACAGTGTTAGATCAGCGACAAGGTTAATTGATGGGAGCACATGGAGCGAAGCAACAGCAATGCCGCCCAAGACCCAGCAGCATATTCCTCAGTGCTGATTCTGTACCCGTGTCCGCCTTGGAAGTCTCGATGTCGGCGGACCGCAACCCTGTCCAGCCCCTTGCAGACCTCATACCTCCTTAAGCTCGACACTGAGGAGCATCGACAGTACAATGAAAAAGAGTAGCGCTGGGCCGGCTATGAAGAGCACACCAAGTGCCAGCACATAAACAGACTTGGTCGTGAAGCTTGCATAGCTGCAAGCGACACCAAGCCAGTCGTGCCCACCGACGAAATGGGAATCGCATCCAAGGAAGCAAACAAGGCCAGATGAATGTAGAATCAGGTTTTGGTTGCTGGAGATAGCCAAGGGTCATACAGAGGCTCGTTTGCACGGAGTTTATAGGGAAGGAGCTGCAGATGATGACCAGCAGCAGCGGATGAAGCCCGAATGCGAGGAAACCTACCGCATCCAGAACCACGCATCCGCGACGTACTTGCAGATGCTGAAGCCAATTGTAAATACAATCGCGTTGTTGGCGTCGTTATTGGTGCGCCGCAACAGCACATAGACCAGTATCAGGCCGGTTAGGTAGCACACGGCCGTTACGATGATGGGCGTCTGGTAGGTGGGTTCTGGGATCGAGCAGTCTGAGCCGGACCACTGCCCATGACATAAGCACTGGTTGTTGAAGCAGAGCCCATTCGGAGCAGTACAATTGTTTGGGCACTGGCGAAACCACAACCACTGACTCCAAGTTTGGCGGTGCTAGGAAATCGAGGGTAACGGAGGAGCCAGCGTCGGGGGGGGGGAGCAGTCGTCAGTAGCAGCCCGCATCCATGTTGACAGCGTCAGGTCGTTCCTACGGCCAGAGTCATGCTTTGATGCTGTCTTCGTCGGCGTGTCGGGCAGTGCCACTCACAGTTTTGACCCATAAGCATGCCGCGTCTCGGTCTTCCAAACCGTCGTCGGAGCCAAAGGCCAAGAAGTAGTCGACATCGGCGTTGGATATCGTCCAGAAGCGAATCAGCCAGTAGATTTCTGGATTGGTGACCGACAGACCCGAATTGACGATCTTTTGCACGACGTAGTTGGGGTCTACGGAACAAATCGAGGTCGCAGTGCGCCGTTAGCGATTGCCCTTGTCAGACGAGGAGTGTGTGCAGAGTATTGCATCTAAATCGTATCCAGCATATGCCCTGCGTTCGGCAACCACTGCTAACGCACAGGCAGAGCACGAGTAGTTGCACATCTTTGGGTCGTATTCGGGCAGCGACACTTGTGATAGTCGATATCTGCACAGCGGAGGCCCGAGAGGGAAAATGGAGATGAGTGTGTGCTGCACCGTAGTATCGATCCAGAGCCCTCGCTCGGCCAACGATGTGAGATCCCAGACTGCAAATACACCGCACTGCTTTCTTTCTTCTCTTCCACAGGCACCAGTATGATGCGCCCGCTGCAGTCGCCGATCAAACACTCACCTCGAGTCGTTTCTGGCGGTCCATAGTGTAAGGATATAGTGTGGGTTGGGCAAGGCGAGAAGAACGGGCTGGCCTACGTTGTTGAGCTTCACAAAAGTGTCGGCCAGAGCAGCTTCGCTTCCCGTCCATTCCGTTACCAGGCTCAAGTTGTTGAGGGCGATATGCGACTGGAGATCACCTGAAGAAGAATAATCAGCAAAGCGCAGCCGCGGATCCTTTTCACTTGCCCCGGTGTCTGCTCTATGTCTGCTTGTGTATGTCGCTCAAACAACTGCTGCCATCGCTGCTTCCGCTATTGCCTCTGCTGAAGGCGGCAAGAAACCGCCAAGGAAGCGCCGATCATGCGATGCGTCCTGTGTACCAGCCCCGTCGTGCGGGTGTACCTGGATCCGTTCCTCACCTGCCCAAGACGGATCGACTGCAAAAAGCGCTCCGTATCCAGATGCAGTGGTATTCCATACACGGGCCCCACAGTCCGGACAGGCGTCTGGGGGGCCAAGGCCCGATGCATTGAGAGCCGACGATGTGAGGGCAAAGCGAGCCGATCCATTGAACTGCCGCTGCAGCCCGCGATAGGAGGCCAGCTCGGGATATGTGTCCATGGTCCACATCTGCGTGAACCAGCCGATCTGCGAGATCAAACCAGAAGGACCTGCAAACAGACGGATCAGTGTTTGGGCATCAAACAGGCTGCGGGTCATGGGAGCAGAGAGAGGGAGAGAGATTCCTCCGGGATTGAGTTTCCGGGCATGCCATTCGACATTGCCGAGCAGCTGGGATCTGTAACCTCTGCGTCAAAGTGACCCCTTCGCAACACAGTTTTGCTCGGAGCCAGAGCCAGAGCCAGACCGCCACTCACCGGCCCCTTCGAGCGTGCGGTACGGCCCAGTACTTCGATCGAGAAAGATTTGCTCACGATCGGGCGACGCGTCTATCCATACTTCTGCACTTATCGCGGGCCGGTGTGGAGAAGGAACAAATCGATCAGCAGATGGCTGGCAGTCAGGTCTCATAGCCACAGCCATAGCCCCGAGAAGATGGGCGCATCGGCAGGCAAAAGTAAACGACAACACATCGTCCAGCTCAATCGGAGGGACGAGTCTCGTCTCAATGAGTCAAAGAGCGTCTGCAAACCTAGAGATGCCATCACAGAACCGTCCGAGAGCCCGTTCCAGTTGTAGATGCAAGAGTTTGGACATGGCACGATCGTGGTGGGGTATCCCAGCGCCTCTTCCAGAATGATTTTGGCAATCCAGTTGGTGACGTTCCCCGTGCGCCAGTTGTAGCCGTCGAGGGTCACCGTCCCCCATTGTGAGTAGACACTGAGGTCGGGATCAGTGCCCAGGCAATTCCAACCTGCGACCAGTGGCAGCGATGCAAGCAGAGCATACGGCCTCCAGAGTTGCATTTGTCGTTTCTTCACCCGCTTTTTCCGATGTGTGGTCTCTCCCGACCGAGAGCTATCGTGGAAGTTGGAGATGGATTGGCGATGGAGATGGAGAGCAAACGGAGGCTCCTCGTCCTCTCCCTTCCCCAACCGATTCTGATGTCAGAGGACACCAGGACGATCCAATCGTCGCCAGCATCCCGAGTCGCCTGTCCGATCCTGGCGCAGCTCTCGTCAGTGCTCCTTGATTCGATAGCAGTGTCACAAATGGCATGTGAGCGAGGCTGTTCAGATGCACACATCTGCCGACGGAGGCAGCGGCTTCCGCACGATTGGAACTGCATGAACGACGCTGATCGAATCGAATCTGGCCCTGCCTGGCCCAGATATCGACCAGCAGAATGGCTGTAGCCCACATCTCCGTTGGTCCTGGATTGAGCACCGAGCGCTTGCCAGGCCGAGGACAGACGGGCGACAGAGAGGCGGGGGGGGGGAAGCAGCGGACTGAATCTGCATAGGCTCCAGCGGTATCGAGTCCCCCACGGAGGCGAAAGCTCAGAGCGATCGAAGGCTCGCAGCGGGCCACGCATGCGCAAGTACCGGAAGTACTTGTGCTGTGTTCGTGCAGACAGGAGTCCAGGAGCGATCTCGATTGTGGTATGCAGTACAAAGCAAATGCTCCAAATCTTGTTTCGGCAGATCATGCAAAAAGTCATGGTAACCTACTTCATGACGACGCATCCATGACAGCCCATTTGTCACTCCCCACTTTTCACTCCGTTGCAACCACTGCTCAGTGCACCCGTCGATGGCGCTTCTTTCGCTTCCGATGCAGCACCTCTGCCGCCCCAAGGACTGCCATATTCGCCTTTTTCAGTGTCGACGGAGCGTCTCTGGGTGTCGTCTGCTTCGAGTTGATCTCATGTCGATCCGGCGAGTGTTGCTTGACTGCCAAGAGTCCGTGGGCGTTCTGGGACTTGTGCTGGGGTTTTGTGGCTCTCGAAGCTGTGCGGGTGTTCTCAGGAGCGACGGCAGTCCGGGCCGCTCGAGTAATGGTCCGATTGCCGGGTGCCCTGATCTGTGCCATGTGCTCAGGGTCCAAGGACGATGGACAAGGTTGCCCCTTCGAGTGAACTCTCGAAGGAACGAGATCTTCGACGTCCCACCCGTTGCTCACAGCCGGAACGCTGGCACATGCGTCGACTACAGAGTCAGGGCGACTCGAAACGAGCACGCTGGACATGTGCATGACTTTGAAGTTGTCGATCTTGAGTTTGTGGTATCGCTGTGGTCACGGAGGCACCATGATTCAAGGAGATAGAGCAGAGCATCAGCCGGCAGAGCCCATTTCCTCCCCCCGAATTATCCGATTGCCATCGAGCGATTTGCATCACAGAGCGATATCCACCTTGTAATCCTCCTTGGCCAAGCTTTGGAGGGCTGCGGCAAGCACCATATTATGTGAAGGCTTGCGCTTGTGCGGCGATGGGCCCTCGTGATCGCAGGGTTGCGATTCGATTGCGCCGTTATCGTGCAGACGCTGCGGCCCTGTCGATAGTATCGAAGCTGTCAGGGAGCCCCGCCCGAGGGCAGGATGTCGATCGTGCGTCTTCGGAGGACCGATGCTGCTGTGGGTCGACATCGATGGATTGATTCTGGGAAGCGACGTTTGTAGTCGGTTGAGCTCTGGTGAGGTGTATGCCCGCGAGTTTTCGACGAGCTGCTTCACCATGTAGGTGATGTTGGTCAACGCTGGGGTGCCGTTTGAGGGAACCAGCGCATAGTACAGTCCACAGTGCGGGTTGTAGAAGGTCATGTTGTTCATGACACTGTTCATTTCCTCCTCCAATCGCTGTCGCTGTCGCTGTCGCTGGGTCTCTCGACTCCCCCGTCGCAAGGCGTCGTCGAGCGGTGGGGCCTGGGTCTTGGGAGTTGCGGGCTGCCGGGCAACCGGGGGGACGACGTGGGCGATGGCTGAGTGGACCCGGATCTGTGCTGCCGCTTTCCTCGGCCGAGTGCGTGCTGTCTTGGGCCGTCGATGAACGGCCTGTCGCGGCTTGTTGAATATGACCGGGAGATGTGACTCTCTGCGGTTCATTGTCGACGGAGTGGGGATCTCCCGGCTGAGCTTTGGATTGGGTCCAGTGACCGATTCCGAGCCAGACGTTTCTGCCGCACTCAGTTGCTGTTGCTGCTGCAATTGCTGATGCTGCAGTTGCTGCTGCTGCAGTTGTTGATGCTGCTGCTTTGGATGGTCGCAGGTTGTGGTTTCAATTGCGGGCAGCAATCCACTACCGGCCGAGGGTAATGGCTGGCGCTGTATAGCTTGCTGACTTGCAAGCGATTGGACAGCCAAAGTGCCGGTCTGAGACAGAGAGGAAACATCGGTTACGATATTGTGCGGGAACGATATCGTCGTCGAGGGCGTGGGCTCGGGAGCAAAGCGACCGTCGCCGCTGGCTACAACCATAGGGAAGTGCTTCGATACTGGAGGCCCCGGTGCCTCATTTCCCTCCCATGCTTCGGGATGAATCGAGGCATGGAGCTCGAGATCAGCAGCCGGTCTTGCGGGTACCACTTTGGCCGCAAACGTGGATGGCGGCAGGAGTGGAGGGGGGAGGGTCAGCGATGGCGGTGACATGGACGAGGACTTTGGCTTGGTCAAGGACTGCTGTCGCCCCTGGACGAGTTGCTTGGACCTCGGCCGGCGCTTTGCCGAGGAAGGAGGCAGAATGTACATCTTGGAAAGGGTGGTGGTGCCCTGGATGGCCGGCAGCGATGCGTTTGGTGTTGTCTGGGAGCTGCGCGGCGGATGCGGCGGCGAGACTGGCGGGGAGACCGGCAGGGTGGCTCGGATTTTGGTGACGGAGCGGAGGCCACAGAGCTGCCGGCTCAGATTCTGGTAGAACGGATCGAATCCATGGAGCTGCAAGCCCGGGAGGCGCGGGAGCTCGTAAGTCTGCGGGCTGAGCATGGCTTGAGGTTAGGGGAGGGAAATACTTGTGGGAACGGGGTCGTGGGAAACTGCAGTTGGATTGCGGGAATGTGCAGAGCAGAAGCCAGGTCGGGGCGGCCGAGGACGAGCTGACTTGGGCAGCAGCCAAGAGCAGAGTCAGCGCATGAACCTGTCGATGATGCACTGTCCGAATGAACGGGAGTGACCCGGGGACACCAGTTTTATGAGATGGATCTCGAACCGACGATGCCGGGCCGGGGGCGACTCGGACCAGGTTTGGCAGCCGGCGGTTGAGGCGACTGTCGCGAGGGTTTCACTCCCTCACCTCGTCAATCACAAACTCCCAGCAGAGGCACCTAATGGACAGAGCCTGTCTGAGAAGCAGGTCGGGTCTGTCGCTGCCCATTGCCACGTCCCAATCAGGTCACCGCCACTTCTCCCATGTGCGATTGTTCAAGGCAAAATGGAAGGCGTCGAGTTCCTCACTCTGTCGCGAGCAATCACAATGACCGGCTGCAGCCCTGCCTGCCCCCACGACGGCATCCTGGATGGAGCGACAGACCCGTGCGCTGAAAGCAAACCCCTTCATTTTACAGGCAATCCAATAAAAAACGGGACACCCGGGTTTTTGACCATTCATCGAATATTTTGTTACCCAATGTTATCGCACGCTGGCCATGACCATTCGCCACACATCCGACTTTCGCACCGCCGCATTGCGATGCTACGCCCTCATCCATAGCCTGCGTAAGGTCGCCTCCATATTCAGTGTATCCAAGAGCACCATCCATCGATGGCACCGAGGATGCAAGCTGGATGACCCATCCCGGGTCCCAGCTCGCAGATCCACTTTCTTCGAGCAGGCATGTCCAGTCATTCGCACCCTGATTGAACAGGATCCGTTCCAGACTGGTCCTGTGTTGCGATGCAAGCTCGAGTCCATCCTCCAGAGGAAAGTATCACTCTCACTCTGCCACACTGCCATCCACCGAGCAGGTCTCTCACACAAGAGGGCAACACACCTCTACAAGTCCAAGCGACTGGATGAGCGAGTGGCACAGTTCAGGGACCAGGTCCGCTCCATCGACCCACGACGATTCGTTTTTGTCGACGAGACAGGGATCAGGAAATCCATTTTCCCCCTCCATGGGTACTCTGAGAGAGGTGCCCGACTGCAGAGGCGCCACAACATGAAGCACAAGTCTGTCTCGGCTGCATTTGCCATCAACCACTCTGGTGTGCTGCATCGCATGTACATCCCCACATCATTCAAGACACACTCGATGGTCGAGTTCTTTGAGCGAGCGAGCTTCCCAGACGACTCTGTGGTTGTGATGGACAATGTCAGCATGCACAAGACAAGGGCTGTCCTGGACTGCATCGAGCGCCGAGGATGGTCAGTGATCTTCACCCCGCCTGCCTCGCCCGACTTCAATCCCATCGAGAACTTCTTTGGGGTTGAGTCCCCACCGATTTGGGGTTTAGTCCCCATCAATTTTGGGGTTGAGTTCCCTCCAATCAAGCCGCCACTTTCACGTTCACATCCCTGTCTTGAACCTCTCGGCGATTTTTGAACAGGTCACTTCCCCAACCAGCCCGCAACGACGGGCTCCTGCTCTCGGGTATAAATGCCACACCTTTGTCCTGCTGCTTTCTTCCCTCATCTCGCCTTGATCTGATCATCGCGCTATTGTACGATAAAAAAAAGTCTCTGCTCTGACCAGTACCACTGGCAGACATCCAGCACCCTCTGCCCCCATGCCTCCGAAGCGTAAGGGTACCGGTGATGGCCAGCCTCGGCCACCCAGGCCCAAGAAAGCCAAGTCACAGTCGGAGCCTGTCTCTGGTTCGTATTCTGACCCCACGCATGCTTGTTTCTCTGTTGCTCCGTCGCTCACCACCACTGCTTCTGCAGATCCAATGGATGTCGATCCCACCGAGCCTGGTCCATCCACTTCCTCGAGTACCGGCAAGCGATGTCGCCAGTGCGATGGCACCGATCACGAGCGAAGCAACACTAGCAAGTGTCCCAAATACCGGCCCCTCAAGAGCTCTGTCGTCTCACTCGTGGATGGAAGGTCATCCGCCCCTCAATACAGCTGCTTCAAGCAGACGATGGATGGCTGTTGTCTCAATCCCGCTCTCCGCGACAAGATCCAGGCCACCGTCGAGGCCATGACACAGATCCAGTTCGAGGCATCCAGGCTGCTCAACCTGCACATCCTCCGGTGCATCGAGCAGGATATTCCCATCCCCGTCATCTCCAAGTCCACCCCTGCTTTCATCCGCCAGTGCTTCACGATTGTCGAGGCCGGTGCCCTCTCCCCGACCGGGGACAATGAGAAATACAACGAGCATCTGGTCGCTTCCTTTCGCGACTACCAGACCACTCGGCACGCAGACCTGCCTCCGGCCCCTCGTCTGCCTGATGGTGCTCACAGTCAGCTTCTCACCCTGGCTGTCAATGCCTATGCCACCAACTGCACCACCCACCTCAACCTGGCATACTGGCGACTTCTTCGCCGCTTCTGCGCTGCCGTCTTCCCAGCCAACAAGCACAAGCACGAAGCCATCGAGGCCTGTCTCGAGCTCTTCGAGAAACCAGGGCAGACACCACCCAAGGCCGATCTCGAGTTCCTCTACCTGGACTTTGGCCACATCCTGGACGAGTTTCGCTACAGCAACGACCAGGACCGCTTCCGGGCCCTTCATCGCCTCTCACACCATGTGGGAATCCTCGCCCGGGACAAGATGGTCGACGATGTCCACAAGTGGATCGACTGTGACATGCCCGCCCTCCGAGTCACCGAGCTGCAGCGCCAGGCCAAGCTGGACAAGCTCACTGCCCGAGGTATTCCCTCCGACGACAAGAGGTTCACCAAGGCCAAGTCTGAGCTCGGCACCACCAAGGCCAAGATCAACAAGCTGGCATCCAGGATCAAGTGGGCTCTCAAGCAGCTCTCTGTCGACACTCCTCCGGCTGTGTGCACGATGGTCCCTCTGTGCACAGCCAAGGCCAAGTACATCAAGATTGATACGGTCACTCTCCGGCAACTCCTTGACACCGATCATCGTCTTGACCTCACCTGGGACATGCTCAAGGAACAAGGTGATGACGGCATCAACAACCAGGATCGACTCTGGCGCAGTTGCTTCAAGCTGCGTAGTTCCCTCTTCCAAGAGCGGGTCAGGGACAAGAAGCTGTTCAACTACGAGATCAGCACCGATGGCATTGGATGCACCATCGGTCTCGTCAAGTTTGTGCGTCGAACCGATCACACCGAGACCATCGAGCCTCCTCCGACTGCCGAGCAGCGTATCCAGGCCCACATTGGCGACCCAGACCCCAACCGCACCACTTGGATTGGCATCGATCCTGGAGTCGGCTCCATCTTCACGGCGGTCATCCAAGCACCGGGCCACCAAGACGAGGTGGTCTCGTTCTCCAATGGCCACTACCAGCACATGTGTGGCCATACGTCCAACACAAGGTGGCACAACACCATGAAGTATCGACTCGACATCGAGACCTGGATGTCGACCACTCCCTCGCCCAAGGTGTCGTCCTCGGAGGCTTTCAAGGTCCATCTCACCCATGTCCTGCGACCGGAGCTGCGAGTGCAGCTCGACTTCCACCTTGGCAAGAAGGCCCGTCACCATCGATTCACAGGCCGCAGGAGACGCCAAGTGGCCGTCGACAGGATGTGCAAGGCCGTCCTGAAGCACGCCCCGATACGGACCGATGTGGTGATCGCCTTTGGCAATGCGTCATGGCGGCAGGGCAAGGGCTATGCATCCAGCCCGAGGAGGCAGCGGTTTGCTCAGTACTTTGAGCAATTCGAGCACCACCGACGCCGTCCCAATCACCCTCATGGAAGCGTCAAGGTAGTCTCGACGAACGAGTTCAACACCTCGCAAGTGTGCTCCAAGTGCCTGGAGCCAGTTCGGTTGGAAGGACTCGATGCGCCCAGTGTTGCGAATTCCCACTTTGTCAGGAGCTGCAAGAATCCCAGCTGCCGGACAGTGTGGAATCGCGACGTCAATGCGGCGCGCAACATGATCACAGTATGCAGGTCGATTGTGGAGATCGGAGAGCGACCGGTGGTCTTCACTCGGAGGCTGCCAAAGTGATCTGTTTTATTTCTTGTGGCTTTGCTTGACGCATGCCATCACATACTACATGTTCATGGAAACGGCTATATTGTCCCGTTTTTTTCTGAATAAAGTGTACACATGAGCAAGAGACACTCCAAAACCTCCACCATTGTGTGTTTGAATGATGTGTGGCGAATGATCATGGCCAGCGCTCATTGGTTTTGGATGGATGACAATAATCGATCGATGCTCAAAACCCGAGGCGTCCGTGTATTATTGAATCGCATGCATTCCAGACGACGGATCCTTCAGGACAGTGCACCACTGCCTCCACCAGCGCTTCCTCCACTCAGTCGGACAGCGAATCGGCACCATCGCCATGTACAGTCGCGAGATAGGCGCAGCGAGGAGCTCGCTTCCGACTGTGCGGGTTCAGCGTCATCAAGGTCGACCGTGCTCGCGACCAGGGCTATCGGCAGAGCCCTGAGGCAGTGGAAATCCGACGCCGCGGCGACGGTTGCTCGGATATTCAAATCTGCGGCCATCTCAGGACGAGCGATGCAGTGTCGAGATGTGGACCGATCGGGTATCTTGTCGACAAAGCCTGCCACACAGGAAAGTTGAAGGGCAGATCCTCGGTGCCCGAGACTACTGTGAATCGGGATGCCTCTTGTGGGGATTGCTGGGGTGATGATATGGCTGCAGTGCCGGTCGCTGGAACGGATAGTAGGGCATTGGCGGCTGCATCGGATAGGTGGGATGCGCGAGCGGGTTTACCACGGGTGACAGGCCTTGGGTTGGAGGCAGTGGGCGCAAAGCCGGTCGCGGAGGGACTCCGGCATGGCCGACAAACCGGTCTATTGAAAACGGAGCCGGTGCTGGTCGTTGCGGCAACGAGGCGGGTGCGGCCGTCGTCGAGGGAAAACGGGGTGGTGCTGTTCCTGAATGGCTTGCTGATGCTGAGGTCCACAGGGCATTTGTCCTGGGGCGCTTGTGTGGTCTGTTCCTATCGCCACGAGCGTCATCGCGCTTGGGTTCCGGAGCCCGCTGTGCCGGCCCGGGGATTTCGTACTCGGTGCCGACCAGATCAACGAGCGCACGCTGGGTCGCATGATTCTTGGCATCTTGCTTGCGCACAAAGTCGGTGTCGCTTCGATACTCCCTCTCGCCGATGCGGAGGATGCAGCCAAAGGAATTGAGACGACGACTGTGGAGAAACTCAAAGTTGGCAATGTAGTTGTGGGCCCGAATGTATTCTTGCAGATATCCTCCGATAGGTTTCTGAGCCATCGGGGTGTGCTTCGCCTCAAGGCCAAGGCTCTTACACGCCACCTGAGCGAGGACGATCGGCAGCAAAACAACGATGAGCGTTAGCGTGGGTCCAGCAATGTGCCAGCAAGACTCCGCACGGAGACCGTGTGAATGCACAGATCCGCCAAGGGCGCTGCCAAACAGCACACGATGCGGATGCATCTGACATGGCCGTGATATCTCTGCATGCGCACACACAAGAAACGCCATGGCACGATCGAGCCGATGATCTCGCATGGGCTACGTCCAGCAAAATAAGGCATCTCAGTACCTTTGCGGCACTCTCTCGGGCCAACTTGTTGGTTTGGAGGGCTCCGATCGAATGAAAGACATCGCGATTGACAGTGAGCGTGCACTTGAAGCCCTGCAGTCGGGAGCCAGAGCACTGAAACGAAGGAGTAGCTGTCTTCTCGGACTTGGGTAGCTGGCGCCACCACGACATGACCGTCTCGATGTAATTGGTTTGCACCGTGACGCCCTCGGCCAGAATCTTGGACTTGTCGACATCATGCGTTGAAGAGAGGCTCGAGCCGGGGTGTCCAGGTGGATCGTATGTCGGCTCCACGATCTCGCCGTACTCAAGATCGTCCTTGAAGAAATCCTCGAGAGTGCCCCGGAGGTTTCGGGTGCGCTTGGCGGCTTCGAAAAAGACCTGCATGAACTGGCAGGCCAGCCGCGATGCATCCTCCTCGGCCTCGATGACGGTCTCGAAGGCACGCGCATTCTCGATATGTTGGTCGATCACAACGATGCTGCAGCGATATAGCGTGCGCGGCACAGCGGACCACGACAGCAACGAGGAATCGGAGGGGACGAGCTCGTAGCGCGGGGGGTCTTCGTTTGGATAATGGACCGACATGAACTCGAGAAGCTTTGTTTTGAATGACGATGATGCTTCGTGGGTTGCGTGTTTCTCCAAGGATGAATGGGAAACGGAGTCGACATTGGTTGGCCTGATGGTCATGCTGACATCGACATCGGCACCGGCATCGACATCGGCATCAGCATTAGCATCAGCATCGTCATCGTCATCGGCATTCGTGTCCCTCGTGTCCAGCATCTTGTCGATGCCGTCCGAGTCTTTGCCGGCATAGAGACTGTCTGTATCAATCGACGCCCCCTCCCACACATCCGAGTCGGCAAGTGGAGGCGAGCCGGGACTCTCGTCCTTTGGATGACTGGAGAACGCCACTGACGGGCCCGATACAGGAGTGGGATCTCTGTGGAGATCGATTACAGCTAGCGCAGATGTGGTCCCTGGATAATGTTCTGCGGTGGTCGATTGCGCTGCAGTGTCGAGTGGATCCGGCGCACCTGATCGATGCCATGACTCGGATCCGCCGATCGGATGCTCGGTACCTAGAGCATCATGAAGAGTCGGATCTCCAGGAGAATGGGTCGGCAGATTCGATAGAGGATGTGCATCCTCGCCCGAGACGGTGGTTGAGGCAGCAGTTGAGGCAGCGGTTGAGACAGCGGTTGAGACTGTGGCCGTCGCTGCAATTCCGCTGTGCTGATCTGGCGAAACCATGCGGCTGTTCCGCAGATCCAGGGTCGAGTGGACAAGATGAAGCAGATGTTGGAGACAGGCTCTTGATCCAAAGCGATATCGGCGGACCCGATCCCAGCTCTCGGCGAATATCAGGGCTCTGTGGACGACCAATCGATTGACCAGGAACGCCCAGAGATTCGACGCATCATCGAGCCCGGATGCCGATGCCAGGCGTGTGCAGAGACTGACGATATCGAGTCCGTCGAGGTTGAGGGCATCCGTGGGGTTGGCTTCGAACAGCCCCAGAGCAAACTGACAAACCAGGATGGTATATCGATCGAGGTCGGTAGACTCGTCTGGCCGCAGTGCCTGCGTTTCAAAGTGGGCAGGGAGATTCTGCCAGGGACTCGGTGGTAGGCAGTCTGGCTCGACAATCGATATCGAACGAGAGTGGCTACTGGAGGCGACCTGGTACTGCAGCGTCTTTTGGAAGTCTGGAGAGCTCTGGGAGAGCAACACGACAAAGGACACCGAAGCCGGGGCGATGAGGTTGAGAGCCGAGATATGGATCGTCATCAGCTGCGGATGAGGGAGGTAATTGAGTCAAACGAGGCAGACGAGGATGTAGCCGATGCAGTCGACAGCGAACAATCTGGCGAGTGGGCGATTGGGATTAGAGGCGAGTTAGCCTCAGGTCGATACTTGCCTGCTCGGCGGATTGGGTGGCATCGGTGGTGAGGAGAAGAATCGTGGGCGAGTCTTTGAGGGAGGGGGGCGTCCGCTTCAGCGAGGCCGAGGCAGCAATGCAGTGGTCCAGCGGGACCAGTGGATGGGACTCGGGCGATGCGTAGACGAGAAGGACGATATGGGGAGGGACAAAGCAGGAGCAGGCGAGGAAGGCAAGAGCCGCTGGAGCCGACTCGGACGGGATGAAGTAGAGACACCGGATAGTGGACGCATCGGGGCGGGCGAAGAGGCCAAAGACCTGGTGATGGAGGGCCATCGGCGGCTGGGGAGGATGGGCTGGAGAAGATGACGGAAGGGAGATGACGGGAGGGAGAAGATGATGGGAGGGAGAAGATGATGGAAGGGAGAAGATGATGGGAGGGAGAGGGAGCCAAAGATCGCGGTTGGCGGATGGGCTGCCATGAGATCAACCCCGGGACCTTCACTTTCAAGAGATGCATCCGGAGATACGTCCCGAGACATGCGATACGCTTTTATTCAGAAAAGAAACCGGGACACCACAGCCGCTTCCATGAACATGCAGTATGTGGTGGCATGCGTCCAACTGAACCATAAGAACGCAGAATGGTCACGGCCATGCACGATATTTTGAGGCAACAGAACATTCGGTCAATGACCAAAAAGCCAGGGTGTCCTGTTTCATTCTGTCTGTCAATGAACGATCGAGACATCCGATTTACACGATGCAGTTTAATGCGATTCAGCTCAATGCAATCGCTTCTATCGTCGCCTGGAATGCACATCCGCTCGCAGCGACCGCATCCCTTGCACCCCGGCACAGACCCTGCGCTGGCCCTCACAGACCCCTCCTCCCGCAGAGGACTCCTCCCGCTGCTCCCGTCGCTTCTCTCCCGCCGTTGCCGCCATTTCTCGGGCATGCATCGGAGCATCTCAGCCGGCGGCAGAAGCGCTCCCCGGGGACGGCCAGCACCCACCGCTGCAGACCTTCTTCCCGCTCGTCGCCGCTGCTGCAGGCGCTGGACTTTCCTGGGCTGCTCTGGACTGCTCCGCGATCCAACTCTTTCCCGGCGGGACAAGTAACTGCCTCTGATCAGCTCCATCAGCTCCATCAGCTCCACTTGCTCCATCAGCTCCACTTGCTCCATCCGCCCTCAGTGATCATGTCGCCAGACTGCAACTCGGACGATGAGGGCCAGGCTCCTCGCTCCGTCTCCAACCCGCCGCCGTCCCTCGACTACTGCCTGGTGCCTGCCATAGCCAAGGCATGCACAAAGCGCATTCAAGAACACATCGACGACACCGTCCGCCTGGACCCAGCCTCGCTCTGCGTGGACTTGGACTACCCTACCGAAAAGGTCAGTTTGGCTCTCGCATTGGCGTTTGCACTTGCAGATTGGGGCTCGCACTTGCATATTGGGGCTCGCACGGACATTTGCTTCATGTCTGCACGTCGCCCTGCAGCATGGCATGGCCTCGCTCTCTTCGGGCTGCTGGATGCACTTTCCTTGCGCTTTCTCTTCCCGAACCTCCAACAACCCCTGGCATATCCCCACCCTCAAACGGCCCCAAAGGCTTCTCTCGCACCAATCATGCACTCGTTCTGGCCGGTTGCATCTGGCCCATCCTCAACTTTCCTCATACCGTTATAATATCGCCCAGCACCCAAAAGGAAGATGCAAGACCTGGGGCCGCTTTGGAGCCAGCCGGAGTGCCGTGTCCCCCGCGAATCCCCGCCCCAGCCGAAGGACATGCAGCCCGGATTCCCAGGCTCTCTTCGACCGGCCGGACCCCATTCCGTCGCCGCCGCCTTCGGCACCGGTCTGCTGCTGGATGGAGCCGTCGGCCTCCGCCCCTGGCTGCAGCCCTTTCGACCTGGCCTCGCCGTCGGAGGCGTCGTCCTGTCAGCTCCGGGCGACGCCGGCCATGGATCCGTCTCATGGCCTCCGGCACGACTCGGAGGATCTTCCCCGGGCCCAGCCCTCTCGGATTGCTTCGTTCCCGGCCGAGCTGCTGATGCAAATCTTCCAGCAGTTTGTGCCGCACTACCACGAGTACCACACCTTGATCTCGAGAGAGTCGACGGTACTGTCGCTCTACCACTGCACGCTGGTGAGCCGCCGCTGGCACTCTGTCGCCCAGGAGGTGCTCTGGAAGTGTCCACGGGTCTATACCCTCGGCCAACTCGAAGCCCTGGCCGACTTTTGCAGCACGGACAGACCCGATACCTTGGGCCGTTGTCGTTCGCTGCGACCCGAGCCCACTACTGCCGAGAACTACCACCTCGTTCGCAGCTTCACGCTCACGGCCACCCTTTCGGAACAGCATCGCAATCACCACTCGCTTTCAAAGATCATCCCACGGTTCCTGATGCATCCCAATATCCACCTCACGGTCTTGGACGTCAGCTTCCTGCGGGGCCTGTCCAACTACGCCTTGATGAAGTGCTGCCCGTATCTGCGCTCCGTCGTGGCCCTCAACCTGGCCGGAGGCAACCGGAGCGCAATCTGCATCACCAAGTGCATCTCGAGCATGCCGAAGCTCACCCGACTCTCGGTCGCCTGGAACGCCAACGTCGACGACATGGTTCTTTACGAGATTGGAGAAAAGTGTCTCGGGCTGGAGTGGATCGATCTGAGCGGATGCGTCAAGATCGGCGACTCGGGACTCTTTGGGCTGGCCCGGCTCAACAACTGGACCGAAGGCGCCCGCGGCCTAAGATTTGTGGATCTGTCCTTTTGCTCCAACATCACCTATGTCGGTGTCTTGGAGCTGGTGGAGCGCTGCGTCGGCACCCTCGATGTCCTGAATGTCATTGGCTGTGGTGACGTGGGCCTGGGAAAGTATGCAACCGATCCCCTTCCGGCTCCCGCACAAGCCCAACCCGGCTCATATGTCGCCCCGTCCAAGACTCAGTCCCTATCCAAGCAGGATCCGCACGAGTCCTTGCTCGACCAGGACAGCGGATCCGGCAAAAGCCGGCCTGTCTCTGGCATGCCATCGTCCCCGAGCCCAAGCACAGATCCCAATGCGACGGGAGCATCCGGACAGCCACAGGAGCCCGGTTCTGCCACCAGAAGCCTCGCTGGCCACAAAAGCTGCTCCGCTCCTGCAGCCTCGGCAGACCGAAACAGCCCGGCAGACCGAAATGGCCCGGCTGGAGGCGGCCCATCGCTGGGCGATCAGAGCGCGGAGCACTCCAACCCCCCGCGGACAGCAGCCGGACCTGGCCCCGAGGAGATAGAAGGCGAGGATTGGCGGCGGGTCATTGTGAACCTGCCCGGGTTCGTCCCGTTCTAAGCGAAGGATGGTTGAGCAGAGAGCCATACGACCTCCCTCTCTCCCCACCCACACCCGTCTGCCTGTTGGGAGGACACTTGAATAGACTTGTGGCTACTTCTTCCTCTGTGACTACTTCTTCTTCTGCGGCTGCTTGCCCCTCTGCCTGAGCATTGATATCGGTCCACAGTCCGTCGTGCCTCGTCGTGCCTGTTGCGTTGCCGGCGGCTCCGTATCGGCTGCCCGAGTCATCCGAGTCACCAGACATGACGCCGTCACGTGCGCCGGCTATCGCCCGCTTGTGGCCTTGGGAAAAATGGCTCCTTGGCTCCGAGCCGACTGGCTTCTGTTGAGCCAAGCGCCGTCGCCCTCTCTCCTCCCTCCTCCGGCATCCAAGCGCACGAACGTCCCGGAGCGGCCTCCCCTCGTCGATTCCTCCCTCTCTGCCGCGATGAACAGCCTGCCAAAGGCCCTCCGGACCTTCTCCTCCGAGTCGGCGGCCTGGCACGTCGGTAAAAAGATCGGCCTCGTCGGCAAAGAGCCGACCACACCCGTCACTCTGCAACATCTGATCAAGCTCGGCCAGGCAAAGGACAAGCTCGCCTCCGCGCAGTTTCTGTATGAGGAGCTGCCCAGGCGTCTGGCCCGTCGGGTCATGGGTGCGTTCTGGATCCGCATTTGGGAGTTGCGTCAGGATCGGAATCGAGGATGGGTGGGAGGGAAACGAGGATCGAGAATTGGGATCACGATGAGACTCAGGATCGGTATCAAGGATCAGGATAAGGACTGGGCTGTCTCTGGACTCTCTGTTCGTGCACCTGTCGCAATTGCCCATGCTTGGGCGGCACTGCACAGCATCCACAGCGGCGAATTGGGGAGGAGGAGGAGCATTTTTCTCGCTTGACAGAGCCAAACAGACTCGTGCATGGAGTTTGGGCCGCCGGCTCTGCCGACATCCCTCCTCCTCCACCTTCTCACCATGACCTCTTGGCCTTCCCCCCTTTCATCAACAGCGATCCAGAAACTGCCATTCATCGTCGGCGTGAATCCCTACATCAAGAGCATCTACAACCTCTATAGTCACTCGTTCGAGACCCTGCAAAAGATTCCCAAGCCCGTCGATGAGCCCACTCTGAACGTGTACTCGGAGCAGCTGCGAGAGCTTGTGGATTCGCATCAGGACGTCATCCCGAACCTCGCCAAAGGTACCGTTCGTGAAAGCGCGAGAGAAGGAGGAAGAAACGACGAGATACACCTGCGAGGCTTTGGGTTGCCGTCGGGCTGGATCTTGGAGCACTGTCGGAGAGGAGGCTCTGGATTGCAGGCACGCACACGCCAAGCAAGATCACCTCCGATCTGCCGAATGCGATGCAGTTTCTGCGAGGACACTGCAGCATCCCCTGTGCTTGGCAGTACCAGAGTGCCCCCCCCCAGCGTCTCATGCGCAACCGTTCATTATGGGCTGATCCCCTGGGTACGTCACAGGTTTCTTGGAGTGCGGCAAGTACATGGACAAGCAGAGCGTCACCGAATTCCTGGATGGCATGATCAAGGCTCGCATCGGCATTCGAGGTGGGTTTTCTGGAGACCACCCAGGCACTTGGCTGCAACTGCAGTGGCAGATTCTCACTGGTGACATGCTCGCTGGATGGGCTTGTTGGCTGGATGTGGTCGTTCGCTGGATGGGCTTGTTGGCAGAAAGGATTGCCACTCTTGCAACTCGACTGCCTCTGCTGTCTCTGCTGCCTCTGCTCCTCTGCTGCCTCTGCTGTCGCCCTCCCCGCACTCACATCATACATCATACTGTTTTACCAATGTCGCTGCTTGGATGGTTGTCTTGCCTCGTATCGCCTCGCCTCGCCTCGCTGCTGATCGCAGTGCTTGCCGAGCACCACTTGGCCATGACCGAAACCCACCATAACTGGGTCGGCGTCATCGACACAAAGCTGTCGCCATCGATCCTCATCCGCTCGGTGGCCCACCGGGTCTCCGACATTTGCGAGATCAACTACGGAACCGCACCCGAGGTCGAGCTCAAGGGACACACCTCCACGACTTTCAGCTACCTCCACGTTCATCTCGAGTACATTCTGATGGAGCTCCTCAAGAACTCGATGAGGGCGACGGTTGAGCACTCCATGAAGCTCCGCCGTCGGGAGCAGCCGCCGGTCGAGATCACGATCTGCGAAGGCAAGGACGACATTCACATCCGCATCCGCGACCAGGGCGGCGGCATCTCGTCGGAAGGTAACTCCATCGGCTGTCCTCTCGATGTACTGCTGGGGAGGGAGAACGGATGAAGGCGGTGTGAATCGGGACTTGGCCACAGATGCGTCCGCGGCCTCCTCCCTCTCGCGAGTGACACTAATGTCTGCTTTGCCGCGGCCGATATACCCATTAGATCTGCCCAAGGTGTTTGATTACAGTTTCACGACCGTTCCAAAGATCAACGAGGACGAAGGCATCTTTGAGACGCAGGCCAGACTCGCGATGCAGTCGGGCGTTGGCGGGCCCATAGCCGGTAAGCGCCTGGTTGACTGGCGGGGTTGGCTGACTTGGCTTATTAATTGAGTGATTGGCTGGCTGACTGACTGACGCTGGATGTTCGATTTCTCACCCACTGTCTCTTGATGAACTCGAACCCCAATGGCCAGGCCTGGGCTTTGGTCTGCCCATGTCCAGGATCTATGGTGAGCATCCGCTGCATCTCGTCGCACCCGGCTGCATCTGGCATCATCGAATGGCAGCTAGCACTGCTTGCCGCTACATCGGGCCAAAACAACCACAAACGCTAACGCTCTGATTTTGTCCGTTGGACCTGCCCGCCTATCTCATCCATCTCCGCCGCGCATATCTGCCACGCGCCCTGCAGCCAAGTACTTTGGCGGATGCCTCGAGCTGATACCGGTCGCTGGCCATGGCTGCGATGTGTTTCTGACGCTGCCAAACATCAGCGGAGCCGCCAGCGCCCAGAATGTGAAAATCTAGTCATGGGCAATCCGTTCACAATATAGAGCATCGCATGTCTGCCCCCCCCCTCCTACACTTTCTCCCTCGTGTCCAGCCACAGCTTTGAATCGATGAGGGAGTCTGCCCGATGAAGGCCGAGTGAGTAATGAGTTTCCCCGAATGACAATCACAAAATGCCCCCCCCCTGTCTCGAATCACACCAGGCGATCTTTCAAGACAACTGACTATGTACACACGGATGGTGGAAGCGAGACCACCGGCCGCCTTGAGTGATTCGGAACTCGGCTGTGCAGCTCAAGAGCCTGTGGTGATTGAATGAAATGGCTGAATGATCTCACCAGCGACCAAGGACAAGTGACGTTGCCACCGGCAAGGAACTTTGCCGAGAGGGAATCCGTATTTGATCTTGCCGCTGTCCTTGCAGCTGCCCTTGCACTTGCCCTTGCTTCTACCCCCCCGGTGATGTCGAACCATGTCGTTCCCGAACGAAAAGTCGCAGGAGCCCCAAGGAGACAAGGCAGACAAACTTGCGCTTCCCACGATCCCTGACGGCGATGTTGGGCCGGCTTTACCAACCGAGGACGCCCATGCCCAAGAGGACGCCCATGCCCAAAACACCAACCCGAGGCCCTCAAACGTCATGGAGCAGACGCAGCGACGGTCCTTTCTCAGCTGCCTGTACTTTGTGGTCAGATACACACTCGCAACGTCGCTGATGGTGTCGATCGCCGCCGGCCTGATCGTCGCCGGGCTCTATACTCTGGAGCGGCAGCTTTCGGCCGGCCCGCTACCATTTTCCGGGATCCTGGTGTTCCGAGTCCATCTGCTGCTCTACTTCAGCATGGCAATGGGGACATATCTCAAACTAGGGCCCCTCCACAACATCCATCTCCTGCGGGCATCGATGGCGGTCGAGGTCATGATTGTCGCCGCGATCGTCGGCGCCCTTGGCTTGACGGTCGAAACGGCACTCATCATCCGCCCTCTGGTTCCCGTGGGGCGATGTATCGTCGAGGCTTTTATTATATTCCGGAAGGACTGGAAGTCGCTTGTCGGCTGGATCGTGGTGTGGACCATGCTCGCCATCAACATCGAGGTGGCTGCCTATGCGATTCTCGGCTGCTTCTACTTGTTTCAGCAGTTCAAGAACAGTCCCCAGATCATCAATGTGCTGCTCATTGGGCTGGTCTATCCCCTGATTGCGTGGTTCCAAGCGCTCTTGGGAATCATTCTGTACGAGAAAATGCCAGGGTCAAATCGAGTGCCCAAGGTCTGCGAGGACGAAGACTTTCGAGGCAGCCGGCAGAGCTTCATCTACACAGACTCGGGTATGCGCTCCGGGCATAGACAGCGGGCCGTCTACTCGCCGGTACAGTTAGATTGAGTGCCAATTAAGACGCTGGCTGACTTTCTGCGTTCAATCGCCATCATCCTTCCGTGCCTGTCGGTACCCATCGGACGGATGGGCGACGATGAACTCTGCTGCAACCGGCCATCGAACGGGTGCACCCACAGAAACCCTAAAGCGAGGTACATACTTTACTTTGCTCGCACTTTCAACGTGGCTCGAAGCAATGCATGGGAATGCAGCCAAAACGAGACCGAGCCAAGGCATAGCTAACAAACGGCTATGCTCCCGCTGGGTACGCATCAGGCTCGGTGCTGGTTCTCACCACCATCAGCCCGTTCATCAAGCTGATTTCCATGGAGTGGACGACGGCGTCGTGGATAATATCGCTGTTCGGCATGGGCGCGAGCCGGGTCCTGATTTCGCTTGCACAATACGCCCTCTTCCGGCTCTACCTTGCGAACGAGATGGAGCAACTCGCTGCGAATCGCAACCAGAGGCCGACCAGGACCGGAAACCAAACCAACAAGAGCAAGGACCTCGAAGCCAATGCCAATGCCAATCCCAATGCCCATGCCAACGCCAGCACCGACCCCAACGCCGATGCCGATGCCGCTGCCAGCGTCAACGTCCATTTCGATTCTAAGATGACAGGTGGCTCGACCAGCCAGGCGGGCGTTGTTTCCGGCAGATGCGCCGCCATGCTGAGCCAACCGCCCAGCAGGAGCTTCAAGGAGGCAGCAGAGGCATCCACAAAATCCAGAGGGGCACAAAGCAGACCCGATCAACGCTCTATGAATGAATTGGCTATAGAGGACACCACAATCGAAAGCCGGAAGAGCACTGCGTCGTCGCGGACCGGAATTTCGACCATCCGATATTCGATCGCAAGAGGAGGAGAGCGGCTGGTCAGCCAGGCTAAGGCGGCCATGGTGAAGACCGTCAGTCGAGATGGGACCAGTGAAAGCGAGGGCATCACGATCTACATGAGAGTGTCGATCCGGGCTGTGCAGGAAGTGGATGCGTGCATCATCGAGCAGAGCTCGATCTTGTGCAGCATCTTTGGCGTTGCAGCAGTCGGGCTGATTCCGAGCCTCAACTTTACCGACAACAACTCGGGCTGGGGGCCGTTCCTGCTGGATCAGTTTGTGTCCCGGGCTCTTTCGATCATCATCACGGAGATCTTCCTGGGAGCAGCGATCATGTATGTCAACGAAATGTATGGATTCCGGTATCTCCCGGGGATGGCAACAAGAAAGCGACTCGAGCGGATCGACTATGGAATCATGGTGGCGCACGGCATGGGCATCATATGCCTGTGTCTCAAGGCCCAGCAGTTCTGGCAGAGCCTTCTCCAGCAGCCCGACAGGACTTTCGTCAAGTGAAGCAGGGTGATCTGCATAATATATTGGGTACGGTTCGTCGGAGATGGACTCATCGATGCTGTCCACCTGTGAATATATCCTACACTTTATTCAGAAAAAAACGGGACAATATAGCCGTTTCCATGAACATGTAGTATGTGCTGTGCTTGCGTCAAGCAAAGCCACAAGAAATAAAACAGATCACTTTGGCAGCCTCCGAGTGAAGACCGCCGGTCGCTCTCCGATCTCCACAATCGACCTGCATACTGTGATCATGTTGCGCGCCGCATTGACGTCGCGATTCCACACTGTCCGGCAGCTGGGATTCTTGCAGCTCCTGACAAAGTGGGAATTCGCAACACTGGGCGCATCGAGTCCTTCCAACCGAACTGGCTCCAGGCACTTGGAGCACAATTGCGAGGTGTTGAACTCGTTCGTCGAGGCCACCTTGACGCTTCCATGATGGTGATTGGGACGGCGTCGGTGGTGCTCGAATTGCTCAAAGTACTGAGCAAACCGCTGCCTCCTCGGGCTGGATGCATAGCCCTTGCCCTGTCGCCATGACGCATTGCCAAAGGCGATCACCACATCATTCTCCCTCGGGGCGTGCTTCAGGACGGCCTTGCACATCCTGTCGACGGCCACTTGGCGCCTCTTGTGGCCCGTGAAGCGATGGTGACGGGCCTTCTTGCCAATGTGGAAGTCGAGCTGCACTCGCAGCTCCGGTCGCAGGACATGGGTGAGATGGACCTTGAAAGCCTCCGAGGACGACACCTTGGGCGAGGGAGTGGTCGACATCCAGGTCTCGATGCTGAGTCGATACTTCATGATATTGTGCCACTCAGTATTGGACGTATGGCCACACATTTGCTGGTAGTGACCATTGGAGAACGAGACCACCTCGTCTTGGTGGCCCGGTGCTTGGATGACCGCCGTGAAGATGGAGCCGACTCCAGGATCGATGCCAATCCAAGTGGTGCGGTTGGGGTCTGGGTCACCGATGTGGGCCTGGATGCGCTGCTCGGCAGTCGGAGGAGGCTCGATGGTCTCGGTGTGATCGGTTCGACGCACAAACTTGACGAGACCGATGGTGCATCCAATGCCATCGGTGCTGATCTCGTAGTTGAACAGCTTGTGATTGATATCTCGGTCACGGAAGAGGGAACTACGCAGCTTGAAGCAACTGCGCCAGAGACGATCCTGGTTGTTGATGCCGTCCTCACCTTGTTCCTTGAGCATGTCCCAGGTGAGGTCAAGACGATGATCGGTGTCAAGGAGTTGCCGGAGAGTGACCGTATCAATCTTGATGTACTTGGCCTTGGCTGTGCACAGAGGGACCATCGTGCACACAGCCGGAGGAGTGTCGACAGAGAGCTGCTTGAGAGCCCACTTGATCCTGGATGCCAGCTTGTTGATCTTGGACGTGGTGGTGCCGAGCTCAGACTTGGCCTTGGTGAACCTCTTGTCGTCGGAGGGAATGCCTTGGGTAGTGAGCTTGTCCAGCTTGGCCTGGCGCTGCAGCTCGGTGACTCGGAGGGCGGGCATGTCACAGTCGATCCACTTGTGGACATTGTCGACCATCTTGTCCCGGGCGAGGATTCTCACATGGTGTGAGAGGCGATGGAGGGCCCGGAAGCGGTCCTGGTCGTTGCTGTACCGAAACTCGTCCAGGATGTGGCCAAAGTCTGGATAGAGGAACTCGAGATCGGCCTTGGGTGGAGTCTGCCCTGGTTTCTCGAAGAGCTCGAGACAGGCCTCGATGGCTTCGTGCTTATGCTTGTTGGCTGGGAAGACGGCAGCGCAGAAGCGGCGAAGGAGTCGCCAGTAGGCCAGGTTGAGGTGGGTGGTGCAGTTGGTAGCATAGGCATTGACAGCCAGTGTGAGAAGCTGACTGTGAGCACCATCAGGCAGACGAGGGGCCGGAGGCAGGTCTGCGTGCCGAGTGGTCTGATAGTCGCGAAAGGAAGCGACCAGATGCTCGTTGTATTTCTTGGTGTCCCTGGCCGTCGAGAGGGCACCGGCCTCGACAATCGTGAAGCACTGGCGGATGAAAGCAGGGGTGGACTTGGAGATGACGGGGATGGGAATATCCTGCTCGATGCACCGGAGGATGTGCAGGTTGAGCAGCCTGGATGCCTCGAACTGGATCTGGGTCATGGCCTCGACGGTGGCCTGGATCTTGTCGCGGAGAGCGGGATTGAGACAACAGCCATCCATCGTCTGCTTGAAGCAGCTGAACTGAGGGGCGGATGACCTTCCATCCACGAGTGGGACGACAGAACTCTTGAGGGGCCGGTATTTGGGACATTTGCTAGTGTTGCAACGTTCGTGATCGGTGCCATCGCACTTGGGACATCGCTTGCCGGTACTCGAGGAAGTAGATGGACCAGGCTCGGTGGGATCGACATCCATTGGATCTGCAGAAGCAGTGGTGGTGAGCGACGGAGCAACAGACGACCAAGCATGCGTGAGATCAGAATACGAACCAGAGACAGGCTCCGACTGTGACTTGGCTTTCTTGGGCCTGGGTGGCCGAGGCTGGCCATCACCGGTACCCTTACGCTTCGGAGGCATGGGGGCAGAGGGTGCTGGATGTCTGCCAGTGGTACTGGTCAGAGCAGAGACTTCTCTTTATCGTACAATAGCGCGATGATCAGATCAAGGCGAGATGAGGGAAGAAAGCAGCAGGACAAAGGTGTGGCATTTATACCCGAGAGCAGGAGCCCGTCGTTGCGGGCTGGTTGGGGAAGTGACCCTGTTCAAAAATCGCCGAGAGGTTCAAGCCAGGGATTTGAGCGTGAAAATGGCGGAGTGATTGGAGGGAACTCAACCCCAAATCGGTGGGGACTCAACCCCAAAGAAGTTCTCGATGGGATTGAAGTCGGGCGAGGCAGGTGGGGTGAAGATCACTGACCATCCTCGGCGCTCGATGCAGTCCAGGACAGCCATTGTCTTGTGCATGCTGACATTGTCCATCGCAATCACAGAGTCGTCTGAGAAGCACCCTTCGGTGAGTATCCGTAGAGAGGAAAATGGATCTCCTGATCCCTGTCTCGTCGACAAAAACGAATCGTCGTGGGTCGATGGAGCGGACCTGGTCCCTGAACTGTGCCACTCGCTCATCCAGTCGCTTGGACTTGTAGAGGTGTGTTGCCCTCTTGTGTGAGAGACCTGCTCGGTGGATGGCAGTGTGGCAGAGTGAGAGTGATACTTTCCTCTGGAGGATGGACTCGAGCTTGCATCGCAACACAGGACCAGTCTGGAACGGATCCTGTTCAATCAGGGTGCGAATGACTGGACATGCCTGCTCGAAGAAAGTGGATCTGCGAGCTGGGACCCGGGATGGGTCATCCAGCTTGCATCCTCGGTGCCATCGATGGATGGTGCTCTTGGATACACTGAATATGGAGGCGACCTTACGCAGGCTATGGATGAGGGCGTAGCATCGCAATGCGGCGGTGCGAAAGTCGGATGTGTGGCGAATGGTCATGGCCAGCGTGCGATAACATTGGGTAACAAAATATTCGATGAATGGTCAAAAACCCGGGTGTCCCGTTTTTTATTGGATTGCCTGTAAGACGACGGGATACTGATATCATGTTCCCAGCTGGTGGAATACTGGTGGGATACTGGAGTGATACTGGAGTGTGGTGCATGTATTCGACTTTCAAGTACTCCGTGGTTTCTGGATATCAAGATGGTCGGGTGTCCGTTTCGCTTTGGGTACTTTGCAGCGATTCCAATCGTCAATCACACATCCGTGCCGCCGACGAGAGAGCCAGAGAGCCTTTGAGCGGTTCTGGCGGCCAGGTCCGCCGTATCCGAGCGATTGACCGGGCAATCGACCGGGCAATCAACCAGTGCGAGGGAGGCAATGGCGGGAGTATGCATTCGAGACCGCCGCAGACGGAACATGGTGCGGCATGACGATAGCCCCGAGCAAGTCGAATAACAATCGATTGCCTTCCCCGACCCGCCCTTTGCCCCATCTCTGATCTCGGCATTCGCATTGCATAACGGCGCACTGCATCACGGCGCATCGATCTGCCGCCGTCGGGCCGATTGTTGCGTTTGCCGCCGTCCCCCTTGGCCTGCTCAATCTGCGCTGCTCTCGTCATCCTGCTCTCCGCGCTCGCTCCTGGCCCGGCACTCGCCGCCTTTCCCCAGGGACATTCGCTGACGCATCGGTGCATCGTCATCCAGTCGGCTCTGCGACCCACGGCCCCCGATCATATATCCGCGCTGGGCACCCCGGTTGTGATCTCATTCCCCCCTCCCTGCCTCTCGACCGGGAGATCATCCCTTCCGCCTCAGCTGAAACGATCGCATCTGCACCGTGGCCGGCAGACCCGTCATTGCGGTCCAGCAGCAGCAGCAGCTCCTGCTTCACTGTTTTCGCAAACTGCTTCGTATCTCGCCGATCTGCTTCGTTTCTCGCCGAACCTGCCTTCGCGTCTTGCGTCCTGTCTTGACCCAAGCACATTCTGGCACTTTCCGGCACCCTCCCTTCGCCTGATCACATCCCCCATCTCGACCCACTACCCTTACGGATTCCATCGCCGGGACCTGATTCTGCTGCCGTTGCGCTGTGCTCCGAAACCGGCCCTGTCGGATCGCTTGCTCTGGCTCTTGGGGACCGCACATATTTCTTTTTCTTTCCTCTGCCCGCTACTCCATCCAACCACCTGCCCCACACACGCACCGAGAATCGCCAGCGAATGTCGCATCACTGGATCGGAACTGATCTGGGAAAGGGATTTTCAATCGTTGGTCTGCGCTGCGACTGTTTTGTCTGAGTATCTACTTTGCTTTATCTCTGCAGTTCCTTCTCTTCCTCCCCCCCCTCCTCATTTCCACCTTCCTTCTACCTTCCTTCTACCTTCCTTCCACCTTCCTGTTCGTACCCTGTCTTCTCCATCTTTCTGGCTCTGTCGATCCGCGTTCCGTCACAGGAATCCCTCGGCCCTTGTACGAGCGACGGACAGGTCGGTTCACCCGGTTTCGTCGCAACTCTGCTGGAAGATGGACTACCACATCGGGTGGTGTCTTGTCTGCGAACAGCAGCTCAAGGTAAGCCCGTAGAACCTATGTCCCGTTGCCTTCATGCGAGTTGCCCTGCAAGGGCTTGGGGCTGGACTCTGTGTCGTCGAGATTACATCTCGATCCAGCAACGGCAACCGCAACCGCAACCACAACCACCGCAATCCCAACCCCAATCCCCAGTTCGCTCATCTGTCCTTCCTCTCGACCGCCGTTCCCATCGCCATCGGTCTGTTGTCCTTGCTGCTCGCATCCCTGGATTCGGCCTCAAGCACAACCAGTTCGTCTACTGCTCCCAGACTTGCCAGCACCGAGACCTCTATGCCGCCGCCCTGCTGCCCCCAGGCCCGGTGATGCGGCCGCGTGCCTTGTCGTCCAATGCCGCATATCCAACAGCCCTTCCTTTCCATGAGCCCCAGAAGGCCATCAAAAGGGCCGATGCTGTTCATATCCCACGCCAGTCCAGCGATCGCTGTGATGTCGATGCCGCGCTGGCCGACCACCCACATCGCAGACCAGCCCAGCAACCAAACCATGGCCTGTCCGATGATCTCCCGCTCGGTTCTCTCATGGGCGAATCCGCCCCAATCGGCTCTGTCCACCGACTTCCTTCGCTCTCCATCCATCCGACTCCCCCCCAGATGCAAGAAACTTGGCCCAGCAGCCCGCCGTCATCCTACAAGGGCATGCAAGAGGCTCCCTGGCTGGGCGACCTCGCGACCAAGCTCTCGCTGACACCCACGGCGTCCTCGACCTTCTTCCTCTCGCAGTCGCACTTCAAACGAAGCTTCAGCATGTACGATCTCGGGAGCATCTGCACGCTCCCGGTCACGGACCACTGCTTGAAGCGCTACGATTCCCGTCCCCTCAAGCGACACTACCATGCCAACTCCAGGTCCGAGCTGGACCTCGCTAAGCGCAAGTTTATTCCGTTTTCCAAGCTCGTCACCGACGACCGACTCTGTGTGGGCGGTTGGAGCTAGCTAGTGGTTTGTGCTGTCTGCCTGTCGAGCAAGTCCCCCCCCCATTAGTTGGCAATCTTTGTTATCCGCCGAATCAGCCCTCGGTCGCCGGCCTATTCGACCACCATTAGAGCTATTCCCCTCTGCTGCCTGGAGTTCCTCCGCTGCTATGAGCTCAAGCCACCTCCGTCACAGCCAGCCAGCCAGCCAGCCAGCCAGCCAGCCAGTCCGGGCCTCGTTTCAAACAGCCCACTCTCGTTTCTTTCTTTCTTTTTGCTTCTCATTTTGGACGCTCAGCAATCCGCAACTGCGTCACCCACGAGGACAAGCAACCGCCTCGATTTGCTTTCAATTTTGTAATCGGCCTGTGTGTGTGGGGGGGAGCGTTTTTTGGGATATTGTTCTCCACCTGTTTTGATCCATAGATTCATTTTTTGGGGGAGGGGGTTGAAGGCGAATGCGTCGGGCATGCCAATAGCGATGAAAAACCCTGATCCAGATGAGAGCCCGCGCCAATCAACAGCCAACAATCAGCCCAAAGCGGCGAGACAGAGGCGGGTTTGGATGTGAGCCGGCTGGCATGGCGGGCTCCGGGCCTTGGGCGGGAGGGCGGTCTGTTGGGATCCGAATCGGGGCTGGCAGCTGGGAGACTGACTTGACAGGCCAGCGTCGTCGTCGTGGGGGAGTGCGGAGAAAGTGCATCGTCTGCGACTGCTCTCCCAAGAACAGAGCGCACCGCCGCTGTCTCTCGATTGCAGCGGAGCACGCCAGCCGCAGTTGATCCAGAGAGCTCAAAACTCGGACACGATCGACTGCCGATGGATTTCGGAGCAGCCGCTGCGAAGAAAGGGTCCGCCGGATTGCAGGACCGATGCGAAATCAATGTTCCGGTCGATGACGCAGCCAAGGAGACAGCGAGGGGAGGGCAGGAAGAGGTGTGAGTAGCCGAGACATATGGGCAGGTCGCCGAACGAGCCGTCCATCAGCAGGACATTGTGCTATGAACCACAGCACTACACCAGTGCGGCACAAATACATACTCGCTGTTCTTCAGCACCCGCCAGTAATGGTCGCAGAACTCGGATTTGCCCAGCAGCTGCATAAACTCCTCGTCATGGGTGATGATGATCAGCTGGAAGTTGGACTGGAGCCTCCGCATCTTGATGATGCTGTTTCAGCCCGAGATTGCAACCGCAGCGATGAAAAGTACGCGTGAGAACAGGAATGCTGGCCCCACGCTTCAACGAGTGCGGCTCTGGTCCACGACGCTGAGCGGGCTTGGATCGTGCGCCCCTGAAATCGCACGGCAAATGCCGCAGAGCATGAGCTTCCTCACCGCTACGCTCGGCTCCTTGGCACCCCGCCCCAGACCTACTTGACCAGGCTCTCTGCCAGGCTCTCGATGTTGGCGCGATCGAGGTTCGTCGTGGGTTCGTCCAGGGCAAGAATGCCGCAGTTCAGGCAGAACGACTCGGCCAAAGCCAGTCGGATGATCAAGGATGCCAGGACCTTCTGTCCGGCGCTGCACCGTCCTCGCATATCGAGTTCGATGTCGCTCTTGATCATGACAACCTGGACAAGAAGTGCCGCGTCAGCACATGGATGCCAAGCTTGTCACTCACGGATCGCTGGCTCGACAATGACGGGAACGACCGCAAGAGGAGCACTGGCAGCTTACTCTGTAGTTATAGGACTGGTTGCCTCGTATGCCTTCGTTGTCAGAGCGGATCTCAATCGTGTCGATGTCTGTTGCAAACACTTGTCGCTCAGCAAGCTGCGATGCGCATGCAACACTCCCACCACATCAAGGCAGCATAACAGTGCGGTACCACACCGCCATAGCACCGCGGGATACTCACCCGCCCCTTGGTAGGTATTGGTCCAGAGCTCACGGATCGTCTTGTTGATCTCCTCCATCTTCATTGAATGATACTTCATGATTGCGCTGCACAGCGATACCATCCGGAGCCGAGTTGAGCAATTAGCCGATACGATCGACACGTCCATAGCCACTCCATCCGCTTGTAGCGGCGCCGCCAGTTCGCACTGATCTGATAAACCAGCGTACGGAAGCCCTCGTGCTGCACACCCCAGATCGGTTACCTGTCCAATGCCTTTGCGTACTTTTCCAGATCGTAGTAGGCCAGCTCTTCGGTCTATGGGCAGAGTAATAAGCAATCAGACACATGGCGAGCAGATACGAGGATGCGCGTCCGAGCATGGAGAAGCAGATCCGACCTTGAGCTTGATTGTGCCCTCGTGGAACTCTTCGTCAATGTTCTTGTAGTCGCTGTCAAGCTGCTCGAGAAGATGCCGCTCTTGTTCCTCCAGTTGCTTCAGCTCGCCAAGAAGCGTGGCTCGCTAGTGTTGGTGGCGACAAGAACGGCGAGTGTAGCGACGGCAGTAATGGTCGTCGGCGATAGTAAGAATCAAAATAACCTCGACCGAGTAGCACAGCGGATGTCCCCTGTTCCTACAATGGGCTCAACCACCTATCCATCCACTTTACCTCGCTGATCAGTTGATCGTGCTTCTTCTTCACCCGCGCGTAATCCGCGGCAAACTCGGCGCCTTGCTGTCGCTGCAGCTCGGCCTTTGCAGTGTCCAGACTCCTGCTGATCTGCTCGATCTTCCGCTCCATCTGGCGGTACCGCAGGTTGTCATCGATCCCGCGCTGTAGAACCTGGATCTGGCTGTTGACCTTGAGGACCGACTCGATCTCGTTGCTCAGGCCAGCGATTTGCGTCTCGATGTTCCGCTTCTGGGTTTCTACGGCTCGGACTTCCTTGATGCACCGCTGGAGCCGCTCGTCGCCCCGGGAATTGACGTATCTAGCTCGCAACCCACAAAAGACCACCATTAGCCGCGGCTGGCGCACATCAGGGCCCGGCTTCCAACCCCAAAATCGGGCCTGGTATACAGCTGTGCCCTGTCGGTATGCGCGTCGATGTCCATACCGTTGGATATCCCGCTCGATGGCTTGGATTTGGTTGACAGCGTCACGGAGCTGCGCAAGGTCCTTGACAAGCACGCTCTTTTTGGCCTCCAAGTCACTCCGGAAGCTTGAGAGCTCCTTCTCAGCCGCGCGGATCTGGAGCGAACTGCTGCTGATCTCGCGCTCGGCGTTCTAGAAACACCATCCCGATGCCGATGTAGCAGATGAGGCTGTTAGATGTGTATCCTGCGCGTAGTGCTGCCTTTTGCACGACATCGCTACGTTGCCATCACTACGCTGTCAGCACTACATTGCCATCACTACTTGCCATCACTACGCTGGTACCGTACCTCAATTTCACGATTAAAAGCACTCGTCTCCTTCTGAAGCTCGTCCATAGTCTTGATGAGTTGAGCCTTCTCTGCATCTTTCAGCTGCTCCGCATTGAGCCGCTCGCGCAGATTGCGGATATGGACTTCTTTCGACTGGATTTCTCGCTGCTTAGCGCGAATGTCCCCGTTGGCTTGTTCGAGGCTCTTGCGAAGTTGCTTGCTGCAGGTTGCGGAAATGCGCATTAGAGCAGGTGGCTCTCGAATAACTCGGCAGCTGGCTGATGGGCACATACTGCAGACGCGGCCGCATAGGAAAAAACACAATACCATCGCGACGAGCACTCCTCTTGCTCCTGCTGGAGCTCGTCCATGGTCTTCCCACTACCACCAGCCTCAAGGTCCTTGGAGAGTCGATCGACCTCCTGGCCCAGAGCAGCAAGTTCGCTCTTGAGCCGCGTGTGCTCTCCGATTTTCGTCTTCAGGAGTATCAGCTGGTCGTGCTCGACACCGAGGAGCCCCAAATTGCCGAGAACCTGACAAAGTATGTGGCATGAGCAGATCGCCAATCTTATATCCTCCCTTTCCAGGCTCCGTGGCCAGACGCCAAGGACTGGCAGAGAGGTCGCACCGATCTGCAGCACACCTCCATCTCTTTGTGCACAAGCTCACATCGTCGTGGTCTGACCGACAGGCTTCGAGCTCTTCTTCGCACTCGCCGATCGATTTCCTCAATTCCGGGATCACGCTTTTCTTGAGCTTCTCGACCTCGTCGGCAACTCCACGCAAATTCAGCAGCTGCGTGCGGTGCTTCTCGAGACTGGCTAGCTCCTCCTGTGCATCTTTGACCTGGCCAGGAACCGCTTGAATGACTGCTTTGAGCTGCAGAGCCCAAGAGAGTCGTGCAAATCAGTCGAATGGCCCGTTGGGAGACGAGAGGCTGCCTTCCACGGTGCGTATACATTTCGGATGCATCAAACGATCACGAAATGCGCATTTCCTTGCATCGTTGGTCAACCCATGCGAGCCACTGTCCGCCCGAGCCTCTTCGCAGCTACATACTCGGGATGTAAACTTCTTTTCCTCCTCGCGGGTGCCAAACTGCCTGACGCACAGCGGACAGTGTTTCTTGGACTCGAACACAGCCAGAAACTGCTCGTAAAACTTTGCTGCACTCGTCATCGACGACGAGACCCTGGCAGCGAGATCAGTCAGCACAACTCAGCCAAAGTCGCAAAAGCGATGCTGCTGCGACACAAAACATACTCAAGATAGTCCTGGTACTCAATCTCGGCCTTCTCCATGGCGGTGGCGTAGTCGCTCTCGCCGCAGGCTTGCTTGAGCTGGGCCACCTTATCTGAATGCAAGTCCCAGCCCGCCCAAGCAAAGTAGGATTAGACCGGAGTGCTCTCCAGGGCGAGGACAGAGTGGCGAGCGATAGGCAAAGCGCTGGACAGTGCGACGAAAGTGGCACTCTTTGGCGCAGTTCTTCCGGAGACACAAACCTCGCAGTTCGCCCTTGGACTTTTCGTAGCTGCCTTTCATGATACCGAGCTTGGTTTGACACGCCGTCATTCGCTTCTGCTCCTCCTGCTCTTGCTGCTCCATTTCCTTGATTGCCTTCTCGGTTGTGCTGTATACACGGTACCGGGCCGGGTATGCAATCGCAAACGATCAAAGCACACAGCCAACCATCGTCAGTGTACCAAGTCAAAACGCTCGGTGAGATCGGACCGATTGACGACTCTTTTGGACAGCAACTAGCCGCATGCCAACATCTGTGTCGGCCCAATCGACCAGCTGGCAAGGATACCCACGCAATCATTGCCAAGACCGACTGCTCCATGCTGCTGGGGTCGGCCGGCGTGCCGAGCTGTCGCTGGTATTCGCCCGAGAGCTGCTTGAACCTGCTCCAGATAGATGCATGGTGAGTGCATGGTGAGTGCGTGGTGAGTGCATGGTGAATGGCATTGCCGTGAGCGGTCCATGTTTGACGTGACCAACTGTCGGATGCGTCGATGCTTATGTCGCATGGAGCCACAAATGCATTTGCCCCACCCCTATGGCCACGAGCATCAGCCCAACCATACATCTTTTCAAGAGCATCGGACTTGCGCTTGTGCTCGCTCTTCTTGATACCAAGTCGGGCGCGCGTGTCGGATTGCATGTTCAGCATCGTGAGTTCGTCGGCGAACTGGTGGAGCCTCGCTTCCTCGGCCGCGAGCTCACGCGACTGCTTGACAATGGCCTGTTCGAGGTCCTGTATCTGATCTGAGTGACCAGCCGCTGACAGCATCGATTCCTATTGCACATCCAAGTCGGGGTCGCAGCGACGGGTATCAGCACAGGCCACCACAGATTGTGCACCAAGGATACTGAAGCAGCGGAGGCTTAAGCAGGCCACAATTCGATAAAACCCAGTGGCTTGTCACGCATACCTCTTTGGCCAGGGCAGCGGCAATCTCCTCCGCCCCCCTGCCGGAACCTGACACAGCCCTCAGTCTGCTTGACGCCGTATCAAGTTTGGAGCGACTAGCTTCCTGTGGGGCAATTCGGTCGTCAGCAACGAATGTTATCGCCATCACGGGGGAAGGACGATACCGTGTGATCAGCACTCGAGACTGCAAGATCACCACTCGACCACTCGACCTCTCGCCAACACAGTGCAAGCCTCTCACCAGCTGTTTATGAGTGAGGTTTTTTCTTTCGATTTTGATGGACCACGCGGTTCGGTGATCGTGTATCGCCGAACGAAGTGCTTCTTCCTTGGCCCTTCCGTCCGTCTCCAAGTCCTTAAGGGCGCGCTCTTGAGTCTCTAAAGCTTCACGGGTCCGTTGGATGAACTGAGGCGTCGATGCCGAGTCAAGGCCCTCGATTCCTTTGAAGCAGCTTTGAGCGGCCAGCTCCTGGGCCAGATGATCGCGCTCCTTCATTCGTCGTTGGAAGGCCTGGCGAGACAGTCCACATTTTAGCCCATGAGGTGACCTCCCGAGTCGCGCTGCTCCAGTGCGCACACAGCAAAGTCCAGCAGCCTGTGGGGACGAACAGACAATGTCGTTGAGGAACCCGCGCGCCTATACTAACACTTTGCTCGGCCTGCAGTTGCCCTTGGGTTGTCAGCTTGAGCGACATGTCTTGCTGAAGATGTGATAGCTCGGCGGTCGCAGAAGCCTTCTGCCGCTCCTTATCTTCCAGGTCTTGTTTCTCATTTGTGATGCGCTCGCTGTAGGTCCGGAGCAGTGCCTGCAGTTCCTCGTCCGACTCTGAGGCATGCAATTCATAGTAAGAAACGACGTATCAGAAGCACATCGGATCGAGCCGATGGATTCTCCGCCCGCAAAGCCAATCGAATCCATCGGGCAGCTTTGTGAGAAATCGAATCTCCAGCCCCGGGACATCCGCTAGTCGGCACAAGTGCACTCACCGGCGTACTCCTCGAACGTGCCCTTCATGCCCTCCATACTCGCCACAACCATCTCATGCTCCTTTGCAAAAGTCTGGATCTCGAGCCGAAGCTGCTCTGTGCGGCTGTCTTGGGCTGCATAGTCCTTGAGCTGCTGCAGCAAAACGTTGATTTCGCTCCCTTCGATTCGGTCATACCGTTCTTTGGCGATGCGAATGTTTGTCTGGATGCCGCTAAGCAGGACCCGGGTCTGTTTCGGGATGGAAAGGCGGCGTATCAAGAGGCTGCTGATGGCTCGAGACAACTTTGCACAGCACTCGCAGACCACAATGCACTCCCGGCACACCGACCGACTCGCGAGAGGAAGCATGTCGCTCACTTTGTTGGCTTTGTCTCGGTTATCTCCAAGGTGCTGGAGCCGCTGTCGATCGAGCTTGAGGTCGACGGCTTGGTCTTTTCGGAGGGCCTTGATGTTCTCGATTGCTTTGGTGTATCTGCGTCAGCGGCAATTGAGGCCGTCAGAGTCTGCCCATGACACTACTGTCGCAGCAATAGCGGACAAGCCGGACCTGCCATCCTCCTTCGCGTGGCAGTGTCGCTGTGCCGATCGAGTCGCTACGGAATATGTATGCAGTGGGCAACAGACAAACCTGGTCGCCGCAAAGATGGCATCGAACTTTTTCTTCAAGACCGAGGGCTCGGAGAGCGGCCTGAATGGGACGACATGGCCAGATCAGTCGACAAGCAAGCGGCTGCCTGTTGCGTGACTTGCGATCGGGGACTGAGAGGACAGCGCTGCTGCAAAGTCGTCAACTTGCCAGAACGAATCCTCCTGGTGGCAAAAGATGACGTTCTCCAGGATGGCCTTGGAAACACCCAAGCGATCGGGCATCTCGGCATCCATGTCGGCGCAGCGGTTGCTGATGCTGATTTCCTGTTGAGCAACAGCAGCACCTGGGTGAGCGGCATGGCCGAGACCTGGTCCATGCTCTGGTCGTCGGATCGGCCACCCTCGCCGTCAGATCGGCCATCCTCACTGGATCGGCCGAGTTCCATCTGCTCGCCACGGCCAGGCCATTTACCTCCCCGTGCTCGTTGACCATGTGGAGGATGTTCTCGAGCGTCTTCATAGAGACAGTGGCCTTCTTTTGGGTCAGCGACAGCGATCGGGTCATGTCCATAACCTTGCCGTCCACCGAGCGAAAGAGCAGCTTGACCTGCGCCTTGACCTCGACTTCCTTGGCAATCTGCGAGCATAGCAAAGCACAATAGCCATTGAGAAATGTGGATGCTCAAAGGAAATGAGCTGATCGCTGAACGGGTCCGTGTTGGCTTGCAGCTTGCAGCTTGCAGAAACAGCACCCATCTGCCGCACGAAGACCGCGAAGTGCTTCAGAACCCTGCAGGCATACCTTGGGATCGTGGATAAATGCGCCGCTCTTGGAATTGGGAGGCAGGTCGCCAGTGGTGGCATACTTGAGGCACTCGATGACGGTAGTCTTGCCGGCGCCGTTGTGGCCGACGATGAGCGTCAGGGGGGTGTAGAACCGGATCTTGCTCCCTCGGCCGTCGGGTGAGAAGGAGCGGATGCCCTTGATGACGAGCTCTTCGATGGACGACATGGATGCGGATGCCGGTACAGAGCAGCTCTGGTGCGGTTCTGGCGATGGGAGTCGGCGTTTGGCCGTCGTTCGCTGGGGATGCGATGCAGGACAGAGCACGATCGGAGATGGTGCTGCATGTTCCCAGGGCTTTGCCCAGAACCGAATCCTCCAAAGCAGACTCTGCCCATGGCTGCCCAAACCCGCTGCTGATGTCCTGGGGCATCGCCGGGCTACTCGGATGCACCATGCAGACGCTGCGGCCTGCGAGCAGCACTGTCGATCCTGCCCATGCTGATCCCGATGCCCAGGCCCATGCCAATCCCGATGCCGATGCGGATGTCGATGCCGATCTCGATGTGTCAGCCCGCCCCAAAACTAACCCATGCCCCAAACGCATCAGGCTGGTTCGGCAGCTCCCGCCGCCTTTGGCTCCATCTCGGCTTCGATAGCCCTCCAGACACCTCTGCACTCCTCTACAAGCATCCGTCTCCGAACACCATGGCCGACCAGCAGCCCCATTCCGACAGCTTCGTTGTCGATCCCGCGCGCACCTCGACTCCGAGAGAGGCGTCCAAGTCGAGGTAGGCGATCGTCGGACGCAGCAATCCGGCTGTTGTCACGAACGAAATGCTATCGAGCCGTGCGGGCACTCATAAGCCTCGCCTTCCAACCAACCCAACCCTCGCAATCTTCCCAGAACAACCATGACCCAGATGATCCGCCCAGAACACACCGATAACCGAGGCAAGTCGTCGGGTGGATTGCTGCCGGACTCGAACTGATGCAGCCTCAGCTCTCCGGATCGGCTCTCCGGATCGGCTCTCGGTGCAAGGCCTTCGGATCGCCTCGCTCACCCACGCCATTTCCTCTGCTCCCAGGGTTCTGCTACGGCGGCACGATCCTGTCCTGGGTCGACATCTGCGCCGGCATCGCCGCCAAGAGACATGCCGTATACCCTTGCGTTACTGCCTCGGTATGGCCAAAGGCGGACCCGCATACGAGTCTGCTGTAGAATGCCAGTCAAAGTGCTCGGATTGGCGTTGCCAATTGATGCCTTGGCCCCTACCTGCATGTCTACGACGGGTCTGATGGACCCTGGCCTGCGGTCGCTGATGCCCACTTGTTCTTCAAAGGTCGATGCCGTGCACTTCCTCCATCCCGTCAAGTTGGGCGACATCTGCAACTTGGTGGCCACGGTGAACCGCTCCTGGAGAAGCTCGATGGAAATCGGTGTCCGGGTCGAGACAGAGGACATGCTAACTGGTAGGGGCGCATACTTCTCGCATCCCAGCCATCCTCGGTCGAACGCCATCGTAGCAATCGGGACTCATCACAGCCGTTTCATTGTCCGGTTTATCCAGGCGAGCGCAGATACTGCTGCCATGCCTATCTCATCTTCGTGGCCATCAAAGACGGCAAGTCTGTGCCTGTGCCGCCGGTTGTTGCCGTCACGCCCAACGAGATCCGCCGCTTCGAAGAGGCCGATATCCGTCGCATGGATCGCACGACCCGCAAGCGACTCTCGCAGGCCCATGTTCCCAAACCGATCACGGCCCCAGCGCAACTCGAGAGCACCGAAACTCCCCGCGACTCGACCATCAGAGCGCCGGTCATCGCATCGACATCGCAGTCCGAGCGCACTTGCGACGAAAGGTGGGACTTCCTGAATGATACTGCCTTGACTTGCACCTGACTGACCAATCCTGACGCCATTCTACAACCAGCTATACTGAGGTCGTCGAGATTGTGTTTCCAGAGCACGCCAACAGGTAAATCGGCGGTGACAGCCTGTACTTCTTGCTCGAGCCCGTACTAACGGCCAACCCCGACGACGCGTAGCTATGGAATCACATTCGGTGGCCAGATCATGAAGTGGATGGAGTATTGGTATGGACCCGACTACTTGCTCTGAAACAGCGCTGATCTGCTGTCTTTGCCAACAAACCATGGACCCATCGGCCTGCTTCGCGATTGTACAGACGGCGGCTGATTCAGTGTATCTGCTTCTTGAATCATCTGTAACCAGTGCTGCTATGGCTGGATATCGCCACTGCCGATCGCATCTCTTGACTGCCGGACTGGATAGCCTGACCTTTATGCGACCAACAAAGGTCGGCGATATCGTGTGCATCCGCGGTATTGTGTCCAAGGCTTTTGATCACTCCGTCGAGGTTAGTATCTACTGATATCACCGTGGTTTGAGAAGCCTATGTGCGAATGAACAGTGCCATAGCCATGGCCGTTCCAAACGCAATGTCAACCGCCGGGAGCAAGCCGCGCAAGAATTCACATTGAAGCCGCCCACACACTCCGGCGTCTGAGGACCGCCAGTACGCTGACTTTCAGCCAATGTTGCTCGCCCCCAGGTCTACGTTACGGTCGAGATCGAGGACATGCACACCGGCGAAGGCGTGATAACTGTAAGCGTCTCGGGACAGGATTAACGAGCAGCTTCAGGGCACCGCTGCATGCAACACGCGGCCCTTCTATCGCTGTCGAAAGCCCTGCTAACATACTCCTACAACCACATCGGCCCGTCAGAATGATGGCTGGCTCACCATGGTCGCAGTCAACGACGCCGGCCAGCCCCAAAAGATCCCAGCGACCGTCCCAGCAACCGAGGAGCAAAAGTCTCGATTTGCTCGTGCTGGCGAGCGCCGCGAGCGTCGTCTCCAGGAAAAGGCCAACATCCGGGGATAGCCAAGTCGCTCGGAACAGGGCGACCTCGGAAAGTCGATCGCCTGACTTGCACTTGGGATGCTGCCGCTTGCTGATCATCGCCATCGACCAATGGCTCCTCAAGTGTGCCGCGATGATACAGGCACCTCTAATACAGTCCTTCCACAAGCAAGTGGGGCAGAGCTGTGATCGCCGGTGGATCTCGTCGAGATGCGGTCTGGCTCGTGGTCCTGTCTGGTTGATTTGAGCGGGGCACAGCGTTGCATGAACCAGGGCCGAGGCTCGTTTGTTTCATGGTCCTGGGCAACGCGAATGCTGGCCGAGCCAGAACTCCGTGATTGCCACGTGGCATCACGTGGAGTTGACCAGGGTCGGTGCCTGTCTGGGTGGTCGGCGTCCTTGCCTGCAACCTCCATCGGCAGCGAGAGAAAGCTCTGCTGCCAATCTGTCCACCCAGGAGCGCAAACACACAGGTGGGCGAGGCGACCGGGCCGGCAATGCCGAGTGCAGGGCACAGGAGCTCCAGCGTTGCTGCGACGGCTCTCTGCAAGACTGCTGACCCTCTTTGTCTGGCATATGCAGCGGCGGCAAAGAACACTTGCAATCGGTCCAACGGCGTATCACGCAATCAGCGCTCATATTCAAGCCCAATACTACGATGGAGGAAATTGGAATCAAGATCAGCGCCTCGGGCTCGTTTGTATGTGATTTTTTGCAAGGCTTGGCGCCGAGGAACGGAGCCGGTGGCATGGGTCTCGTTAGCGATCAGGGACTTGACGAACGGCGACTCCGAGGAGCAGAGCTGCGAGTCTGCTGCCGATTCGAGTCGTCCAAACAAACAGCCATCTTTCCTATAGCCTGTTGGATGTCGGATTGGCTGCATCTGTCTGCACATCTCAACAACACAGTCACCGGGATAGCGGTGGAGGCCCCGAGGCCGCCGCTGGAATATGTGATCTGCTCAGATACCGCCGATTGACCCATCTGCTGACGCTCCTCCGATTCACTCGGTTGTCGTGCCATCGGTGGTCGTGCCATTGGTTCAACTAGCTCCCGGCGGGCGACGCAACCCCAGTTTCGGGCTATGCTGCCGAACTCGATCTGCTATCCGAGAAGGATCTGTACATGAAGCTCAAGAAGCTCCAGCAGCATATTGAGTTCCTGGCACTCCAGGAGGAGTACATCAAGGACGAGCAAAAGAACCTCAAGCGCGAGCTGATCCGAGCGCAGGAAGAGGTCAAGAGAATTCAGTCGGTGCCCCTGGTCATTGGCCAGTTCCTCGAGCCCATCGACCAGTACACGGGCATTGTCGGTTCAACCTCTGGATCGAACTATGTCGTGCGCATTCTGTCGACGATCGACCGTGAGCTGCTGAAGCCCTCGGCGTCCGTTGCATTGCACCGACATTCGAATGCCCTTGTGGAGGTCCTGCCGCCCGAAGCCGACTCGTCCATCTCGATGCTCTCGGACCAGGAGCGACCCGATGTGTCGTACCAGGATATTGGCGGACTCGACATGCAGAAGCAGGAGATCCGTGAGGCTGTCGAGCTCCCCCTCACGCACTTTGATCTGTACCGCCAGATCGGCATCGACCCTCCGCGAGGTGTCCTGCTCTACGGCCCTCCCGGAACGGGCAAGACAATGTACGTGTCGTTGAGCTTGGATCAACTGGATGATGGCGGGGGTTGAGCCCGTGTGGATCAGGCCGCTTCGGGATTCTCTGCAATGCTGAAGAAGGCGCAGCCTTCGAAGCGAGTGGCACGCGATGGGCATCGCATTTCTAGGGCCCTCTGCAGGGGAAGGTTGTGGTTGTTCTCGGTGGAGGCGCCGATCGTGTTGGACACGCCCCTGCTCACACTCGCTTGCATTCTCAGGCTCGTCAAGGCTGTCGCTCACCACACCACGGCATCGTTCATTCGTGTTGTCGGCTCCGAGTTTGTGCAAAAATACCTCGGCGAGGGCCCTCGCATGGTCCGCGACGTCTTCCGACTTGCCCGTGAAAACTCGCCGTCGATCATCTTTATCGATGAGATTGATGCGATTGCCACCAAGCGTTTCGATGCCCAGACAGGCGCTGATCGCGAGGTCCAACGTATCCTGCTTGAACTTTTGAATCAAATGGACGGATTCGATCAGACTTCGAACGTCAAGGTTAGTTTGATCGTCGAGATCGAGGGGAACGATGTTGTCGCCTCAGGGCCAACGGCTGCTTCTTGAGCGGCGTGGGGACGGAGCTGTAAGCCCATCCATTGTCCACAATCAGGATGCCACCCGTAATGCAGGCACTCTCGATGACTGGCCCCACAACTGACGACCGGTTTCCCCATCTCAGGTCATCATGGCCACAAACCGTGCCGATACGCTGGATCCGGCCCTGTTGAGACCTGGACGCCTGGACCGCAAGATTGAGTTCCCGACGCCAGACCGTCGGCAGAAGCGGTTGGTCATGTCCACGATTACATCCAAGATGAACCTGGCCGACGAAGTTGATCTCGAAGACTGTAAGTTGTCAAGCATCACAGCCTCGTACTGCTGGCATGATGGTCCAGACCGGGATCGCTAATATCTCATCCATCGAAACCGCTGCAAATCCAGTCGTCTCCCGCCCCGACAAGCTCAGCGGTGCCGAAATCGCTTCCCTCTGCCAACAAGCCGGCATGCTTGCTGTTCGGGTAAGAACGAAGGATGGATCGATGATGTGGTTCTTGGGTGGGATTGTGATGGGCCACTAACCTGCATTTGCCGACGCGGCTTCGCCCCTCAAGGCCAACCGATATGTGATCTTGACCAAGGATCTCGAGGATGCCTACAAGTCGATTGTTAAGAAATCGGACAACGAGCACGAGTTCTACCGCTGAGCGACAGATACAGTCGGAATCGGTGGATTGGCATGGATACAGTTGCCCGAGACCGATGCGGGGAGAGGGCGCAGTGCATTTCGAAATATAAAGTGCCCAGAAGATATGACATGCCTATTTCGGCCAATCCAGAAATGAACGGGATGCCCTGGTTTTGGTCGTTGACCGAATATTATGTTACCCAATGTTATCGCGCGCTGGCCATGACCATTCTGTGATGCGGTGATACACTGCCATCCATGCCTGAGAACCGTTGCCTCCATACTCAGTGTGTCCAAGAGCAGCACTCACCGCTGGCACTCTGAGACCAGTGTGCAGGTCGGTTGTGGAGACGGGTGAGCGACCCAATTTCTTCACTCGGAGGTGATCTGCTGAATTGCATATGGCTCAGTTGGACGCAAGCTCATCACATACTTCATGTTCATGGAAGCGGCTGTGGCGTCCCAGTTTTGTTTTGAATGAAATGTAAAGTGCAAATAGGGCCCAGTAATCAGCCTGGTGATGGTGGTGGTGATGGTGGTGGTGATGGTGGTGGTGATGGTGAAAGAAGAGTTCCTTGGAGAAATGCATCGTCTGTGAGAGCATTGCCATTGGTATCCCGGTCGTTCTGCACTGCTGCGATATGAAGTTGTGCCAGTCCGTTGTGCCAGTCAGCTGTCAGCTATGTCATAATGCACTGTGGCTGCCACCTGTCGAGCAAGACATCCGGGTGACTCCGTCCCGAGCAGATACAGGGTTCATGATGGTCCATTTCCTGGGGCAGCTGGCTGGAATGCTCTTGGTCATGAATGCACGGCACTTCCTGTGCTGGTCGGTACTTGTGCTGGGGGTGAGTGAGTGAGTTGCCCGATACAGACACCGGCCGCTGCTGCTCCTGCATGATGGTGATTCTTTGCTGTTGAGGTTGATTTCGTGAGATTGACGCCGCCAGAGCGAGCCGGGGAACTCATTCCCGACACCATGATTGCTGGGACTGCCTTGGATTCGACATACTTTGGCTCCCCAGCGTCGACGCTGCTGCATTCGCCAGCTGTAGATACACATACCTGAGCCGCAGACGAGCGGGCGTGCTGCCTGCAGTACTGCCCGGCAGTTCTTGACATTCCCGGCTGCCGTCGACACAAGCTGCTTGCTCACTCGCTCGCAGGCATCTCAACTCCCGATCCGCGCCTTGGATGGCCGCGCCATTGTCCTTTCCCCTCATCTGCCCAACCGTTCCCCGGACTCGTCCCTCCCTCGGATTGGCTGCTGATCGATGCCCTGGCTGTCCCCAGCCCCCTTCTCTGAGGCAGGCTACCTGCAGCCAGGACCAGCAGAATGTCCGTATCCTGCTCGTGCTCTTGCCACAGTCCCTGCTCGGTCCTTGCTGTGCATTGTTGCTGTGATGTTGGCTGTCTCGTTCGATCCAGCGACTCTGGCTGGTCCGAGGCATCGTCTGCTTCTCATCGACGATCAGCTTGCTGTGCGTATCCTCTGTGCTCGAAAGATGCTCGCTGTGGTCCTCGCTGTGATCCTGAATCATCTTGATTGGCTTCTGGCGAGTCTGCCGTCGCCGGCGGTATCCTGTCCTTCATGGCCCGAGAGAAGCACCACCCCTTCGAGCCCACCCTCAGCACCACACTGCAAGCCAGACAGGGCTACGAACAGTCCAGATGGCTCGGAAGGCTTCGGAGACATACGGGTAATGTAATTCATATGCTTGCTCGTGTTGGAAGGCGGGAAAGGGAGGAGGGGTTCCCGGTCGGCCATCGTGGGTTCAACCGCAGCTTCCTCCAGACATCGAACGAGGTATGTCTCTCTAGATCTAGACTGTCGCACACACGGGCTGCCTCCACAAGCAGAGGTGAATGTAAGTGATGCAGATGGGATGCTGGTGCAGATTGAGGCGGCAGTAGTGGCGGTGGCCGGTATGAGGGTGTCGATGGGCAACTGACAGCGAGTGCGTCATTGCGTCCCAGCATTCGGCCTCGCCTGGGAGTACTACCGGATGGGATCCAAGCCACGATGGTTCAGAGAGGCAGATGCGATGGCCACGGAAGAGCAGCCCTCGGTGAACCACAGGGTTTGTGAAGGTGAAGGAGTGGGAATGCGGGTGAGAGACAGATGTGGACTTGCTGGCCAGGGTGGTTCAGTTCAGTCGAGGATTGAGAGGCATGGTCGATCTGTTTGGATTGCAGATTGCAAGGATGCATGCTGACGCTTGATCGGAAACGAATAGCTCCGTCTTGTGGTTGTTGTTGGGGCTGGATGTGGATGAGACTGGGAAAGCGAATGGCAGGATCACCGGCGATGCGGGTGAGATGGATGGCGACGATTGTCAACATGCCCAGATGCCATCGTCAAGCACCAGCACCCCGGCTTCCACAAGCCAGGATCGAGAGATGGCAGTCGAGGGACGGCTTGGCTCTATCCTCCACCCTGCATCGGGCCAATGCGCTGATATCTGGCAGCGTCGACCAGGGTCCTGCTTGGATGTCTCGCGTTCACAGTGTCTGCTTGGATGGTCCGTGCTGCTGGTGCCTCTGGAAGATTCGGAATCAAGATCAGGACCAGGATCAGGAACATACCTACTTGAAGATGCACATCGAGCGAGTCTGTGCCGGCCTGTCTGGCGCGAGTCAAAGCCGGTCGTCGGGAAGGGTGGTCTTGATGGTGCTCCAGCCGGACGGCATGTCGGTGCCATCGACGACACTCGGATCCCAGTCCGCCATGGCCATGCTCATCAGCGAGCCCAGGTCGACTGCTGACCCGGCAGCGGCCACGTCAAAGACGCTCGGGTGTTCAGAGTAGCAGAGACCGGTGGGTTTATTACTCGGACCAGTCTCTCTGTTAGTCTGCATCAGAATGGTGCTGTCATGGCTGGCTGGGACGACGGCGCTGTCGGCTCCATGTCCGTTCACTTTGTCCGGGATACGATCAACGAGCCCAGAGGAAACTGGAGTCTGCAGCCCTTGCGGCAGATTGATGGCTGGCATCTGGCCGACCAGGTTGGTGTCGACGTTGGCAGCGTCTTTGAGACTTGGTTGTTGAATGCTGTCCTGACGAGAGCCGATATCGTCCGTCGCATCCGTGGTACTTCCCATACCAGCTGCCACGGCCGTCTTGGCTGCTGGAGCACCAGGGATCGTCGACAGAGAGTGTCTCGATGAATCAGGGGTGCTTCTTGGGTCGATATGGATCTGGTCGTCGCAACCGCCGAGTACTTCACCGACCTCCATGCTGGATGCATCTCCAGCAAAAGTGCTTCCGAGAACCGATCCAGTGCCGATGTGGGAGCTGCTGTAGTTGCTCAGGCGGACAGCACCTGGCATCTTGTTCCAGCTCCTGCTCGGACCGACTTGGTTGGTGCCTGTGGTCGCATTGGACAGAATTGGTGACGATTTGAGATGATGTGGTGCTTGTGCAGCGAGTGGGTTGGCATTCGACGGCGTTGATACACCCATTGGGATCAATGGTGTCAACACTCGCACTGGAGTCGATGACGATATGCTGGAGATACCAGGCTTGGACACATGATCGGAGGCAAGAGGCGGCACCAGAAAGCCTCCATGGCCAGCGAGCCTGGTTGCAGTAGTATCGATAGCTGCCGAGAGCCGACTGGAGCCTGTGGCTCTGGTGGTGTTGCTGAGATGCTGGAACAGGGCCAGGTGATTTGGTGGATATGCCTCGGAGAGATCATGACCAAACCCTGGCGGATCGCTTGGAAACGAGCCAGGAAGCCAGTGGTGCATTTGATCAAACGAATGGACTGCCTTGAAGAAGAATCCGTTGGCTTGATCGCCAGCACAGACAGATCCGGCGTTGAGAAGGCTGTTGCTGTTGATACCAGGGTCGTGGATGGACTGACGAGGCTGCGACTGATACGGATGTAGCTGATGCTGAGCGGGATGCGAGTGGCGCTGAATATGCTGCGATTGATGCTGAGTATGCTGAGTATGCTGCAATGGTGTTTGGCCCTCGATGGAGTGAATGGGGAGCGAGCGGCGGCGATAGGGATGAGGATGGAGTCGGGAGTGGCGAGTGATCGACTCGACAGCTACAGGGTCGGGTGCTGCAGTCGGAGCCATCAGCGACGATGCCGGCCAGGCAAGCGAGTCGTGGACAGAGTGTGGATGAGAAGCTGTCGGAAATGGTCCAGCAGCAGTGGGACATTGTCCAAGAGTCGATGCCGGGATCGAGAATGGATTCATCGAGATGTCTCCGTGGCGAGCAGCCATTGTCGTCGAGAATAGTGGCATCGTCCCTGGTGATGAGACTCCATGAGCAGGGAGCCTCGACGGCCGACCAAGCACCAGTGTCTCTCCCAGCGGCGACACATGCTGGTTGCTGTCTGGTGCCGAAAGAACAGCACCGATCGTGGGTAGAGTGGAATGACCAGGGAGAAGCCAGACGAACTCATCCAGATGGCCGCGAGGATGTGCATCAGACACGCCGACGGCCGATCCTGCAAGCGGCATTTGCAGACCGGCGGCATCGTGGCATCCAGATGGAGGCAATTCAGCGGCAACAGAAGCAGCAATGTCCAGGATATGTGCAGCGGGCCGTGGTCGAGATGCTGTTGGCGACAGAGTGGGGCGAGCATGAGCGGAAGAGGCAGCGCCGATGCCAGGCTCGTCGGCCGACGTCATTGCGAGCCCGCCAGGCCATAGCGGCGTTCTTGTGCCAGGACTGACACTTGCACCTGCATCTCCGCCATTTGTCGGCGGGCATGGAGACCGATGTGCATTCTCAATGGTCGCTCTGATCAGGCGAGCATATGTCTCGCCACGGTGGTGTGCTTGATCGAGATAATCGAGGATGGAGTCCAGAACCGAGAGGGCCAGATTCCTGTCGGACGAGTGGCCCAGTGTGTCCAAGTACACCGTAGCGGCGGTCATGACAAAGTAGGACATGCCCGGGAGGAGCAGGGAGGATGGGCCGGAAGGCATGTTCTCCTGGAGTGTGCGATCAGAATCAAGCAGACCCGACCCGAACGACGCTGATGTCGATCCGATGCCGACGCAGGAGAGAATGTACTTTGCGCTCTCGAGGGCCCTTGTGTGGTTGACGGAGACACTTGCCCGAGTGCTTGGATGCGTCTCATTCGACGAGAGAGTGCTGCTTCCCGTGGTCTGGTCGCCGATGGCATCGACCGAGGATCGGCTTGCCGAGTTCGCATGCGTTTCCACGGACTCGGCACGCTCTTCCGACGAGGCGCTTGTTGGGGTCGCAAGACGGTTCTCCAAGAGATCGCCAGCATCGAGTTCAAGAGAGCGACGATCTGCTACCGACGAATGGATGATGGCGGTCGCAGTGGGTCTGTTGTGGAGTGATGCCGGTGCTTTGCATGTGTCGGGCTCGCCAGCGACCGGGCTCGATCCCGACACCGTCTGGGGCAGAGGGCTGCTTCTGCTCTCGAGCATGCCACCCTTTGCTGCTTCTCCACGGCCGCTATGATGTCGTGGATGTGGATGTGGATGTGGATGAACCAGGAGCCCTGGATCGGCGTTGGTCTGCTTTGGGTGTGAGCTGAGCGGTGTTGTGTCGCTGTTGGTCCTGTGCAATGGCTGGCCGTGGGAGCGACCCGCGAGGGCCGTCGAGGCGAGGCGCTGGGCAATGATGTTGAGGGAGTGAAAATACGAGTGCAGGTGGTGATGGAGGCCGAGGGCACCTTTGGGCGATTGCTGGTGCTCGGGCGAGAGACTGCTCCACCACTGGCGCAGACCGACAATGACCTCGGCGGCACCCATCTGCCGCTGGTGGCTCGTCAGCACCGGGGACACCATCAAGGACGAGAGCCTGCCACTGATGTGGGCGAGGTGGACGTATATGCACATGTCCTCGTAGAGCGAGTCGAATCCATCGAGCAGGAACGACGAGTCCCAGCCTGGTGCGGGCGCCGATGGTCAGATGTGCGGGTCCGGGATCAGGACAGGGTTGGATGGCCGATGCACCGGCACGGTGTTGCAGCGACGGTGGTTGGCGAGCGGAGCCATCGAGTCATCCAGAGTGTTGTCGCCGAGTTGCACCGTTGAGCGAGGCGATGGAGGAGACAGGATCAGCGGGATGGATCAAGGGGAGCAAAGGCATCGGCACGACCGAGACGCCTGCCCGCCTGCACCAGCAGAATGCATCTCGGACCAGCGTGCGCCACACCCCATCCGTGCCTGCATCTGTGCGGGAGCGATGCAGCAACGGGGAGCCAGGGCCCTGGGCAGCAGCAGCACCGCCAGCCCGCCCTGGCCGGCATCCTGGCTCATGTTCGCAGCGACAGCCAGGGCCGTGTGGCGTGGCGCATGCGCCTCACGGGGTGGTGTCACAACGCGACGATCCCTTGAGGCGCTGCGTTTCAGGGGGAATGGTGCAGGGGAATGCTGCCACAGAGACCCAAGCGACGGCGACGAGGCAGGATGGGGGCTCTGTGGTTGCTCGCAGACTAGATGGCGCTCGGTGTCGGGCGGCTGCGTCCTTACCATCGTCGGGAATGGCCGGGCATCGCCCAGCCATCAGAGCTCCGAGACGATCAAACAGAATCAGGGCGAGAAGCGTCATCCGGCGATATCGCAGCTCCGAGGACACACGGCTTGTCGTTCCAGATCGTGCCATGGGAATGGATAGTGACTGGCATTCTGGGTCGGGGCGTGCAGACTGCGAAGAGGCGGATGCCGTGGGTGCTTGTGGCAGTGGGGTCTCGGATGGGTGACTCAGGGCCGATCCTGTGTGGTGCGGACCCGGAGCAGTCCAACTGCCGTGGCTGTCGAGACTGAGATGCAGCCCGAGATCCTGGGCCATGTTCCAGGCGAGCCCTGCATGATGGGGATCGAGTCACTCCCATGAACAGCGAGGCATCGCGAGCCAGGATCCAATGATCAGCAGTGTGTGTTACCTGTGTAGTAGGTGTGGCCGGTGCTGGCGCCGGATCCAGTCGACAGACTCGTTCCACAGATGATGACCACGGCTTGCAAGACTTGCAGACACGGGTGGTCGTGGAGTCGCTGGGTGTAGATGCGGCACTGGTCGGCCAAGGCTTTCCGGGTGTGGGCGGGGTCCGAGAGGCCGAGGGATGCGCTGAGACGGTCGTCGTGAGCGACCGCCAGACACATGGACCAGACGAGGAACAGGAAGGGCTTGAGTGTGCGTGTGGATTGGAGATGCAAGAGAGTGGCGAGTCGTCAGTGTCTGCTCGGGAATCGAGGCGCATGGCGAGGCAGATGGAGACATGGGTGGGCTTGTGGGAGAGGCAGTCGAGGACGTTGCGGCTGTCGATTGGCTCCCGACCGATCACCGAGACAGCGACGCCATCCAGATCCACAATGCCATCCTGATTCGTTCCACAGCATCGATGCCGTGCTCTGGTCGTCCTCTGGATCGCCTTGCTGTTCAGAGCGGCCGCCGTTGCCTCCATATGGCCAGATGTGTGCTCGGTGTCATCGACGACTTCTGCATCGCGACCATGCACAGCATCCGGCGGGCATCGATCAGAGCGACTTGCTACTGTCTGGCTCGCCAATCACACACCTATCTCCACGACCTCCGTCTCCGTCTCCTCCTGCGAATCGTCGTCCAAACCACCCGCTGTCGCCCTGTCCAGAATCGCCTGTACCTCGGAGTAGCGTTCCCTGGCCAGCTCGGCGCGGAACGCAGCCGGGTCGACAAAGTCCATTGTCAGTCCGAGGTGCTCAAAGAACATCCCAGTGATCTGCCCGGTGGCATTTAGTGGGAATGGAAGGACCTCGGATGTCGGTGCCTCGGGCTTGCCCGTCGGACGGCATGCGATGTCAGAGTCAATGTCGATGGCTCCTCGTGCAGACCGAGGAACGCTGACGACGAGGGTGGCTCCGCCCATGGCAGTTGCCCCCATGAGCACTGCCGAGTTGCTGGTCGTGCTCTTGACTGTGCGAGCGAGCGGTGAGTCCACCGGCATCGATTGGATAGTTGTCGGTGTGGATCGGGTCAGGCAGGTCCGATGCCAGATCGACGAGCACGATTCCGGGTGGCAGCCAGGGGCGGTATCCGATCAGCACGTTGGAGTGCCGCCCAATGATGCCGAGCGTGATGGATCAACGGCGAGGCGGCATTGGTGGTCGGAGCGGGCCAGGACAAAAGCAAGTCGGGTGAGTGGTCGGCTCCAGCGATCACGGCTTCCTGGTCGTCATGGCAACTCGCGGTGCACATCAGGCAGCCGGCGCCACACCCACTCCCACCAGTATTCATTCTGCCACAGCAAGCCGATGTCGATGCCGATGCTGATGCTGATGCTGATCTGCCCCAGAGGCCGATGTCGTCCGTGCAGCGCAGGCTTGGGCCATCCGCCGCAGCACCATCTGCAGCATCAGCAGTCGGTCACATACCCCAGTAAATGCCGAGGGTGTTTTGGCCCTGCATCGGTTGAGGATTCCGTTGCGAAGACGGCGGGTGGTTAGTTTTACATCCTCTGCTTTGTCCTTGGTCGAGCCAAGCGAGTGCGATCGGCATGGAGGCGCACCATGGCCAAACGGCGTCGATCGATCGGGAGCAGCCACGGCGTCCTGTGCGAGCCAATCTGCCAAGGCTGCATCAAAGACTCGGATCGAAGGGCTTTGATATCCGGCAAATTGGAGGCCGTCGCGCTGATCCACGAGTTGGACGAGTCTCCTGCAGCTGGGTGATGGCGAGTCTTCTGCGGTCCGCGTTTCCTCGGAGGAGTGTAGTAGGCTGGAGAGCAAGCAGGCATGCGGATCAGCGGGGACGCAGGCCAGCATGGAGATGTGCACAGTATGAGGAAGATGTCTGGCTGGTGCCTGCAACTCGATGCAGCTGCACGTCGTGAGCAGTGATTGCGAGGGCCCAGAGCCAGACACCTGGGTTGACGTCGTCGCATCGCGATCGATGGGATGGAGTGAGGCTGCTCGCCTGCTCGATACTCACTGCAGAGGATTCCGCTTGCCCGACAGGCTTCGCATGGGTATTCGCCGATGCACTTGACCCGCTTGATGCGGCAGACTGTGCAGATGCAGATGCAGATGCAGATGCAGGCGTGTGGTTGTGAGCGGCGACTCGCGGCTAATCTGGGCGTTTGGCAGTCGACGGACATATCGGCAACGGGGCCGGGAGCGATCTGGGGGCAGATGGGATCGGCACATACCATCACACGCCCGCTTGGTTTTCGGGGTGGGGGCGGGCTTGGGAGGACCCGGTGGGTCCATGCTGGATCCGGTCTGGAGGGCAGCAAGATGGAAGAGGAGGGCTCTGGGACGAGGCCTGAGGGCGAGTCTCGCCAGCGCTGCGAAACGCGAGGATTTGCTCAGAAATGCAGGTGTCGGAAGCGGCCTGCACCGTAGCCAGTTTTGCGGTACACCCGCCCAGCCAGCCAGCCAGCCAGCAATCAGCCTGGCAGCCCAAGACTCACAGTCAGCACACCGCACAACAGCATCGACAGCATCGCAGACGACAGAGAGTCGGCGGGCTTACAGCGCAGCCTCGTTTGCAGGGCAGTTGGCGCGGGATCGGCTGGGGATGGCGATACTCGGTCCAGTTGTCGCTGTGCAGTTACTCCGGTTCAACCGAAGAATGCCCATGGCCGGAGCCAGTCTCTGGCTCACAGGCCCGCTGGCCCGCAGGGAGCGCACCGTGATATATGGCGGCCGCACTCAGACGGCCCAGCACAAACAGCCAAGCGGGTCTGCTATATGCGGCAGATGATCGCTGATTGCCCAAGGCATCGAGTGCTCAGCCCAGCCCAGCAAGAGGCATGCGAGCGAAGCGTTATGCGCCAGCACCGGCTATTCCTGGGCTCAGACGACTGCCTGCTTCAAAGCGGGTAGCCGAGGCACCTGCCGGGCGGAAGGCGCCAACAGTGGCATACAAGGGTCCAGATGCTGGTGCTGTTGTCGCTCGACGACGAGATCGCACGGGTATGTCGGGGAGAGCAGGCACCCGATCGTCAACAAAAGGGGGTGGATGTTGGATCGCTGGGAGGTGCCAGGCATGGATGCAACTGCACCCGACTCAGCCCACAATCCCCGGCGGTGTGATGCACGAGGATGTGGGGGGTGGATGTGCATTTGTGGTGTCAGCTGGATTCAGGGGGAGGGGTGGAGAGGAGTGGTCGGCAGTGGTCGATAGAGTTGGGCCAATGCCGGTGTAGTTGGTGCTCGGCACAGGGCGCTGCTTGGGCTGCTGGTGTGTCCTGGGTGTTGATGTTTGTGTTGGCCGCGAGACAGCAACGTGCTGGCGGGGGCTTGGGTTGATGTGGCCAGAGTTGGACGACAGGGGTTGTGGCCGCCAGGGGTTGTGTTGTCGAGGATTGTGGCTGTCAGGTGGCCGCTGTCAGGGGGTGGATGCATCTCGGTCACCAGCACCAATGATGTGGCTGGTGTGGTGCTGGGGAATAGCTGGTCAGAGGGGTTGCTGGTCTCGAGCTGGATCGAGAATGTGGACTGGGTGTGGATGGAGAGACAGTCGGGGTGTCCAGATGGAGTGAAGGGAGTCAGTGCGATCCAGGGTGCAGCTAACTGGCAGGGACGAGTGCTGGTGTCGAGCGGGATGCAAGAACAGGTCGTGGTAGCTTCGTTGAGTACAGATGTTATGCTGATGTTGTGCTGGTGTTGTACATGAGTGGACCAGGCTCCAAGACGATCCAATGCGAGACACCCGCTGGATCGAGCATAGATTCGGCGCATCTCGTACAGTCCAAGGCTGGGGATACACATACGACCAAGTCGGTATTATTATCTCTGCTCCATAGTGTCAAGCCCAGTATCTGCCGCCCATATCCCACCAACCCAGCACATCATAACCGTGTGAGTGCCCATCAACGCCATTCAACCAAGCGGCCGAACAATATTATCCGTGTCCAGGCCGTCGTCGAGTACAAGCGATCACACTCCGCATCGAATGCATCCACCACAACGAAAGTTTAGCAGGCCTCAGGCCACTGATGTCCATAGAAAGCGGGACGCTGTCCCGCATTCTATGGATTTGACTATATTACTCAAAAACTTTAGAGATGTTACTCGAGGTCTGCAGCAGCCGTCCCGCACTGGCGGAGGACATGGCGAGCAAGGGCATCCTTGCGTGTGAATTCTTTGTCACAGCTCTCGCACTTCCACTCCTTCACCTTGGTGTGGACAGTCGAGTGTCGCGTCAGATCTGGAGAGGGCAGCAGCACAGCAGCATCAGTACCAGTCGAGGCAGAATCGGGCCGGACAGGGAAAGAAAGCTATCGTGTGAGGCTGGACGGAGGAGAGACTCACCATGATTGCGGAAGAATCGCTGGTTGCAGATTGGGCACTCGAAGGGGCGGTCGCGGCAATCTTCGTGGGTCTTCTTGTGCGCCTTGAGGTTGAACTGGCGCGAAAAGGCACGGCCGCAGCCCTCGTAGTCGCAGGCATATCTGCGTTCCTGCAGCTTCTCCTTCATCGCAGAAGGAGCGGCAAGGCGGGTGGACTCTAGAGGCGACATGGCCACAACAAAGTCGTCGGCGCTGCCAGGTTCTGAGGAGGACGACAGGGCAGCTTCGGCGGCAGAGGTGAGCTCCGCGGTCTTGTCCTGGAGGGCCTCGATCACAAGGTTGTTGAGGACGGTCTGCAGCCTGGCCTTGACCATGTTGTCGAGCAGGGCGCCGAGGGACGGGTTTCCAATCAGGCTGGAGGCGTCGATGTTGTAGGGCACGCTGGACGAGCCGGCAAAGGCCGGGAGGGCCGACACCAACGGCGTCACCATGGGGGTCTCGAGGCCGGTCATCAGAGGTGTGTCACTCAGGAAGGGCAGGAGGCCGGTATCCGGGGTGGACTGCGACGCAGACAAGGCGGCATTGAGGGCCGACAGATCGTGCGAGGTATAGCACGGGCCCGGAATCGACAGGGGCAGAGTGTTCTGGGACGGAAAGACATCGGAGGGAGCAACAAAGGGGGTCTCGACAATGTCGTCGATAGAAGAGAAGAGAGGAGTGCTGTCGAGCAGAGGCGTCGACAGGACGTTGTGGCGGAGCGAGTCCGCCAGGGGCGTGGCGCAGGCCGAAGGAGCCCAAAACAGGGACGACGACGCCGAGGCCAGAGGCGAGGCGCAGGCCGGAGCAGCAAAGTCAAAGAGCGGGGTGTCGGCGACGGCGCCAAAGTGATCCAGGGAGGCGGCGAACGGGGTGACGGCTGGGGTGAGGTCCAGAACGGAGGCGGCGGGGGTGGCGACGGTCGAGGCAAAGGGCGAGTTCAGAGCGCCAAAGAGATGGGACGGGTCATCGAGCGAGGGCTGCTGCGAGGCAAAGTCGGTTTCGAAGGAGAGCAGCGGGGTCAGGTCGACGGCGCCGCCGGTGCCAAAGTCGGGCTCGAGAGCGTCGGCAGGCGAGGCGTACAGGATGCTTGGGTCGAGCGACGGAAACTTCAGGATGGAGGCAGCGTCGCCAGAGTCCGGGATAATTCGAGGGGGGAAGAAGTCATTCAGATCGGTAGCGGGGGTCAAGAGCATTGCAGCGGTTGCGATCGGGTTTGTGGCAGGCTGGATGGCCGACACGGGTTCGGCGATCCGGCCCGCGACTAGAGCGGCGGCGGTTGTGGCGGCTGAAGATGAAGATGCTGGAGCGGCGAATCCTCCAACAGAGACCACAGGCCCGCTTGTGCGGGCGAGCAGGTCAGCCAGACGGAGTCGCTTGAGGTCATGCAGTTCATGAGGCCGCTGCTGCTGGAGGGAGCCGGCTTGGGGCTCGCGCAGGGAGGAGGCATTTGAGTAAGAGGAGACATTGCTGGGGAATGAAGAATAGCTACTAAATAAAGGGCTGTGGTTGCTTAAAGTCTGGGCAGATACGCTTTTTAACGAGGAAGTAGGATTCGTCAGAAGCGAGTACGACAGGTCTTGTGAATTATGAGAAGAAGCAAAGGGCATAAAAGAATCAACGACGGGGGTAGAGAGGGAGGAGGTGGAGGAGGAAATGGTGGAGGGGGTTGGGAGGGTGACGGTGGCGGGAGTTGCGGTGGTCGATGGGATAGTGTGCGTTGAAGCTTGGGGAGACGGGAGGAAACCGGACAGCGGGCGGATTTGGCCGGACGAGCTGGTGGTTTGGGAAGCCTGGGGAGCGATTCTTCGGGGGGGAGCCGATGCGAAGAACCGCGACGAAAGCGGCGGAGGGAGGCGGACTGGCTGAGCTTGTGCTTGGTGGGAAAGCGCAGGAAATGCGGCTGGACAGAGCTCTGGAGTTCCCTCGAGACAGAAGAAGGGAAAACAGGACCAGCAGAAGGGCGTCAGATGGGAAATGAGAGAAAGGAGGGCGACTGCGGCAGGCTGGGCGATATTTATAAAACAAACGAGCGCAAGGCAAGCGAGGGGCGGTGGCGAGGCGGGAGCGGGGCGAGAGCGCGGCGAGAGCCAGCGAGAACACGGCACACACAGCGGCGAGAGCAGCGGAGAGGCAGCGGGAGCGAGCGGGAGCCACCGAGAGCCACCGAGAGCCGCCGAGAGCCGCCGTTCCCACGCCGTTCCCACGCCGATCTGGCTAATTGGTCACGTGGCGGGTGGGACAGCACGTCGCACAGACCTTGGCGGGCGGCGATTGGCCGGCGGGCACGACAACAGGCGTGTGCAGGCCGCGGCGACACAAGGGCCTGTCCGCCCGGCGGCCGCGTCCCACGGCCAAAGCGGTCCCGGCTTGTCGTGCAGGGCCGCGACGATGGGGCCGTGTGGCCGTCCATGGGCGGCACCACCATCCCATGCTCGCGAGCGACAAGCTCCCCAGGACAAGGGCCCCGCCATGAACAGCAGGCGGCCGCGACGGGCGGAGCCTGGTGCGTGGTTCGCGTGACACGGCGCTCCAGCGCGGGCTGTGTGGTTGTTGGCGTGGCGCTGCTGGCCAGCTTGTCGATGTCCTTTGTGCATCTCCATGGCCATGAATCGAGGGACAGCGATGCCGACAGCACCGGCAAGCACTGCGAAGCACAACCAGAGGACGCATCGCATCGCATCGCATCGCATCGCATCGCATTGGGTGCTGCTGCTGCGCCAACGATTGGGGATGGCGGTCGGGCTCTCGTGATCCGGCAGAACGGTGTGCAGTGCCGCACATGTCAATGTCCGCAGCGGCGTTTGTGATGACGTCCGTACAGCCGCTTCATTTCGGATAAGACTGCCCGACACTTCTTTCTTTGCCAAAACTCACTTCCCCAAACCGCCCCTCTCGCGACTGTCTCTTCTTCCTCCCAATTGAACGCGTTCCAGTCTCGTGCCGCTCTTCCCGAGGTGCTTCTCCACCGCAACCAACCTTCGCGACAAAATTGGATACTCCGTCTGGATACTGTTCATTCGCCGGCTCATGTCGACGCGTCACCGCAAATCCTTTTCCAGCGGCTCGCAGAACAAATCAAGCATCGTCCGTATCTGATGGTGCTGCTGGTGGAGCTGCTCGCGGTCCATCCATCGTTGGCAAGACTCGGCTGTCTTTCTGCCGATCGTTCTCGTCGAGCCAACTGCAGCAGCCGCACTCATCCCAATTCCTCATTCTGCATGTGCAGTCGGGTCTGTTCCGAAACAAGACTCAGGACGAGCCAGTGCACTTTTCTTCTTCGATAGCGGATTATGAGCTCCTTGGCGACATTGGTAGGCTGGGCGACCAAGTGGACTGGTGGCGATGAAGGGGTCTGGATAGTACCCACAGGCCAGCCCACCACCGTATTCGGGAATGAGATCGTGGGATCTTGGTTGACGCCGACTCGTTTGACGCCGACTCGTTTGACGCCGACTCGTTTGACGCCGACTCGTTTGTCCCCTCCCGGCCCGGCCACAACAGGGGGAATCGATGATATCTCGTATCTCTACCTGGCTCGGTTCAACCCAACGCAGGAGCTGGTCGCTCTCAAATACACCGATCTGACGCTGTCGCCCGACTTTGAATTCGTCGAGGAGCTGATTGTATGGCATGCGCGATGTGTCTGGATTTGCATCGGCAAGCCATTCGTGGCGCACACCCTGCCTCGGCATCCAATTCCTTGGGATAGCATCGCATTTCGGTGGAAGTATCGATCTGTTGGCGGAAGCATCCCCGCTGATTCACCAATCCCATTCGCCTGCCTTTCGTTTCCCCTCTCTCCGCTCCGCAGAAAACCATTCGAAATGCATCACTCTGCCGACACCCCAACATCCTGCCTTACTATCGTTCGTTTGTCGAGAACGAGCGCCTCTGGACCGTAACTCTGCCGATCAAAGCAGGTTGGTCGTCGATGTCAATGATGATGTCAATGATGATGGTGGTGGTGGTGGTGGTGGTGGTGGTGACAACTTCATGTCGATGCGGATGCCGTCCCGACACCGATAACGATGCCGCATCAATACCACATCAATACCACATCAACGACACGGCAAACCAAACCGCTTTGTTTGCGTTAGTCCCTCCGGAATCAGATGCGCAAGCAATACTCATGCTATTCGAATACTCTCCCGTTGCATCAGGATCGTGCCGTGGAATCATGAAGAGCTACTATCCCAGTGGCTTCTCTGAACCTGTTGTCGCCACCATCTTGCTGGAGGTTCTCCGCGCCATCCAGTATCTGCATGCCAACTACATGATCCACAAGTGGGTGACTGTCGGGTGCTGATGTTGCGGTCGGTGCCTGCTGTTGCGGTCCTGTCCGCTGTTGCTTTCTGTTCTCCTCGGCTCTGATTGCATCGGCTGTGTCCGTCCGACGGACACCTTCTGACCTTGCCATGCAACTTCCCGTGTCGCGGCAGCGATGTCCGTGCCGACAACATCCTGCTGGACCTGACGGGCGAGGTCCGCCTCTCGGGGTTTCGCCAGCTTGCCACCCTGAGTCGGAACGGAGAATACCAGCAATCGGTCTTTTCGCTCGTCGGCGACAATATCGAGTGGGCAGCGCCCGAGGTCATGGCACAGGTGCGTGCGCTTGCCGTTGTGAGCCAGGCGACTGATGTGCTGTGATGGGCGAGCGGGGATGAGTCTTGAGTTGGAGTGAGCTGGTGGGGACTGCGAGATGGCAGCCACACATTTGCTGATTCGGTCCTGTTGCGCAAATACGTGTGGGTGGTGTCTCCTCCCCTTCCCATCGCTAGAATTCCAACTATGATGAGAAAGCTGATATCTACAGCCTGGGCATAACCGCACTCGAGCTGGCATTCAACCAGACACCATTCGACGACTGGCCGCCGATGAAGGTTCGCATCGCTTGAAGGGGAGAAGAGGCGCCGGCTGGGCTGTGTGGCTCCGGTGGGAATGCCTCGCCACCAGTCGAGGGCTGCACACAAACTGGTTGGCTGACCGGCAAGTGGATTGTGTGCGGAGCGGCGATAGGTGCTGCTGAGCAAGCTCGAGTATCCCTGCCCGGGCATCGCAACCGACAAGATCATGTCCAAGGCCTTCTTCCAGATGGTGGCAGCTTGCCTCCACAAGGATCCGGCCAAACGGTACAGAGCAACAGGAGGGGGATGGGGACAGCGCAGCAGCGGGCGCCGAGGGCTGCTGAGCGGGTGGACGGAACACAAATCGAGACTGACGCGAGCTTCTGGGTGGATGCAATCTACAGCTCTTCGGCCCAGGAGCTGGCCGCACACGCATTCTTCAAGAACGCCAGGAATGCGCACTATTTGGAGACGCACCTGGTCAAGACCTGCGATCTCGCTGTCAAGCACGGTGCGTGCGGGCTGGGCTTGACGGACGCCTCTGATCCCGACAGCGCTATCGACGCTGGCGCTGACGCTGCGACTGACACGAGCACCGACGCCGCTGTTCTCATCGCAGGGGTCGCTCTGGGCCAGAAATGTCTCTCGGCGCCGAACAACAACTTCAAGACCGAGAGCAGCCACAAGGGATCGCCCTTGCGCGATGTCGACGACGAGAGCCAGATGGTACCTCGAGGGCGCGGCAGCTCATTGGGCGGCGGGAACAGGGTTGTGCCAGTGTGAGCGACACAGGGCAGCACCGGCTGCGGCTGTGGCTGTGGCACGGGGTGGGGGCGCTTGCGACGCGCTTTGGCTGTACGACTGCGCCGTGCAACACGGTGCGCGGCACAACATAGCCAGCGCCGCACAGCACGCGTCGGGACGCACTGCATCGCCACAACGCGTGTTGGGTTTCAAGAAGGTGCGCGGCCACGGCGACCCGGAAACAAGGCGGCCAGGAGGCGAAGAGGAAAGGCTGCGCGGCAGTCTTGTTGCCGGCTTGTTGCTGGCTTGTTGCTGGCTTGTTGCTGGCTTGTTGCTGGCTTGTTGCAGCTGTGCCTCGGCATGGATTCGGCGTGGACTTGACATGGACCCGCCCCTTGCCGGAGTGTGCATGCTGTTTCACTTGCTGTTTCACTTGCATTGCTTACTTGCATTGCTTACTTGCTTGCTGGTCGTTCGTGTCCCTCTCTTCCTCGCCCTGTGCGAGAGCGGCGGCGTCGCGTCCACCGCCCTCTTGTCTCGGCCGCCTCCTGTCGCCGATCGGATGCCGATCGATCCGCCGAGCTTGGCTGCTGTTTCTCTGCCGAGGCCGCTCCTGTCGCTGCTGCTGCTGCTGCCTGAGCCCTGGCCTGAAACACCACCACCACCACCACCACAAGTTCCACCACCACCGCAAGCATTCCTCTTCCCCCACTCGCTGCCGCCGCAATTTGTCTCTTGGCCTGTCGGCTCCCCCGCCGCTGCTCTCTTCTGTCTCGCTGCGCTGCTTAGACCCGCTGTCCTGCATCGCTCTCTGGTCCCGCCCGTCTGCCGTTGCTGGCCCTCTCTCAATCCCAACAGGCAGCGGCTGTGTCAGCCTTTCCGCTTTATTCGGGTCGTCCTGGGGCTCCTCCTGGGCTCCTCTGCTGTCCTTCCCGCCTGGCCTTCCTGAGATCGCTCTGGACTGGTCCCGCAGCCTTTTGTTGTCCTGCTGCGAGCCGCCTCGGTCATTCCCAACGTTCCCCTCATCTCTCTTTCTCGCCCGGGGCTTTCGCCAAGTTGCTTCGTGTTCGCTCTCGCCCCCTCGGCCTGCTTCTATGCACAACTTGTACATCGATTTTCTCGTTCGTCCAAACGCACTCTAATCCGTCGCGAGGTACTCCAGTGTTCTATCGCATGCATGGAAGGATGGGGAGGCCACGGCGTTGTTTCTGTCCTGCCTTCGTTGCCCCATTGCTCCGAGGAGCGGCCGGCTCTGGCACCGACCCCCATCCTTGCACTTGGCCATTCTGGTGTCCAGCAACAACACCCGGGGGCGCTTCCTGTGCCCCTGCTGCTGCTTCTGCTCGGCCTATCTGTCCTGCTCCTCTGCTCCTCGCTCCTAACCTGCATTTCCACTATCCCCTGTCTTCCTCGCCAGCGCCCTTGCTCAGACGCTTCTCGTCAGCCATCTAAGCCTGTCCATCGGCCACTCGCCCACCTCCCGCTCGTCTCTCCACACTCAATAATCCGCGTCCGTTCGGGCTCTGTCTATCCCATCTCGCCCACCTCGAGTCTCCGTTTTTCGACCTGCCACCAATGCGTCTCTCTTCGCTGTGGCTCGCCGGGCTCGCGGCATTCATCCCAGGCTTGACACGAGCCGCCAATGTGCAGCTGACCGTAAGTCATTGTTCCACCATTCCCCATTCCCGCTTGGCTTATCTACGCATCGAATGGGGTCCTGTCTGCCCCTTGTCCCCTGTCTCCATTCCGTGGGTATGCTCAGGCGCCTGTGGACGATCGTGTCGCTGATCCATGCTTTTCCTGCAACTGCGCAAATCCTCCAACGTCCATCGGTTCACACCATTCTCACGCCCGACACGCCCGACATGCCCAACTCCCAAACCGTCGAATTGCTTGCTTGGTCCACAATCGGACGGGTGTCTTGGTGCCTCCCTCCTGCAGTCGCCGCAATCCGGAGCCATCTGGACCCTCGGTGTTCCGTACACCGTATCGCTCGTCGTTGATCCCAACAGCGGCCCCCTGATCATGGGGTCGCAGTTCGATCTCCATGTCGGCCTTGTCACCATCGCCGAGAACCAGATCTTGGGCGGGTCCGAGTCCTATACCGTCACCTTTGGACTGGGCGACCTGCGCGACGGCACAACCTATTCCATCGTCCTGGCCAGCACGAACCCCGACGGCTCCCCCATCCGCCTCTCGATCGGCTCCATCTACTTTGTCACGACACCACCTCCTTCCCCTCCACAACCACCACCTCCACCACCACCACCACCACCTCCTCCTCCTCCTCCTCCCCCGCCGCCACCACCACCACCGCCGCCGCCGCCGCCGCCAGCTGCATCTTCATCAGTCGCTCCTCCGGAAAATTCATCAACATCGGCCCCGGGATCCGTTTCCCACACCTCCGCCACAATCTCGGCTACGGCCACGACCTCGTCCTTGTCCAGAACTGTGGCTTCGTCAGGGGCTTCGTCCAGAGGCTCTTTGACAGATCTCCCTACTTCCAGCACTGCCATCCTCGTTGGCAGTGCCATCAGCAGTCCCAGCGCTCCTATCCCATTCGTTACATCTGACTCCTCTGCCGCCATCAAGATCATCGCCATCGTCTGCTCTGTCCTCGTCGCCATCATCATAATTGTCGTCATTGTCTATCTGCGTCGTCGCCGACAGTCGCCTGGGTTCCAGAAAATGTCGTCGCCAAACGAGTTCACCCCTCTGCCCCTGGACAAGTACAGCCTGGCGGACGATCTTGCTGCGCCCCAGCCCCCTCGACCATCGCACCAAGGCAGTGCTCAAAGCTCAGTCCGGTCGCCGACCTCGTTCCGATCGACGCTGCGGAGTCCCGGTCAAAGTGAGCCCTCGATGCCCACGCAGCCTGTCCCGTTGGTCGTCCAGGCGCAAGGGGCCACCAGCTCTGTCTACGAGTCGCCAGAGATTGTGCTTCAGCGACACACGCCGAGCTCGACCAACAACTCGCAGGTTGCTCTGAACAACCTCGGCGCGAGCCCGCTTCGCAATCCCTTCGAGTCGCCCAGCACCACGCTGTACTCGTACGGGATCACAGGTCTCACGGCCTCGTCCGCCTCGGCATCCGCCTCAGCATCCCCGGCTGCTCCCACTTATCCGGCGCCTTTCACGACCATCACCGCCATCATGCCGCCTTCCCCGGCCGAGGCCACTGTTGCCAGCTCCACCCTGACCCACGTCAGCCTCAGCCTCGACCAGTTCTCGGCCGATGAGACCGCCTCGACAACAAGCAGTGGATACAATAATCGGCTCCGGAGCGACTCGACCTTTGGCAGACCCCTCTTTGCCAACCCCGAGGCCATCTCTGCAATCGCCCTGTTCGACCCGCTCACCACGACCCCCGCCAACGCTATCACTGTCACGGACGTGTCCCCTCAGGTCATTCCCAGCGCCCCCATCCCTGGCTCGGGCCTGTCTGCTGGCCCGCCGACGCTGGACATGGGTGCTCTCTATGCCCGCCACCTCTCCCAGCCGATCAACACCGTCGACGGCTTCAACACCGTGTCGATCGTCAACCCGAGCCCGATCACCGACGGCGCCTCCTTCACAATCGACCAGGCGACCGCTTCCGAAGCAAGCCGGACCGATGACGAAGGAAGCCCGAAGCTATGAGCTCTGCTACAAGGCCTGTCCTCCCCGGACCCTATTGTTTCTCTACTCTCTCTTTTTTTTTTTTTACCCCCTCCCCTCCACTCTCTTCCTGCCATCTTTCCTGGTTGCTTTCCATTTCTCTCTCCCTTCCCTTTTCCTTTCTTGTTCCTTGTGTGCCGCTTCTCTGTCGGACTCACTCGAGAATACCACCCTCTCCTCTGATCTTCCATATACATATATACAAAAAAATATATACATTGCCTCCCGTGTATCTTCATCGATCATTCGCGATCCACAATGGTCATCTCCCCGTCGAGGTCAGGCAAGGGCGTCGCACCCCAAGCTGCTCGCTTGACCCGGCCATCGTGATGTCGAGAAATGGAATTGTGTGTGGGACTGCCCGAGTCGTCGAGTACACGCCAGATGTCAACAGAATACTGTCCCGAGACCTACAACGAAGCCCCTTCCCGGCTGTCAACCAATACGAGAGACAATCGCACGGGCACATGCTGCTCCCATCCCCCCCTCTCCCATCTCTCCCATCCCTTCTGCACACGTTCGTTACGCGGTTTACGACCAGGAATGAATATGAGCTCCCGCCAGCATATATTGAGAATCAAAGAATGTAAAGTGATCACATAAATGGTGCAAGGTTGGGCCGGGCAAAATCAAAGGAACACCGCAAGAGGTTTATCAAGGACAAAGATCGGTGGGGACTCAGTCGTACTGGCAAAGCAACAAGTACGGAAGCTCTGGCATGGTCATGTCTCTCCCCTCCCCACTCTCCTCGGAAGAAGCTGCTGTATGGCAAATACTTCCCCCCGTCTCGGACTTCTATCCTCTCAGCACGCTCCATTACCAGCCACTGGTCTCCCCACCCTTCTCCACAACCCAAAGCTTTCCCCTCACAGACGATGTGCACATAATCGCTATCAGCGGGTTCGTTCGTGGGAGGGGCGTGGCGGGAAACATGCCGCCCGTCGCCGCAGATCCGCTTAGGCGGTTGTGACCGACTTGGCGAGGTTGCGAGGCGAGTCCGGGTTGTAGCCGTACTGGGTGGCCAAGTGGTAGGACAGCAGCTGCAAGGGAATGATGTTGATGATTCCTTGGAGGGCGTCCACGGTGCGGGGGACTCGGATGGTGGACATGTTGTGGAAGAGAGAACTGTCGTCGTCTTCGTTGCAGATGACGATGGGGTTGCCGCCACGAGCCGTGACTTGCTTGAAGGCATTCTCGACGTCCTGGTGAGGAAAGATGCCGGTGTTGTTGTGAGACCACATGAACAGGACTGGCCGCAAGCAAGCGCCTCCGTGTTGGATGACGAGTCGAGCGGCTAGACAGCTGAAACAGGCGGGATGAAGCAGGTATGGGATCGGAAGCAGGGCCTACTGCCGACTGCGGATCTCCCGATCCCGAGAGCCCTGCAGAGTGCTGGTGCAATCGATTGTGTGATTTCAAGGGCACAGCCGGTGGTCTCCCGCCCCTTGTCGAACAAGCACCACTCATGACCCCGGTCATCAAAAGCCCCATGCCTACCGAGTAGTGTCTGTCCTTGTTCATGACCAAAATGATGGGCATCGTGTTGTCGATCAGCGCGAGGGGGCCGTGCTTGAGCTCGCCAGCGAAAATGCCTTCGGCGTGGATGTAGCAGACCTCCTTGATCTTCAGCGCTCCCTCAAGGCAGGTGGCACCTTGGTAGCCGCGGCCAAGCAGGATGAGGCTCGTGGCCGACTTGAACTGCTGGGTCGCAATCTTCTTGATCGTCTCCTCTTGGGCAAGGGCTTTCTTGATGTTGTTTGAGAGGGAATAGAGCCCCTCGATGATCTCCTTGCGGCGCGCGGTCTTCTGGTGGCTGTCATCCGAAAGCTGCAGCGCAATCAGGGTCAAGGCAATGTACTGCGAGGTGTACGCCTGTTTTTTTTTTTGCATAGAGACCATAGAAGCATATCAAATGTCAGCTTCGATCTTGGCACAACAACGACAGCAACGACAGCAACGACAGCAACGACAGCAACGACAGCAACGGCAGAAGCAGGTAAAAGCGTCCTTGCCTTGGTGCTGGCGACACTGATCTCGGGACCGGCATTGATGTGCACACCACAGTGAGTCTCGCGCGAGATGGTCGAGCCAACGGTGTTGGTGACTCCCACGCAGAGAGCGCCGCGCTCTTTGCAGTACTGGAGCGCCAGGAGAGTGTCCTTGGTTTCGCCCGACTGCGACACAAAGATGCAGACGTCGTCTCTGTAGACAGGCAGTCTCTCGTCAAGGAAGGTCGAGGAGAGCTCGAGCGAAATGGCCATATCGGTCAGCTCGGCAAAGAGCGACTTGGTCTGTTGGACAAGAAGATGGGGGAGGGGTATTTCCAATCATTCGTTAACAGAACCAGTCATGATGTGGTGGCACGAGAACCATGGGAGGAAAAACAAAATCTACCCCACACGACTTACCGCAACGCAGCTATGGAAACTGGTGCCACAGGCCGAGAAGATAATACGGCGCGACCGACGGATGTTCGTAAGCTGGGAGCGCAGACCACCGAGATTGACCGAGAACTTGTTGAAGTCAACACGGCCACGCATGGTGTTGATCACCGACTCGGGCTGCTCGTGAATCTCCTTGGCCATGAAGTGGGCATAGTTGCCCTGGATATACGCATCGACCAAATGGTGTTGTTGCAAACGCATAAACGGCACGAACCACGTTGCCCGAGAGCAGCAGAGAACGCATTCGCGGATGACGGCCGCAGCAGGAGCGATGCAATGCAAGATCAATGTGACCCAACAGGGAAACTCGTCAGTGCTAGAGTGACGGCGACGGCATCGGCCCTGCGTAGCCTGCCTGGGATCGAGTGCGGGCACGGACTAGCTAATGAAGACTGCCCTGCCCAACGGCGTCCAACGCAACCCACCAAAGCGTCACATATCCAAAGCGATCTATCCCAGCAACGTCATTTCCTCCCTCCCTCCCCCCAATGGCTGCCACGGAACCGACCTTCTGGATCTGGGCAAGCTCCTGGACAAGGGTCTGGATGGTGCGGATCGACGACATGTTGTCATCCCTGCGGAGACGGTGGATGTGGAGGTCTGGCATCGGAAGAAATAGCCTGGCATCAGATTGATGCATAGCGAAGCGTTTTTCCACCCAACATTGTCGAGCAAAATGGCAATGCAGCTGGCGTGCTGAGAGCAATGGGTGTGCACAACCATACGGTATCTTACCGCCAGCGGAGATGTGGGCGACATCGTCATCCTCGAGGTACAGGACCTTCTTGGTGTGCTCGATAATGGCCGAGGCATCCGAGGCAAGGATGTACTCGATGGGCTGCGGAGTGGTGTCCTCTCCAAAGAAGCTGCGGGACTGCACTCTTCGGTAGTTTTGCTGGTTGCCGACCTGGTCTTCACCAACTGCAGGGAACAGAGACGAAAGGTTAGGTCGGGAAGAGTTTAAGTGGCATTTCAGTAACCTTCGGGCACCAGTCGATGCAATTGGGCATGGGTACAGGCAGAACGCGGATGATCACGCCGAGCAAGAAGCAAATCGAGCTATCACAGAGGTGCCTGACCGGCCGACCAGCCTGCCAGTGATGCTTACGGACGACTTCTTCGACATCGACAAAGTCCACCTTCATCTTTTTATCGGTCCTGACGCCGATCAGCAGAGGCGAGCCTCGGCGGGCCGCGACCATCTCGTCGGGATAGTGGACGCTCTTGAAGATGAGGGCAAAGGCACCATCCTGTTGTATAGGATATGCATGCAGATGGCCGGATGGGCACAGGGTGGCGGTAGAGTTGCTGGTCAGCAAACAGTCAAAGCAAGGGTCGCCACAGCGCAGGCTGGCTGAGATCACTGCATCATTCGAATCGAGCGACTCACCAGCTCCTTGCACACTGCCTTGACCAACGCCGTGAACGACAGGGGATTGCCGGCCTTCTTCTGGCTGTCATAAATGTATTTGGCCAGCTTTGCGACGGCCTCGGTGTCGGTGTCGGACTCAAAGACAAAGCCATACTTTTCCAGGATGGCACGGAGCTCCTTGTAGTTGGTGATGATGCCGTTGTGGACGACGAGGAACTCGTTGGAGGGATCCGAGCGGTGCGGGTGGGAGTTTCGCTCGGAAGGCACACCATGGGTTGCCCTGTGGGTTCAATACAAGAGCTGTGAGTGTCACTTGGCACATACAATCGATCCCCTGTATTGCCACAGGCCGCAGCTGGTATGTCTCCGTGTCTCCGAGTCATCAAACAGACGCGGCGATATGCTCACCAGCGGGTGTGGGCCATGCCGCTGTGGGAAAGGAAGGTCTTGTTGAGATCAAGATCCTTGTCCTCCTCGATCTTTTGGCGGAGGGCCAGGACCTTGCCGACCTGCTTGTAGATGAGGATCTCCTGATCATTCTTGCCGTCGATACAGAGTCCTGGCAGGATACGGAGGGTGGGCCAGATGAGCCGGGTGATAAGCCAGGAGCCGGATGATGAGCCAGACGAGCGCGTCAAAGGCAGCAATAGCGATGCACCGAGGACTCATTCATTGAGCTGTGCACGGGCCGCTCCCTGCACCGCTGGATCAACATCTCCAACTGATCGTCCTGATCAGTGTTCACCACGGCCCTCGGTTCCCCAGATCGGTCGACGACGGCGGTCACAGACTCGAAACGGCCCGAACACGCGTCCAGCACAAGTAACGATCGTGCCGAGACAGCCAGAGAGTCAGCATCGAACGGCCACCAAACCCATACCGGCAGAGTCGTATCCGCGATACTCCAATCGCGACAAGCCCACGAGGAGGTTGTTGAGAATGTACTTGCGATCCCTCTCGACCAGGAAGTTGATATAGGCAAAGATACCGCACATGGCTGGCTACAGAAGTGGAGACGAGGAGGGGCAGAGAGCGATGCCTGAGTGGCCGTGGACGGAACGGAGACGAGGCGGGCGACGTGATGGGAGGGAAGAGAGCCAGAGGAGCGGAGCGAGGACGGTTGGAGGCGGGCTTGTATTTAAGAGGCTGGGACGGAGAGGAAAGGCGCAAGAGGCTCGACAAGAGGGGCGAGACCACGGTGGTTCCCGCCAAAGCGAAAGACAGCCGGGAGAGGGGACCGGGAAGGGCGGCGCTGCGGATGGCCGAAACGACGATGATAACCAGAGCGATGGCGAGTGGCACCGAAGCGACGAACGGTTAATGGTTACGAATGATGGCGCGAATGGCCCGAGTATCATTCATCGATGTGATTTATCAAACATAGTTCATCGATAGGGGTGATCAAACATAGTTCATCGATGCGAATGATCAAACGCAGTTCATCGATGTGAGTTATCAAACGCAGTTCATCAATGGGAGTTATCAAACGCAGTTCATCGGGCGCATGTCCTCCCACGACCGGCTTCATGGTCGCCCCGCAGCCAGTCCGTTTCGGCCCGAACAAACCGGCTGCTCGGCCGCGTTTTTTTCGGCTTGGTCCTGCGATCGGCTGGTGCTGGCCGTTCCACTCTTGTTGCTGCGGATCTGCGCTGGCTGGGACAACTCTCGCCCGATCGCATTCCTGGCGCCAGTCGCTGAAGCAAGATCGCTCCAAATGTTCGCCGCACGCATCGCCCAGTCCCTCCGGCACCCGGTCCTCCTCTCGTCGCCGCCGATCGCCATCAGGCCGAAGCGGTTCCAGCACAAACATGCTTCCTGGCCAGCCGGGATTTCGCAGCTCATCAAGGAGTCCATTCTGCCCTCGGACTTCCTGTCCAATTTCCGACCAGGGCTCGCATCGCTGCCGCCGCCTGTCGCCCAACGGCAGGAGATCGACCTGGTCATTGTCGGGATCGGGCCGCGCGGCGATGGCTTTGGGTTTGCCTCCGAGGCCGCAGACGCACTGGTGGTGGTCCCGACGACTCTACCGGGAGAGCAAGTTCGAGTGCGGGTCGTCAAGATCGCCCGGGACTACATCTACGCCGACCTCGTCAAGGTCATCGGCCCGTCGCCTTCTCGGATCGAGCCCAAGTGCAAGCACTACGATCTCTGCTCAGGATGCAATTTCCAACACATGTCCTACGAAAACCAGTTGAAGCACAAGGCCAAGGCCGTCGAATCGACCTTCAAGACCATCCGGAACATGCGCGGCATCGACTCGACCGGGGGCCCAGCCGTCTCGCCCATCGTCCCGTCGCCGCTCACGTACGGCTATCGCACCAAGATGTCGATCCACCATCCGCCCGTTCGCCCAGGCGGAACCGTCACGGCCGTGGGATTCAACCGGCGAGGGAGCTCGAGGGTCGTCGATATCGAGGAGTGTCCGATCATGACCCCGGCGATCAATGCCCGGCTGAAGTCGCTCCGCGAGCTCCTCCTGAATACTCCCCAGTCAGAGGGCTGCTCCGGAGACACCCATTTGCTGCGGCATTCGCTCGTCGTCGACACCTCTGACCTGAAGCACATCACCCAGACCGAACGACTGTCGAGCCCGGACGATATGCCAACGCCATGGCCTCCCAAGAAAGCCGGCTCTCGGGTGATCACGAACCGCCGCCAGGCTTCGCTCGAGATCATCAATGGCATTCTGTTCCAGTTCAACTCCAACTCGTTCTTCCAAACGAACCCGTCGATCCTGGGGTCCTTGACGCAGCACATTGCCCAGCAGATCGAGGCCTGCAAGAAGATTGTGTCGGCCGCTAGTCTCCCGCCGATTCGGTTCCTGGTCGACACCTACTGCGGCACAGGGTTCTTTGGGCTGCAGCTGCACCACTACTTTGAGCACGTCCATGGGATCGAAATCGACCACCATGCGCTGCAGTCGGCCCGGTCGAGCGCCACCATCAACGGCATCACCAATGCCACCTTTTACGAGGGCAGCGTCGACCACGTCTTTGGAACTGTGCCATGCAATCCCGACGAGACCGTCGTCCTGGTGGATCCGTCCCGCAATGGCTGCAGCCCTGATTTCCTGTCACAGCTTTCGATCTACGGGCCCAGGGCAATTGTCTATGTGTCCTGCAATCCGGTCACCCAGGTCCGGGATCTGACGACGCTGCTCGAGGCACCCTTCACCGGCATCAACAGCAAGGGTGTCAGAGTCCGTGCTGCCCCGTGGCGCAAGACGATGCTGGAGTCCTTCACCACCGCTCCAGATGCCTGGACGAGCCCGCCACTCAAGAACGGTGCCCTGTACATTGACGGCAAGAGGATATCGTTGAAGGGCGTGCTCCTCCCGCACGACGAGGATCCGCTTCCCGATCCCATCAAGACCCGCTCCCACTGGTACCGAATGCTGTCGATCCAGCCGTTCGACATGTTTCCTCAAACGGCCAGCGTCGAAAATGTCGTGGTGCTGATCCGCGAAGATTGCCCTGCCGTCGACAATAAGGACGGATCTAAGGAGCTTGAAGGCATCACAGAGGAGATTCGATAGTGCCGAGGAGATTCTATCAGGGGTGCCGAGCAGGTCACAGGACAAGGAGAGGCGATAGCGCCACTGCAGTCAGAGACAACCGCCCTCTCCTCTGTATTCCAATCCAGAGACCTTCAACGACACGGCTGGGCAATCCGACACCTCTAGGCTGCTCATCACTGGCCCATCAGGAGGGCCGGCTCAACGGGGTCGTGGAGATGGTCGTGCCACCCGACGAGGCAGGTTTATGGAGTGAGACCATGATAGAGTGAGACCATGACGGAGTGAGACCATGATGGAGTGAGACCATGACGGGCCGGTGCCCGACACGCCGAATGCGATGATAATATATAGACTGTTCGTCGGGGTGGAATTACAACAAAATCGAGAGATGGGACCTCATTGATGGGCGACAGCCACGACCGAACAAGGGGCGGTCGAGGAAGGTCATGCTGGGAGCGGGGGAAGGAGACAATAGTGAAGCTGTGAACAGCAGACGAGGAAGAAATATTATGGTCACAGTCAGCGGGAGTGAGGAAGGTGCGGCTTGCGGCAATTGGGACGGCACCGAATGGAGGGCCAAAGACGAGTCTGGTGGCCCTGGCCGTCGCGGTCGTGATGATTACGGTCGGTTCAGATGTAGGTGCGACAAGGCAGCGGGGACAGGAAGAGACATTCTAGTCCGCTTCTGGAGGGCTGGAGGGCAACTCGGGCTCTGACATCGTGTGGGTTTGCTGTCCGGTGATGGACCCGGTCCCGCCGTCAGTGTTGCTTCGGGACAGGAGCGCAATGGTCACCAGCCGAGCAGTACAGAGCTTCATGGCCGTGACCAGACGAGTGAACGACTCGAGATACTTTTTCCGAAAGGTTGGGTTCACGGTCTCGAGCAGCGGAAAGCAGTCCAGGACGATGCCAAAGACCAGGCCGACGTACTCAGAGTCCCAGCACATGGTGAAAGTACAGGGATCGACCACCTTCTCGACCAGGTTGGTGAAGAGATCGCGCAGGTTGCGCCCCTGCGATAGGTTTTGGCCGATGGTGAGGATGTTTTTGATGATGCTCTTGAACGCCGCCGAGGAGTTGCTTGGGTTCTTGCCGAGCTCGAGAATGTTGCCGAGGCCCATTGCTTCGAGTCTCGTCTTGACGAGCTGACGGTATTCTTCCATGACCTCTTTGTTGTTGAACAACAGATTCTTGATGTAGGTCGAGTCCGACACCAACGCCGGGTCCAGGTCCTCGAGAGCCGAGGCGGAGGGCAAGGTAAAGTATTGCAGAAACACCGATGCGCAGTACTCAAAGTCCGAGAAGCGCAGATGCGAGAGGCGCTTCTTGGAGGTGTCGAGCCGAAAGTTGTTGATGAAGATGATGTTTCCGTATTGTCTGCGCCAGCGCCGCGGGAGGCAGGATGCACACGCACGGAAGCGCGGGGGTCGAGAGCAGAGCGTTAGGATCGAGTAGATTTGCCAGACACAGGCCTTGGGTCCTGTTTTGACTCGAGCTTGCCACAAAGCTTGGCTGGGTCGATGCGTATGGCGCTCGGGTGCGTGCCAGTGACTTGGTGATGAATCGCACTGCTGCGTGCGGCCTGCACGGTCAAAGAGCGTCTCTCTTACCTCGCGAGATGCTCAGGGAGCAAAAAATCGGTTTGGATGATGGAGTAGATGTTGCCGTCCGAGTCTTCCACTTTCTTGGTGATGCGCTTGAGGTTGTCAAACATGCGCCTGCATCCGCCAAGTGGGACCCGACTCTTGAGCGACACCTCCTCGAGCTCCTTTCTCGACCGGGCCGTCATCTTCTTGCCCAGGATTCCTCGCATCACATTCGGGTCGAATGAGTAGTACGACTCGATCAAGAAATGCTTTGTCTCGGGCGTGAGCTGGAAGATGAGCTGGCCCAAGAGATGCTTGGGCCGGTGCAGATACGTCTCGAGGAGCTCATAGTTTCGATACTGTATTCGAGGGGAGAAGGGCGTAGGGTTGGCTTTGGGTTTGTCGAGCGTCTGCATCCCCTGCGACAGCATTGACCGTGCATGTCATGGTCCACCATGCGAGTCGGCGATGCGAATCCCGGGCTCTTCACATCGGCCAGTCGCAGTGATTGGCACGGCGCTGCACACGATATCGAGACAGGCGGCAAGCACCGCATTTCTGGGCACTCCAGGGGTGACACTGCCTTTGCTGACCTGGGATATCACAAAGTTGCGAACGATGGCCGGCGACATGTCGGGCAGATTGGCGCGCTGGGTGGTGTAGGATGCGGCTTTGTCGACTGCCATGGCGCGGGACGAGATGGATGAATCGCGGAGCGCATCAGCAAATGCGTTCGAATCGACGGCAAAAGACCGCCGCAGGTCGCCAGGTGGCTGCCAGGGATCGTTCGTCGATACGTTGGGTGCGAGCGACGAGGTAGCAAATCAGTCCTCACCATTGAGACCCATCAGCCAGAGATGCCATATCGCCTTGTCGAGGACGACGGTGTTGCCGACAAAGACAGAATATTCCATTGCGCAGGCGGGTCTGTTGCGGGATTGTTTGGATCGGGCGTCGGTCGGGAGGGCAAGCAGTCGCAGGACGAGCCGGTGGTCTGTCCTGAGCGATGGGGGATCGACTGGGTTGGGTTGGGTTTTGGGTTGGGTTGGGCGAGATCGCATCCAAGCCCGACTCTGAAAGCCCGGCTCGGCCAACCAGAACACAGCCTCGGTGTTCCGTGCGGCTGTTCTGTGCAGTCTGCCGGGACGGATTGCATCGCGCCGGTTCGATCCGCCACGTGTGACGTGGAGCATGGGTCCCTGGCGGCCATCTCCGACCAGGGCCAGCAGCCCTCCAGCACGTCGCCCTTGGGTCGTCCGTCCTCCAGAGTCCACCCGTTGCCCACACAGCTCTCCATCTGCTCGACAGCGATTCGCCCGTCATGTCCAACGAACTCGGTACGTGGAAAGTGCTGCATTCCGATGTGCGTCGGCGGCAATGTCCGCTTGCGCCTCCTCAATTGTACCGCCCCGATTACCGCACATCGATGTCATGCGCTGCTGCTGCTGCTCGCTCTCGAATCCACTGCGCTGGCTGACATGCACGTATATCTCACCGATCCGCTCGCAACAACCCGTCTCCAGCCCTGCTCGAGACAGTCGAGCTCCGTCTCGCCCTTGCCGATACGGACGAAAAATTCGAAAAGAATGTGGCGACCTTCCTGGCCCCCGTCATCCTCAAGCTCGACAGTCCCAACGAAGCTGTCAGAAACAAAGTCATGTCCATCTGCGTCCACATCAACAAGCGCCTCAAGTCCTCCAGCGGCATCAAGGTGCCCATCGAAGCCGTCCTGAAGCTCTTCACCGATCCTGCCACCTCGGCGCTCGTCAAGAACTTTTGCCTTGTCTACTTGGAGATGGGCATGCAGCGCTGCAAGATCGAGGCAAGTGGAGCGAACCCAGGTTGTCGTGGCTGCGAGTGATGATCCGTCAGCTCAGATGAGGATAGTTTCATCGCAGCCTCCAGCCGTATGATCAAGTCGATGAACTCGATCGCAGGGTCTCACAGTCCATCTGGCGTAGAGTGTCCGTCGCTCGCTGCCAGCAGCGACGGGGATACGACACAGCCTCGCTGTGGACAGGGGATCGACGGGGCTGGCTATACAATCCTTCCTTACACATCCAATCCATCACCTACTTTGGCCCCAGGACCTGCAAAGTTACGTCCCCCAGCTGCTCGCCAGGATCGCGGAGAGACCCCTCAATCAGCAAACGACCTTGTTCCAGATAACGTTGCCGGTGGGTTTCGGGCGACGGCGCTTTCGAAAGTCGTGCAAGCACACATGCACAGGATAGTAACGGCAGGGAAGCGAAAGCGAGCCCGGGACAGGGATGCTTTGGAGCTGAAGGCTTCCCTACCGATACTCCTGGATGCAGATCCTTGCAAAGTACACGATTCCGACCAACGTGAGCGCCAGCGGCAAGATTCTTGAGCCCACGCAGGATCCCCTTGGCTTTCTCCAGAGCCCCAAGGACGCCAAATTCCTCCTCGATAAGATCCTGCATGTGGTGCTGTACACCGTTCAGCCGAGCACGCCAGCGCCAGGCACTGGAGGGTAAGACTGTTGTGAGGAGGGGAGCCGAGATTGACGCATGGCGCGGCATTTCTAGGGAGTAAAGGCTTGTGGGCGGAGCGGTGGAATCACCGATCAGGTGGCCTGTCGCTTTGGCGAGTCGTTACAAGCGGAAAGTTGACGCTGATACCACCTGTAGTGCCTCCTCCGACGCGCAGGCCAGGGCGCTGCCTGCAGGCTTGTCTCAAAGCGATGTGCAGTTCGTCACATCTGGAGGCAAGGCAGCCTTTACGAGCGCCCCTACAGAGCTCAAGGTCCTCAAAGTCTCCTTGGTCAAGCTTGTAGCAAACAGCGCTGTGTTTCCCGAGTCCCTGGCCCTCGAGACTGAAAAGTATCTGATTTATCTTTTGGCCCAAGCGGATGCCAACCACGAGGTCATCTCGGCCGGCGAGGACGCCATGAAGCGCCAAAGCAAGCCCGACTTTGAAAGCGACCATGTAAGGAGTGTCTGCAATCGAGCATCTCTGGCAGATACGAGCACATCCCAGATGGCTCTGAGAGATGCACTGACGACACCTACGCTTTGCAGTTTGTTGCACGTCTCTACGAGCTCTATCTTGGCACACAACAGGCCACAAAAGGTGTGTTTGCGCGAGGTTGAATGCGAAATGGAGCTGGGCTTGCTTGCTTGCTTGCGAGCAAACCGTTGCATGCCAAGGTGGGCTGAGCCATCCATGTATCCATGTGTCCACAGGCCAGGAGGCAAACGTGCGTGCGGGTGCGACCGTCCAGGCCAAGCACAAGATTTTGGGCTGCCTGACCAAGTCTGCCAAGGCGACCAACAAGTTTCCCGCCGTCATTCAGGTCATCTTTGACAGTCTCTACCGTAGGTCTTTTGTTTGCGGCGGAGGGTACGCTTGGCGGAGCGAGTGCATATCACGCACAACAACACATTACGCACATATCGCATCGTACATCGCACATACAGCCCGACATTGACGCTGATTGTCGCCTTATTTGTTCAGACGAAAAGACCACCGCGAGACTCCGCAATGCCGGCATGTCCTTTGTCCAGTGGGTTGCCAGAATGGTCAGTATCCAGGGATGGCGAGGGAAAGTAGGCATGCGTGTGCATGTGCGCGTGTCTGTGCAAAGTGCAGGCGTATAATCACAGCTTTGGGGGCTCTGTCGGAGGTATTCATGCCGGTATTTAGTTGGTGCTGACGTTTGCAACCTCTGTCTGTGTCTTGGGGGTGGGGCTCAGGCCACTGACGAGGTGATCAAGCCCGTCGCTCCAATTGTACTGTCTGGCCTCCTCAAGTTTATTGCTGACCCCGACGAGGGCACCATCGCTGCGAACGAAAACGAGAACCTGCGTGGATTTGCTTATGAGGCAATCGGACTCATCTCCAAACGAGGTAGTGCACTTGCTGATGCCTTTGGCAGTGGATGCGGTGGGCCATAAACTCCCTTTCGAATGGCGTTCTAATGCGAGTGCTCTTGCGGACTTCGCAGCTCCCGAGCTGTTCATGGCCGACGCCACGATTCTGTTCAATCTCTTCAAGGCCGTCTCGACCGAGCAGCGCAACGTCCGTGTGTCGGTGCAGGAAGCACTTGCGAGCATGATCCCGGCGTATCAGAATGTCGTATCGGACACTGAGAAGAAGCTCGTGCTCGAAGCACTCTTGCTTGAAAACATGGATAAGGTATAGTTCGAGCACGTTGGTCTCTCTGGCTCGTGTGGGGAGATATACTTGCAGCACTGAACAGGTGCCGCCTTGAGCATGCTTGTGCATCTGATATACCAGCGACGGACTAAACTGCGCCTGTTGAACCCGCGATGTGATTGCACCACGTCACTAGCCCGAACACCAGGCGCGATACGTTGCGGCAAAGTACACGAATGCCCTGTTCCCGTTCTCCTATCCGCTGGCTCGCTACATCTGTCTCCAGCTCTCGAGTGACCCCAAGCTTGAGGTCCGAGAGGAAGCGCGCAAGGGCTTGCGGTTCCCGGAGCCCCCTGCTGTTGCTGCTGAATCCGATTCCGAGTCATCGACCGCAGCCGAGGTCGTGCGCGAGTACCGCGCAAAGTTGGTCGATTTTGAGAGCATGTGCAAGCTGCTTCTCGAAAAGTCTCGTAAGAACGCATCCACGGCGTCCAGCGGGATCGGCGGTGGATCATCGGCCGCCATCAAATATGTGGGCAGTCTCAGCTCCGAGACCTACTCCAACGCGCTGGGGTTCTTGAGAAACATGCTGATTCTCAGCGCGGATCCGAGAGCCACGCTTCAGGAGTTCACTTCGTCCAGCACCAACAGCTCGATTGTTGTCGAGCGAATCGCAGACTATCGCACCAGACAGCTCTATCGCAGCTTTACGAACGACGCTTGGCGCGGTGAGAAAGCCGGGGGTCTGGAAGCGTACCTGGAGCTAATTGAACTGGCGCTCAAGTCCGAGGCCGCAGGTAAGGTGCACGGTGCGCCATGTGACGAGCTGAGGCCGGAGCTCGGTTGTTTATTAGAGCAGCCGGAGGACATCTGGAGCGGCAGCTATTGATGCCAAGGATGTGGTCCGACGAGCGGCACTCCGCATGGGTGCAGACGGGGAGACTTAAATGCAGCAACAGGGGGAATATGCCACCCATGGCTGTGGCCCGGAAGACCCTATGCTGACACTCGACTGCCACATAGATTCTGCTTTGAAGGCCGTCGCGGCGTTTTGTCTGCAGGAGCTGGTCTCGATGTGTTCGACGTCCCTTACGAAGACACTGGTCCTGAGCACCGAGTGGCTTGTTGTAAGTTTCGCTGTCGTTGTGCTGCCGGTCACGCATACGCCAGCACAATCTGATTCTTGCCTGCGTTGTCGTGGCACTCTGGCGACAACAGGGCTATCTTTCGGCTCTGAAGGTCGAGACCAGGACTTCCATGGCGCATGTGCTTGGACTGGTTGCCACGGCTGATCTGGGCAACGCAGATGCCGAGTCGGAGCGGCGCCGGACCGAGCTCAAGACCTTGATTGAGAGTCTGTGCGATACCATCAAAGATACATCCAAGCAGGTAAGCGACGCTGCCTCCGCAGCTGACTCGCAGGCTTGGCCATGCTTCCGCCTCTACCTTACACGGACTTTTGCCTCAGGTTACGCTTGAGTCGCGCAGTGGGAGCGTCCTTGCTCTGGGGTACATCATTGGGCGGCTGCACTATCGCTACCGGGAAGAAACGGCCTCCATATTGCCCGCTGAGCTCTATCAACGTTCAGTGGAGACGATCGCCGATGAGCTCGAGTACGCGTCGACATCAGCCAACATCCGGATCACCGGGGCTGCCGTGGCCCTTGGCGAAGCAAGCCGATACGGCCCGTTGAGGATTCCTATGCAGCTTGAGGGCGAGGGCTCTGATGCCAGGGCTGCCATTGCGGCTGGCTCTCCGGCGGTCCAGTCGCCTCTGGTGGCGACCAGTCGCAAGTGGTCGCAGCAAAGCATTCGAACAAAGTTGATGAATCTGGTCAAGGGAAGCAACGACGCCAAGGTGGGTGGGTCATTTCAAGCCGATGGATACGCTGCACGTGCAGTGCCACCTATATGTACCTAGACAAGGACAGCGCTGCCGAGACCGATTAGGCACTGCCGAGCAGCGATTGACGTTAACGCTGTGATTCTATTCAGATCCAGGAGCAATGTGTCGCAACCCTCGGACACCTGGTTGCCGGCAACCGCGAACACAGCGACGCCGTTCTGTCTTTCTTTTACACGCTGGCCTCGAGCCTGTCCAAGCAAATCGAAATCCACTTCAACATTGGCGAGGCCATCTGCGCGATAACCTGCGGCTGGGCATCGACCGCGATGAGCGAGTATCTCGATGTTCCGGGAGCCACGCCGATCCAGTCGAGCGACGAGCAAAATGCCGAGACATTGCAGGCTGTCTTAAAGCATTGCTTCAAGGAGGTCCAGCCCTCTGCGAGCCAGGCATCCAAGAAAACCGTGTGCGTGTGGCTCCTGTGCCTGGTCAAGTTCTGCGGCAAATACCCTCTGGTTAAGGTTGGTTGCGATCGCTCTCTGGGCACTGGCTTCTGCATGTTGCTGCAGTGTTTGCGTGCTTGACAGGATCGCTCGCCCTTGGCTGACAGACAGGAAATGGTGCCGATTGCAATTGCAGGAAAAGCTCATGCAAATCCATGGCGCATTTTCATCGCTCCTGGGTGACAGAGATGGTGAGTTTTGTCTGTGCTCGACTGTGTTTGCGGAAAATGCATAGGAAGTGGGACCAACTCGACGAGCCAAATCATGCCACGGGCTCAGTCCGCGGGGCTCTGGTCTGTGCTCGAGATACGACGCGTACCATCGAGCCTAGCTTGCTGACGCTGCTTGATCAGATTTTGTCCAGGAAGTGGCCTCCAAGGGCATCGGCCTTGTGTATGAGCTCGGTGACAGCAGCATCAAGAAGGAGCTTGTCTCGACCCTCGTGTCGACTTTCAGCGAGGGCCGCCGGATCGCACCTGAAAGTGTGACGGCCGACACCCAGCTGTTTGACGATAACACCTTGGGCACGACCCCGGTCGGTGGATCGCTCACAACCTACCAGTCCATCCTGTCGCTGGCTTCGGACATGAATCAACCCGATTTGGTCTACAAGTTCATGTCCCTTGCGTCCCACAACGCCATCTGGAACTCCCGTCGTGGCGCCTCGATGGGCTTTGGCATGATCATCTCGTCTGCAGAGGCAGAGCTCAAGCCCTATCTGCCTCAGTTCCTTCCCAAGCTGTATCGCTTCCAGTATGATCCCAACGTCAAGGTCGCCGAGAGTATGAAGTCGATCTGGAGCAGCCTCGTCAAGAATCCCAAGAAGGAGATTGATGAATACTTTGACGTGATCGTTAAGGATCTGATTCAAGGACTCGGCGATCGGATGTGGCGAACACGCGAAGCCAGGTAAGCCTGTCACCGGCAGAAGGGAAAAGTTACACCGAGTATCATTGCTGTCGAGGAGAACAACCTGTGCGTGGCGAACCACTCGACGATGCACTGACGGCCCCGATGTCGCTACTCGCAGCTGCCGTGCCCTCGCCGATGTGCTGGTCGGACGAGAGCTCCACCAGCTGGAGCCTTATCTCCAGGAACTTTGGATCATGTGCTTTCGAGCTCTTGACGATATCAAGGAAAGTGTCCGAACGGCCGCGTTCGCAACCTGCAAGGCTTTGACAAACATAACCCTCAAGTACTGCGACCCCGAGCATGTGTCCCTCAAAGCTGGGGCCAAGATCATGGACACTGTGATTCCGTTCTTCCTGGTAAGGACTATGGGGTCACGCGCAGCGCTTGCTCGAATCTTGTGGTGCAGCGTGTCGACGAGCACTGACAGCTACGACCACTGCACAGACCAAAGGCCTTGGATCGATGGCCGAGGATGTGCAAAAGTACTCCCTCAGCACAGTGCTCAAGATCTGCAAGCGAGGCGGGGTGCTACTCAAACCCCACATTTCTGAGATTGTTGGCGTTCTGCTTGAGAGTCTCAGCACCCTTGAGCCACAGGCCATGAGTAAGTTGCTGCGCTATAGCAGGTGCAAGCGTGTGCGCCCGAGTTGCCTCATTCAGTGCCGATCGCAAGATCGCTCTGCGACAGAGCCTCCACTATTCGGCTAGATAGAGACTGACTGAGGCGGCGGGCCGCACAGACTATCTCTCCTTTCACACAGACAAGTACAACATCAGCCAAGAGCAGCTGGATACCACCCGACTGAATGCCGCAAAGATGTCTCCGATGGCAAGTGCAGACCCGCTGTGAACGGGGCTTGTTACGAGTAGCACGTTTGGGCACTCCTGCTGACAGGAGGGCTTTTGGGTGAATCGAGACTGCTGCTGACCAAAGGCGCACTCGCTCGCGGGCAATGTCTGCAGATGGATGCCATCGAGGTTTGTCTGGAGCAGATGGATCAGGCAACGATCGATGGGTTTGCCCCCAAGCTCGTTCAGATCGTCCGCAGAGGAGTCGGGCTTCCCACGAAGGCAGGCAGTGCGCGCATCATCGTCTCGCTCACGATGAAGCATTCGCGCGAGCTCCAGCCCCACGCCGATGCACTGCTCAAGGCACTCAGTGGCGCCATCCTCGATCGCAGCGCGGCCCTGCGCAAGGCTTATGCTGTGGCATTGGGATACACTTGCCGCATCTGCACGCAGCCCGCGCTGAGCCGGCTGTTGGACCACCTCCGCAAAATCTACCTGGAGGACGACGACGAGGAGAAGCGATCGGTGGCAGGCATAGCGATTCTCGAAGTCTCGCGCACCGCATCTGACGCACTCGCTCCCCTGCGCGGCGAGGTTCTACCGCTGTCGTACTTTGGCTCGCACGATGCCAGCCCGGCCCTCAAGGACATCTGGAAGGACATTTGGGCAGAAAACACCGCGGGCACGACCGGGGCGGTCAAACTGTACCAGAAGGAAATGATGGAGCTCTGTGTCGGGCTGCTGCGCGAGAGCCCAAGCTGGCCCATCAAGAAGCAAGTGGGACTGATGATCTCGTCGATGGTGCGCCAGATCGATGCTGGGTTCTCGTACCAGATGGACGTTGCTGTTCCACTGCTGATTGAGGCTCTGTCCGGTCGGACCTGGGATGGCAAGGAAGCCGTTTTGGAGGCGCTGATGGTCGCCAGCACCACATGCAAGGAATGGCTCAACGCCGAAGGCAAGGCCAGGCTGAGCGAAGTGACCAAGGTCAGTTCCCCCTCCCCGCACAGCGCTGTTGGGAGGAAGGACGAGGATGGGGAACAACAGTGATGGAGATAAGCTTTTTGGTCGACTCACATTGCTTACTGCGGACGGATGGCCAGGTGATGATCCGCGAGGCCAAGAAGAACAACAAGAGCTATCGCCGACTCAGTGTCGAGTACCTCGGCAAGTTTGTGGCGGGCCTCGAGCTCAATGTGCTGGATGATGTATACGACCACCTGGTTGGGGTTGCAGCCATGACCGACGCCGACGAAGACATGGATGGCGAGGAACCTCGCGAACGTGCCTTGATTCTGCAAACCCGGGCAAATGCATTCAAGGCTCTGGGCCAGTGTTGGCCCAAGGACGCGCAAACGCAAGGTGAGAAGCGAACGGGGTGTGCGAGCAGGATGCGGGGATACGGCGAGACGAAGCGAAACGAAGGATGGATGGAAGTAATGTGTGTCCCGATCCGTGTGCTGGACAAACGTGGACCGACCCGCTCTGCTCGATCGACCAACTTGCTCTGATCCCGCCATGTCTGGACATGTGCAGCCAAGTATTCCAAGGAGCTCGCCCGGCTGCTGAGCAAGCACGTTGATCAAAACGTGTGGACCGTGCGCCTTGGTGCGCTGGAGGCCCTGCACGACTACCTTGAAGCGGTGTATATCCACAACCCGCTGATCTTTGACGGCACTGTCGTCGATGCCATTGCCGATGCCCTGGTCGCGTCGTTCCAAGATAGCAAGGTAAGGCGAGGCAAGCCCCTTCTTGTACGAAAACAATGTCTGGCGGGATACTGATGCTGCTGGACTTGCTCTCTCTTCGGGCCTGGCCTGTGTGTGTGTTGACGAAACCAGTACACTGCCGTACGCGAAAGTACCGTTGCCGACCTGAAGCTGCTGGTCGAGCGCATCGAGGGTAAGCTCCGGGCGGCTGCGAGATACGGGAGGCGAGATGGGAGATGCCAAGGCGGCGATGCGATGACACTAACGTTGGGGCTGTGTGGGCGATACGGATCGCAACGCAGGAACGGATCTGCTCAAGGAGCCGGCGCGAGAGAAGATTCTGTCTGGGATTGCCCAGGTCCTGCAGAGCGAGCCCACAGGCGCAGCTGCCGAGACGCTCAAGGAAGTGCGGTCGACTCTGTCCAAGATGCAGGAATAGGAATATGGGTCCACGCACAACACGGATCGAGGGGGAACGGGATGGCGGCCGGCTGGTTGAGGAGTAATACTGGCCACAGCCCGAGAAGCCACCGCGAACATACAGACTCAATACACGCCCATCATGGTTTCGCACAACCTCGGACGGGGGAGGGACGCAGTGTGGGAGTGTGTGCTGTGAGTGCAACTCAGTGAGCGTGTTGTGGGAGGTGTCCCGTTGGCACGAGAACACGCTGTAAGTATGAATACATCAAGAGCATGTCCCAATTACAGATTTATGAGAAAGAAAGAGGCAAGAGGAAAGATAATCACAGAAATGGAACTGATGGCATGCTGAACACGCTTTAGAGCTTGTCGTAGTAGCGGTCGAGAGGAGGGATTTCCTCGGGAAGACCCTTGCGCTTGCGGACGGCCATCATCAGCTCCTGGATCTTGGATCCCTTCTCGATGGGCGAGCCACCCATGAGCTGCCAGTGATCGAAGATCATCTGGGGGAAAGCCTGACCACCGGTGGCGGCACGGAGATCGGCGGTGAAGCCGAAGGACTCCATGACGGGGAGGTAAGCCTTGACCTGGTAGAGAGGGGTTCCGGGGGTGTTCTCCTGCGAGACGACGTGGCCACGGCGGGTGTTCAGGACACCGTAGATGCCACCCATGGCGTTCTCGGGGCACTGGATGTCAACCAGGAAGACGGGCTCCATGATACCGGGCTCGGCAGTGAGGACGGAGGCGTAGCAGACACGTCTGCAGGTGGGGATGATCTGGCCACCACCACGATGGATGGCGTCAGCGTGCTACAGGGGGAGGGACAGAGTGGAGAGTTAGGAGCCGTCCTACACCGCAGCAAATCACGGACCTGAACAAGCAGAGATATGGGCAGCCAAGCGCGGACACAGCAGCAGTACATACCAGGACGACATCGAGGATGTTGAAGCGGATACCGCGCATGTTCTCTTCGGCGATACAGCCCTCCTTGGTGGCCCACTGGAAGGCAGCAACGCACGAATCCTTGATTTCGTTGAGGTACTGGACACCCTTGGTGACATCAACAAGCATGTTGGGGCCGGTCGAGTCGGGGCCGAAACACCAGATCTTACGGGCATCGGTGACGTCCCAGCCGTAGGTCTCGGCGAGGTAGCGGGCACGGGCCTTGAGTTCATCCTTGGAGCTGACCTTGCCCTCATCAATCTCGCGGCTGAGGTCCTCCTGGAGGGGAAGAGCCTTCATGAAGATACGGTTGTGCTTGTTGGGCGACTTGGACAGACAGACAATGTTGGACTCGCCAGTGACGGTCTCACAGTACTGGACGACGGGGTCACCCTTGCGGAGGGGGATACCGGCGTGGTCCTCCTCGAGATCCTTCAGGCAGATTTCCAGGTGGAGCTCACCAGCACCGGCAACAATCATTTCACCAGAATCGGAGGTGTAGCAGAGGACACAGGGGTCGGACTTGGCCAGGCGCTTGAGACCTTCGACAAGCTTGGGGAGATCAGAGGGGTTCTTGCACTCGACGGCGACACGGACGACGGGCGAGACAGAGAACTTCATGACCTTCATGTTGTGGGCGGTGGTGGAGGTGGTGATGGTTCCGGACTTGAGCAGGAACTGGTCAATGCCGACAAGACCAATGATGTTACCGGCAGGGCAGTCGTCGATGGTCTCGACCTTGCCACCCATCATGAGGACAGTGCGCTGGATGGCCTTCTCGAAGAGATCCTTCTTCTCGCCGGGAATGAAGGCGGGGCCCTGGATGCGGACCTTGAGACCACCACGGACGGTGCCGGAGAAGACACGGCCAAAGGCGTAGAAACGACCCTTATCAGAGGTGGGAACCATCTTGGAGACGTAGAGCATGAGGGGGCCGTTGGAGTCGCAGTTGCGGATGGCAACAGCGCACTCGTCGTCGTTGGGTCCCTCGTAGAGAGCATCACCACGGTACTTCTGGGCGGTGGCGGGGGAGGGGAGGTGGATACAGATCATCTCAAGCAGGGCCTGGCCGGCGGGCAGGAAGTTGCGCATGGCGGTCTTGAGGAGAGCCTTGCCTTCCAGCTCCTTCTCGTCGGACTTGAGGGCGATGCCGAGCTTCTCGAGCATGGTCAGGACCTCCTCCTTGCGGCCGTTCATGGTGGCGTCGAAGATCTTGAAGATGGGGTCGAGGATGAACATGTTGAAGGCACGCTCGAGGGGCTTGCCATCGGCGCCCTCGGCCTTGGTGGTCCACTTGCGGGTGGCGGGGTTGAAGTAGTTGTCACCCCACAGACGGGTCATCATCTTCTCGCGGTCAACACCGAACTTCTTGGAGTAGCGGCTGGCAAACTGGCGGAGGGTGAAGGCCCAGCCGTGGAGACCAGAGCCGAAGCAGACGGTGCCCTTCTCGGGGTAGACCTGGAGATCGCCGGTGACCTTGTCAAAGTAGGTGGCAATGACGACGTTGACGTTCTCGATGGTGCGGCGGAAGGTCTGGTAGAGATCTTCCTTGGTGATCTGCAGCTCGAGCAGAGCACGATCGACCTTGTTGATGATGACGACGGGCTTGATGCGCTCACCGAGAGCCTGACGCAGGACAGTCTCGGTCTGGACACAGACACCGTCGATGGTGTCGACGACGACGAGGGCACCGTCGGTGACACGGAGGGCAGCAGTGACTTCGGACGAGAAGTCAACGTGGCCGGGCGAGTCAATCAGGTTGATCAGGAAATCGTTGCCCTTGGTCTCCTGCTTGATGTCGGGGAGGTCATCAGGGTTGAGCTGGAAGTACATCGAGATGGCAGTCGACTTGATGGTGATACCACGCTCCTGTTCATCGGCACGGGTGTCCATAGCACGGGCAGTACCGGCCTTGCCGCTGGAAATGATACCAGCCATACTGAGCAGGGAGTCAGTAAGGGTACTCTTTCCGTGATCGACGTGGGCAATCACCGACATGTTGCGGATGTTGGTGGGATGGTCCATGAGACCACGGATCTGGAGGGAGAAGCGGCGGCGAGACCAGCATCCGATTAGCGTCTGAGCGGCCCTGCGAGCCGGGTGTGCCTCCAATGCAGCCGCAGGCAATCGGCGCAACCGCGGAGCACATCATCGCCAAGTCGACTCCAAATGACACTGTACACACCTCTTCGATAGTGAAGTTGACCTGCAGACATCAGCAGAGTGTGCGGTTAGCGTTTGTGTGAGTGTTGCGAGCGCTGTGCAGCGCAGGCCGCAAGCAGCGAAATGCAGAGAAAACCATCTCGGAATCGCGCGTGAGGCCAGATGCTGAGCGAGATTTTTTGAATTGCGAGTTCCGACGCCGATCGGATGGATAGGCCGATGGATAGGCCGATGGATGCATGGATGGACGGATGGATGGATGGATGGATGGGCCGATGGATGGGGGGTGTGCGCTCGCGGCAGCTTACCATCTTTGCTGATTTCCGTCGGGGTTGGGCAGATCAAGGTGGATGCAGATTGCCGACGAGGCGTGCTCGCGGTGCTTATATTCGCGACAGGCGGCGCAAGCCCCCGCCCGGCTCCAGCCAACCGCCGCGCTCGGCTGACTGCGACCTTCCATATCGGGAACGCGCCTGCTGGCTGGCTCGGTCGCATCAGAAAAATTTTTTTCTGATCTGAACGACGCGAAGGGGGGGGGCAGCCAACCAGCCAACGACCCCACAGCGCATCGTGAATCAGACGGGCTGGGGCGTGGCATCGCCAGCCAGGCGGGAGGGCCGACGCAGACGGGACAGCGAGGGCAGGACGGGCTGGAGAGGCTGGAGAGGGTGGAGAGGCTGGAGAGGGTGGACGAGCAGAGCCATCGGGGGCATCCAGACACCGCCGCGGGTGGCCCAGCACAATGCGACAGGCTCCGGCAGGTCAGCAGGCGGGCCTGGGAGGCAATTGTGCTCTGAATCGCTCGCTGGCGGGGCTGCAAACGCAATGGCGGCCGAGGGCGAGCCACGAGGACCGTCTGCAAGCGGGACAGCGCGGGTCGCTGCGGGCTGCGGCCTCGGCGGTTCTGCACGGCAGCTGAATTCCATCCAGCATCGGCACGGATTGCTGTCCCTGGCAACGGCGTCTCACTACTGCCCCACTCAGTTTGCAGAGCGCAACACACATACGCGGCATTGATGGACGAAGCCTGATGCTGACAAGCCGGCGCTGAGACATTGAATGCGACGACGCAGTTGTATTGACCCTTAAGGATTTACAAGCCCATGCGATGGCAAATCGAGATACGCCGCAGCAGACATGGTGGTTGAGCCTGCTGCGGCTCCCGACGACCCAGCACCCGCAATGCCGCGCTCGGTTTACCTGCGACGCTTTGAGGGGCGATCTTCCCATCCAGCAACCAGAACCAAATGCTGTGCGTGCAGCTGACAAAGCGAGCAGAGCGTTAGCATCTCATTCCGAGGAGTGCCGCAGCAATCGCCAGTCGTGCTGGCTGCATATCAGAAATTTGGGTTTATAAGAATAACATTATCGCCCTAGTAGAGGCTTCTAACTGACGTGCAAATGTCTTGTGATCATCAGGAAGCAGCCATGCCGACGCGGTCGCTGTTCGCAGGGCGGGCACCTACCTTCTGGTTGCGGAGGAGATGGATGATGACGGAGAGACCTGGCGAGAGAGCTGTGCGCTGACAAGAAATACTCTGCGAGCGCCGATCACACCCATACAGCGGGTGTGAGAAAAAACGGGACGCATCGTCTCATTCAGACAAACACGGCGCAGTCGGATCATATCACACACCCGGTCAAGTGTCAAGTCATTTCCCTGGGTGTGAGGGAGGAGGACACAACGCAAAGAGAAAAACGCCAGAGGAGCAGATTTTATAGGGACTCCAGCGCCAATCACGGTCGTCTGATTCACACAAGCCACGCAGGTTGTCCGTGTGGAGGTGTCTCGTTTCGGAAAGGCGCGTCGTAATGAATTTCATCTGCCGGTGCTGCGCGCCCACCGGCCAATCGCTGTCCGCGGCCATGTCTCGCTTTCGCAGGGCCCTCGCCACCCTGGCAGCTCCGTTCGTGCGGCCTCCAGCCCGTCGCATCGCCGTCGCATCGCCGTCGCATCGCCGTCGCATCGCCGTCGCTGTCCAGGGCAACCCACCCCCAACACCAGCGACTCTGCTACGAGAGACAACGGACGGTCCTGCCCCTGCCAACCAACGAGCCTCGGCAACCGCGCGGATACAGCAATATTACCACAATACGACAGTATCCCATCGAAATCCGTCCGAAACCACCACACCCGGCAAGCAGACCTTGGCCCGACCTTCCCAGAACTGTGTCATGGACAACCCAACCGCCCCTGGAGCAGTCTCTCCGCCTCAGCGAGAAGGGAGCCGAGAAGACATTACCACGCCCTCCTCCGCTGCCTCGGCGTATGCGGCTGTGCCGGTGCCTGCCAAAGGTGATCACTTGGCCAAGCGCTGCTCTCGACGGCGATGGCCCAACATGTGCTGCAGAAGGATGGCCGGTCGGCTCCACACTGCAAGAGTGAAGAGGTGGAATGCCGTCGTGGGCATCGTAACGAGTGCTGATGTAGCTTCTCTGGTTTGTCGGGAACGCCCGGGCGGCCCGAACACCACAAACGACCAGTTGTCGTCCGGCTCCGAGCAACAGGGAATGCGCCGATCCTGAAGCAGAACTCGTTCAAGATCACGTCGTCGCAAAAGTTCCAGATCGTCATCAACTTTCTTCGGAAAGAACTGGGTTTCAAGCCCTCGGATTCGGTGGTGAGTCAGCGATGGCTGCGACGCGGCGATGCAGATGGATACCAGAGGGTTGGCCGTGAGTCTGGAGGATGGAAGTGTGCTCGTCGCAGGCTTTGGAATCGAATAGAGTCGGATTTCCAGAATCTGGAACAAGCCCACACCACCAGGAACGCGGCGCAGGATCGAAGACTTTGAATCTGAGGACAAGCAAGCAAAGAGAGCCACAGGCAAGACGCAGCGACGTGGACAAGGTTCACAGGGGAGCAGGATCCGATGCAACAGGAAGATAGCGATCCGCCACGGTCGGTGCAAACGGCAAATGTATGATATCGAGGAGTGCAGAATCAGAGGCTGCCATCAGGTGATGCTGCAAGTCATTGGGCTGTGCACCGACACAACATACATCAGGAGGCGGCTACCCTGCCTTTGCCATGTCATGGCGACATCCCGGCGACGACCTCTCTCCACGACTAAGCCATACAACCATGACGGTCTCCGAACCAACAACATCGGATCGCGTCGATGATGCAGCGCCGCCGAGAGCGTTACGTCTCGCCACGCTTCGCCACTGCATGGACCAAGTGCAGTTGCATCGCCTGCCAACCGCCCCCTCGAAGGCCGTGCACATTCGGAGTCCCCCCACCAACAGGACATATACAACCGGGCGATTCGACGGGACAGCCGTCTCGCCGCCGTTGCGCAGGGACTCGACCCACGACGACTCAGCCGGCTGACGCTTCTGGGACACAGTTTCTCTACATCAACAGCTCGTTCGCGCCTGCACCAGACGAAGTCGTCTCAAACCTGTACAAGGTATGGACGATACGTATCAGTCAACCGACTCGCGGCTGCTCGGCTGATTCTGGCTCTCCGGAGATCCGTGTCGCACCGGGCGGGCAGGAGTCCCATCACCCCTTCGCCTCACCTCCGCCGCTGACGCTTTTGTTTCTTGGCCCACTCCAAACCCGATCGCGGGCGTCTCGTCGGTTGCCGTCGGCCCGTGCTGTTGTACTTGCCGGGGGGCGGGGGCAACACTCGCAATCCGCGGGCGATCCAGTGTTTTGCCGTGGACGGAAGTTTGATAGTCAACTACTCACTTACCACGGCGTGGGGATAGCGCAACTGCCAGATCGGCACGCGAGCCGCCCGCCTGTGTGGTTTTCGGTGGCGATCGAGGCGAGGCGGGCAGCCCACGACGGGATGGGCTTGTGCTTGTGCTGCTGTGGGAGGAGGCGCTGCGGTACCAGTCGGCCCAGATGCAACGCCGACAGCCCGCCAGGCTCATGGCCAACGGAGACAGGAAGCCGAACCCGCTCCACTGTCGCCAAAACCATGGCCATCAACACGAAGCCAGACACCGAGCACGCGCTTGAGCCAGGGAAGGCGGGGGGGACAAGGAGAGGGGCGAGGGTATCCACAACCACAGCCACAAAGCGCGGCTGGGGCTGCGGCTGGGTCGGGTGTCGCGCTCGTGCACCGGTGCAACACGGAGATACGTGGCGTGGCGACACGCACGCGACGATTGGACAGCGACGCGCCGTGTGACGTGCCAAAAGCCACAAACGCGTCCACGGCGACTCCATACAGCGCGCCGTGGCTGTGGTTGTTGCTGTGGCTGTTGCTGTGGTTGTCGTTCGGATTGCATTCCAGTCTCTCACCGATGCACCGGACCGACATCCGAATTGCTATCGCTTAACATTACGCCATTTCACAACATTCTTACCTTTCATACCATTCTCACCTTTAACAACTCTCACACCTTTCACACCACCGACACCACCGACACCACCGACACAAACAAACACAACCACCACCACTGGCCCAACAAAGAAGGCACACCGCCGCGCCCGCGCGCACACCCGCACCTCTGCCACCGGCCTCGCCTCCCTGCGACGGATACAACCGCTCCACCCGTTCTGCTGCTATATCTGGCCTGCGTCCCCGCCGGCCTTGGTTTTGTGTCGACCGCTTCCAACCTTCCATCATCTGCACTCAGAATCCTTTCCTCCTCCTTCCCGTCTTCGTCGAGCATGCCGCGAGCCCCCAAGAGGTACGCCCAGATCGCGCACCGCCCTTTCGCACTGATATTTGCCTCCTGGTTTCCATCTTTCCGTCTCCCGTCGATCGCTTCATCGTCCGTCGATCTCTTCATCCTCCGTCGAGCTCTTCATCTCTCTGTCCATCCACCTTCCACCAAATATCCTAACGCTTCGTCTCACCGTTTCCTTCTCCATCCTACAGTGCCGACCGCAGCTCCCCACTGGACCTTGAGCAGCGGCGCCAGCGTCGACGAGAGTATCGTCAGCGCTATGAGCATGCTCGCAAGCTGAATGGCATGCGCGGCCACCCCGTCAACCTGAAGCCGCAGCAACGCCAGCATTTTGAACGCAAGGCCAATAGCAACGGTGGCGAAAGCCCAGAGAGCTACTCGAACCAGCTCGAGAATCTGCTCGACCAGTTTGTGCAGATCCAGACGGCCTCGGTCCGCTACCGCTTTACCGACATCTCGCTCAAGAAAATCCGCCAAGACCCCACCGACCAGCCCGAGACCGAGGACAGCAAGAAGCCGTGGCGCCTGTGGCTCAAGTCCTCGGTCCTCCAGAAACTCACCCTCCTCAAGAAACACTGCTCCCCACCCGTGGGCTCGTGCCAGAACAAGTACAAAATCACATACTCTGAGTTTGTCGAGCTGCTCATCGAGTTCAGAAAATACGGCGTTGACGAGTCCGTGAGGGTGCGGCTTCTCGAACCCCTCCCGGACGACACCCCCGATTTCGTCACCGAGGTAAGGCGGCTCTCGCAGCACCACCCGCTCGTTTGGCCGTTGGGAGAAGCACCATGACCTCTCCCTCCCCCAGCGCACGCACATTCGTATGCTCGGACAAATGCCGTCGTCGCTGTTGCTTTGCTTGCCGTACTCACCTCGATGCCTGTCACCTCCTGTTCTCCCACAGTATGAAGCCATCATCCCGACCGGGCCTTCCGACACCATGATCGACCCCAGCGCCGGTGGCACCCAGCTCTTCTTGGCCGAGACAGAGGTCGATATCGGCATTGCTCCTCCGTCTCCGCGGACCAGCCCCACCACCGCCGACTCCAAGCCCATCTCCAACCGCGAATCCTCCGTCAGCTCTTCCACCAGTACCATTTCGTTTCCACATTCAAATACCCCCCTGTCGCCCCAGTACTCGCCATATCCCTCCGTCTCTGCCCACTTTCCATCTGCCGCAGCCACATCTCCCTTCTACCACCCCGCCCCTGCCTCGACTCTGCCAGCTGGGTTTCAGCTCTCCGAATATCCCGTTCCCTTTTTTCCTACCACCACCGCCGCCGCTGCTGCCGCCGCCACAACTGGCGCATCCCCTGCCCTCAGCCTCTACTCCCACCTCAACACTCCTCTATTCCACGAGTCACCCCACGACCACGCAGTGGGATGGACCGATTCGTTCGCCTATGCTGCCCCCACCCACAGCGTGGCTCCCACGCCCTTTCTCCCCCCCGAGCTCTCCTCTGGGGCCCTTGACTCGGACTATGTTGCCGCCTTCTCGGCCGCTACCAAGGCTCAGTCCATCCCGTCCTTTGCACTCGTCTCGGGCCTCGCCAGCACCAAAGCCTCCGTTCCCTCCCACATCATGACCCCGCACATCACGGCCGAAACCGTGTCGGACATCACCAATGCTCACCTCTTCAAGGACATGCAGCCTGTCCACTTGGTCTCTCTCGGGCACCCCAGCCCCATCGACCAGTCGCACTTCACCTCGGTTTACTCGGGCGATTACCCCGACACTCACCACACGCTCTATCCTTCCCAGGAAGATGTCTTCTCGTCCGGCGAAGTCTTTCTCGGTGGCCTGCCCGTCGATCAGCTGAACAACCCCATTGACTATGGCGACGAGTTCCCGAGCTTTGTCGAGCCGAGCGACAGCACTGGCAACACGTACATGGCCATGAGCCATTCGGGATCCACCAACTTGGGCCTGGACCCCAACAGATACATTAACGGCCTTGATCCCCTGCAATCGGGACTGCCGGCTTTTTCGATCCCCGCTGGTTTTGCGGCCATGGGCTCTTCCTACTGCCCCCCGTCAACCTGCTTCGACAAAAACCCCCAGTCCAAGACTTTGGCGCAATCACGAGTTGCTCGCCAGCAGCCTGCAAAGGCAAATGCCGTCGACACAGCCGCGCCGCGACAAAAGCCCGAGATCCCCAAGATCCCCGAGGCCTCCAAGGCCTCTGAGCGATCCAAGGGTGGCGAGCGGCCCAAGATTTCCGAGCGCACCAAGCCTGTCGAGCCACCAAAGGCTGCGCGGTCCAAGGTCTCGCTCAAGTTGGATGCCAAGGGCCAAGTGGTTGAGCGCCGCCCGGGCCTTGCTACCAAGCCTGGCCAGAAGAGTCTGCCCGTTGTCTCCAAGAGTCCCAAGAGGGAGGTCCGCCGTGAGCGCTCGACGCCCCTGTCTCCTTCCGCACAAAGCCCCTCAACTGACGAGAAGCCTGCCCCTCCCCCTGTCTCTACTGCCCCCGCCGCCGGGAGCGAAGACGTGAGTAACTTTGTCAGTGTCCCAGCAGCTGGGCAGCTGGACTAAGGGTCGCCGTACAACCCGTCGCTAATACCGTCCATCCGTCCATTCGTCCATTCGTCCATCCGTCCATCCGTCCATTCGTCTTTCCTTCCCTCCCTCTATTCCTATTTCCATTCCTCTATCCACTCCTCCTCTCCTCCCCTATCCCTCTTTCCATTCATCCCTCTATCCATCCACCCACAGGCCCTCGTCGCCCAGATCCAAGCCTTGTCCATCGATAGCTCCAAGCAGGTCTCCCCGACCACCGAGAGCACCTCCTCGTACGAGCTCATCATGGACTATCTGACCGTTCTGACACCCAAGGATGTTGGCGACAACAAGAACTGTGTCATCCGGGACCACGAAAAGTACTTTGCCGTCTATGAGTCGATTATTGCAAAGATTACGATGCTGCGGAAACTCCGCACTGTCACCGAGGCCGAGATTGCAGAATGGTACCCGTCGTTCCTGGTCCGCTGCAGCATCTTCGCGGGAGAGGATGCGTATGATTTTCGCTCGCCTGAGAGTTGGGTGGGCAAATCGACGGACTGCCACTCGCGCTCCGCCGTGATGCCAGTGGATACATGGTCCTTGGCAACCACCGTGCCATATGAGAGCTAACCATCCCTCCGCCCCTTCGCTCCACAGCTTGGCCGACTGGATCATCATCCTGATGGAGACGTTCAACGAGTCAAGCGAGGTTCTCGAGCCTTTCAAGTTCTTGCTCTACCAGATGAGTCGGATTGATATGGTCCGACCCAGCCTCGTGAGCTCGTTTGTCGAAGAGTCCAGGACCCACGAGCCGGAGGATGCTCCCCAGAGAGGACTGCTGTCGCCCCAGTGCATCCAGCGAGTAGCTTCACCCGCGTGCTCGGACTGCACGTCGCCCCCGCCCGTCACCTACGGCTTCAGCGAGGACGACTGATCTGATCCCGTCCGATCCAGTCCGATCCAGTCTGATATGGCCTGATGTGTGCCGGGCGATCCCCCACATGCGCTGTGCGCTTGTGTTTGGTCCGGCTTCCCCCTGTGATTCTGTCTGCCCGTCTGTGCAGTGGGTCTCCCTGTTTTTTTTTCTCCTTTGGCCTTTCTGGATCGATTCCGATGCGCTCAAACCCATCGGTGCGCATGGCTCTCAGCCAGTCTGTAGCCAATTCGTCCAACTGTCGTCGCCTGGAGCCCCCACCCATCTTTTTTGTACCTTTCCTTCCTCCCCCCCTCACTCACTACTACTACCACCTCCACCACCCGTCGCCGCTGCGATCGTAGCGTCCTGAAGTTATATGGATTGAAACAATACAGCATTCTCTTGTGACAAAATGACAAGTGTGCACACGATCTTTGGACATGATGATATTTGTGATCGTGAATCGTGAATCGATATCAATTGTGGGGCTGGTAGTATAGCACACCTCATTGCGTCGGGGCTGGCACTTTGGAATCCATACCGCCAGAGGGCATCCAAGGACCAGAACATATGACGAGCGACTCCCTCGACCCGACGATCTTGACGCTGAGAAACGGCTCTGTCCAAGGAACCTGACTTGCGGTTCATGGCGCCGGCTGGTCGCTTCACTGACACGTGGCCACAATGTATCCAAAATAGGCAACTCGCGTCCTGCCGCATTTTCTGCCGCCGATCCATCGGCACCCCAGCGAGCCGTCCGTCTCTTGCTCCTGCACTCCTCCTTCCGCTTGATCGCTGCCCCGACGAGCTCCGAGCCGCATCGCCGACAGACCCCACTTTTCATCTGTGCTGGATCAACGCACCCGCCATGTTCTCCGACAATATGGACATCAACCTGGACGACACCGCCTCGGTCCAAGGCGGCCAAGCCGGTCCGGGCGGCCCAGGCGGCCAGAACCCTGCCTCGTCCTCGGTCATGGGTCGGGCTCGTGCCGTCAATCCCATGGTCCTCGACTTCCTCAGGGACGACATCCAGAAGGTCAAGGACACAACCGCCGAAGAGGTCCAGAATGCTTTTGAGCAGTTTCTGGAAAGGTTAGTCTTGCTTGAGCCCCAAGACACATCACAGCGGCGGTCAAGCCCTCCAGCATCGCCAGCGGTGACCGAGGATGAATGTGCTGTCAGGCCGATCAGACGCAGACACGAACGCTAACACTCTCGATCAACTGCAGATACGAGCAATTCGTCGATGACGAGCCGCAAGCCTTCTACATCAACCAGATCAAGCAGTTCGAAAACCACTCCATTACCACAATCTATGTCGACTGGGTCCACGTGCTCGACACCAACGAGACCCTCGCCGGCCTGATCCAGGAGCAATACCACAGGTGCGACCTCGTCGCCTTCACGATCTTGAATCTTGCAGCGCTGTCCTTCACCGCCCTTGCCTCCCTCTTTCCTCCGCGACCCCTTGGCCCTAACTTGCTTTATGCGATCCTCCTGGGGTATGTATGCGTATATACATGCATGTGTGCCACATGCTCTTGTCTAGATTCGAGCCCTATCTGAAAAAGGCTGTCCAAAACCTCGTCAAGAAGCACATTCCAAACTACCTCGAGAACAAAACTGGCGGCTTGAATGTCGTCAAGGAATTCTGGGTCAGCTGGTACAACACCCGGTCGCTCTGCAAGTAAGTTTGACCCTTGGTTCGTGCGCTGGCTCAGCCCAGATGCGCTCCGGAAGGGCGGTCGAGCTGAACAGACACACGGCATGCTGCAGGGTCGCGGCTTGCACCGTGGATGCGGCGATGCGTTAGGGGTGTGGGTCAATGCCACGGCGAGGCCATGGGACGCAGCCGTCGTGGTTAAGCGATGAGCAAATGTCACGACATTTGCATTCGTGAGATGTGGGTGTCCAAGCGTCTGACTTGGACGTATGTGACTTTCACCGCAGCCTCCGCGCCCTGCGGACAGACTCGCTGGGCTGCCTGAAGACCATCACTGGCACCGTCACTCGCACGTCCGAGGTCCGGCCCGAGCTTCTGTACGGCACCTTCAAGTGTGCCGACTGCAACTCGGTCATCAAGGACGTTGAACAGCAGTTCAAATATACACAGGTACGCATCACCATCCTTTGGTTGGTCAAAGTGTTGGCGATTGTACCTCCCGCGAGATCGTATGCAGGCATAGGGGGATCATGTTCATACTGATGCTCGTGTTCAAGCTCATGCTCATGCTCATCCTCATACCCGCTCCCGCCTTTGTTGGTCTGCAGCCCAGCACCTGCAACAACCCCATCTGCCAGAATCGCACAAACTTCACTTTGATCGTCGAGCAGTCCAAGTTTACCGACTGGCAGAAGGTTCGGCTGCAGGAGAACGCCAACGAAGTCCCCAGTGGCGCCATGCCCCGGAGTCTGGACGTTATCCTCCGCAACGATATTGTTGACCGAGCCAAGGCTGGCGACAAGGTTCACATCATCGGCATGCCTATCGTTATTCCCGACGTTGCCCAGTTTTCAGGTACGGAAGGCGCAGTTATGTTTCCGCCACTCGGCTCGATTTCCAAAGTCCAGCTGCGCTCTGCTCGATCTCGCTCTGTCGGGTGGTATGGCTAATCTATGTGCCCTGTATTCCCTCCCATCAGGCACCCGAACTCACTCGGTGCGCGATGAGCAGGGTGGAAAGCCTCGAGGTCGGTAGCTGCCGCTGTTGGGCCGACTGGATCGAATGCTTGTTGTTCTGTGCTCGCCTGTGCTCGCTCGCGCTTACCGCTCCGCCTTCACTTCAATTTGGTTGTCAGACGGATATGCCGCTGATGGTGTTTCCGGTCTGAAGGCCCTGGGTGTCCGCGATCTGTCATACAAGATGGCCTTCCTTGCCTCTTTTGTCCAGCCCGCCGAGGCCAAGGACGCCCTCAGTGCCCTGCATGACATGCTGCCCGAAGACACCGAGACTGGTGCACTCATTCACCAGTTTTCGAGAGAGGAGCTGGACGAGATCGACACAATGCACCAGGACAGACAACTCTATGGCAAGCTGGCGCGCAGCATTGCTCCCCATGTCTTTGGTACGTAGGCGGCCCGATCGATCAAGTGTAAGCAGCCCTCATATGGCGGTTCTGTCTAACAAAGCTGTGCTGCTGGTAGGCCACGAGGACATCAAGAAGGGCATGCTCCTCCAGCTGCTCGGCGGTGTGCACAAGGTCACTCCCGAGGGGATCCATCTGAGAGGAGACATCAACATTTGCGTCGTCGGCGATCCCAGTACCGCCAAGAGTCAGTTCCTCAAGTGAGTACCGCTGCCGGCAGGGTGGTCGTATCGAATTGGCAGCCTCGCCAAGATTTGTCGAGCCAACCAGATCTCCATATATCCGGCAGTGAGATGTAGAGTGATATGTACTGATACGCCCCCCCCCTCAACCCAAATCGGGTCGTGCTCTGGTCGATATCGCCTCCAGATACGTCTCGAGTCTGATGCCCCGAGCTGTCTATACATCCGGCAAGGCCTCATCTGCCGCGGGCCTGACAGCCAGTGTCATCAAGGACGAAGAGACGGGCGAGTTTACCATCGAAGCCGGTGCGCTCATGCTTGCGGACAATGTAAGTGCCCTTCCGCCGACGTTCGCCCGTGCTGCGTAGCGATCGTGTCTGGATACCAAACGATTGTCCTCTCGACCTGTGGCAGCTTCGTCGAGCAGCCATGCAACTGCCCCTGCGCTGATCGGCCTCACAAGCTCCCCTTTGAGCTCGAATTGACGCTGTCGTTGTGTTCTGGCTCGTACAGGGTATCTGCTGTATCGACGAATTCGACAAAATGGACATCTCGGACCAAGTCGCCATCCACGAAGCTATGGAGCAGCAGACCATCAGTATCGCCAAGGCTGGTATCCAAGCGACGCTCAACGCCAGAACATCGATCCTGGCCGCCGCCAATCCTGTTCACGGCCGATACGACAAGACTCTGTCTCTGAAGGTGCGGTTTGTGATCTGTAGCCCCGCACTTGAACAAGATGTTCCTGGGGCTATCTGGTGCTCTATACTGACGCTGACGACATCTTTAATACCACAGCAAAACATCCAGCTGTCGGCACCTATCATGTCGCGCTTCGATCTCTTCTTTGTCGTCTTGGACGAGTGTGAAGAGACCACCGACTTCAACATCGCCCGGCACATTGTCACATTCCATCGCTCGGAAGAAGTTCAGATCGAGGCGCCGTACACGCAAGAGCAGCTGCTGCTGTTCCTCAAATATGCCCGTGGACTCAAGCCCCAGGTAGGGATCCAGTGCTGAATATGCCCCAGTCATACATGGGATGAGGCTTCAATGGACCAGTGCTGACTACAGACTCCGCTTGCAGATGACCCCCGAGGCCCTGGAGCTGCTCGTTGCGCAGTATCGTGCTCTGAGACAGGGCGACGCCTCAGGTATGCCAATACAGCCTGTCTGTTGCCCATGCACTTTGTCGTCTCCCGCAGCTGGATAGCTGGCCGAGCTTGCACTGACGACTGCTCGGCATCCCCGCACCGATGAAGGCTTCAACCGGTCCTCCTATCGAATCACGGTCCGCCAGCTCGAGAGCATGATTCGCCTGTCAGAGGCCCTTGCCAAGCTGTTCTACGAGGGCGGCTATGACGAGGAGGTACAGGAAGAGGACGACGATCAGGATGACGGACAAGACCCCACTCTGCCGCGCATGAAGAGGACAAAGGTCATTTACCGCATGAAGCCCGTGCTGGTCAAGAAGGAGCATGTTCAGGAGGCCGCCAATCTGCTGAAAAAGTCGATTGTCTACATTGACCGGGGATCGGTCGAGCTCGAGGATGAAGAGATGGCGTCGTCACAGTCCGGCATCCTGCGGGCGGAAGATGTGGGCAGCAGCGACATGGATGTCGACCAGGCCGGTGCTGGAGAACTGGTAAGGCTTCGTGGTGGCTGGTGGCTGGTGGCGTTGATGGTCATTGTTGTTCCAATCACTGGCAGTCGTCTCGGAGTCATTCCTGACCCTCTCATGCTTGGCTCCCCCTCCCCTGCGCATTGGCTGTTCCGCACCCATGTGCAAACTTGCATGTGTGCACTGCGCTGCATGCACCTCAGCCCTCCACGGCCGAGGAGCTCAAGAACAAAAAGGTCAAGATCAGCGCCGAGGAGTACCAGCGCATTGTCAACGCAGTCATCTTCAAGATCCAGCAGAGCACCGCAGAGGACGACAAGATTGCGGGCCTGCGCCGATCCGAGATTGTGCTTTGGTTCCTGGAGACGATGGAGGAGGAGATTGGCGACGAGGATGCGTTCAGGTACCAGGGCAAAATCATCAAGAGCGTGATCAGCCGCATGCAGAACGTCGACAACATCCTGATTGCACTCCAGGAGGAGCAGGAGTCGCTCGGGACGCAGGACGCCGACGGTGCCAGCGGCGGTGCCATGTCCTCGGACGACCCGATATTGATCGTCCACCCCAACTACGTTGTCGACTTTTGAGCGCACATTGTTTCGTGGCGGATCTGCTCGCCGCATAGGCAGCGCCTTTCAGCAATACAACCCCCCCCCATTGATATCGCGCAAGCCCCGCTGGCCCCCGAGCGGAGACTTGGCTGCCAGCTCCTCCCCCCCCCGCCGCAGCTGCCGTCGGGACGACAGGATCCGCCGCACGGCAGATGTGCAGCCGATTCCCTTCGCTCGCCTTCCAATTCCCTCCTTGTGCGGTGGCATCGTGCGCAGCACGCAGGGAGCGATTGCCAAGACGGGGGCGAACATCAAAAGCGAGCCGGCCTGCTCGTCGATCGTCTGGTCCCAGGAAAGCATCTCCGCAGCAGCGCAGCGTAGGTCTCGACACAGCACGCCCGTGCGTGCGTCGGATACGGACTGGACTCGCTGATGTGCATTGGCGGCCCACACCGAATCGGCCTTATTATCCAGCTTTGCCAAACTGCTCTGACCCAAACACCTCCTGCCCGCTCTCCCCTTCATCTCCAGCCCAGCAGGCGTTCGTCCATCTCCTCGGCCACATCCACATCCACATCCACATCCACATCCACATCCACATCCACATCCACATCCACATCCACATCCACATCCACATCCACATTCGCATCCGCATTGGCATCCGCATTGGCATTCGGTCTCAGTCTCATCCTCAGTCCGAGTCTCAGACCCTGCACTCATATCGGCCATGGCTAGCCAGTCGTCCTCCATTCCGTTCATGTCGGTGCCCGCTCTGGTGCCGGTATCTACCGTCTCGCAGTGTGCCTGTGGGTAAGTCTCATCGCCCATCTGCCACCCGGTTTCCTTTGGTCGGCCCGGGCGTCCTTCATCCAAACAGGTCGACCCGTCTGGACGAGCCCCGACTACCGAGTCGGATGCATCGCTGGGGGCCTTCGTCACTGAGTCCCTGGTGGATGAATGACTGAATGGACGGCGGATGGGCAGCTGCCATTCCTGAGACCCCTGCTCTCAAGCGATATTGTCCACGTTTGCTCCAGAGCAAAGTCCACTGACACATGTGGTTGCTCCAGCACTACATTCTCGCCCTGGAAAAAGAAGATCCACTGCCGCAACTGCGGAAACGGTGAGTCCGGCCAACCCGGTCCTGCAGATAGCTGCCAAAAACGACTGCAGCGACTGCCTTTCGCCCGGTATGCTCACAGCTTCCCCGCTCTTCGCTCCAAACTCAAGTGCATTGCAGCCAGTGCATCAGCGAGGAGATGTTTCCGCTGCCCAAGTTCGGCCTCTTCAGCCCCGAGAAGATATGTATGATGTGCCACACCTTGATTGAAAGTACGTTCAGCCGAGAATGGCTCTCTGCCGGCGGTCCTCGTTGCCCTGGCTGCATCTGGCTCCTGGAATTGCTGGAGCGAGCGCTGGGCAGCAAACGATACCCTTTGAGCCACCCGCATATCCATCCCCTGGTCGTTGGGCTGTATCGATCGCTGGGCAACCCCTTGATACTCTGGACATTCGTTTGGATGTCCATTCGGACACTCGCCCAGATGCTTCTGCCCCGTGGTTGACGCCGCTCCTCCGTCTTCTCAGTGAAACGCAGTGACATGACTACTCTCATGCGGCTGTCCATCAAGCAACTCAAGCTGTACATCCAAGCTTACAGCCTGCAAGCCGAGGGCATCGTCGAGAAGCAGGAGCTGGCCCGGCTGATTCTCGACACGGCTCTGACGGATGCGATCGAGTCGGGCTTCCGACAGCGCTCTGCGCAGATCCTGGCCGCATCGTCCGGCGCCCGCAACTTTTCCCTGCTCTTCAGAAAGGAGCCGAGGGCCCCGCCTACACCGCACGATTCTCCCCAGATGAACGATGGGCCTGATACCAGGGCGAGCCCCAAGCGCGACTGGTTTACCTGGGACGGCCTTGACAACTTCATGGACGGCATCGACAACGTCATGGAGCAGCTCAACAAGGGGGTTTCCAAGCTCGGGACTTCTTCTTCTTCGTCTGGCAGCAGCAGCGCCAGGCCCGAGTCCAACCCGCTCGGTCGCATGTTCAACGAGCGAGGCGCAAGTGCTCGAGCACCCGGAGAGGCACCGTCATCCTCCGGATACCCGCAGCCCGCAGGCTCATCGCCCCGTCCAAACGGCACCTCGACTTCAGGGAGAGCCTCGACAGCCACAGCCAACCCGACCCCACCGGACATGAGCGGCCGGTCGACCTCCACCCAGCCATCGGCAATCCCAAGTATCTCCCAGATCATCCTGGACGAGATCGATGTCACCAGCCTTTCCATCAAGACCCTCAAGGCCATCTTGGTCCAGAATCATGTCGAGGTCGGCTCGGTGATCGAGAAAAGCGATCTTGTCAATGGCGTGTACCGTCTAATCGACGAGTCTCTGAAGACCTGGGCCGAGCGCGGAAACGGGCCGAGGAAACAAACCCCACCAGCGGCAACACCCCCGCATACTCCTCGTCCAACGCCCCCGCCTCCTTCGAATCGGCCAGCCACCGGTGCGAGCGCCTCAAGCTCCTTCGGCCAAGGAGCGGGTCCGGCGCCAAGGCCCTCGTTCAGCTTTACGCCAGCCCCCGACTCGGGTGGGGCCTCATCCGATCGCCAAGTCCCTCGGCCATCACCTCGCCCATCGCCTCCTACTGCGCGCGAGCCCGAGACCCCGCAGCCTGCATATCGGCGTCCCGCTCCCATGTTCTCCCACGCTGGGTCTGCAACTGCCTCGTCCTCGTCTGCATCGTCGTCGCAATTGCCGACGCCACCGTCAATGAGCTCCCGGTCTCCTTCCATCACGCCTGTGATCCCGCCGACCGTCGAGGACATTGTTCGGGACAACATGGACTACACAAAGTTCTCTGCTAAGACACTCAAGGCGATTTTGTATGCCAACAAGGTCGATTACAGCCACGTTCTCGAGAAAGATGTGCTCATCAAGCGGGTCGAGAGTCTCGTGAACAACTACAAACTCGACATGAAGGCAGCAGACAACGAGGATAATCTATGCAAGGTGAGCTCAGTGGTCGGCATGCCCATGCGGGCTTGGTAAAGGCTGGGCTGTGGCGACTAACAAGCTGCTTCATGACAGATCTGCTGCGATGCGCCGGTCAACTGCGTTATTCTGGAGTGCGGACATCTCGTCACGGTGAGTTTGGGGGAGCGGAAATGCAGAGCACACGCATCGAGACGGAAGCGATGCCTCAAGGGCGAGCCACGGAACATTTGAGGATGTGGGCTAACGTCCGTGCTGCCGCATCACAGTGCATCGAGTGTGCCCGCGCCCTCGAGCGATCGACCAAGGAGTGCCCGATATGCAGAAGCACCATCACTCGGGTTGTCCATACCTTCCGGAGCTGAGCGACGCAGCGACGTGCTGCGGTCTTGGACGAGAGAGGGGTGAATGCGGGCCGAGGCGCCCATGTCACCGCTCCTGGCCCGGCAATACACACAGCAGACCGTCGAATGCACACCGGCCTGCTGGGCACAATGTTCCTCCTGGACATGATGGTCCTTCTCTGCCCAATGTTCCTCCTGGGCATCCACCGCGCCACAGCGAACGTGCTCGGGCCCACGCGCAGATCCACCGCGCCACTCGCGGCCTTGTGCGCCGTGCCGTCCCATGCTCTCGTGCCACCCACCCCGCCGTTCGCCGTTCGCCGTTCCGGTCGGCCAGCACATCCATCCGCCTCGTCCTGCTGCACTCTCCTTCCTCGTTTCTCCGCGTCTGCACCTCATCCCGCATCCTCCTCGCCATGACTTCGTCCAGCGCCTCAGTCACCATCGACACCAAGTGGTTCCAGGCCAGCGACGGCACATCCATCTTCACCCGCACCTGGATCGTAAGTGGCTCTGCGTCCGGGTCGGAGGAGGAGGAGGGCACTAATAGGCCCGGCTGCGGTGGCCTTTGCTTGCATGGCCAACAGCTGCAGCTGCCGGGTTGGTCCACTCTGACCCGCCCATTCGGTTCTCTTCCTCTGCTACATTCGCCTCGTTCGTCGCTCCCATTTCTTCTCCGCTCCCCGGCACGTATTCGCACCAGCCCTCCACCGAGCCCAAGATCGTTCTCTGTCATCTGCACGGCCTTGGCGAGCACTCGGGCCGCTACACTCCAATCTTTACCCAGTATGCCCAGCACGGCATCAAATCCTACTCGTTCGACCAGCGAGGTTTCGGCGAGACAGGCCGCAAGTCCGGCACCCTGGGCTACAACGACGGCATCAAGCGTGTCTATGCCGATGTCGACGAGCTCCTCGCCCGTGTCAAGAGCGAGCACCCTGAGCTCCCGATTGTGCTGAGCGGCCAGTCTATGGGTATGTCCTATCTGTATTGACTCTATCATCCGCCGCGGCCAACCAGTCGGGGGCGGATTGGGAGCTGCTCGAGTACTAACTGCTTACCCACTGTCTCCGCCATGTCCAGGCGGCGGACTCGCCCTGGGCTATGTCGTTTCCAAGGTCACCCAGTCCAAGCCTGTCGATCTGGCCGGCATCATTGCCATGTGTATGTTGTCGCTGCAACCGCTCCAGTCTACTCGAGACGTCGATATTGATGTATTTCTGCGCCCTCGTCTCCATTCTGCCGCATAGCCCCGTTCATTCTGCTGCCCAAGGAGACGGCTCCCGACCCGTTTACATATTGGGGCGGGCGCATCCTCGCCCCTATCGTGCCATCGCTTCCGATCAAAAAGGTGCTCGGTAAGTCTCTGGTTCCTAGAGAGGGGGAGTTGCCCAGCCGAGCGGGAGCGGTGTCGCTGGGGATGGACGCAGCGGGTGCGCAAGAACATGCCCAGCGCCATTGCGAATTGTGATGCACCATATCATCTACTCACTCTCACACATCCGTTCTTGCCAGACATCCGAAGCATCAGCCGAGTCGAGAGCGTCCGGGTCGACTACCTGAACGATCCGCTGAACCACCAGTATATCTCGGTCGGAACAGGTGAGAGCCCCAGGCCGTTTCAGCAAGTCAGATGGCTCCCGGTGCTGCCCCTCGTCCCAGCCGCTTCCCGCATCTCTCGTTCCAGCGCCGGTCTGACTGTATTTACTCTCTGGTTTGACGCCGGATCCGACACTGGGCTCGCCAAGGAAACGACATTCTCTCCAACGGCGATAACCTCCACAAGTCGGGATATCAGCATCTCCACATTCCGCTGTGCATGGCCCACGGCGAGGCGGACATTATCACCAGGTAGCAATCGATCTCTTCTCACTCTGCGCCAGTCCCTGTTGGCCGATGCGTCCGCGATGTCCGCTGTGTTGTCTCGCGGCACATTCTCATGGCTCCCTCACACTCCCATGGCGATCCAGTGCCCCGGCTACCAAGGACTTTTTCGAAAAGGCTCCGTCTCAGACGAAGGTCATCAAGCTCATCCCCGATGCTGTCCACGAACGTATGTAGCCGTGCTGTCTCCTGAGCCTGATCTCGTCCTGTGGTCCAGGATGTGCTGAAATGGGGGGCGGGGTGGAGGACATTGAGGAGTTAGTCCGGGAAGCGCAGAGGCGGACAGATATCAGCAGACCGGTTGTTTGTGGCTGACATGCTCATTGTGTTCCTCTCATGCACCACTCGCGTCCGCCGAATCTCGCTGCTTTTCACATGGGGCGGACATGGAACCAGTGCACAACGACCTCTGCCGGGAGGATGTCATCGACTTTTACACCAAGTTTATGCTTGGCCTCGCGGCCAACTGATCGGGTCACACCTCACTTGGCTCGGTTTTCCCATCTTTCAAACTGCCTGCTTTTGTATCTGATCGCCTCTGCCATTTGCCGAAAAGAATGCATGCGAGTCCGTCGTCGCCCCTGCCAAACCCCATTTGTGCCATGGGCTGCTTCAGTGCTTCAGTAAAGCGCCAGCGAGACCGTGTGTGCATCAGATAGCTCGGGAGACACTGCGAGGCGGAGCGAGGACGGCGAGAAAAGAGAGAATGGGAAAACAAAGCGGACATATGCAGTGGTTCTATTGGTCTTCAAACGATAAAACTGGACATGAACAGGAAAGTAGGATAGGGAATCCGTCGTGACAACCGCGAGCTGCGACAGGAGGAGTGCCTTGAGGAGGGGGGCGAATCCAACGCAGCGCTGGTTGGACACAGCCGGCAGAGTCGCCGACAACGGCACAGGTGGATCGGACTGGGGACCAGAGCGGCTGGACAGACGCATGGGAACTTGCAATCCCGCTGGCTGACCTCCATGAGCCGACCCAACTGGTTTCCACTATCGCCAAAGCCGCATCATAGCAAAAGCATCGCATCACGCCAAATCACATCAAACAAATCGGCATCCAGAGTAAGCCACACAATCAGGGAGGGGGCAGCGGCGGGCCAATGCCATTCTCGACGACAGAGCCGACCAAGACGCTTTGCTTCTGGCAGCAGCCTCACCGCGCGCATGGGGTTGGGCACTACATGCCCGTGGGCTTTCGTCGGGTGGTGTCGTAGACACGGATGAGGTTGGCCTGGCCGCTCTCGTTCTGCGAGAAGGCAAAGCCACGAGTGCGCTGCAAACGCTGGATCTGGCGGACCTTGTGCACAGCCTTGCGGAACCACTCCTGGCGGGGCCGGTAGTCTGGAACGTTGAACTTTTGGATCTCCTGGATGATGTGATACGACTTGGGGAAGTACGTTCGTCGGACGCTTTGTTTCATGAAAGAAGGGTTCGTGGCAATGGGTGGGGAAGTCGGGTGAGTTGGGTGAGTTGGGTGAGTTAGGCGAGTTGGGTGAGTTGGGTGAGTTGGGTGAGTTTGGCGATCCCGAGCGCACAAGGGCAGAAGGCGGCCAGATTGCAGACTCGGTGCTGGATGACGCTCGTGCATGCGCAAGCAGGACATCCAGCTTCTAGTTCATGAAGCAATACGACACGCACCCCCCCCCGAGCGAGTGCGACTCTAGCCTCTTTCAGTCAATCCCATCCTTCAGTTCCATCCACAAAACGAATCAGAAGCAGGCACTTACTATCGCCAGACAAAGTCACGCAGCACGGCGGCAATCGGCACGACCAGGATGGAGAACCAGAGGCTCGCATTGCCAAACATCGGGGCAGCTAGACCAGTGAGCTCGTCGCTGATGCCGATGAGTGGGCCCACCAACGACCACAGCGGGAAGCCCGTGAACCACAGACCGATACTACCGAGGTAGGCAATGTAGGTGTAGCTGACCCAGGTGTCTGTGATGATCGCTGCCTTCCATGTGATGGTCAGCAAGTCGACGGTGTAGACCGACTGGCCGAGCAGCCACAGGTTGCCCATCAAACCCGATCCCAGCAGGTTGCCTTCGCCGTAGATGCATGACATCATCCAGTAGAGCACGAGCGAGTGGAAGAACGAGTTGATGATCCAGGCCCAGAAGGTGCGGTGGTTGTAGAACTCGGATCGCTGGCCGAGCTTGTAGATCTGGGGGTACTTGTCCAGCATACGGGCGCTGACGTAGCAGTCAAAGACACCCAGGACCAGGGGCTGCAGGACGGCAAAGGCAACGTTGTAGGACGCCTGGGTCCAGGACTCGAAGAGGGTCTATGCAAGGGAATATAGGCGGGTCGAGTAGGATGAGTGTCGCGAAGCGCAGATATCGCGCGGCAGCGCAGCTTGAATCTATGGCTCCGAGAGCCTCCCCACGACACAGACTCATTGGTGATATCCAGTCAGGACAGAGTCATCTGCTCATAAGGAAGCCGGCGGAAACAGGGCGACTCGACAACCGGGTAACATCAGCAGCGACGGCAGGCCCGCCCTACCTGTCCAGAAAAGCCGTTGTCAATCGCAAACCACAGCTGAATGGTGTACATGGTGATGTTCTTGTAGAAACTGTACAAGATCAACTTGCTCAGGCGTGAGTAGGCCCATCCGCCGTGGACAAGCAGAAGCTTGCGCAGGAATCGGAACTGAGCGATGGCAAAGTCAGCGGCACGAGCGGCCTGGAGTCCCTCCATGCCCGATATACCGATGCCAACGTGTGCAGACTGGATCATGCTGACGTCGTTGGCGCCGTCGCCGATGGCGAGCGTCACAGAGCCCTCGACATTGCGCTTGACCAGCTTGACCACCAAGGCCTTTTGCAGCGGCGAGACACGACAGCAGATGACGGCCTTGCATAAGGTCGCCAGCTCCAGGAAGAGCATCTCAATGTCCTTTTCAAGGGCAAAGTCCAGGGTGCGGCCATCGATGATGAGAGCCAGAGGCTAATGGTCGAGTTCAGGCCAGGTGCGGAATAGGAAGGGTGTGGCAAAAAGGCAGGTGGCGGGTTAGCGACGTACTTGACACCCGAGCATGATCGGAAGGCTCTAGTTCGGACAGTGCACGAACAGTCCGCAGCCAGGACCCTGTACAAACATACCTCCAAGATCGTGTCAATGTCCTTTCTCATCTTGATGCCTCGCTTGACACCGAGAGTCGACATGAGTTTCTGGTAGCCCGAGGGGTTTGTGTAGTGACGCACGTTCTCGAATCCAGGCGAGGGATTGGGTCCGCGAATCATCTCGAGCTTCTTCTGCAGGTACTGCTTGGTGTCAAAGTGCGTCTCCTCGTTGCAGACAATAAGCTGCATTTCCTCGGTAATGAGCTTGCAGCTGTATCCGATGTTGATGGCCGTTTCTTGGCGATCGCCCGTCAGGACCCAGATCTTGATCCCGGCCTCCATCAGGGTGTGGATGGTGTCAGGGACGCCGTCCTGGAGTTTGTCTTCGATGGCAGTCGCGCCGATCAGGAAAAGATCCTTCTCAATGAGCTCGGCCGCGCGATCGAGCTCCTCCTGCCGATTGGTGATGGTTGTGGCCGCGCGGTCGTAGATGCTGCTCCACTCGCTGTATTCGGCTTCGGAGACTTCGCGGTATGCGATGCAGAGTGTACGGAGACCCTCACAGGCGCACTCTTCCAGGTGGATAGTGGTGATGTCGACAAAGGGATTGTTGGGAGCAAGTCGCTCCAGGATCACTGTGTCGGCACCCTTGGTGAGCAGCTTGATTCGTCCGTCAGGGCCACGAACAATGGCACTCATGCGTTTGCGCGTCGAGTTGAACTCGCAGATGTTGAGGATCTCAAATTCCAGCTCCTGGCCCTTGGCCACGATCGTGACAGAGCGGGGGCGGCGAGTCTAAGCCGGAGGGAATATAGACGAGGGATACGTGATCAGCTACCAATTCGCATTCAGATGCAGATTCAACTGCAGGTCACGCGTCACGACGGCCTCAAAGGTGCGACCACCTGTGGACGGAGAAAGCGTCGGATGCACCTCGACCAAACAAGGTGCGTGAGACCCACCACAAACTCATAGCCGAGTGAGCGAGCGCCCTTGACCAGGGCAGCCTCGTCAGGAGAGGACGCTTGGTAGACAATGCCACCGGGCTCGGTGTCGCTCCGTTCGGGGATGACGGTGTGGCAGACAGCCAACAGAGTCAAGAACTCATTCAAAAACGCAGAGTTCGGGCCTTCCTTGAGATCGTTGTTGAGCTGGAGGAAGTTTTTGTACGACTGTGTCCGCATGGAGTGGATGGGCGCCGATTATTGTCGGAGGGATGAGGGATGTGAGAGGGGTTCCGGGGTGAGCACATATCCATGAATAGCGTGCCAGACGAGCAGAGAGCATGGACAGCTCAATGGTTGGCGCAAACAGGCTGGCAAGCGGTGCGTCCTACCGTTCCGCCATCGTCTCTGGACTTTTTGTCGTCGGGAACAACGTCGGCATAGACAACTCCGGCAACAGAGCACATGCGGAACTCCATGATGTTGCAAGTGAGCGTGCCGGTCTTGTCCGAGAAAATGTAGTCGATCTGGCCCAGCTCCTCAACCAGCGACGACGTGCGAGCAGTCGCGGGTGTGTTCGAGGGCTCGTAGAACATGTCCAGGTCCTGGTTGATCAGCGCGCTCAACATAAGCTTGACGACTTCCATGGTGACGATCAAACTGGATGTAGATGTACCATTCATGAAACCGTAAGTACACATGCACGGATTTCGCACGGAGCATCGCCGCATGCGCGAATCAGTCGGCCATGACATCGCGCTATGGTTGTTACCTGAGAGGAATGAGATTATTGAAGAGGATGATGAAGGTCAAGATGTTTCCACCAAAGACGTTCAAAGAACCGATCAAAGTGGTGTCGAAGAGGAGAATGCGGCTTTCGAAATTGGCGCTGCGCTATTGGTGTGGGTGTTTGGGAAACAAGATATCGCTGCAGTTAGCGTCGCGTTCAGCAGAGCCTGGGCGCAGAAGCATTCATGTTGGAAAAAGTCTCGACACGATGGACACCCCTGTCGGTCAGGATACTCACCGTGCGCACAAACATGGCACCGGAGCAGATCACCGACATCACAATCAGAATGCAGAACAGGAAGATGATCTGTGTGTTTACGAGTCCGTCGACCTTGGTCTTCTTGATCGGTGTGGCACTGGAGCACGGACACATCGAATCAGATCAAATGGAGGCGAGTACAAGGGGCGCCAAGGTGCTGTACGGCACCATGATGCAAGCAAAAAGGAAATGCGGCAGAGTTGCAGCAGCAGCTCCCCGGAGCAACGTACGTGGCATTTCGCATCAATTTGGTTTCGTGGCCAGTAAAGACAACAACGGCGTAGATCCAAGGGGTGTTGCGGAGTTGGGCGCCACGCAGCAGGATCTGGGTTGGGTTCAAGGGCAGGTCGCCCTGCGCGGTTGAGAGCGTACCCTCGTAGGTGTACAGTCGGTTGTTTGGCAGCTCGGAGCGAATAAGGCCTATGTAGGAGCCAGAGACCGTTACAACCATGGCACGATCATCCGAGGTGATGCAGCGGCGAGAAACGGGACGATAAGTACCTTCGAATCTCGCAATCTCAGGCGGCGAGATCATGTGGGCTGTCTCGGGCAGGGCCTGACGGATCTTGAGGTTGGTTTCGCTGGAACGCAGGTAAAGCGGATGCAGAATGTCAGCGTTGGGCAAACAAGGCCACAGCTGGGATGAGTCATCGCCTGATGTTGGGCAGCATCCGGATAGAAGGGCAGTGGGTCAAGCGCATGGAGACGGTGAGTCCAGCACAAAGCCGACAGTTCACCGGAAGGGTGCTCACCCGTCCAGGTTGCTTGTTTCGATATAGCAGATGCCATCGGGCTCTGACGACGAGAGCAGGATGATGTCCGCGGGGAAGAACTCGGAGTTTTCGATGCGAACGATATCGCCGACTTGGATATCGCTCCACGACTTTTTGACAAAGTGCTGGCCCTGCAGGGCCCACGACATGCGGTTGTTGACCTCAGTATCTTGTCGGCGACGCTTGACATCCTCAAAGATCTCCTTGATGGCGGAGAAGATGATGACGATGGAGAGTGGAATCGCCGTGCCGGCTTTGTTGGTGGGCGAGATGTTTGGGATTTGCTGGTGGTGGAAGGGCGGGGACGGGGGCGCACGAAGGCGACCACAGCGGGGGGGGGGCGATTACAGAGATCAGCCATTGGTCACAGATGTATTGCCAGAAGGGGAGGGCACCAAGCGTTCGACATCGTATCGAGTGGTGGACGTTGGATCGAGTGGTGGATGTTGCGTTGAAATGTTGAGAGGCGGGTCGATGATCAGCAACTGGGCCAAGCCGAGGCGACGACACAGTCAAAGCCGGCTTTCAAAGAACCGTCGCCGAGGCGGCCATCAAGAGCAGTCTCGAGCCCGCTTGTGCCAATCACACTCGAGAAAAGTCCAGTGGCATCCTCAGCGTCGCCGGTGCGACATCTCGAGAATGCCGACGGCCTCTCAAGACGGCAGCAGTAGCAGATGTACCGGTCAGAGCAGGTGGCCAGAGCATACCTGGATGCACGACACAAACAAGAAGAACATGTTGGCATATTTGGTGAACTGCTCGTAAAGGAACTTTGGCAGGAATGTGACGGCGTTGTACTTGGCCGTGGAGATTCTGTTGTGCAGGAACTTTTGCTGCTGGTTCTTGATGGGGTCGTTGAGGTGGATGATTCGCTGGCCGTGGGGCTCCCTCCTCAGCGTTGATACTCTCGAGAACAGGCCCATGATGGCAGAACTGGGCACGCAGTCAGGCGGCGGCGACGGGCAATCAAGGGCAACGAGGAGTCGAGGTTTTTGACAATGAGCACGGGACTTTCTGCAGAAGCAAGTGTCGTGGAGGCGTAGCGGTCAGTGATAGCAGGGCCTTGACTGGCCGCAGGATTCCGAAAGAGAGAGCACCTCTCGCACTCGATGACGACCAGAGCCGACAGAAGGCGAAACCGCCAAGCGGGCGCAGGCGGCTTGGTGACGAGGATCTGATGGCCGATGCTGCGACCATGCGCGGTTGCGGAGGCCGGGCCAGCCATGAAAGCTGGACCAGCCGGCAACGTACCAGGTGACGAGCAGCGGGCGATGTGCAGGGACGGCGATCCCAAGATCCAAGATCCAAGCGAACAAGACCGGGGGCAAGAGCTGGAAGGCGATGGAAGAGCGTTGGATGGCCAAAGGAGAGGCAAAGACAAGACACGGGGGTGGCCGAGGAGCGCCGAGAAGCGCCGAGAAGCGCCGAGACGCGCCGAGGAGAGAACGGCGGCGAGGGTGTGTGTGTGGGCTGTCCGGGGCCAGCGACAGTTTGTGTATTGCTGTTGTGCTGCGGTTGGGTTGCTGCTGTTGTGGAATTGCCGAGTCCATTGTCTGCACTGTTGCGTGCTGCTGGGGCGCTGCCTGTGTCGGACAGGCGGACACTGCCTCAGGGAACGGCCACAATGTACAGCCTCACTGTACAGCGACGCTGGACAAGATGCCGCGGCGTCTGGGTCGTTGGAGGATCCTGGCCTGTCGTGGCCTGGGCGATCGAGACGACTGCGATGATCTCGATGGCCTCGATGGCTTCGATGGCCAAGAAGACCGAGGCAGCAGGCCATCGCAGCAGCAGGCCATCGCAGCAGCCTCGGCCCTGGTGACAGCCCGCAATGCCGGCTGGATGTCTGTGTCGCCTTGGCGCACGCGTCCGTCCCAAACAGGCGAGCAGCACAACTCTGCTGTCCTTGGCGCGCAGCCCCTGGGAAACGGCTGTCTCGGTCCCGTCTGGACAGTGTTCGTCCTGCTCGAAGCAGTTACTGCTGCCCAAGCATCTGCCGGTCGGTCTCAGGCCGATTTTTGGTGTTGTATATTGGAAATAGATGCTCGGCGAGATCGCGGACAAACAACCGATGAAGTCAGATTCATGCTACCATACTCGTACATGCGCTCTCGCCAGGAGCGCTACTCGTTCATTTCACTTCATTTTTTTTTTTTGGTTTGGCTTGGTTTGGCTTCCCACGGTTCTTGTTTTTTTTGGAGGGGGAGGGAGGAAAAAGGTCCTCAGGCTGCCGCCGTCGCTCACACATCCGACATCCCTTGCTCGGGTGAACATTCAACTTGTCTATCTCGGCCTCTAGCGTCGTGTTGCTTTCATTAGAAGATCGTCGCCGACGCCCAGCTAACTGGGCAGCAGCCGTTGGCGGTTAAAAGTCTGTTGGCGGCAGGCCTTGGTCCAGCGACTGCGTCGACGTCTGGGACACCCGAGGCGATTGTGTGTGTGAGGAGTGGTAACCGCTCCCCGCCGCTGATCCGTGTCCACGATGACCCGCAATCGGTCCGGACGGTGCTTGTTGCAGCAACAAGCTACCCGAGCGACTCAGGCCGGGTCCGTCGCTCGGACCAGACATGGGCGGCTGGTTAGTCTGCCGCAGCGCCGGTGATGACTGGAACCCGCTGCCGCCACCCGACATGCCCGTCGGCCGCTTGAAGTTGGGCTGCGAGTACTGGGGACGCAGGGTGCGATCCGGCCGGGGCGAGGCGGTGTTTTGGCTGCTCAGCGTCGGCGAGTGTTGGCCATAGCGCGCGACCGCAGGTGGTGTTGGCGGCTTGCCCCGGGGATCATAGACGTACGGCCGCACGCCCATCTGGGGAGTCGAGGGCTTGCCGGCTCCCGCCGGTGCCAGGGACTTGACTCCGCCGAGGGGGGCACTAACTGCTGCTGCAAAAGGTGCTTCCGGCACCGGATTTGACGGGATCAACGATGCGGGTGCGCCAGCAGCTTGATTTGAAAACGGTGCTTCAGAGGACGGTGTAGCAGCGTCCTCTCCCCAGCCCGAGCCGTACTGGCTTGGAGGGACGGCCATTGGCTTCAGTGAGGAAAGAATTGCCGGCGAGGTGAGTTGGGGCCCAGTGTGCAATCTGGCAGGCCTCGATGCGTATGTTCCCACAATGGGCACAGTGTTCCCGCCCTCCACCGGAAACGCTATCGGAATGACCATACCCCACAGCTTCATTCAGGCCCATCACTTCATCCACCACTGCCCGCTCCCGACTCCCCATCTGCACGTGCCTACCTTCATCGTCTGTGCCTCACCCCCGGTGACGGGTGTCTGCGGTAGGAAGCTGTTCACGACTGGGCTCTGGGTCAGATCGCTATTGTTCAGGACATCCACGTACTTGCTTCGGGCGCTGCGACGGATCGAGCCGGTCGACTTGGGCAAGCCCACGTTGCCATAGATCGACTCGCTGGTCGCCGTCGGAGCCGGCACGTTGGCAACTGACGGGCTCGGCTGACGCGAAGGGAACACGCTTGGGGGCCCGCTGGGGGGCCCGCTCGCGGGAGCACTCGACAGCCCCGCTGGTGTCTTGGGCGTGGCCGGGCCGGGTGGTGGTGGCGGAAGCTCCGGGGTTTCTTCCACCGGCGCTCCCTTCTGTACCCATCTCTGAAGCTTCTCGTCAAAGATTAGCGGATTGTCGCTCTCGGGCGGCAGTGTTACCAAGGTCACACTCGGATCTCGCCTGCCGCCGCCAAAGAACCTCATCATCGTGCCCACAATCGAAGGGCGCTGTCCGGCGTTCTCCTCGGGCTTGACCGCTGCATCTGCAGAGGCTTGGGGTTTCGCAGCCGGTGCGGGCGCAGAGGGTTCCTCGGACCCGGCTGCGGGTTGAGCCGACGCCTGGTTCTTACGTGCTGACAGCGAAGCGTTTCCGAGTCCGAAGTCGTCATCGAGGTCGCCTTGAGGAGGAGCCGGCTGCTGTGGGGCTGGCAAAGCAACTGACTCCGTCGGCACTGGCGTCGCTGTGAACTGGGCGGCCGGAAGAGGGGCAGAGGAGTCGCTAGCATTGACTTCGTATCCATATGATCCATCGGCGCCCGCGACTGCTGGCCCAGGGACTCCGGAGCCCGAGTGCCCAAAAGGTGATTGGGTCGTTGTCGCCTTGGAGGGCTGTTTGTATCCAAACGGCGAGGTCTGGTAACTCGACGGAGGCTGGGGAGGCTGGGGAGGCTGCGCGGCTGATGGCTGGGTGTACGTGGACTCGGGATCGGCGTAAGTTTCGGTGAGTTGCCCAGTCGCTGGATTGCTGGGATCATAAGGTTGTTGGCTGTAGTCGCCTGGATAACCAGTGCTGTCGCCTGGATAACCAATGCTGTCGACGGGGTAGCCAGCGTCGACGGAGTAGCCAGTGTTGTCGACGGAGTAGCCAGTGTTGTCGACTGGATAGCCAGTGTTGTCGACGGGATAGCCAGTGTTGTCGACGGGATAGCCAGCATTGTCAGTTGCGTACGTGGAAGTGTTGGCTTCATAAACTCCATTATCGTATCCAGGGGCATAGCCGTTGCCATCAACAGGGTACCCGGCTCCTTCAGTGGCGTATCCGCCGCTGTCGGTAGCGTATCCGCCGTTGTCCGTTGGGTAGCCAGCTGTTTCAACAGGATATCCCATACTGTCCGTAGCATAGCCGGTGGTTTCAGCAGGATAGTTGGTGGCTTCGGCGGGATAGCCGGTGGTCTCGGTGGGGTACCCTGGATAGCCTGGATAGCCTGGATAGCCTGGATAGCCGTATGTCGATTCTGGTGCCTGGGCCGTCTTGGATCCAACTCCAACCAACGAGGCAACGGCCGAGATCATTCCGGGCGGTTTCGTCTGCGGCAACGGCGGCGGAGGCAGATGGCTGGCAACGTCTGCGGTGTGTCCGACCGGCACCGACGAGCGTGACTCTGAGCGAACCAGGCTGGGCGAGCCAGATATCGAACGCCCCGGTACCAGCGTGCTTGGGGGTCGGGGGATCGCAAGGGCATCCTCTTCGCCCCCAATATTCTCGCCAACAGCAGCGCCCATAAGATTCTTGATGCCCGTTCCAATGGCGTCAGTCAGGTTAGCAGAGCTGAACCACGCACGGATGCTGCTCGACTTGGTCTGGGCGGCAGAAGATCCCGAGGTTTGCTGCGCGGCGCGGCTGTTACCGATGCGGTCCCACAGATCACACAGCGTGCCAACCACAGTCTTGTGGAGGTAGCCGCTCTTGTGTCCACTCTTCTCGAAGGCTTGGATCAGGTCAAAGATGCTCTCAAAATACGAGAGCGCTTCGTCGACGTATCCGAGGTCGGCAAGCAGCGAGGCATACACGAGCTTGTAGGCTTGGAAGTGCGGGAGGCAAATAGCGCCGTTGGTGATGTGGATGTGCTCGAGAATCTCGGTCGCTTGGATGGCCTCGATGTGCCGGTGAACCGCTGCGGAGCTGTCTGCGCCAACGAGCGTCAGCTTTGCCCCAGGCTGGTCCCAGCCCGACAGCAGCGATTGACCCGGGGTCATGAAGTAGCAGATGTGTGCGGCCATCGAACATCCATGCATCTTGAGGAGGTCGCCAAAGGCCGAGATCACATGGAGGTCTCCCGCCGTGCGATTGGACAAAATCATGGCCACGGTTTCCTTCCAGGCGGCAAGCGCACGCTGACGGTCGTCGGCCGAGATCGGCAAGAACTCTGAAACAGCGCCCTTGCCCTGGCCCGAAAACAGGCCGTAGAGAACACGCATGCTGGGGCGATCGATGCGGTGTGATAGGCTGTTGTGGCCCTTGGATGCTTCTGCGAGGAGACTCTGGTGGCTGAGGTTCAGCTCGCCGAGCTGCGAGTGGAATTCCTTGCGCGAAAACTGGCGGATGACTTCGCCGTGGGTCTTCATGTCCATGTTGCTTGCAATGATCAGAGCGTGGGGCCATAGCTCCGAGCTGACGGCGAGCTTGCAGGCTGCGCTACGCTCGCCACGCACCAAATGGCCTTCGACTTCGTCCAGAGACGTGGTTCCCGTGGACGCAGGCAGAGACTCGATGAATGCCTGTCGGTACGATGGGCCCGACGGCTCAGACTTGCTGCTAGAAGGAGCACACACCCGGTGGGCAGCCAAGTCAGTCAGGTCAGTCAGGCCAGTCAGGCCGGTGATATCGGATTCAAATGGGAGACATGTTGTCGCCACCGAGCCGCTTGCCCAAAGCTGAAATGCAATCTTACCTGCTCTCGAGACTCCCCAGTCCCACCTCGGCAGTAACCTTCAAGAGCTTCATCAGCAAGATTCGATCTTCGACGAGGCGCAGGACAGCAGCATCGGAGAGGCCGAGTCGCTGGTCCTCGGCATGGCGAATCAGCGCCTCGCAAATCTTGGGCAGGTCCTTGGACTTGATCTTGCGCTTCGATCCAAGCAATGGCCCGTTGCCGATGCGCTCGAGGTCACTCTGGGCTTGGGAATAGAGCCAGGATTTGACGTTGCTCACAAGCACCTTGCCTGGATAGGCCCTCTCGATCTTGGTCTGGCCACCATACCCGTCGCTTACAAAACGCTCGATACGCTGGGGGCGGATGCTGACCAGCTGGCCACCGGGACCAAATGCTACGATACAGTGCCCACGCAGGCGCTCCTCTAGATCCTGATCGACAGGAGGAGCGGCTGCTTGCTGATAGTCGTATCCAACAGATTGGTCGTAGGACGAGGGCTCGGGGTACTGATCGTATGACGGCTGATAGCCAAGATAGTGGCCAGACTGGGCATCATCCACAGGAGGCATCGGGTCTTGGTATGCCGAAGCGTAGGCCGCGGGTGGTGGAGGATAGTTTTGAGCATACTCGTCGACGGCAGCCGGAGCCGGGGGAGGCGGAAGAGTCACCGGAGGCTCCTGGGGCAGGGCAGGCCCAGCAGCAGGCTGAGAGAGCGCTGCCAACCGCTCTTTGGGAATCGGATGAGCGCAGTTGGTGCAGAACTTCATGTGAAGCTCCAGATGAATCGCGAACCCACAGGGACACGTGTATCCTCTATCTGCGACAGCCGAACCTGGGGCCGCGGTCACCACAGATGGCGGAAGGGATGCAGGGGGATGTGATGCATATCCAGGCTCCCGAGAGGGCGGCAGTGGAGGCTTGTCAATAGCAGAGGGTGTCAATGTGTCTGGGTAGCTGGAGGCCGGCGGAGGGGCGGAGACGGCTCCGAGGGTGTCCGAATCCTTGGCTGGGATGGGCGGCGGGATTTCTGAAGCAGCTGGAGGAGCCTCTTGATACGGTTCGTAGGTCTGTTGCTCGTATCCTTGCTGATCATAGCCTTGTTGATCATAGCCTTGTTGATCATAGCCCTGTTGATAGTATCCTTGCTGATCATAGCCCTGTTGGTCATAGCCCTGTTGATCGTAGCCCTGTTGGTAGTACTCTTGTTGGCCATAGGCCTGCTGGTCGTAGGTCTGCTGCTGCTGCTGATCATAATTCTGCTGCTGATCGTAATTCTGCTGCTGATCATAGTTTTGCTGCTGTGAATAGTCCTGTTCATGGGAAGCTTCGGGCAGAGGATTAACTTCGGGCTGTGGGAACTCGAGCGGCTGTGTGCTCTCGGGCTGTGGCTCCTGGTAATATGCATAACCATGCTGGACAGACTGGGAGGGATCTTGTTGATAGTAGCCCTGTTGCTGGTACTCTTGCTGCTGGTACTCTTGCTGCTGGTACTCTTGCTGCTGATATTCTTGCTGCTGGTGGTCTTGCTGCTGGTAATACTGTTGCTGGAAAAAGTCGGCTTGAGCCACATCTTGCCCGCTGCGAGCCGTGTCTTGGAAGTATCCACTTTGGTCAAACTCTGTCGACGCTAGAGCCGGCTGCTGAGGCTGTTGAGGCTGAGCCGCATTGGACTGCGGCGTCTCATAGCTGCCATATGCGTAGTCATTTGGAGCAGCGACTGCACCATCGAGCACTTCGCTTGGAACGCCTGTAGCGGTCGCAGCTGCATGCCCCAGATCAGAGGGAGGTTGTCCATATCCGTACCCGACAGGTCCAGGTTGTGTAGGCTGGTCCTGAGCATGAATGTCGCTGGGGAGGCCAGAGAGACCATCAAAGAGACTGGAGGGATCGCTTGCTTGCGCGAGCGGGATGGGAGGAAGCTCTGGGACAGCAGACGCGACGTGGCTTTGATGGAGCTGCGATGGGGGAAGCTGGGTTGCAAAAGCCGGACTGCCTTGCGTCACGGATTGACTTGAAGGGAAAGCCCCGCTGCTGGCGGAAACGGTGCCGTCTACAGACACATATTGTCGGCCCTTCTTGCCTGCTCGTGGCTTGTCGGCAGGTTGAGTCTGATTCGTGGTGGGAAGACCCGAAAGGGGCTGTGATCTCGGACTCCATGACGGCGCATGATCCTTGGTCAAGGGAGGAGGGGGCAAAGCAGCTCCAAGGCCGAATGGCGCACTCGCGTCCCCCTGTGATTGTGCAATAGGCGGCGGTGGCAGGGTCGGTTGCTGGGGCGTGGTTGTCGTGACGGGCTCGGGGATAGCCGGGATATCGGGTTTCGGGAACGGGATCGTGAAGGGGTCGGTTGGTTCGGTGGTGCTGGCTGGAGGAGCAGCCAATTCAGCAGGAGCGACTGGGTGCTCTTGATGTCCCTCAAGAGACAGACTCGGCTGGATCTCCTGGCCGGTCTGAGTGTGCTCTGTGCCATTGTCATACGCCTGCTCGCCATACTGGTGCCCGGTTTGGTAGTACTGGGTCGTGTCGGCAGGATATTGGCTCGCTTGAGCATATCCCGTCTGCTCCGTGCCAAAGCCCGACTCGTACGTGTACGGATCATATGCGTTTGGATCAGCATAGGCGGCAGCGCTCTCAGCGCTGTTGTAGCCAATGTTGTACGGGTCGGCTGGCACGCCGAAAGCATCAGTGGGTTGAGGGGCGCTTGAATCGATAGTTTCCTGGGGTTGGGCAGCTGCATCAGGGACATATGACGCATCGACGGCGGCGCCGGTGTTCCAGTCGTACTGAGCCGGAGCTTGCTCATGAGGAGCGTAGTACCCGGTCTCGGAGAACCCTTGGGCGCCTGAGGCAAAGGCGTCGGCTCCGTTGTTGGACAGCTCGGCATCGAAGGAGGCAGGATGACCAGAGTCGTAAGCAGCCGGTTGCTGAGTATTGTACTGGCTCGGATCATAGCTCTGGGCGTAGGCTTCCCCATACGACTGCCCGTAGCTTTGCGTGTATCTTTGGTCATACGATTGGTCCAGAGAGTATGGATACGTTTGTTCGTGGGATTGCTCGTGGGTTTGTCCAACGAATTGGTCGTGCGGTTGCAGAGGCACCTGGTCGTGCGACGGGGGGAGCCGCTGCTCAGCGACGGGCAGATCTGGCCCACCCTGCGGCTGCTCAGAGCTCGGCTGACCGAACGTATCAAAGAACGACGTGTCTGCGGGTGCACCGAACGAGAGACCCTCGTCAGCCACTGGAGCAGCAGGAGGGGCGACTGCGGCTGAAGCATGCTCCTTGTAGTCGTCGACAAAATCGAAGCTGTGTTCGTCGCTGGGAATCTGGGCCGGATCGAATTGACCTGGGTTGAATGCGTCGCGTCAGATCGACTTTCGCATACCTATGGTGAGGAGCCAGCAGCCCGTCTCCCTCGAAGATGCTTACCGTGGTTGCTGAGGTCTGCCGCATGTGGCTTCTCAACGATTTCGAACGAGTTGGCGTTTTCTGAAAGGGAAGGCAACATACCGCTACATTAGTTCATCTGCCCCCGAAGTCACTGAGCTGCCGCAATTCGCCCAGCGACGGGTGTGATGGCCACGCATCAACTTACTGGATCCGAGAACGAGGCTGTCCAAGTCATCGAGGATGGGGTTGGGCTCGCTGGCAACTGCAGGGAGCTCAACTGCTCGGATGGGCTCAGAGGGCTTGCTCAGGAAGCCGAAATACGAGCGCTTTTCCTTGGTGTCGACATCTTCAAAGTCCTCGTGTGACGACAGAATGCTCTGGGGCTTGGGAACAGCCGTGGGCGGGGGTGGCAACAAGCTTTCCACAGCAGATAGCGACTCTGGAGCGCCAGGGAACGCAATAGTCTCGATGACACTCGTGACATCCTTCTTGGGAGAAAAGCTGTCGTCGAATGGATCCGCATCGAATCGGACATCGTCTGTTACCAGCTTGAGGACCGAGCGCTGCACGCCGTCATCCTCGTTCACGGGATTGAACTTTGGGGGGCTTGAGATGTTGCGCGGAGGAGGGACCACTGCCGGCCTGGGGGACTCTGGGGCCAAGACAGATGCCATGTGCGGCGACTTTGACACCAAATGCGGAGATCTGGCAACCGTTTGGGGCGGCGGACGGGAAGCCGGGCTCAGCTTTGGCGAGGGAACGGGGGCCAGTGACACAACAGCAGCGGCAGCAGTGGCCTGCTTGAGCAGGGGCGAGGCGCCGCCCTGAAGCTCGGACGATTTGGCCAGGGGTGATTTGACGGCAGCAGATCTGGGTGATCCGAGAGGACTGGGGCGGGCTGGTATCGGCTCCGGATTTGGTGCCAGCGGGTGGCTTGGCGAGACAGAGCCCAGGAGCGACTGTGCCAAGGTTGCAGGCAAGGGCGAGCGCCCTCCGGTGAGATTTCCAGGAGCGTCACTCAACTGCGGCGAGCGAGCTTTGACTGACATTGGCACGGGCGACGCGCTGACGTTCACACCCTCGTTGGCAGGGGTCGTCACTGCAGTGGTGGTGGTGGTGGTGACAGTGGCGGTTACATTGGTGGTGGCAACAGTGACAGCTTGAGTAGCAGCCTTCACAGCCGCCGGATCCTGGCTCGATGTGCCCTTCGTCTCTGCGGATGTGAGCACGGGGCGCGTGATCTTATTGTCGAGCGGCGCAGGCTTTGGGCTGCTCTGGGGTTCGTTCTGCTTGGCAAGCAACGGCGACGATCCATGAGGTCGGTCGCTTGACGGCGACGATCCATGAGGTCGGTCGCTTGACGGCGTCGAGCCTACCAAAGTCCGGGAGAGCACAGCCTGGCTCGACATGGCGCTTGTCGAAGCCACTCTGCGCGCCGAGGGCCGCGAGTCGGTCTTCTTGAGCGATGCAAAGAGCTCCTCGGCCTTGGAGGGTTTCTCAAGAGCGAGGCTGCGGCGACTGGCTCCGGAGAGGATCTGATCGAGGGGTTTGGCGGCGCTTGGGCGGCTGGGAGTGCTTGCGGCGGGCTTGTGAGGCGCTGATACCGACGAGACACCATCGCTGCTCAAGCCGAACGAGTCAAAGAACGAGTCTCCGAGGGGCGGGATCGAAGGCGACGCTGCTGGTTTGTCCGAGACAGGAGAGATGCCCTGAGACAGCCGAGGGCTTGGGGCCACGGCCGAGGCAGGGCGCGAGGATGCCGGCAGCTTGCTATGTGCAAAGAACGGAGAGGGAGCCTCGCCGATGCTGGAGGCAGACTTGGGGACGGGCGATCCAAACAACGAGGCGGCATCTCCGGCAGCCTCTGGGTGATAGCCGCGATGCGGAGAATTGAAAGAGCCCGAAGTGGTGCCCGAGGAGCGAGGCGGCTGATGCTGAATGGACGGAGAGGACGAGCCCTGAGCACTCTGCTGGAAGGAGGCGAAAAAGTCGTCGCCCGAGGAGTTGCCGCCGAATGGTGGCGCGGACGAGTCGTTGTGGTGGCTCGCTGTATTCCGGTGGTACATCTGGAAGAGCCCGGATGCTGTAACGGTGAGTAATACGGCCACGACAGCCCGAGTTGGCGGAAGATGCAGGCAGATACAAGGAAGGTGCAGGGGCATCGCTCACCACGTGAACCTCAGGAAATCAGCACAACGGAACCCACGACAACTTGCGGATACGACTGTGGGTGAACAAGAACGACTGGTCAGCGGATGGACGAGTCGACCGAGAGTTGATGCGTGCACTGCGGGTCCTGGGCGGGTTGTAGCAGCGAAACCAGGAGACCGATATCGCCGGGACGGGACAGAGCGAGGCCAAGCAGAAGACACTCGATGATGCTGCCGAGACGGAATTGCAGCAAGGAACCAACAAGAAGCGCCGGGCAATCCAAGACGGGCTCGCTGGTATCGGGGAAGGAGCAAATGTCCACGCAGTCAGGCAGGAACAGGTCACTCACTTGTATCACAGGCGAATGCTGATTGGGGAGGTGAGGTGGGCACTGAATCAGAAACGAAGTGCAGGCCCAGGCTGGCTCTTGAAGTGTTGGGGGGTGGTGCAGACAGTCAAGTCTCAGCGATGTGCGGGGCAGGCAATGCCGGGCTGGGATGAGGTGGAAGGGGTGCCAGGGCAGACCGATTTGCGAGATGGCAGAAAACGACGAGATTTCGATCGAACAGCCAAAGTGTGCGCGGCACAGCCGGCTCGATCCAACATCGAACCAACGGGATCGACTGACGACATGGAGCAGTTCACCACATGGATCTATTCACCACATGGATCTATTCACCAGAAACGGACAACAAGCGAATCGCCCAGCAGTGGATTCAAGAACGCATCGGATCCGCTGCCGCTTAGCGGCCACCTCTGGCCCTTCTCCTTGCGCCCTGGCCCACATTCGGCCCGACGCCGGCCGGGCTCTGCTCGGCAGCCAGGTGCGATTCATGCTCGGCAGTCGGATGCGATTCAAGCGCGGCGTCGGACGGCAGCGTGGTCTCGATACTGCTCAGCAGGCCCTCCCGCAGCGCCGTCTCAAAGACATCGCTGGTGAAGTTCGAGGCATCCTGGGCCATCTGGTCAACGTTGATGTGTCGTAGGGCCTCCTCGCGCGTTTGCTAGTGGAGTGGAAACAGAAGCGGAGGCAGGGGAGTGGAAACAGAAGCGGAGGCAGGGGAGTGATCAGAGTCAGGCTCGAGGCGCAGGAGCCGCATTCAGCGAGGCATCGGACGACGATACTCCGTCATAATCAGCCCTCGCGCCAGTGCGATGTCGCTGTGCGATCAGCGCTTGCCTGGAAGGACTCGTCCCGATAGATGGCCTCGTTGGCGATCTCCTTCTCCTTGTGGTGCTCCATGAACCTTCTTCGCAGGTTGGTTTCCGACAGCAGTGCGGCCTGAGCCAGCCGCACGACGAAAAAGTGCTTGTAGACCGCCTGCTGTTTGGCAATCGTCTCCGCCATGATCTCGATGCTCGACCACTCGTTCTTGCGATCGATCAACCAGATGGCCAGCAGCACGAGCGCCACGCCAGCCCGCCGGATCGTCTCGCCAAAGATAAAGGGCGACGGCGTGATGATGATCGAGTCCGGGAAGAGTCGAAAGGCATAGATCTCAAACAAGGCCAGGGCCACAATCACGACGGTTCCGTAGATCCGCCAGAAGGCCTTGCGAGCCGTGCTGGTGGAGAGCCCCACGATAATCAGAGCCATGGCATACTCAGCCAGCATCGGTGCCAAGGAGAATATCATATAGTCTGGCGGCGAAGTGCACCACGAGCAGTCCAGCAGCGCAAGCTCGCCGAATTTGAGGTAGATTGCTCGGTTCTCGATCGACGCCAGCAGCTCTAGCAGACGCTCTAGTCTGGCGATACTCTCGAGGCCCGACGCCGTGCTTCCGGCAGCAATCTCCTGGGCGAGATAGTCCTCGGTCCATCCCGGGAACGTCTGGGCCATGTATCGGAAGAACGAGCGGCGGAGGATGCTCTGAGGGACATTTGGAGCTGCCTCGAGCGTAGCGAAGATGTTGTTGGAGATTGACGTCGCGCTGAAGATGATCCAGAGGGCCAGCGCACCAAGGATGAGAGCGGAAGCATAGGTGTCGTACTGGGTGCGGGGTTTGGGAGGCCGCTGGATCTTGCCGGGCGAGCGATATTCTTGATACTTGCGGTAGAGATAGGGGCCGACGACGGTGGCCACAAGAAAGAGCCACGACATGCTGTCCAGGGGGTGGGCGATGAGCCTGGCGATGGCGATGGGCGATGGCGACGGGCGATGTGTCTGGAGACGGCAAACCAGACGAGACAACCACGAGCGAGGGCGCTCTCGCTCTGGCCCCTCTCTCGTCTCTCCCGCTCTCGCCTGCCCATGAAACCATCAAGCTCGAGGGGTTGTTCCATGAGCACTGAGTAAAAAACGGTGCACCCCGGATTATGAGCATCTATAGATGATTTTTTCGGCCGAGACCAATGCGCGCTGGCCATGGTCATTCGCCACACACTCGACTTTCGCACCGCCGCATTGCAGCTCATCCACAGGCATGCAATGCCCGCCGACTGCCACTCAGCATAGCAATGTCCCAGCCACTACAACACACAGCGCATTCAACGATTGCATGTTCTAAGCGAGCTTGGGATTGCCATAGAGGCGAGCGTATCTGCCCAGGGCCCAGATCGTGAAGGCAAACTTGTAGTTCGGGTAGGAGATCATGCAGTTCTGGGAAGTGAAAGTCGCGAGCGGTCCATCAGTACGCTGGGTGACATCGAGGAGTGCGATCGATCCGGCGATACTCACGTGGTTGAAGACTCCCTCGATGCCTTCCTGAAGCCACTCGCCGTTGGGCTGCTGGCGAGACATGATAACCTGCATATGCACCGATACAAGTCGTTAGGTCGCTGGGGCCGTCGAACGACGCACATGGATGCGACAGCGACTCGGACAGCCAGTGCAGGTCAAAACGGCATCGCACGCTCATCATCGACCCCGCTAGTCGTCGTGCTCTGGTCTCAAGCTCTTCCCCAAGCGACCGAGCTGCATCGCGCCGACAATGATAGTCAGACCTTGATGCCCGCCCGGATGACGGATTCATCCGGATACTGCGCTGCCATCAGCGACATCACGGCCCACGAGGTCATCACGACCTGCGAGGTGTCGTGGTGGACGTAGGTGTGCAGCTCGCATGACTTGTACTTTTCGCCCCATCCGCCGTCCTTCATCTGCTTCGAAACCAGGAAATCACAGGCACGCTTGACATTGTCGCTGCATTGGCGGCGATGGTGAGGGACGCGGCGGGTCAGAGAAAAGACCCAGTTCGTCACAACAGATTGCCACCAGTTCATGGCGCCGGTCAGATGTGTATGTGTGTGGCAGGACAGAAAATAGCCGGCTTGCTTTGCTGGGTGGGCAATGTCTGCCGCAGCGGCGCCAGTCGATATGTGTGAATGCATGTTCCCGATACAACAGCGATGGATACACACCTGTTCTCGTAGGATTCGCCAATGCTGCTCAGACTCTCGATGCCAAACCAGGTGGCATAAGTGAAGCAAATGGCCCACGAGCCGTACCAGCTTCCGTCTGGCAGCTGGGAGTTCTTGATATACTGAGCAGCACGCTTGATCAGATCACTGCTCACGAACAGATTGTGGATGGCAAGCCAGTCAGTCAGCTGGTCGGCCAGTCGGCCAGTCTCCAGAACGGAGGGGAGCGACTCATTCCTTGTGCATGGACACACAACCCGCAAGGTAGCTCGCTAGAGAGCACCCTTGGGCAAATCATACTTGATCTCTTCCGATTGGTGGTCGGGGAAGTGCTTGCGGAAGGTGGTCAAGCCAAGGAGCACGGCCGTGGTACATTCGGGATAGCAGTACTCGATCATGATGTTGCCTGTGGGAGCATCACGCCAAGCATTCGTTGCGGTCAGCTCGGATTACAGCTAAGCTGCCCGCCCATCCAGGGGGCCTTTGAGTGTGCCCAAAGTCCGCCTCGGAGGATGTGCCAGAGCAGCCCAAAAGCAGAATATCTCGAATGCCTACCAAAGACCTCGGCTGGGTTGAGCCATTCCAGCAAGTACGATCCGCGCCGGCGCTCGTAGCTGCAAAAGCCGCCGTCAGGGTTTGTCATGGAGAAGAGCACGTTGATGGTGTCGAACAGGCGCTCGTCCGAGATCAGCTTGGGCATGGATCTGTGTGTAGGAGACGAGGAGCGATCGCGAGTTAAAATACGACAGAGTCTCTGGCCGCCATATGGCTGTAACTGGGTCCATCACGCGGCGACAGCACATCCATCACAGCCCTCCCTTCCTGTGTCGTCCCGGACTCGGCCAGGATCCATGGCCACGAAAGGAACACCCACGTGAGCTTGTTTTGCAGGAGGAGAGTCGACTTCATGGCTTCGGCACAGCAATCCGAGACAGGGTAGCTCTGGTCGCGATTGCTGAACCCCCAGCCGCCCTTGGAGATTTCGCGGTAGGAAAGGGCCCAGCGGTCCTCGCAGTCCTCCTTGAACTGGCTGGCGTCAATGTACTCGAGCGCTCGGACCATGTGGGGCTTGAAGCTCTTCTCCTCCGCGAGGCCGGACTCGACTAGGGCCTGGACCATGAACGCCGTGTCCCAGAGCTGGCTGCCGTTGGTGCCGTTGCACATGATACCCTCGGCGCCGAGCCAGAAGCTGTCCTGGTCGCGATAGCAGTGCTGCTTGAAGGATTCAGAGTCGGGACCATCGACGATCCAGATGACAAGCTTGTTCATGGCTTTGTTGACCTGCGGAAGTGAAGGTATGAGACAAAGCATTCGTATGGGCCAGTGGAGAGGCGGAGCTTGCGCCTGGAGAGGTCGTGCTCGTAGAGATCCGCGACAATCAAATGCGGGTGGCACAGACGGACCAGGGGTGTCGGTGCAGACTGGGGCACAATTCAACGTACGGGTGCGAGATCGCAGTATTTGGTGTTCTTGTCTTCGGCGCGGATGTGCTTGAGGGACTGGTCGAGCGCCAACTTCCGGAGCCAGCCGTTGGGAATCTTTTCGTAGATGCTCAGAAGGACTGGGCAAGAATGGCGATCGCATCAGTGCAACACGATGCATTACAATGCAATGCGATACAATATAATAAAGTGCATGGCTGGGTGGATGGGCTATGTGGAAAGCAGATCCTACCGTTGAGCATGTCAAAGATCTTGGTGTGGGGACAGTAGACGTCGACGGGACAGACGTTGTTCCTCTGCGCAGGCCAGTAGATCTCCTCGTACGGCGTGACATACAGCTCCTACAGAATCCGAGGCAAACGAGCAAGTGCGTGGTGCTGTTGGTGGCTCTGCGGAATGACCAGTCACAGCCCCAGGCCACAGTCCAGACCATGACGACAGCTCCGGAGTTGTTCATTGCGTCGAATGTTCACCGATAGAAGACCAAGGAGGGGGGACTCACCTGTCGAAGCTGGTGGATGAGTTCGGTCTCTTTGGCGCGGAAGCGGATGCCGTAGAGATAGCCCATCGGGAGATAGACCATGCGAGTATGGATCCACATGCGGCCGGGGTGGACGGGCATCCAGTAGGGCAGCAGCCTGGGGAGAGGATTGGCAGTGGTGAGCTCATGCTCGTCGTGAGAACACTGAGCGGACGAGTGGCGACATACCACAGCTCCGGCGGGATAGGGTTGTTGCCTTCCCAGTCGTAAACGTTCAGGATGGACAGCCAGAACTTGCCCCACGACGGGATGCCGGTGGCGCCGCCGAGCCTGTGCAGTGTCGCTCGGGCTCGAATGCAGACGGGATCTTCGGCATCGACACCGAGTAGACGCAGCGACACATAGTTCAGGGCGGTTCCGAAGACGGTCGAATCGCTCTCGATGTGGCTGCAGCAACGGAGAACCGGGGCGGGAGCACGGAAAGTAGAAGCGGATGCGGGTCAGAAGAAGGTGCCAAGGAGCTGTGGCGCAACAGTGCGATATGCCATCTCGACAGGGTGCCGGCCATCGGCCATGATCTGACTGCTGGATCATGAACATGGACCAACAGCCAGACCAATCACGGGGTCGATCGGCCGGCTCGAAGCCATCAGCAGCGCAGAGTATTGCCTCAAGTCAATAGCTGGCGTTGCCCGAGCGCTTACATGCCCCAACCACCGTCGTCGGGATGAGCTCGGTTCTTGATGTAGCGGATAATTTCTTCTCGCTGGCCCTTGAGCCAGGGAGTGCCGGTGACATAGTTGACGATGACAAAGCCCGGAAGCAGAAACATCGGCCCGCCGTACTCGCCGGCCCAGTGACCCGACGGCGTCTGGAGGTGGCGGTAGAACTCGAATCCGTTGCGGGCGCTGTCCAAGGGTGTGCATGGAGATGGGAGCTCTGGAGCCTCCTGCAAGGGGAGCCAACGAATGACAGTGAGTGGACGGCTTGCCTGAGCAGATGGGGCTATCGGGGGCTCTCTCGTGCAGGCCCGGGATGAACATGGCGGAGGCTCTCGCTGCTGCACCGCGCCGTTGGAAAACAGGGTCTTTGCACTCACATTGTAGATGCCGAGCCAGTACCGGTCATAGGGAGTCTGGGGCCAGTTGGCTCGCTCCTCTTCGCTGGCGAGATAGACCCAGGTCTGGCGGCCGTCCTTGTCGACGTTGAGTCGCCAGTAGTCCAGATTGGTGGTGGACTTGTACTGCATGGCGGCGGGTGGTTGCTGGAGCGGTCAGGAGCAGCGCACGGCAGAAGGCAGAGGGCAGATGCTGCTGGTCGAGCGAGGCAGGCCGGCGATCGTCGCTGGTCATATATCTCGGGCGGACTGTGACGCTCCAATCAATTATTCGACCCCACGTGATGCGCCGATTCCTGGGCAGCACCGAGGTTGGCGAAATCTCTGGCTATCCGGCTGAATAGGCGGATGACCGGCAGATTTGGCGTGCAGCGACAGAGGCGATGGAGGGCGCAGAGAGGATCAGGCAGTGGAGACGGAGGGGCAAGAGGAGGACGAAGAGGAGCAGGGCCCGGCAGACCATGAGGGACATGGCAGCAACGCCGCAATCGAGAGTGTCACGTGCGGCTGCGATGGGGATGCGGGACGAGGCCACCAGGCGAGCGAGCGAAAGCAGGGGCTGCCGCGATCGCCGCCAGAGCAACAGGACAGCGACAGAGCAACGAGCGATAGCAGCGGCAACCACCGACGCAACAGCAACCACAGAAGCATGTACGAGCTCTCGTTTACGGCCTACTCCAAAGTGCTCCTGCACGCCGCAAAGTATCCGACGGCAGCGGTCGGCGGGCTGCTGCTTGGAACGCAAGCCTCGGGCACCCAGACGGTCGTCGTCTCGGATGCGATCCCCCTGTTCCACCAAACAGCACTGGTTCCGTCGATCGAAGCGGGTTTGCAGCAGGTCTGTGGCTGCAGATAGGCGGCGCCTGAGCAAGTGTCTGGCGACGGGCAGACTCGGCCGCGACGCCGATCGGGCTGGCCGAATGAATTGCTGGCGGATGATCGCGAGCAGCGCATACGGCCGAACGAGGCGAGACGGCATGGCGAGAAGATGCAGCGCAACAGGCTGAGAACAGCTGCTGACGCTGGTTTTGCGCACCCAGGCCGATATCTACGCCCAGCTGGTAGGATCCAAGGTCGTCGGATTCTATTCGGCGAACGAGTCGCTTGCCAACAAGAGCGTCTCGCCCCTGGCCGCCAAGATCGCATCCAAGATCAGCGACAACTTTGAGGGCCGCGGCCTTCTTCTGCTGGTACGCAGCGATTGAGCCTGGATCGACAGGACGGATGTGGTTTTCCAGAGGCATCCTGCTGGAGCGAAAGCCAGGCGGGCGTGAGATGCATTTGGAGCGCTGACTTGAGCTCCTCCCCGCCATCCATGGCCCCAGCTGGATCCATCCAAGGCTTCCGAAGAAGGCGCCGCACTGTCTTCGATTCTGGTAAGCGGACACGTCGATGCAGGGATGGAGGAGGTGGACAGAGGAATGTCGAGGCACCCCCGAAGAGAGCAGCGGCCCTTCTGAAACTGACGGTGCTGCAATATGTTCTGGGGACTTGGAATCCGTCGCATCCAACAGCAACCTTACGTGAGTCAGAATGGAACCTGGGCGCCAGCGGGCCAGCGGTAAGTCGTCTGGATATGCTGCATCCGCCGTTTGGTTCGTCGCTCGTGATGTGGAGTCACTTTCGTTGCCATGCTGTGTCGGCTATGGCTGTGTTGTCCTCTGCCGGTGACGATAGACAGATGAATCATGCTGATGTGGCGATTTGTCTCCAGGTCTTCGCTCAAGGTCGACGCTCGTGGCGAGAAGATCAGGTCCTTGCTTGTGCCCAAGGTCTACGGCGCCCTGAACGACTTTGACAACCACCTCGACAACATCGAGCTGGACTGGATCGAGAACGCCGCTGTGACCAAGCTGATTGCCGACTCAGCATAGGCTGCCCGGAAGAATGCTGCAACGAGGACACGGACCCGTAGCGAATACACTGCGCTAAGCTGGAGAGCCCGTTCCCCGCCCCGTCGTCTGACTCGATGCTCCTGGGGGGATGATGTGGGATGACGCAGCGACGACGGTGTTGGGCACGCCGGAGACAGAGAGCAGATTCGCCGCGGTTGCCGCATTTGCCAGATCCAGCTCTGTTCCGGCGCCTCGGAGCAGGATGACCCACGCCAGCACAGACCCAAAGGTCGTGGATGCATTTTTTTTTTCTCTCCTTGGCGAGAGACGTCATGGCTCGCCCAGGGCGCCGAAGCAGAGTGGGCATCGTCTCTCTCGGGCAAAGCACGCCGTCGCCGGGCCATATCACACCGTATCACACCGTATCATATGGCATCATATGACATCATATCATCCACCCGGCCAAGAACGGCCGAGCACACTGGATCGTTTCCCTGGGCGCCCGTGTCGCATCGAGTCCGATATCGGTCGCTCCAACGGACCAGGGTCGCGGTGGCAGGGTCCGCAGCCGGGACGGCTCGCAACAGCGCACAGCACAAAACAGCGGCGCAGCGCGTCCACGTGTTGTGCTCGCGCAGCCGTGTTTGTGTGCCGCGCCTTCTGCGCCCGCGGCTGTCCTTGTGCGGGCTCTGGCCGTGGGACGCCGCCCGCGGCCGCCAATGGGATGCGGCGGCAACACGCGGCCGCAGCACGCTGTGCGTCCACATGACTTGCGCCACACGACCCCACCAGCCCCCCGAGTGTGTGTGTGGGCGCGTGTGGGGAACGACAAGCGGCGGGAGGGCACAGCGACAGTGCGCCAGCGCAGCTGCGGGACGGTGGTGCTGCGGGACAGTGGTGCGCAGCCACAGTCTCTGTGCGGTGGCTGGCCAGGAGGCACCGCGGTCGCACACCCGTCCCCATCCAAACCCAAGCCCTGGCCGGCGCTCCGCCCGCGAGCCACCACCACCCCGTCCGCCTCCTGCCTGGGCTCATCTCCATCGGTTGACCATTTCGGCTGGCCATTTGGGTTGACCGATTGCTGCCGATTCAAGGTCTACCATCGATTCAAGGTCTGCCATCGATTCAAGGTCTGCCGTCGATTCAAGGTCTGCCCTTGCCATCTTCCGTCCCCGTCCCCGTCCCCGTCGCCCTTCGGCTTTCTCCTCTGCATCTCCCCAGCTCCCTCCTTTCCGCCGGTCGCTTCCGCCGCCGCCATGGCTCCCTCCACTTCAAAGTTCCAGTCGTTCCTCCAGAAGCTCGAGTCCAAGCTCGAGCACACCCTGCACATCTCTCAGGACGATGCTGCTCCCGATGGACCCGCTCCGTTGCAGCATGAGTACTCCAAGCCCTCCATCTTCCTCGTCTCGCCCGAAGGCACCCCCCTCGGCAGCCCCGTCCAGTCCGAAGACGAGCGCAAGTCGTCCGAGTTGCTTGCATCGCCAGCCCTCCAGCCCTCCGCCAGCAGCAGCCGCTTCGACAAGAACGCCCTGCATCCCGCAAAGCATTGGTGGGCAACCAACGTCCTGCGCTCCCAAAACTCGACCGAGGACTACCGCCCTTCGCCACCGTCCTCGCCGCTCCTGGGTCCGTCCAAATCCGCGGGCGATCTGGTTGGCCTCAAGAAGACAAACTCTGCATCCGATATCCAAGGCGGCATCACCCGCAAATGGTCCTTTGACATGCTCAAGCGCCGCAATTCCGGCGACCTGAAGCTGGCCAAGCTGCCGCGAGGCTCCGTCGCTCGCGCGTATCCGCGGGCCCTCTTTGGCGCCCCGCAAGCCGTTACCGACTGGGAACACTCGCAGGTCGACTGGCTGTACGTATCGCCTGTCTGCCCGGTCTGGTCACGTCCACGCTCATGTGGTAGTGTCGGTGTATCTGTGCATTACTGGCGAATGCTGCCGATGCTGTAATTGCATTGGTAGAGATGCTCCGGAATGCCTCCTGCCAAAACCAAGTGGTGCATTCCCACTCGCATCGCCCATGGTGCTATCGTCTCTCCAATCTTGGGGTCCAATTGGAATCGGGATTCAATTCCATGGATCGGCCCCGCCAAGAGCACATATGTGCCCAGCAGCACCCCTCCAGCAATACCACTTCAGCAACACCTCTTCAGAGCACCACTTCAGCAACGCCTCTTCAGAGCACCACTTCAGAGCATCTCGTCATGATCACTAACCCCGCACTTGTCCTCTCCCGCCACAGCGACCACAATCGCTTCGAAAAGGGCGAGCTCATTGGGTCGGGTAAGTTCTCGCAAGTCTTTGCCTCCATCGATACCGAGAACCGCGACCGTCCCATCGTCGTCAAGGTGTTCAAGACCGGCAAGGATCTCAAAGTCAAGCGCGAGATCTTCATCCTGCGCTACCTCGAGAACGGCCCCAACATCATCGAGTACTACGGCTGCTTCCAGCTCCCGACCCCCGAGAAGGAAGCCTGCCTGGTCTTTGGCACAGTCAAAGAGACGCCCTGGCGAGAGCTGATGGACGCCATCAACTACCAAGACATTCAGCACTACATGTACCAAGTCCTGAAGGCCCTGGACTATGCCCACTCCAAGGGCGTCATGCATCGAGGTGAGCCGGCCAAGGCAGCTGCCCCTACCTGTGCTGCCTGTGTCGGCCTGTGTCGGCCTTGCTGAGCCCCGCCGCCTGAAGCTCACTATGCCTTCTGTGCTGCTGGTGCTCGGTTCCGACAGACATCAAGCCCCAGAACTTCATCGCCGACCACGGGTCCCGAGTCATCAAGGTCATTGACTGGGGCCTCTCTGACTTTTACATCCCCGGCCGTGACTACAACGTCTACGTTGCCTCGCGCTTCTTCAAGGCTCCCGAGCTGCTGCTGCACTTCAAGCGATACGATCACGCAATCGACATGTGGGCCTTTGGCTGCACGCTGGCCGCCATCATCTTCAAAAAGAACTTTTTGTTCATGGGTGACGACGACCTGGACCAGCTCTCGGTCATCACCGAGCAGCTGGGCACGCAGGAGCTCGTCAACTACGTCAACAAGTACGACATGTCCTTTGGCGGTCGCATGGAGATCTCGGGCTTTGTCTTTGGCGGGGCAACCAACTACCGACGCAACTGGGACTACCACGTTAACGACTCGAACCGCGACTGGGCCACCCTCGAGGCCCTCGATCTGATCGACCGGCTTCTTCGCTACGACCACCACGACCGCCTCACGGCCCAGGAGGCCATGTACCACCCCTTCTTCAAGGACTATACCGACCCCGATGCTCCCAAAGACACGGAGTGCGAGCAGGTCTCGTCGGACCCGAACGAAACCCCATGTGCCGATGAGATGCCAGCCCTCCAGATCTAGAGAGAGCCTCGAGTCCTCGAGTCGGCCGGAGGGATGTTCCGCCGTGGCTGTTCCATACATCATCGACTCCTCCAACCCTCCAATCCTCCAACCGATCCATGTCCCATGGTCCATTGTCAGCCAGATGGCCAAGTGACTGACCGACCAAATGCCCTCAATCCACTCCTCCCGCCCTTGATTTCTGTCCATGCCGGCTGTCTTCCTGCGACTATTTCCTCCCCTTAAATGTCTCCTCCAGCGTCGCTTAGAAGCGACTGCCTGAGCCCCCACATCAGTGGGTTGCTGCGTCTGTGGATGGTCGCTCTCAGCAATCAATAGATCATCCTCTTTTATTTGAATCACATTCAAGCCAAGTAAAGTCCGACTGGGACTGGGGCTGGCACCGGACTCAGACCACTCCGTCTTGCTTGAGGACGCCAATCAGATCCTTGAGGTAGTTCTGCCATTCGCAGTCGCATGTGTCGGCGGATTTCGTTTGTCGAGAAGGACGAGGGTTAGCTCACGATCCATCAACCGACCCGCACAAACGCTTTCGTCGCGACAGTGGCGGCTGCGCCAACCAGCCCATCAGAGTCTGCCGCCCCAGTGCTGGCTCACCTCTGCAAAGCTCGAAAAGTAAAATTCGTGCTCGCTGTTGTGCTCGCTGACAAAGTTGTGGGCCAGCTCGTGGCAGGTCACCATGAACCAGTAGTAGTACACTTCGTCTGGATGGCGCTGAGCCTTTGAGTCGCCCCGGCGCACGAGTGGATAGTGCAGGCCGAGGTAGAACCGGAAGTTGAAGAACAGGGTTCGGCGGCGGTTGAAGGCGACGGTGTTGCCCTGCGGATCCCAGTAGATCGTCACCGACCGAGGATTCATCTTGAAGACTTGGCCGAGCCGGAGCAGCAGATCCGCAAACTGGTCGAGGGCGCCGTGCGACTGGGCAAGCATCGCCAGTCCTTGGTCCTGCTGCGCCTTGTCGACATAGACGGCAATGTTGCGGATGTTGCTCACCCGGATCAGCTCGCCGTCGGAGAGGATCCGGCAATGGTTCGCCGCCTGTGCGCTTGCTACCGCCGGCGGGTCGTTCGGAATCGTCGCCCGGAATTCAGATTCAGACTCGGGCTGTGACTGCAGCGACCCGATCGACCGCTCCAGATGGCCCTTCAGGTTGGAAGTGAACGTTGGGTTGATTTCGGCAACCGCATGCTGATGCCCTGGCTGAGATTGCCCCTGGAAGCCCGGGGGCGGCTGCGCAACGGTGCCGGTTGTCCCGGGAGGAGCTTCCTCGGACTCGTATCCTCCGGTCGATGCAGTCGCGGGCTTCTTTGCCGATTGAGGTCCCACCGGCCCTCTGCCACCCCACAGTTGATCGGCCAGACCGCGCCATCGCCCATAGACCTCCTCATTCATGATGTTGCTGAGGGTCTGGTCGATGAAGCCGCTCGGTCCGCTCGGCTTGCTGTTACTGTGGCTGGCGGAGGCCTCGTGCCTGGTCTTGCTGTCGCGATCCTCGACCTCATCCTGCTCTTGCAGAGTCGAGCCTATAGTCTGGTCCGAGAGCGACTTTGTTGATGATTGGCTGCTCTTTGGAGGCCGCTTCGGATAGTCATGGTCCATCATATGGTTACTGACGGTCTCGACTTGGTCGCGGGTGTGCTTGGCCAGTTCTTGGCGCAAATATTCGAGATCGGCGTCCGGGAAGATGGCCGAAAGCTGGCTAAGCATCGTGCCCATTGATGCGTCGGTGGGACCGTTGGTCGGGGGAGAGGAGTTGGTTGAGTGAGGAGGTGGCGCGGGCTTGGGCCCGGTAGATGCGCTTGCCTCGCGGGCGGGCGACATGGACGCTTGCTGGGCGGCTTTCTGCTCGACAGGTTTGGGTGGGGGTGCAGGGACGGCCTGCTTCAGCTTGCTGGCGGTGAGATTGAGGATGCGGTCGACGGGGAATCCCTTGCGCTTGAGGTTGACCAGAGAGGTGGACAGCAGGGTCGACAGCAAGAGCGAGTCGTTCAGCCGGCACTGACGGAACAGCACCTTGCCCAGGGAGCTGCAACGGAGAGTGTCACCGAGGCCGCAACCTCGACGCATCAGCAAGTGTATCCGAGATCGTCGCGGGGTGATATCGCAGCAGTCCAAGGCCGCCGTATTATCGGCAGCACCACCCACCAGCGTTGTCACCAGCTGTGCAGCTGCTCTCCCTGCGACCTACCTTGCAACATCAAAGTAGTCGTACTCTCCGGCAATGAAGAGGTACGGCGTGCTCCACAGGCGATCCAGCAGCAGGCACGCTGTTGTTTTCTGGATCCGGGTTTCCTTGTTGAACGTCCGGGTGATCTCGATCTCAGAGACTTCCATCACCTGCAGCTGTTTTAGCACCTTCTCGGCGCCCTCGACAACGTCCTTGCTGGATCGGGTCTGCTGCCCGTCGTACATCAGAAGCGGTGCGCGCTCGTGAATGAGAGACTGCAGCGCCTCGGTCTTGGCGGTCTTGCGGGACTGGCCAACGGGTCGGGTTGCCTCGGTGACCTGTTTCGAGAGCCACTTTGCGCCAAGGTCGAGATACATATCCTCCAGAATCGCCTCCATCGGGGCACTGCGACAGCAGGTAGTTTGCGCATGCGTTTGTACATGTGGATGTCCATGGATTGAGTTGCGTTTGTGCATGAGTCGTTAGATGCGATGGCTGCGATTCGAGTGCGGCAACACCCTGTCCGTTTCGCTCAAGAACCATGCTGCTGTGCAAGGAGCGGCTTATGGTGACATGAAGGGTCTGGAAATCGGAGCGAGACAGGACAGAAACAAGAACCGAGACAGAACAGAAACCTACGACAGAGGGTTGAAGATCTGGCCGAGAACCGTATCGTCGATCAGGTAGACATCCCCGGCCCGAGTCAGTTTGTATCTCAGCTTGTCGCTGCTGCCATACTCGCCGGTCTCATCTGTTGCCTGTCCGTCATTGACGACGCCAATCAGGAAGGCGCTGCTCTTCATATCTCGGACGAGGGTGCGATTCTGCTTCAGAGTTGGGTAGTGCGCCGCCAGTTGCCGAAGCATGGCTAGGTAGTCTTCGAACCCTGTTTTCTCGAGGAACTTCTCGGGCGAGCGTGCGAGTTGCTGGGCTAGTTCGAGCGGTGTTGGCTGATCCTTGACACCACAGGCTCGCAGGAACGCATTCGACTGGGTGCCGAAATCTAGGTGCCGCCAGAGAGACAAAACATGAGGTCGCATGTACAGCAGTCAGCGCCCAGAAAAGCGATTTGCGACTGAAGGCTGTGAGAGTGGCAGACTGGGCCGTTCGTTCCAGTCCACGGAGCCCAGTCCTGCGCCACTCTGACTGCCAGTCACACGATAAACTTACCAACAAACACAAACAGATCCCGGTACTGGCTCTGGTCGCTGCCAAAGTAGACGCTCGAGGGCTCAAAGTAGCTGTACGGCACCGAGGATTTGCTCTCGTGTACCGGAATGAACTTGGATGTCCGGAGCACTCGCCAGTGGTCGTTCAGGAATTCTGCGCACAAGAGCCAGGGTGAAAACAAGCTTCACGCCCCACCCCGATAGGGGCTGGCCTGCACCGACTGGCACTGCAGTTGAAGTGATCACGGCAGCTGAAATGATCACGGCAGCCCAAACTCTCACAGAGAGCATCTCCCGTCAGATATCCGTCACCTACCAGATTGGCGACTAGAGAGATACGCAAACACCTCTCGGGCCCTGTCCAGGGGCGGCGGATGGCTCACCAACCGACTCACGAGAGTTTGGCTCGAAGGGTTGGGCTGAACACCAAACTTGGCCGCGTGCTCTCGCAGGTCTGACGACAGGATGGCAAAGCCCATGACGGCACACTCCGGCTCGGCAAAGCAGTTGGCAGGCGTAAACAGCTTGGTGGGGTCGGTGCTCGGGAGGAACGGAGTCGTGATCGACCCAGCCCGGTAGAGATCTTTGTAGTGCGCCTTGTAGTGATCTAGAAAATAGACCAGCAGCGCCTGTCGCTTCGGAACATCCGAGGCCGCACACAAGCTGATCAGCTCCGGCAGCTGGATGTAGGTCCGCAGTCCAAGGAGCGCCAGGAACTTGGCTTGAAAGGTGTGAAAGCATGTGGTGAGACTTTGGTGCTCCGTTGCCTGAATGTCCGCGGCGGCGGCGTCCGAGACACATCCCGGACACCAAACGCACCCACATCATCCAGCAAGCGCAACGACCTACCCTCGTCGGTCGAGGCTTTCCACTTTCCCTTCCAATCGATGAGTTTGAGCCCAAAGCCTCTCAGGGTGTCATTGGGCGCATGCAGTTCCGAGGCCTTGTATCTCTCGGAGGAACTCGAGCCGTCGGACATCTCTGGAGGAAACAAAGGCGTCATGCGCAGCTGATACAACTCGCTCTCCTGCAGCTTGGTCTGCACACTCGCAAGATATTTGACCTGAGGTCGATGTTTGGTGAGGTGGGCGTGAGTGACAGCACGATAAAGAATGGCCGGATCGACGCCAGAGTCGCACGGTGTCAATGTATGCATATACAACATATGGCACCGCCGTCGCCAGCGGGAGTGCAAGTTGCATCGACCCATGGCCGGCCCAACGCTTGCAGACCGAGGCTCACCAGCTGAATATGGTCCCACTTGAGATCGTTCAGCCGATCAAAGACAATTTGCAGATCGACATGCTCTCGGACGCCAATGACCTTCAAAAACGTGTCGCTGACCGACTTTGGGCTCGCCAAGTTCACTGTTGGAATGTCCTCGAAGAGCGTGACCGTCTTGAAGTAGCTCTCGGTGGGCAGGCGCAGGCCAGCATTGGTGGGGACGCATTTCTTTTGGGCCAGAAGAGAAATCAACTCGGTGCGAGACAGTACCGTGAGGTTGCCAAACGCACGACTAAACACCGCCAACACCTTCTCGACGAAGTGGACATCCTCCTGGAACAAAGGGTCCGCGGTGATAAACTTGGCCCATTCGACAACGCTCAGTTCGGTCCAGCCCCTGTGGGCGAGCGCATCGGCATCAAAATGCAGGAGGATCAATACACCATATCGTGCAGGAGGCAATTGCACATCCAGCAGTGTCGAGGATACCTCCATAGAGGTATAAATGCCCACCACATCCTGTGGAAACAGAGGCAGCGATATGCCCTTTGCTCGGATAGCAAAGCCACTCACCGTGTCACAGCTTCGAGTTCGCTCTTGGTGAAGCTCTTGCTGATTTCGATCGGCAGGGCCGTCAAGGGAAACTTCATGTCCGGCGGAATCACCTTGACATTGACAAAGCTTTGGATCTGCGACAGCCGAATCTCCCTCGAGGCAGCGTTTGCGGTCCCATGATCGTCAGGGGCTATAAATCGAGTTTGCTGGAGCAGCCGGTCGACTTCATACATCTCCACGGCATTTTGGAGGCGGAATCCCAGCCACCAGCGAAGAAGCGCGGCAACCTCGCTCATCTCCAGGACACGCTTCGAAACCTCGACAAAGACATCATCCAACGACAGGGCACGAATGGTACCATCCTTCTTGAGCTGGCGGAACAATTCGCTGCAGCTCTGGACGATGGCTTGCGGGACCACAGGAGTCTGCTTGATGAAGGCCTCCATGCTGGCATCGGGCAGGCGTGCCAGAGCCACAGACTGGACGCCCTGAGACGTCATGATCGAGAGCGGCTTGTTGGCCATCTTGAAGAAAAAGGATTTGCCGATGGTCCCGACTAGAGCAGCAGGTGTTGAGGCTCGGAACGTAAAGGACGACATGGCGTGCGAGCTGCGGTTCCAAAGCCATTCTCGGGACTCGGCAGTCAGACCGTCCGGGCCCAACTCCGAATGCATCTTGTGGATGGCATCCATTTCGTCGTCGTAGATCAATCGGGCAAGCAACCCGCACATGGTCAGGATCTCCTGGTTCCAAATGTTCAGGGTGCGATCGACAAAGTCGATACTCTCGCGCTCCACAGTCGGAATCAGGTGGGCGCCCATGTGAATCGAGCAGCCAGTCGTTTGGTGGGTTGGAAATCTAGCGTTGAGCACAGCGACAGCCGCGTCGCTCAGTCAGCAATGGCAGTGCACTAGAAGCGCACCAGCACCACATGGCAAACAAGCACATGCACCGTGCTGCACCGCGGGCGCTTACCCGATGAATACGCGGCCCTGCTGAGATGGCGATGGCACCAGTTCCTCGAACATCGAGCTCTGGCCTCGGACGCCGGATGAGCTCACGAATTCGTCGTAGCTCGCGTACAGGACATGCACCTTGGTGGTCGATGGCGGCGGCTTCTTGGTAGTGCGCTCCATCTCTTTGGCAAGCTGTACAGGCAGCTTGACGCCAAAGACAGCTGTCGACGTGCGCATGAACAGATCATATCGAACCTCTGTTCCGCGGCAGGACCGAGACTTGTCAAAGTCGGTGTAAGCCACGACGTTCAGCTGCACCGGTCGGATGGAGACATCCTGGAGAGTAAAGATTTGGTTGGGCGACTTGAGGTTGTAGACACTGCTCGAGAACGCAAACGGCCGCGGAGGAGCTGCATGCTTCCGGAAGCTGAGCACAAGATCGGCGTCGATGTGGACCGAGACGCTCCCGAGGTTTTCCGTGAATGCCAGCGAGTTTGCTATGAACCGCCCAAGGTCGCCGAGATTGGGGACGTCGATGGGCTCGCGCAGATTGAGCAGGAACGTTGTCAGCGCCGAGACCGACTCTGCCGGCACCTTGCCTTTCTTGGTGAACAGCTGGTCGCCTAGAGGAAGAAACGGGGGTGGGTAGACGATACGGAGGGCCCGAAAAGGGTGAGACGGAGCATGCTTGAGGATGCGGTGGCATGTTGGAGGAGGGTGCAGTGATATAGGACAGGACAGACAGAAGAGACGCCATGCAGCGCTCGAAGCGGTGGGCCAGACAGGCCGAAAGCCACCGACCTTTCCAGAAGAATGCCATGCATTCGTCGCCCGAGGAGATGCTGCGAGCCACAATCGCAAGCAGAGCCAGCGTTAGAGCCATTTGCGCCACCATACTGCCGGCATCTCCATCTGTAGCAGCCTGAAGATCCATCCTTGACTTACAAAGGCTCCTCGCAAATCGAAAACAGGCTGTAAAAGCCCACGCCAAAGAAGCCAATCTTCTGCTCGTCTGGGTTGCCCTCGGCAATCTTCTTGAGGCGATTCCAGTCTGCATCGGAAAATGGCCGCCCGTTGTTCTTGTACTCGATGGTTTCGACCTCGACCAGCAGCGACGGATCCTGCTGCCTTCCGCCGGCGAGACTGCCGCCCCAAGCCGTGGCCGCAAACAGCGACGAGAATATGGATTTCGGCTTGCTCTCTGGGACGACCTCGGTCGTTCGGGTCCGAAAGTGGATTTCTGCCTCGGTCGCACCTGCAGATGCACAGCACCGTGCGTTCAGATGCCGATGCCAAGGACTTGCCGACGGCTGCGGTGCCGGGGCCGCAGGCACTGGCAAGCAGAGGAGCCAGCGACACTGTACTCACCGGCATCGTTGGAGTTTTGGAGGAGCTCTCTGAAGATGGTAAACTCTGCCGAGTATCTGGCGAGAATCTGGTGGCATGCCACGGCAAGTAGCTCTGCTTAGCAGCGGATGCGAGCAGCCCCGTCGCTGCTTGCGTGTGGGGTCGACCGAGGTTGTCTGCTGTTGTGCCAGGTTCAAACAAGCAGGTTCCCTGAGCCGAATTGCAGACTGTCACCCACCTTATCGATGAGATGCCGCTGGTTGACTTCGACCCGCTCCTCGGCCGACGTGTCGCTGATGAGAAGGTTCTTGAGCTGCTGGATGTCTTGGCTTGCCATTGCGTCCTGTTGCTGCCTCTGCGCCGATGGGAGCGGAGAGAAAGCAGAGACGTCCGGCCTTGTCCTGGCCCAGCAGTGTTCTGCTGGATCGTCACGTGGGCGGCGTGGACCAGCCAGGGAGTCGCTGTCGTTTGCAGAATCCGCCGGCCCGAGGCCAAGCATCTATCGGTCAAGCCGAAGCATCTGTTGATCAAGCCCAGGCGTCCGTCGGTCAAGCTCAAGCATCCGTCGATCGCAGCACTGTCAGCCGGCTGTGGCCATTAGCAGACCCATCAGACAATCCACGCACTCCGCCTGTATCTGTCGGCCCATTCTCCCTCGGCCAAGCCCCAGGCACAAATTCTATCTGTCCCCGCACACATGTCGCCAACCAACGCTGTAGTCGTCAAATGGGCCGTCAAGGTCGCCAACTGGAGCCCGTCTACTGAGGTTTGTGTCTGTGGGCTCTGCCCGACCCGGCTCTGGCCCCGCATGAATTGACAACGCCGATCCCGCAAGGCATGTGTCTCCGGATAGCCTGTTCTTGCTTCGTCTCATGTGCCATGCCCCTCCTCGCCGAACAGGAATTCAAGGCTGCTCTCTCCGAAATCCAGACCGACGAGCATGAAAAAGTGCTCAAGTTTATGCTCCCGGTCGACCGGAAGCGGGCTCTGGTTGGACGACTGCTTGCCAAGCGACTGATCCTGCATTTCTTCCCAGACCAGCGATGGGACCAAGTCCGTCTGTCGAGAACAGAGTACCAGAAGCCGTTTTGGGTATGTCGGCGCAAGCGGTCCGGAACGACTCGCCCCCAAGTGTCCTTGCCAGCTGAACTATGCGGCAGTTCGCAGCTGCCTCCGCTCCTGAATACTTACCACCAGCTGCTACCCAGGCACCCGGGCTGCAGATGAGCCCAGCTTTCCACTTCAACTACTCGCACCACGGCGACTGGGTTGTCATTTCAGGGCACCTGGGCGGCCCTATCGGCGTCGATGTGACCAACACAATATGCCCCAGCAACACCACCGTCGAGGCCTATCTGGGCGACTTTAAGAGCTTTTTCAGCACCCGCGAGTGGCAAAAGATTCGGGCAGGCAATCCATCCGAAGCCACGCTGATGCATCGCTTCGCTTGCCACTGGTGTCTGAAGGAAAGCTACACAAAGGCCCTTGGGGTTGGACTGGGCTTGGACTTTTGGAAGGTCGAGTTCCTGTATGATGGCCTGCTGTCGCTGGATGAGGTACGAGTCGGCAGGACTGCACACTTTGCCGTGGAGGACAACAGCAGCGGTGTGCATGCAACAGACTCGCCGAGCCAGCCTTCTGACGAATCATTCCGCCCCTCCCCCAACCGATTGCACATCGCCATTGCACATCGCTATTGCGACGGCGCTGCTTGCAACCGCAGCCGCTTCAAAGCCGCATCAGCGTCTATGTCAACGGTGCTCTCCAGCCTGGGTGGATCTTTGAGCTGGGCTCTGTTGATGCGACGCATCCTGTCTGCGTTGCATACAGCGGCAGCGAGGGAGTCGATGCAGCCTCTCGGTCGCCGAGTCCGTTCGTCGTCAAGGATATCTGCGATCTTTTGTCTTGAGACCAATAGATTGACTTTCTGTCGCCGCCCGCCCCCGTCCCCCGTGCGGCATGCGATCCCGAGATATCCGTTCCCTCATGCTCCGTCGCCGTCCACATCCGCTCGCCACCGTCCTCCCGCTCTCCGTTCGTCGCTGCTGTCTCCCATCCCCTGCTCCATCTTCGGTTCGGTTCAGTCCCAGGCCGTCGTGGATGACAGCTTTGCTCCTTGTGGCCGTTGTCAAGGGCCTCGCTGCCCTCTCGCCCGTGTCTCGGCGCGCTCTCGCCGGCGTCTCGCCAGCCTGCTGCGCTCGTCCGCTCATTTGCCTGCTTTCAGGCACTTGCGTGCACTTCCGCCCACATTCGCCAGGTCAGACCCACACCAACGCCCTGGCCTCGTCCGCATTTGTCGATGATCGCAATGGCCTCCTTCCAAGACAACGAGCATGTGCTGTGCTTTCACGGTCCTCTCATCTACGACGCAAAGGTGCGCCTGCCCGCCACACGAAGCCAAGGGCGACTGCGCTCCACAAAGACCACAGCGGCCCTATGAGCCGCCGTTCGCTCTTGGATTTGATCGTTGCCCACCATGCTGGTGATCACTGCTCCTGGAGGAGCCATCGATCGGCGACAGATGCAGCGCTCGTCGCCGTGCCTTTGACCCTGCCGCATTCCGGCCCGTCTGACCACTTCTCCAACCCAATGCCTATTTCCATGGGGACAGATCCTCAAGTCTGAAATCCGGGATGGGTCCGAAGGAAGCAGCCCTTTCTATCTGGTGCATTACAAAGGATGGAAACAAACGTAAGCTGTCCCAAATCGAGCCCGGCTGTCCAGAGCACTCCAGCTCATGCAGTGTCGTCTGGCGATTACAAGATATCAGAGGAGACATGCCATGAGCAGATTCTCAGGGGCACGTCCATAATCCTGGATTTCAAAGCATCATGGAGCAGTCCCGCCTCCCAAGTCAGTCGTGTGTGCTGCTGCGACGTTATATACTTATTTATTATTTTTGACTGCGACAAGCTGGGATGAATGGGTTCCCGAGTCTCGCATCCTCAAGAACACTGACGAAAATCGCCAGCGTGCCGATGACCTGAAGAGGACATCCGAGAAGAAGGCCTCCACCAACAAAAAGGCGGGGACGATTGAGAAGAAAGCCACGCACGATAACGGAACGGATCGCGGGAAGAAACGAGTCCGAGACTCGCTGTTTGACAAGGTCGGCATCGGGGTCGCGGATCCCCCTTCCTCCAGTGGATGAGCGAGCAGCAACATCAACGGCCCCTCAGAGACAAGCCCTTTCGCGGTGGATTAGCTGTTGCGGTTGCTCACTCCTGCTGCTGCTCGGCGGTGTCATTCTGCACATACAGGAAGAAGACTTTCTCAGGCGACTGGAAATCAAGATTCCCATCCCAGACAAACTCAAAGTCCAACTCGTGGATGACTGGGAATACGTCACAAAATCACAAATGGTGTGTTGCCGGCCTGAAGCCGATATCTACTCAACCGGGCTCCGTCGGTCGTTCGTGTGGCATGGCTTGGCGCGTTTAGATGCATTAACGCTCACCTCGTCACCTCTGTGGACCCAGCTTGTGTCGCTGCCTCGGTCGCAGAATGTCGTCGATGTCCTCAACATGTACCGAGACGAATACCGCAAGACACATGAAGGGTAACAGAACCACCGGACATGAACTCGCCATCATCCCTGGACCAGCTATTCATACCGTTCTCGTTTATGTTCCTCTCCCTCCAGCCGGATGGTTGAGATCAACGACGAAGTCATCGAGGGTCTCAAGATCTACTTTGACAAGGCCCTCGGCAACATCCTCCTGTATCGCTTTGAGCGACAGCAGTACGTTGATCTCAAGAAAAAGTACAGCGACAAGCCCATGTCGGAGCTCTATGGACCCGAGCACCTGCTGCGTCTGTTTGGTGAGTGCCGAAGCCCGCCGCTGGGCTGCCGCAGCAGTATCGAAGTGGCCCGATGCGCTGGCACTCTGTTTGATGATCAGTGCGCTCAGTCTGATTATCAGCACGCTCACGCATGCCTGCGCTCATTCGCTGTGTTGCCGCACCAGTTCAATTGCCTCAGTTGATTGCACACACCAACATGGACCAAGACGCTGTAAACTTGCTGCGAGACCAGCTTGTCGATATCCTGGCGTGAGTTTCCGTCCCATATGCTTTCGGTGGTTGGTTGGCTAGCGGTGTTGGTCTGGCAGCCCCAACAACACACGACTTGTTGTCTTGACGCTGGTCATCCCTCCACGCTCAGGTGGATGAACAAAATGCACGGCACTCTCTTTGCCCCTGCCTACACGCAAGCAACTCCTGGGTATCTGATGACCCAAAAAACCAACTGAGCCCCGACAGATCGAGCGCATTCAGCGGACGAATATTCATGGAATGGTGGTACCCGTTGATTGCTGTTTCGTTTTCCCAATACACCTTCTCTCCGCAGTGACTCTCCGGCTCAGCCCCGACGCTTGCGAGCCCGCTTTCACTGTCCAATCCAACGAAGGGCCGTGAAAGCAAGTATATTCAGCCACCGAGCAAACTCATCTCGCCCGATGGCCGTCTACACAAACCTGGTGGCGATTGGGCTTTGCATTCAAACTGCCGCCCGATCGAATGCATCTGTGCCACACTCAGGCCTAGTTGGCGTCAGTGTTGAGGATCTCTTGAATGATCTGGAACATCTCCGAGGGCTCTGTCCACCAACGCAGCTCGGCGCTGATCTGGGCCCTGTTTTGCTCGTTCTCGAGGCACTTTGCGAGAGTGCGGCCGGTTCGGGCCAGAGCAACATCGCGCCTGCGAGAAGCATGGGCTCAGCAATTCCAATTCGGCAATCGACCCTCTGGACGTTCAGGAATCATCCAGGAATCATCCAGGAATCATCCAGGTGTCGTCGTAGAAACCAACAGAGAAGCCATAGACACAACCGTTCCAGAAACAATCGCGCCATCACACTATATCACCGCAATCAGCATGGAAACCAGCGCTGCCAACGTCAAGAGATCCGACTTACGGTCCGAGCTTGGTCATTGGGCAAAAGTCGTTGCGGCCATCTCCGGTGAACACCAGGCGATCGTATTGAACCCCACAGCGCTGGATGAAGCCCAGGAACTCTTTGCCTGGCCGAACCAAGAGCGAGGACGAGGCGAGAGATGGTTGGAATTGTGCGGTCGGCGGTGGCAGGCAAGCATCAAGCGGAATCACCCCAGGCGCCTGGTGCCGACTCCTTCAGGGGGCCATCCTTACCTTTGCAGAGGTTGGGCGAGCATCGAGAGCAGCCGTGAGGCGGCTCGGTCGTATGCCGCTTGACAATGAGCTGCCCCTGCTCTCCCCAGCTGGCTGGATTGGTGATGATCTCCGAAACATAGTCCCGCAGACCCTTGGCCTGCCCACCACCGCAGAAAACTTTGTTACCATCGAGCTACCGCATGTGCACAGGCTGGAGGCCAAGCCCCGTACCTTCAGCACTTCGTCGATGTAGAAGGTGTTGGCGTCCGAAAGGATGACAATGTCGGCGTTGTTGCTCTTGGCGAACTCAAACATCTGCCGAACGGCGTCGTCCTGGTGATGGGTGCATTCTGTGAGCCAATTCCGTCCCTCAAAGATCCAGGGCCGCACAAGGACATGAACAGTGATGTCGCTCATAGTGGATCTGCTGACAGCAACGATCTCAAGCCAGCGGCGATTCTCGGTATCTGGCGAGCCAACAAAGCGCGATTCACCAAAGCAGCGGGACATACAAACGGAATTGTCTTCAAAGCCTCCAGGATCTGAGACGGACCAATGCCTCGCGCATGCAAGTCCAACAGCGAGGTTGCCTGTTATCCCGTCCCCGCGGAGAGCGCAAGCTGGTATTAGAGGACGGCGCTCTCAACGACGGGCATGCGACGGAGCACCGCCCAGACTCTCGCTGAAATCAAGCATTCGACACTGACCACCGAATCGGTAAACTGCATCCCGGCATCGTACAGGCTCTGAAACTGATGATCCACGCGGTGCAATGGGTTAAAGCGAGGATTGGGAGGATTCGGATTAGATGAAATCCCGTGCGGACCCAAACGATGCCGGTTGATTCCCAAGGCAGACAAGATTGGTTTGCGTCGACGGGCAAGCCGCACGGATGGCATCATCCAGATCCTCTGTTTGATGAATCCGACACGGACAGCCAAATTCGATCAAGGTGTCTTCCCTCGCTCGTCGATCACAGGGCCCGAAACGGCAGAGGCAAAGCGACGCATGCTGTCTGCTCAAGCGAGTCCATATCCGACGCAATCGGCGTGTATCGTGATCGAGGGTGCAGTCTGCTGCGGGGAGGAGAGTGGTTCAGGCGCAAACGAGGCAAAGGCATCTCGGCTCAGACGCTCACCTTCTGGTGTGTCTCTGGGACGAGGGCAAGGATGCGGTGGTCGCTATCCTGCTCGACCAGGGTGCTTTGGTGCAGCGAATGGGCAAGCGAGCGAGGGATGTGCGGCGGTAAGCTCGGGCGACACCGCCAACGCTGGTCGGCAGGGATCACCATCGGCACTCACAGGTCAAAGTCGAATCCCAGCAGGGTCTTTCCGCGAATCATGGAGGTGACGTCGAGAAGAGGGGGGTCTTGGATACGTTGTCGAATGCAGTGTCGAGAGCTGCCTGGCCCGGGAGCCGCCTTCTTTATATCGGGGGGCTTGGCCACACAGCCTTCGAGCGACCCTCTCGACTCTCAACACCTCTCATTCCGATCGGCCAACCGAGACACCCTCCTGCCTCGCCGATTCCCACGACGCTTCTGCATAGGCAGCCACTCGCCGGAAACACTCTGCTGCTTCGTGTTTGTCGGACAGAACTCCTTTGGCAGGCCAGCCAGCACGCCGAGGCTGAAGTCATCCGCCCTGCCGCCTTCTGCCTTCTGCCTTCTGCCTTCTGCACGAGACAACAATCTCGTTCCCACGCGCCGGCTTTGCAGCAAGCACCATCCGCTGCTGTCCTCGACGGTCACTCCGGCAGCCCTCCCCGGCAGACAGCAGACGGCAGACAGCACGCCATAGCTGAAATCGATGAGCTCTTCCGCAAACATTGCCGATGTCGAGGCTGCTCCTGGCGAGGTGCCCCAGTTCGGGAGCACCACGGGGCTCGATAGGCTGGGTTCGTTGCCGCGCTCCGCTCGGTCGGGCTATATCGCCGACCTTGGCGAGGACGACAACCCGAGCAGCTCTGGAAACGAGAGCGACGAAGACCAAGAAAACAGCGAGGAGATCATCGAAGGGAGCTCTCTCGAGGTCATGGTGTTTGAGACGCTCTTTGCCATGGTCCACAAGAACGACACCATCTGGCCAACGATCGAAATCGTGTTCCTGGTCTTCGAGGACATGCAGTTTCTGTCCTACGTACTGCAGGACAACTTTGGCATCAACTACACGTCCACCTTTGTGCTCAAGCTTGTCAAGACGATCCGCATCACTCCCGACACCTGGTTCCTCTACATCGTATATCTTTCCGTGGCGTTGCTGCTGGTCTGGGGCATGTTGGCCAATCTGCTCTACACGGGCCGAAGCCTGCGCGACTCGACAGGCGCCGTTTGGCCATTGCGAACGCTCCGACTGTTTGCTGGCACAATGACTACCATCCTCTACATCCCGATCGTCGAGATTCTGACCTTTGGCCTAGCTTGTGACTCGACCACGGCCGGCACTCCCCTGGCTCTGCTGCCGTCGTCATCCAATCCGCCCTCGTGTCTCTCAGGCGGCCAGGCAACGATCGCAGCCTTCTCTGTCTTGAGCTTGATCATGTTTGTTCCGCTCACGCATCTGTTCAGTCTGGTGTATCTGGATGCGGACCCGTCAAGCCACCATCCGACTGCTCGGGCACACGGACGGGTCGAGTGTTTCTACCTCGCCGTGCGGACTTTTGTGGTCGTTACCGGCTCTATACTCTATGTTTATGTCGGCTTCCGGATCTACAGTGTCTTCATTGCCTTCCTTTTAGCCTGGATATCGTTCTTGCGGATTCAGGTAGGGCAGGGGGGTACTCAGCTTGCCGGACACGCATCCAACGGCTTTGACACTCACCATCCGTATCTCCACCTGCTGGATCCAGCCCTTCTACAACAGCATCTTCACAGACATTCGCTGCGGTGCCCTCTTTGCCGGTGTGCTCACATCCTTGCTGGAGTTGCTGGTCTACCAAAGCGCCATTCCAGCATTCGGCTTCGACAGTCCGTACTTTTTGACCGCACTGGTAAGCAGCTCAATCGCGATATCTATTGGCAAACAAATCATTCATTGTATTGCTTGGGTGATGGCGGCAGCAATGGAGCGATAGCTGGCTCTGCAACATGAGCTTGATGGGTGGCTCCGTGGTGCTTTCTTTGGGCGTACCGCGCTCTAAACCTCCGCGCTAACCTGTCTATTGTTCTCGACAAGCTCGTCCTGATACCGATTGGCTATGTCGTCGGCGCAGCTACCTCGTTTTTCTATCGCCGGTATCTGGTTCATTACTACGCTGTCCGCGAACAGCGGAGCTACGAACAGGAGGAAGAGGCATATGCCAACATGAGTAGTTCGGACAAGCAAGTGTCATATCAAGGCTCGCAGGATGTTTTTGGCTTGCCAAGCTTACACGGCCTTTTTGAGCGATCCGAGTCCGTGTACTGGCGCTGGACCGATGTAGAGCTCGTTGCACGAGAGTCAATCGCCGACATTCGCGACCAGAAAAGCATAATGTCGCCAGACGACTTTCTCAAGCTCTACCGGTCGTTTAGCTGCGAATTCCGTGACCGCCCCAATCGCGCAGAGCCGCACTACCATTTTGCCCTGTACGCACAGACCTTCTATGGGGACACGCCACTGGTGGCCAAGCACATCTCCAAAGCCTGGCACGTGAAGCCGGCGTCAGACATCCGCTTCTTTATTTTTTATCTCAAGAGAATTATCCAGCAGAAGCGTCAGAGTGCCGACCAAACGGGCAACTCGAGCATGCAGGTGGTAAACATGTTCGAATTCAACAAGTACACACGCACGGCCACGCACCACCACCAGTCAGCAGCAGCCAATATCCTGGCAACGTGGAGATATGTCCTCGAGAACGAAACAGATCTACGACTCCTGCCAAACTATGCACAGAAGATCTCGCTCGATATCGAATATGCTTCCGAAGCCTATGAGATTCTGCTGGCAAAGTTCCCGCAGAACCAGAGTGCACTCATGTCGTATTCCAACTTTATCCGGGACATTGTCGGTGACAAGAAACGGGCAAAGATAATGCTGGAGCGAAAATCGAGCTCGATGCTCAGCATCGGGGGCGGGCGAGATATGGACGAGGGCTCCGTGTCAGGATCCAGCTCCACTCGTGAAGGGAGCGTCGCTTATTCCATGAGCTACCGTGGCTCAATAAGCTCTTCGGGGAAATCCTCGACACTGACACGCATCAATAACACTGCTCGACGGATGAAGCGACGACCAGCCGGCACCAAGGCGAGCGCAAAGGAGGTGCAAGAGGAGCTCATCAGCTCGTTCAATGATCGGCAACACATGGAGCTGACGCTGATGAAAAGGGGACTTTGGGTCATGAGCATTGGCTTGGTGCTCTTGATCGCTATCAACATCGGTCTCATCATGAGAACAGTGGGTATATACCAGACGTATATGCAGTGGGAAACCACCACCGCCATTGCGCAATACTTTATCAACCGAGTTTACCGGAACACTCTGCGTCTGTCAGTCTCGCTATCGCTCCAACCGCCCAACATGATGGAGGCTTCCGAATGGGCCGACTCGCTTGCCTATGACAGTGCCCAAGCCATCACAAATGTTCAAGAGCTCTACATGAGCTCCATAAGCTTCTACTCATCCGGCAACCCGTGGCTTGCAAACACCCTCGTCAATGGAGTTCAGACGCCAATATACGCCGCATTAATGAACCTCGCTTACGAAGGATCGCTGCTGGCTTACAGCATCAAGTCCAAAGGCGTTGGCCAGAATGTGTCCGCGCTGATCAACACCGACTTTTTGATGGTGCTCTCGACCGGGTCCTCGTTAGGGACTCTGTGCGATAATGTCATCAGCCAAGAGCGCGCCAACCGCCTGGCTGGGCTGCAGCTTCCAAGATTGTCGACAACCGTGGTGCTGGCTGTATCGATCGTTCTGGAGTATATACTGATCACGCAGACCATCATACCTGCACTGAGGCGTTTTCATGATCAGCAAGAGAGCATCACCAAGCTGTTTTCCAAAATACCCAAGGCCACTGTCAAGTACCTCGTCACCAAAATGCAGACAATCAACAATGATATTTTCATGGCCAATGGGGTCGACAAGCTCGAGATTCCGATGACCGAAACCCAAGGAGCGGAGCAAGCTGGTAGCTCGAATCCAAGAGAGCCAGAAGTCGAGGGGGAGAGGTCGCTGGCCGAAGCAAGGGTGCCGCCGCCTCGGCCGGAGACTGGGGAATCCAAGTACATTCGGAAGTCCTTCGGGTCAACGCGGTTCAGCAATCTCAAGGCCAATGAAAGTGACATGATTGAGGAGGACTCTGAAAGCGAGGATGTCCAGAGCAATGATCGATCCTTGCGCTCTCCACAAGGCACCGACATGAGAGCTCCGCTTTCCATCCCCCGAACAAGAAGGCCATCATGCAACATTGAAATATCGGTCCAGCCTTCCAAATCTGCGACCGATATCTCGGAGCCCAAAAGCCCGGATAAACCCATTCGGTCCGCCCTTCGCCGTGCCAATTCCGTGAGCCGGCCAGGGAATAGTTTGGGTGAAGCCAATCAAGGGAGGCTGACTGTAGGCTCGGCAGCCATCCATTCCTACTCGGCAACATCACTTCGGATCAGCGCGGAGCCCGTTGACCTTGAGGAGACGACTGAATCCGACCACGCACTGGCCCACGACGACAAGAACGCCAGTACTAATCAGCTTTCAAAAGTTGATTTGTCCTCAAAAGGGTCGAACAAGACGATCGGGTTTGCTATCACCGAACCAGCTCCGCAAACCTTGAAGCCCGAAAAGAGCCCGCTCTCGAACCTCGTAGCACAGGGCGCAACAACATTGGCCACGATGCCCTTGACGACTCCCCAGGGCGCTCTGCCAGGCCAAGGTGTATCAGGCGACAATGAAAACAGCGATGCAGGAACGAGTGCTACCGTCGAATCAACGGTCTCAAGCACGATGATCAATCATATGTTGCTCTTGATGCTATTTTTCGTTGTCAAGGAGCTCTTGCTGCTGAGCATCATGAACGGCGCCTTTGACCCGATGATCTTGAGCAAGTAAGGAGGGAATATGGATATGGCAAGCTCTTGCTGCTGGCTGTCCGAAAAATATGCACACCGGAGATTTCCCTCGCACTGGTGCGCTGTAGGCATGGTATCAGAGTGGCAAGGATAAGCTGTGCGATGTTTGTCAGCCGTACTGAACGCCCTCCTTGATGTCATCATAGCGTCGCCAAGATCTGGGGAATATGCGACCTCAACGGCGATCTGATTCGCCATCAGAGCATCATCGTCGAGTTCATGATTGCATCCATCCCGTGGATGGCTTCGATCGTCAGCGACCAAGAATCAGCTATCTCGGACATGTACTCGTTTGAGATGCTTGACACAACCCTCCCCGACCTCATGAGCTACTCCACAGACCTGTCCGACTTTCTATGGACCGACCAGACACCGTCTTCGTCCAGTGTGCCACTGATCTGGTACGCTGGATCGTGGGCCGATAGCGGCGTCACATGTGCATACCAAAACCCGGTCATATCGACAGGCACCGACCCATACTACTTCAACACAACTGCGCGTCCGATGCCGAACTCCACGGCCCTGATCTACGCCTTCGAAAACATCTATTTCGAGTCCGAGACGTTGCTCCATTCGGCTTGCAAGAGCATCTCGATTATTCTGCGGAATATCACGAACATCTGCAGCTTGTCGCTGAATCCGCTCGGCACCATTCCGCCAATCACATACAACCGCACGCTCCATGCCGGCTCAGGAATCACAGCCTCCGTCGTCACGAGTCTGGATCGGATGCTTCTGTCGCTGCTTCTTGCCCACGAAAGCTTTACCATGGCCAACTCCACCCTCGGTAGCTGGATGGGCCCGCAGTGGTCGCTCATTGATGTGCTCACGGAGCCGACGTCGCTCGTGGGACTGATCGCCTGGAAGGAATTCAACATCCAGACCTTCAACAGCATCATCACCGCCTTCACTATCGTGTTTTCCGTCATCTCGGCCTTGGGTGTCATCTGTATCGCTTCCGCATTGGTTGCTGGCACCCGAGCCTTCCACAGTCTACAGCGGCAGACCCTCCAAATCAGCGCCATGTTCATGATGATCCCGCCACATGCTCTCGATCACATTTCCGATCTCGAGCAGTCGGTCGACACTCGCATCAGTGGCCCAGTGAGTATCATTCTCTATTGGACCTGGTTCTTGAGTTGGCTGAAAGAGGCTCTGCTCGTCACAGCGCTGAGCCCACGCGAGCTCCGAGACCACGACCTGGAACAAGGCCAGACCTTTGAGCAGGTTTCGACCACGATCCAGCCAAAGACTGCCGCAAAGATCAACTCGGTGTCCAGGCAAGAGAAATCCAAGCGCGGGTTGTCGCATTTCGGACAATCTGCAAGCATTCAGGAAAAGAGCGAATCGCCCGAGACCGATCGGCCCCAAAAGAGCTGGCTCTCGAGATTCAAGGGCTGGCGTTAACTTGGTACTCAGTGTTTGTATTCATCGCAATGTCTGGCCCGATGGATAGTCGGTTGGCTTCCCCAATGGGCGAGCCTCCATTTACAGCGCTTGAAACGGGACACCCTGTCTTTCGACCGTCGCTGCTGTTTGTGAACTGGAATACATGCATCTGCCATTCACAATGACAATCCACCCCATGGAGGCAAGGCGAGACGGTTTTTGCACCCAAGGGACTCGTTCGCCCCGACTATCTTGATACTGTTCCAAAGGGTCGATGATCGCTGATAGGGATGAGCTGGATGTATTCAAGAGCGTGCTCCCAAACCCACTTCGACACCTCGACTGCCAATCAAAACTGGGAACAGGAAATGGCTTGGGCTTTCAAGTCAATCGTATTTCTGGGGAGGACCGATGGCCTGCGGCAAAACCAACCTGGAGCCAGAAGACAGCCAAGTAGATGCATGTGGTCCTGGCGAGTCACAAAGCTAAAATACAATGAGGCATGGGCCTGGGAGCCAGGTGCACTGACAGAGCCGAGTCATGGCCCGTGTCGGATCGGCAAGGGCAAGCATATGAGATAAAAGTATTGGAAAGCAAAGAAAGGAACAGGGCCGGCGGGGCGGATGAAAACAAAAGGGAAGGCGGTGCAGAAGTTGAAGAGAAGTCAATCAAAGCAAAAGCACAATCAGGCGGCGCCAACTGGACGCAGACGAGGGAGGTGCATGGTCAAAGCAAGGCGATGGGTGGGCAGCGTTCGTGTTTGCCACGATGAGGACAGGGACAGCAGTGAGTCTTCTGAGGCTGTAGGTCTAGCTGTGGCAGAGACGAGCAAAGTTTGGTGGGATCTCTAGGCGACCCAGAGACAGGAATATCAGCTTGCCCTGGTGATGGAGGAGCGCTTGGGCGATCGACCGTCAGTGATCGACATGGTCGGCATAACTGGTAATGCATGGGGACAGGATGTGATTTACATCACAACGTATTTCCCGGTCGCAACGGTCTTTTCGACGCCAGTGAGCAGCACAATGGGCTTCTTGCTGGATTCCGGGTCCACCAATTCGATGCCAATGCCTGACAGCAGAGCACCTTGGCTCTGGAACTTGATTGCCGTGGAGCCGGGCACACAGGCGCCCTCAGTCTCAAACCGGGCAAGAAGCTTGATGGGCTCGACAGCGCCGGCAGCAGCATCGGTTGGTGGATGCAGACTCTCTGCCTTCCACAAGATCAGTCGGCGTTCGGGACTCCAAGCTCCAGTTGGCTTCATTTGGACGGAGTGAATCGGATTGTGACACGTGGCCAGGCTGGTCATGAACATGAGCTCGTTGACCTCGACCTTGCTTGAAACGGTGGGGTTGTACTGATAAGCCATCAAATAGCTCGTCACGCCCTCTTCGCACTTCCAAAGCGGGTTGGCAAGGATGGGGATGTATCGATGCGCCGCGTCGGGGTCGATCTTCACTTGATACTTGAGGATCGGGACATGTGTGCCGACTTCGGCCGAGTCCACGAGGGCTTCGAGGTCAATCGAGTACTGGCTTGTATTGAAGGGCGAGGAGAGCCGAGCGTAGGTTTGGTTGGGGACGACTTGATCGAGGCGGTCGCGGCCATTTAGATTTATAAAGAACATGCCCATCGGGTCCTGGTCATCCGGCACCTCCTTGGTGATCGAAATCGCAACGTCGCCGGTGAGCAGGATTTTTTCGATCGTGCCTCGTCGGATGAGCACATTCACAACTTCGCTGATTGTGAACTGGATCGAGACGGGGTCGGCGCTGAGGACATCGGGCTCCTCACGAACGGAGTTGGAGTTCAAAATGGCGCCAAAACGATCGAGTGGGCCACCTTGAGCCGCCGAGCGGCCGGTTGTGCCAAAACCGTCTGTAAACGTGCTGTCGAACGACCTGCTGTCTGCCATTTCGGATGCCTTTCGGGTCCTGTCCGATTGGAATTCGGAATCCGGTGGTGATGCCATAATGAGTCAGTCCATCACACCAGCACGCAGTGATATCACACACAGTCGGCACACAGCGTCGCCTCCAAACCCAGACTGTGCAGGTGGAATCGGTGCCAAGGCAGGAACCTACCCCCGCTTTCGCGAACTTGCGATGCTGGGCGTTTGGCTAAGGGTGGCTTGGACGTGTTTCAGGGCTTGAATCGCTGTCTCGCGACTCTCAGCCATGGGTTCTTTTTTGATGGCAATGTTGAATCGAGTCGAGGCTGCCATACTGCAGGCATTGTGTTCAGAAGCGCATGATCAGGATCGCAAGTGGTGCAGTGTCATCACGCGCGTGGTTGTGGTGGATCTGCACAGGCCGCCACGCATGGATCTACTGGTGCTCTCGATGCCGAAGCGCACGGCGAGGGGAAAGTGCAGGCCATGGGTTTCGAGGGCACAGGACTCTCCCTTGCAGCAGGACGGACCAGTCGCAGCGCCAACTGCAACAACCGGGACATACATACCTTTCGCCATCACCGTCTTCATCGTCGCTAAAGTTGTGCGAGGAGTTGCCGACGTTGTCCCAAGGCGACGGTCCTGTGGTAACGGGGCGAATGGTATATCCTTCTTCGTCCACCTTCGGAACCTGGTAGATGGCGCAGGTGTTGGAAGTCAGTTCGGCGCAGGTCAGCAGTGCGCCGTTTGTAGAGGAGGACGGGGGAGGGTACGATGAATGGGAAATCCACAAGCCGTCTATTGGCAGTCTGTTGACAAATACACATGCAGTTCATTGACAGCCCATCGGTGGCTCACTACCTCGTCGACCGATGGCTGCTCGACCATTACAGCGGGACCCGGACCAGGGCCAGGACTAGCATCATGTTCGGGAGGACGCGAGCTGTGTTATTGCAAAGGACGAGTGCAGGGTTAGGGGAGTCAAACAGCGCAAGACGATCAAGCCCAGTAAAGTGATTCTGGAAAGCCAGCAAAGCCAAGTTGAAGATGCTTACGCTTCAGTCTCTTCTGGAAGTTCGCTCACGCTCCCGGTCAGCTCTGTATCGGGCAAAGGTCATCAGCCAGTATCGCCACCAGTCGCCGTTGAGCGCAATCATCAATCCAGCCACAGTTGCATCGGGTGCTCAGATTCTATACACCATATATACGGCCAGATGTCTCACCTTTTCCTCCGCCGCTGGCGATCATGAAAGCATGGGTGTTATCCAATCCATCGAAGGTAAGGACTGACGCCAGCACCTCGTCCGGAACCTGCGGTGGACACTGGGTCAGCGCAAGGAGTCAACCGAGAACAGCGATGGGCAAGCACCCGACACAACCATTCCACCCCGCCGAGGCCAACTCAAGAGAAACAAAGCCAAGGCGCTTGTATGGCTCCTCATAACAATCCAGCGGCTGTTGCAACACTTGCGCGTCCTACAGGCCGCTGAATCAAGACTTACACCCTGGAGACCCTGGATCGCCATCGCCTCAAACGAAACATAGTTCTGCAACACATCCTTGACGACGCCCCACCGCTGGTGGTCCATGCCGACGAATTTCTGCAAAACAGAGGTGGGACGACTCATCAACACAGCGCAGTGACATCTTCAGAACAGGGCCCAGCGATGCCGTTTCGGCTACTCGAGCTATTTGGCTCCTCGCCGACAGCCGGCCGTGTCCGCTCTACCTTATTGAAGCTTGCGACATATTGCTGCCACTGCCCCTTGGAGTTTTCGTAGGCACTCTGGGCCTCTTCAAGCTTTCGTTCTGCAGAGAGAGGGCGATTGGTATCATGCTGTCTGACGATCTGAAAGCATGTTGGTTCAGATGCATTGGTTCATTGAGCCCCGGCTCATCCTTACGCTGGCGCGAGTCACCCGCTTTCCTCTTAACTTTGCCTTCAGCCTGCAAGTGCGAACAGCGATCCAGTTAGCATACCGAGTGTGGGACGGGGTCGATAGCTCGACCGGAATGTGGCAGATGCCAGTCAAGTCTCTGTCTCTTGTCTGGCTGACACAGCTCAGGGGCGGCTTCTGCGCTTCCAGCACGGCGCTGCAGCGAGAGAGCGTTCGCCTCAAGCGCGGCCATACATACCTTGTGACATTTGACGACCTTGTCGTCAAAATCCTTGGCCACTCGCTGGGCATCGATCTCGAGCGTCTTGAGCTTGCTCCACTCAGCGTCGACGTCGGCTCGATGTCGCAGCTTCTGTTCGATCTCGTCCTGAAGTTTGGTTGACAGCTTTCCGTGGGTCTCGGACAGCTTGATGGTGCTGCTGATCAAGCTGCCCCAGACCGACGCAAACGTTCTGGTTGTCCGAGACATAGAGTGCTACGTTAGCGTGGCGACAGAAGGTCGAGTGCATCCAGTATCCCCCGGCAGCACGCAACGGCGAGACTTTGGTGGCTCGGCTGTACACCGACGAGCGGACTGACGACCGTTCCTTCTGGCAGGGTATCGGCAAACTCACCCAAACTGCGACTCGTCGACCGTGCCTTGCCGGGTATTGGCGAGGCGAAGGAGATCTTTGGCATAGCGATCTTCAATAGCAGCTCTGGATAGCGCGGGATGCATTAATTGCTTGCTCCAGCGAAGCGAGAAAGAGAGGTGGGGGGGGGGCTCCATGCTGGGCTGCTGTTGGTGAGATGCGGCCAACCCTTGCACCAAGAAACAACCTGGTTGCTGACTCAGGTGCATCTTTGGCGAGCATCCGCAGCAGCCCACGCTCATTTTTGTGTGTGGTGGCATGGACACGGCGTCCAGACGGCGGGAATACCTTTCTTTGAAATAATCTGCGAGCTCGTCATCGAGGGCCTTGCCTCGCTTGAGCCGCCGCAGGAGAGACTCCACATAGCCCCTTGGACTCGAGGTGTCGATGCTACCGCTGCTCTCGGTTCGAGAGCTTCGGACATTGAAATTTCCAAAGTTCATCGTGAGAGCTCCTCCGGGATCGGTGTTGCTGTGGGTGCGTGCCAGCGACGGTGCTCGACGATGCCTGGCGGTGCTGGGCCGAGCAGGGGGGAGTTCTTCAAACGCAGAGACGGACGAGGGCATGTGGCGGCCACCTGGCTCGAACCACGTGTGTGTATGTGTGTGCTCTCGCCGGTTCTCTCCTCGGCGAGAAGGAGCCGACCGAGCACCTTTGGGATATCGCGGGTGGCATGGACGACGACATGGACGACAACATGGGTTGCAACATGGACGACAACATGGCCAGCAGCATAGACAGCGTCATGGACATCGTGTTTTGGGACCGACACGAGCAGTCTGGATTCAAACGGACCCACAGATCCGATTACAGCGTGTTTCTGGCAGCAGAATAACTGTGTGCTCGTCGCCATCGCTACGATTCACGAACAATTTCGTTGTATCGAGCCGCCAGACGACGGTCATAGGGCATGATCGAAGCGGTGCTCTGGCCAAAGCCGCAGAGTCCGCATTCCATGGAGCTTTCCTGTACATTGCACGTTGTGTGGGGTGAGAACGAGGCTCCAAGTGGCGGTCGACACAGATCGTGAAAACAGGGATCAGGTGCAAATGATGTCTCGCCTGATAGGCAGCGGTTTCCTCGAATCGGTGGATGTGGGTGGCCACGATATGCTTGCAGTTCCGGCAGACATCTGCGGAGTTGCCAAGGAGGGACGCTTCTGTTGTCAGTGATGGCAATCGTATGCAGTTCATTCTGCGGCTTGTCGTCTGCGCATGTCCTTACGCTCAAAAGTCTCTGCACCCTCCTCGTCGGAGTCGTCAGCCTCGTTGGGGTCGTCGGGATCGTCGGCGCCGTCGATACTGTCGCTCTGTGCCCCATGAATCGGAGCGTCCGTTTCAGGCTCTGACTTGGTGGCTACTGGCTTGCGCCGCAGGACAGCGTCGAGCTCCATGTGCATGCATTTAGCGCATCCTGCAAAGTTCAGCATATATGCGCCATTGTCGGCCACGAAGGTGCCCTGAGCAAGCAAGCCAGAGTCAATAAGATATAGCCCCGGCCAGACGCCCATGTGGCATCACCGCGCACCAGGGACATGGCCGTATCGTGCTTTGCACTGGTCTTACTCGGTCCGGCATGTAGCTACGAAGACACCTTTTGCACATTCGTTCAGAGGGGCACAGATCACAGACGACGGATGCGGTGCGATCCACGCCGTGGCGAGAACGACAAAACCCCACCGAGGGCGAGGGCAGGAGATCTCGCCCGGTTCTCGCCGGGGAGGGCCACGCCATGAACAAAAATGGGCGGCCGGTTGCTTTCATGGATTGCGAGGCAAGGTGCATCTGAGAGCACGCGAGATGCCGATTCCCTTGCTCAACAGATGGAGTAGGAACACCCCGGTCCGGAATGGCCGAGCGTATCGGTGCTCTTGGGGAAACTGACACTCCATTATCCTTCACGACTTTATTGAAACCGTGCCAGGGTGCCGGGTGAGATCATCCGACCAAGAGCCAGATGCTTCTTCTGATACGGCCATTTCTCGTAGACTCGCCCCACGACCTGGGATATGTCAATCAAGGCTGCAGTCCTGTCCAATGATCGATCGCCTTCTGGGTCGCTGCCGGCCCGACCGCCTTCCGGATCCAGCGAGACGCAGAGCACCTTGGTCATCTTTGTCGTTCGGTGGAAGCAGAACATGACTATCTTCTTGAGCAACACAGATCCCTGCTCTGCGACCCAGATCCGATCGGTGGTCCACAGAGTCACTGGCCCAAGTACGAGGGCTCTGTAGCAATCCAGCTCTGCCATGACCGAAGGCGTCGCACCTGTCACGCCCGCGAGCGGTAACGGGAGCTGCAATCGGCTGTACATAATCAGCGATGCAGAGAGCCGCTGATAGCACACGTGATGGGCCTTGAAGTACATCAAGAGGACCGGGTCGATTTTTCCAGGACGTTGAATGAACTCCGAATTCATAAATCCAGGAATGACGACCGAGTGCGGGTAGACTTCAAGATATGGAAGCAGACATAACTCCGGTAGACGGATGGCGATGGACTCGCACTCGAACAGCGACAGTTCGTAGACGTACATATCACTCTGATCGATGGACAGGAAGACCTGGGGGGTGTGAATCTGCACATGCACTCTTTGTTTCTGGAGCCCAGTGCTGCTCGAGGGCACATCCGGGGCTTGCTGCACAATCAAAGGAGTCGTCCAAACCTTTGCTGACCTTTGTCCATGAATCTGCCGGACTTGTGCGGGCCAGTATAGGCGCTGATTCTCGAGAGAAGCTGGATCCCAGGGGGCGCTCATGCCTGGGCGGATAATCGGGGCCTGTTCGAGGAGCTTCAAATATACCGGAATGCACACCACATCCATCTTGCGAAAGAGGGAGGGGGTTGGCCGATCACCAGTCGGGCTTATTGTTTTGGCCTTTTTGTCACTGTGAGTTGCGAGACTGGGCCACTTTCTCTTGGCTGTCGAGCTGGTGCCTTGGGGCCCAGTCTCCTTCTTACTTGGGGTCGTTGTGGGGGCCGATTGTTCTGCCACGGGGACGGATGTTGATCTCTGCCCGCGTAGAGATGGATGAACTACCGAAACGGAAGTTGTGCCTCTCGCCGGGGTCGGATTGGCAGTTGGGTGCACCACTGTTGCATGCTCAGCCGCGTTCGGGTTTAACGCGCCGCTGATGGACGGGGAGACAAGTTGCGCGCTGCCAATTGCGACAGCAGCAGATGTACCGGGTGTAGGCACATGCTGGCTGCCAGGTGGGAGCGGCAGCCTTCCTTGTGTCATTCGAGCAGCCATCGGCACAGGTGTGTGCTGGAGATCGGCCAAGGGTTGCGGCTGCAGCACAAGACCAGACCGGCCGATCTGACCAGTGAAAGGGGGTACGTATTGTGGCGGTTGGTTTGGAACCATGTCCGGTCTCGGACGAGCAGGCGTCCCAAGCGGTACATGGGGACCGAGTAGCGGATTGGTGGCCACAGGGAAAGCCGAGGGAATTGCTGTCCGAGAGGTTGGGTCCGATATCCACAGGGGGCCCGACGGTGGTGGAAATTCATATTTTGGAATGATGCCTTGTGGCATAGGCGGGTTTTTGGGCTGTAGGAGAGCAGACCCTGGCTTGAATCCTTGCAGAGCTGCGTTCAATATCTGCTTGTTTTCGGGTGATATGCGGGCGCCGGCCGATTGGATGGCTGCCAGAGTCATGGCGATGATCGGGGTGGCTGTGTTTGAAAGAATATGCTGCAACAGCATCCGCTTGGTCTCAACTGAGTGGGCTGATCCCAAGATTTGAAAAGTTTGTGCGATGAGGGTCTTGGCGCTCTCCATATTCGGGTCCTGATTGGCGGCAGGCACTTGAGGCATGGGGCCGGAAACCGAGGGGTTGGCGGACGCACTGGCGACATATGCAGCTTCTCGCGGATCCGGGTGTTGATAGGGACGGCCTATGGTTTGGATCCATGTCTGTTGAGAATGCAAAGGTGACATGGCATCGCCTTTGGCCGTCGCAGAGATATTGGCCAATGGGCTCGTCAGCGGTACGGAAGTCGGTCGAGGTTGGTAGAGCTGTGGAGTTGTCGATATGGGTGGAGTCTTCTGCTGTTGTTGCAGCTGTAGCTGCAGTTTCTGCTGTTGCTGCTGTTGCTGCTGTTGCTGTGCTCTTTTCCACATCTCTTGCATTTGCTGCACTTGCTGGATCTGCCTTTGTTCCGCCTGCTTCATTTCTTGCATCTGCTTGGCCAGCTGTGCTTGTTGAGCTTGCTGAATTTGCTGCTGCTGCTCCAGGGCTGAGAGCGTCTGATAGTGTCTCGCTTCCATTGAGGCACTAGGCCGAATACCAGCGGGGCTTTCAGTGCCCCGAGCGGATGTCCGTGTGTGAAATCCCTTGGCACATTCGACGTCCCATTTGCTATCTGTTAGTAGCTGTGCGGAGTAACTCTGCGATAGCGATAGCGATCCCAGGCCGGCATGCATAGTAAACGAATGAGTGGATGCGAGTGTACCTGTCTGGAGAGCGATGTTGCACTGTCGCTCAGCACATTCTCTGGGTTGTGGTGGCGAGCCCCTTGCGGATACGCTGGTTGGAGCTTGGCAGCCGTCAGCCCCTCAACTTGGTTGGCTGTCTGTTGTTCTTGATTCGGCTGTGGAAACGGTATATCGTCGGGCTTTGTGGCAGCCGTTGCAACAGAGGACGAAGCGCTGTTCGAATCTTGATACAGTACATGACTCGTTGCAGGGGCCGAGCTTGCCGCAGAGGCCGAATCCAGCACAGGCGCAGGATGCGGTGCAGAGGAGTGAGAGGTAGCACTTGCGGGTGCGGTGCTATCAGAGGTATCGGTGGATGTTTTGGCGGTCAGCTTGACAAAGCTCTCCAGTTGTGCTGCAACTGTTCGGTACTGCTCCGCAAGGAGTGCGAAGGACTCCAGAGAAAGGACTGGGTCGAGCGACGCCCGGGTCAGTGTGCCTCCCTCAGTCAGTGAAGTCAGCTGGCCGATGGCGTCCAGTAGTTTGTTCGCTGGAGCGGCGTCTATCATATCGATGGATGTTCGCGTTGCTGCTGTCTGAAACTGGTCTCGATCCGACGTGTCCAAAGCTGGCCCAGAGTCGTCTGCTCCAGTGGATGAACCCGCGATGTTCGAAGCTGTAGCACCACCATGGGAGGACGAGCCAGGTTGAGGCAAAGCCGCTTCGTCACGCCATTGGGGCATAGGCTTTGGAGCCGGAGACGGCTCTGGAGGTGATCTGGAGCTGATGCGTGCGGAGGGACTCTCAGAGCTGGCACTTGTGACTGACAGTCCTGCTCGCTGCAAGGCCGTAATTCCAGTTGGTGCCGACACAATATTTGAGTCATTTGGGGCTGCATTTTCCTCAGGTTCCACGGATATCTCAGCGGAAATCTGGGGCGTCTTTGGCTGCCTTGGGGTCGGCGGCGCAGCAGCAGGTTCAGTGGAAGAAGGCACTGGGCCACCGGGGTCGGAATAGCTTGCAGCGATTCTGTCTGGCTGAGACAGACTTGGATGGCAGAGGAAAGGGTCGATATGTTAGGAAAGCGGCTCGTGAGATCATGGACACGATGCCGCCCGTCGCTGGCGGCAGCATCCCAAGAGCTTGACTGCATGACGCAGCAGGCGGGACAGGTCCAGAAGATCCGCTGAGAGCCACTTCAAGGTTGCCCGGCACTCACGGCAATCGAACTAGGTTGTTGTTGAGCAAGAGAGGAGAAGAGCATAGCCTCGATTGGTCGTTCGCGGAGCGGATACATACCTGTCGGAGATAACCCTCCTATGGGGAGGTGCTGAGCTGGCAGCAGCATCTTTGGTTGATTTGGGGACTTGGCTCGGCCCTGTGAATACGGGAATACAGTGTTCCGAGTTACGGGCCCGAGTCAACAGACACCAATCACAATCCAGCAATCGAGCACCATACCAGCCGCTCCGGGTGCTGTTTCCTCATGTCTCAAACTATGGGTTCGATCGGGATCGGGTTTGATCAGTAGCGTTGGAATGTGTGCCTTGGCTGTTTGGACCTCTGCTTTCTCTGGATTCGCGGTTTGTTTCAGGGTGCAAATGCGGCATAGACATGGTGCGTGCGGCGTCATTGATCTGTAGAGCCACTGCAGATGCTCCGCAAATGAGCCCAGGTCTCTGAAAGGCACACGGCTGTGGAGCCAAGGGATGGGAGCATATGCTGTCAGCATTTCAGTTTGCATGTTATGTATCAGGATCATTGCCGCCAACACTTCCAGCTCAAGCCCATTGATGGTGTCCCCCTCGATAGTCGTTCGGTGAGTCCTGGCTACATCGCCCGACCCTTGCCGATCACAGGTCCTCGACCGGATCCTCTGGCCCTGGGAGAACTGCCTTGAGTGGATGGTACCAGGCACATCAAGTTTGATGCGGATAGAGTCGGTGTCGCCCAGCACCGCCAACAACGGCACTCACAAGCGGTGGCCATATATCAATGGCATCGATCCTTGCAAAGCCCCGGGGGTCTTGATCATCCGGTATCCACTGGGAAGAGCCTCCAGTCCATCAATCGAGTGGATGTCCTTTTCGAAATCGACTGATGCTCGAGGCACATTGAAGTCTATACACGATTGCAGCCTTGGATTTGTGCTCGCCTGCTTGAACATGATCTTGCCGAGTTGCTGCAGGACAGCCTTCTCCTCGGCCTCTGAAGGAAATGCGCCCGGCTCGCCCAGGAATGCAGCCCATGTCGATGGATCGCCGTCCGAGAACCGCGGTGCTCTCAGCACAAGCTTCCTGGCGCTGGTGGTGGGGGCCATTCTGGCCAGTGGTGCTGGCGATGAGGATGGTGCAGATGGTGCAGATGGCGCTGGTGGTGCCGACAGCGCGGACGGCGCAGACGACCCCGACAGCAGCGGCTTTGGGCAAAATTACAGCGGGTCTCGTGATGCGCAGTCCACGTGGCATCCCCGTGCGGCGGTCTGGCGGCGTTGCGGGCCACAACACAGGCGGCGGGCGTGGCCGGCTCTGTCGAGCGATCTGCATATCCGCCCACCATGGAGAAAGGTCAGGATCTGGCTGTCGAGCAGCCTCTGGATCTGGTCAGGCTGTCCCTCGACGAGCGCATCTACGTCAAGATGCGCGGAGACCGGGAGCTGCGCGGAAGACTGCATGTGAGTATCTCGGATGTGGCCGATGGCCGATGGCCGATGGCCGAGCCGGTCCTGTCCGGCATTTCGGTCGGCATTTCGGTCGGCATTCCAGTCGGCACATCAGCGCTGCCCTGTCACCGGTCATGGCAGGCACCTATGCAATAGCTGTGCTACGAAATTCGGCTCGTAGCCGTGCTGCGACCACAACCCAGCCCGGCATGCAGATGGGGCGTCTTGGGTCCGGGCTGCACAATGGCAAGTCGACCCCTGCTCGCCCTGCACCCGACTGACGTGCGCTTTCCGATCGTCAGGCATATGATCAGCACATGAACCTTGTCCTCGGGAACGTCGAGGAGACCATCACTGTCGTCGACATCAACGAGGAAACATACGAGCAGAAAATCCAGGCAAGGACTGGCACCGGCCTTTCGATTGCGCCGCATTGATCGGAGTCGGTCCTGCGCTGATCTGGCCTTGGTTTGCATCGACGATCCACTCGGCCTCTGTTCCTGCGAACGCCCGAGCTGACCAATATCTGCACGCTGACTCTTGCAATCCCTGTTTCCAATCCGTGGCCCACAGACGGTCGTCAAAAGCCACGACTTGCTCTTTGTTCGTGGAGATGGTGTTATTCTGGTTTCGCCTCCGTCGCGAACGTGATTCATCAATCTTTGACAAAGCCGTCTTCATCCCCCAAACCAACGCCCAATCATGGCGTGTGCATCACTCACGAAGTCGAGCCGAGGGCTACTGATCTAGCATGCTCGAGCGCTGCATCTGGCTCAGTGCCTTTGTCCAGCGGCAGCCGGGCCCTCGATGAAGTTTCCAAAGGCTCCGCACTGGAGAATAAAATGAACGGGCACCATATGCTGCATCGTTATAGTATTGATCGCCACTTGCAACGGCATTGCACTACAACGAGCTGTGACTCGACCCCGTTCAAACCGCAGCACTGGCACTTTCAGCGACAGCCCCAGCATCGGAAGACTGGGCCGAGTCTTGGCCCACAAAGATCACCCAGTGGTTTTGGACGAGCTCCTGTCTGTTTCGGCACGCCGCATCGAGGTTTTTGTATGAATGGCAAGCGGCCTCCCACTCGACACTAAAGTCGTTGCTGTGCCGGAAGAAGCCAAGGTCGTGAGCAAGCCGGGCGAATGCACAGGCGCCCATGGGATCAGTATCGCAGGACATGCTGGTGACTCACCGCACGATATGCCGTGGATCGCTGGAGAGATGCTGTCCAGTCACGCAGTGCGTAATGAGCACCGGCGAACCAGGCTGGTATAGAAACAGACTGCACGTCAGTCAGGCTCTCCGACCTTTGTGCAGCAATAGCCCACCTTTCCAAGACGCTGCTACTGCCTATCGTGTCGGAGTGGATGTGCCCACCTCGATCAATTGCCCCTCCATCTCGAACCGGATGTTTGGATCGATACAGTCGATTTTCCTGCATGGGAGCCCGATTTAGCGCAACGGCCTCTGGCAACCAAGCCGACGTGCTCACAAGGGGCAAAAATCAGCAACGCACCAGAGAGCGGCATTGCTCTTGTGAAAGGAGACATAGGCTGGCTGTTGCTTGCCGTACTTTGAGAAGCTAGAAAGTGTCTTGAGGGTCGATGACAAGTACATCTAGCACCAAGGGTGAGTGCCCCCCCCCAAGAGCAGAGGTACGTGTTAGTGATAGTCGGCATCTCGTTGGATCAATCGCTGGATCAATCGCTGGATCAATCGCTGGATCAATCGCTGGATCAATCGCTGATGTCCATGTGCTTGCCCTCTGGATTCAGAGACCCACCTCGCCCTGTACGAACTCGCGGTTCAGGACAAGGTAGAACTTTTGGCCATATCGCAGCTTCTTGTCCTCTTCGGGGTTGCCGGTCCTGTACTCGTCTTTCAGCAGGAAGCGAAAGCAGTTCCTTGCCACGGGCACCCCTTCGACGAGGGACGTCGTGAGATTAAAGGTATCCTGGTTGGTGACACTGTCAGGGTAGTTATCTGGGACGTCGATCGACAAGAAACCCTCGGTATGCAGGTTCTGTTGGTTGGATGTGAGAGGAAGGGGCCAAGAAATTGATATGCTGCAATCAGCGTCGCGGGAGTGACGGAGATGCTTTGGCGGTGGAGGATGCAACGCGTTGTCAAACTACCTTGAGCATGATATTCTGGTCGTACTCCATGACATCGGATAGCTTCACCTGTCCAATTGACGGCGTGAGTGAGTTTATCAACCGCTCGATGCTCGCTCCGCTTTAGCCCGCTGCGGATTCCATCAAAATGCTGCCCGCGATGGACACTGGGTACTCTACCGGCCGTCTTGATCCGCGAATCCTCCTTTCGACCCTTTGGCAGATCAATTCGTTTCGAGTGCTCTTTCCGAGGAATTCACGTAATTGGTTCTTTTCCAAGAAGACCGAGTAGATCGACAAGGTCAGGGGCGAGTGTTTGGGCCTCAATTCCCTCGGAGCTGCTCATTGCACGAGGAGGGCGGCGAAGCCTTGGGTGGACATCAAAAGTGCTCCGGGGTTCTGGCGACTCCCACGAGCACGGCTGAAATCGGCTCGACGACACCAGTTGCACAATCGCTCGGTCGTATTACCGCACCTCTTTCAAAACCATTTCTTCGCACCAATTGCCGATGCGGTGTGGAACAAGCGTAGGCAGCCCGTCGAGCATGATGGCGTTTTGGAACGGATGCGACGTGCAAAGCAAGAGTGCAATTCAATGAACAAGGCGGTGATGTCCGAGGAGCCAACAGCGGAATAACGAGTCGGGAAGCGGAAGAAGGGCAAACAAGCGATCGGCAGAAGAGGTGGGCGTGGGCCGAGGCGCTCTGCTGGCTGTCCCGGCCTCCCACGCCCCATCAAGCGGATTCCATATGTTGTCCAGCCTGATTGAGGACAGACAGCCAGGTGATCGCGATCGACCCGGGGAGCTGTTGCCGTCGGCACTCTCGACTTGCATTTACAGTCAAACGGGACAGGCCTCAATGGGCGAACCGTGTAGTTATATCCCGTCCTGGTTGGCAATCTCTTTGATTTCGTTGGTTGGTCTTGAATACACTTGGTCGTTCCCCTGTGTCGACGATTGACTGGTATGGAGGCATTCGATGTGTGAGTGTGGTGCATCCATTCGAAGTGTGAGTGTGGTAGATCCATGCGAAGTGTGAGTATGGTGCATCCATTCGAAGTGTGAGTGTGGTGGATGCATCCACTCGACCATCTGGACAGCTCCATGGTGTATCGATATCAAGATACTCGACCTTCTCGAGTCGCTTGGCTTCCCAGCACTGTGAGCACACCTGGAGATCGAGTCGCTTGAATCGCCGTCGCCGGGTCAGGCTGAAGTACAGCTGTTTGTCCAGCATGTCTCCATCGAACACATGGCGAATGTATCGCAAGAGGGAACGGCCATGGCCAGCGCGATGTTTTGAGGCAACAAAGCATTTGTTCAACGACCAATATCCGGGGTGCCCCGTTTCCCCCTGAATACAGTGTAACGGCATCTTTTGAGCACTTTGACTTTGCATTTCTCACTGGCACAGATGCACATCCTCATTCTCTCACGGATGTTCGTGTCCCATCGCGTCTGGCTTTTGCCGTTTGGTGCCCATCTGCTGCCATTGGTGATTGGGAACGGGAGCGTTGCTACCGCCCGAGCATACACTCGAACTGGATCCTTGCGATGCCGGCACCAAGCCCCGAGCGTTTGGGTTGAATGATGGACTGTGGCTTCGTGACAGCTCGTGTACCGGTGGAGCCATAATGGATGGGATGTTGCCTGGGATGCGATTCTCGCCTGGCCCCAGTTTCCGCTTGGTGCCAGGCGAAAAATTGCCGCCAGCACTGGAGGCAGGTACGGTAGGGCCCTGCGCTCGCTGCAGCAGAGGCGATGGTGCAGATTGATGGTTGACCATGCTTACCCTCGCTGGAGATATCGAAGGAGAGTTTTGCGGAGCGAATCGCTCATAAGGCTGCGCTGAAGTGGCTCTTGGTATGGAAGTGTCAGTCAAGCGCGGTTCTGCGTGGGAAAAGCTTGGGGTGGGCTGTCGCTGGGGCACTTGGCCAAAGGATGAGTTGCGAGCCGCTGGGTTGTATCCCAGCGGCCGCTGCGCCTGGGGGCTCTCGCGCTGTGCCCAGTCCTGGGTGCCGGTTGAGATCGGTCTTGGTTGGGCCATGAGCCTAAAGTTATTGTTGCCATTGTACTCGCCAGGCTGGACGGATGGCATGTTTTGCCGGACTTGCGCTTGGGCAAGTGTGCGTTGGTTGTGGGCTTGTGCTGGATTTCTGTCGAGAGGCTTTGCGAGTCAGTACCGACCGCATGCCGAGTTATCGAGAGTGCTTGCAACAGCGTCGATGATCTCACCTGCCCACTGCGTTCGGGATCGTATTCGAGGCGTTGTACGGCTCCACGGCAGCCGCTACAAACGATGGTATACTTGCAAGATAGGGGGGAGGGTTTTCAGAACCGGTGCTTAGCCAATTCCTCGGAACAGGGGTATTCGCTACGAACGTCAAGACAAGGACATGATTGCCGCAAGACAGCCCACTTACGTTGATTCGTCAAGTTGATACATCGTTTCGGTAACGAGATCGGCATCCCAGTCCAGTCCAGGATCAAACATATCTGTGAATACAACGACGCCGTTAGTATCGATCGACACCGCTCGCAGCGGCGGCGGCGGCGTCGGCGGCTGACTGAGTCGCCACACCAACAGATAAACTGCTACGAACTGCGAGCTTTGGCCATCGAGCGGCACTCGAGACGAAACCACCAACAACTCAATGTGTCTTGTCGGCTGATTCGGCCGATGCTTCAGAGCAGCGCTCCTATAGACTCACCATCGACCTGGCCTGGGATATTTGCGACCGAGCCAGCAGGAGACCTCGGTGGCTGCGGCGCTGCAAAGGTGGGTCTTGGTGCCGGATTCAGGACTCTAGGAATTGGGGGCATTATGCCTGCTGGACCCCGATTGAACGAGGCTGCCTGAGGCGCGAGCTGGAATGTTGTCGAGCTTGATGCACCGCCGGTGAGGAGGTGGCGGTTCTCGGGGGAGCGATAGAGATCGTTCAAGTCGATTGCCCGGAGCTGATCGTGAGCAATCTCGTCAGGACCAAGGCGACCAGGATCAAGCGAGACAGACCTGGACGGCCCACCAGAACCAACCGGGCAGAGTCGAGTCGCTCGGCGTTGACTCACCCCAACGGACTTGACTCCTTTGACCTTCTTCAAGTACTCCTTGTCGTGCAGGCAGTTGCCCAGGCAGTTTCCAAAGCCCCGCAGAGCCCGCTTCAGGCCGTCGGTAACGGCCTCCTTCCTGACTTTCTCGAATGCAGCGGTCTTGGTCCTGGCGTTGTCAGTAGAGCCAAAGCCGACATCCTTTGCACACACATCATGGATGAGAGCGATGATTCAACGAACGGGCAAGCGTGCTGATGTGCATCCCCCCCCCCGCGACATGCCTTGATGGCCGGGGAGCAACGTCGTCTTGCTCGAAGCGTCAGGCCACGCATAACCGAATGACCCCGGTGTTCCGTGAGTCTGCCCCGGCATTCTGGGCGCATACCTCGTGGAAAGTTCCATCCCTCAAGGTCACCCGGACGACCGCCGAGACGCCAACCGATATCCGGCCATCGACCATGTCCATCTGCGCATGTGGGTATTGTTAGAGGGCAAAGCGAGCGACAGCAAGATCCTCGCAGATGGATCCGCGAGATACTCACAAAATCCACACTCATGTTGACGATGTTGTAGGACCAGCCGTTGAAACCAAATATCTCGTTGGCGATCGATATGGCCTTCCACCCCTCGAGGTAATTCAACTTCACTGGCGGGTGATCGGCCATCATAGCGATCACGGAAATCAGCGACAGGAGGGCCGAGTTAGAGCAGCGGATCGGGCGGGCCCGCAAAGGCCAGAGTAGCGTCAGAGCGCAGATTCAGATCAAGATCCAGCTGTGGACCAAGGTGCGTTGTTGACTCACTGCTGCCGGGGCCGCTCCGCTGGCTCACATATTCGGGACCCAGGTACCGCTGTAGGTTGGCATTGATGGAGACCTGCTCCTCGGAGTCGAAAGGGATGCCGCCAAAGACAGGCTTGGTGGGCTGAGCGCTGGATGAGTCCATTGCTCCGATGCAGCTCTCGTTGACAGGCCAACTGCAGCGCCAACCAGGTCGGTCGCCGGCTTGATCGACAACAGACCCGACGGCAGACAGGCCAGGGCCAAAGCAGGATGGTGTTGGATGCTTCGCCTTGAGGCCGACTGCGCAGATGTGCGAAGCCAGGACGGCTGCGTTGACGAACAAACCGGGAGCACATGGCCTTCCGATCCTACACTGTATTCAGGGAAGCGGGACACCTGCCAACAACCCATTTGTCGGCATAGTATGCGATGTCATGCGTCAAGCAAAGCCATAAGAAATAGAACAGATCACTTTGGCAGCCTCCGAGTGAAGACCACCGGTCGCAGTGCAGCGATGCGGAAATCGAGGGTGCTGTGTTTGGCCATGACTGCAATGAGTGGGTGGGTGTATTCAGGTCACAGAAAAACACCCTGTCATAGCTCAAAACGGGGGTGTCCCATTTCATTTTGGAAACGCTGCAAGGTGCGGCTTTCCCGTTTTCAATAGTGTGTGGTGGGTGAAGCCTGTGCAGGAATGAAGAATATGCAAGTGTGAAATACGCCAGTGCGTCCTTGTTGCCGCATGTTCCGGCACTGCTCCCGCCTATTGTCCCATGGGTCCGCTTCGGTCTTGTCCCTCTGGCCAACCCGCACTCAATCACAACCGCCGGGATCGGTTGACATCACCCAGACGGTGTGGTCGAGACGTTGCCGGGCATGTCAAGTTCAAGGCCCTATTACCTCCACATCGTCCCCGTCTTCTCGCCCCATCCCTCTCCACTGCAGCAGAGCCCTGCCACCGCCAACAGGCCAAGGTACTGCTCATGCAAAATGTCTGCGCTTCCGCCGATCCCACAGCATCTTTCCTTCAGCCAGGTCTCAGGCTCCACCGAGAGCTTCACACAACTGTCGCAAGAGACCCTCGACCGGCGTCTGTCGCTCTTCAACCAAAGGTCGTCTCTCTACCGCAACAAAACAGCAATGCTCGAGCCGCGCGAGTCCCTGCTCGAAGAAGACGAAGCTGGCATCGTCGGGGCCCCGGCCTCAACCGATGTCCTGGTCGACTCGGTGGCTCTCGGTGATCTCAATGAAAAGCACAACCAAGTGCTGCTCCATGCCGTCCAGGTTCTGAAGAATCGCTATGTGCCGAGACGAGAAAGCAACCTTCCGGGCATTGTGTCGGCATTGACCAAGTTTCAGATCAGGACGGCAGACAAGCGGACAGCCCGGGACAGGTATGCAGTGTCGTTGTCTCGACAGCAGTTGGCGAGAGGAATGGCAGTCCACGGCCATCTACTCAAGCCTGTCTCGTCGACGTCGGCTCAGCAAGGTGGAACTATGCCATCAATTCGACTCTGGCTGCCATCCGATCGATCCAGGCATTCCGGGTGGTTGAGCCTCGCTTCGTGTCTGGCAAGCCCGTCGGTGCCTTCAGTACCGGAACCTCATATGTAAGAAGCGAGCCACCGGGCGGCTCGGAAGTGTTGTGAATCCGTCTCAACAGCGGGGGCGACCACCGGTGTCGTTTCGATGCTGGTTCCATTAATCTGAGCGAATCCAATCTGGGGCACTGTTTCGCCTGTCCACATATCCCTCACCCATCGATATGCGATTGCCTGCCGCATCTGCAACCCAGACCGCACACAAGATCGGCTTCTTCATGGACGACTATCGCACTCAGAGCCATCAGTTTGTCTGCCATCTCTCCAACGAGACACGCCATGCCCTGCAAAAGGAACCCAGCGAGTACACCAAGCGAGACACCGAGCTTATATTTCGCCTGACCTCGACCATGCCTGCCTTTGCAAAATATACGCTGCCGGTGCGCAAGGCCCTCAGCAAGGTTACCAAGTTCGAACTGTACAAGCAGGGTCGAGTGATTGTCCGGGAAGTAAGTCCGTGCCCGAGGCATTTCGTGTGGCTCGTTGGGACACATGTTATCGTCGTGCATGCACAGCGTGCGTCCGATCTACAGCATCGATGGCTCAGCTCTATTGACTGTCGATTTGGCCGTGGACAGGGACACGAGGCCGAGAACTTTTACTTCATCATCAGCGGGCAGGTCGAAGTTCGCAAGAATATGGAGGGCCAGTCGGTGCTCTTGAACATATTAAAGAGGTATCGGTCCTCCGCATCCGATGGTGTGAATGATCTGCATGCCGGAGCTAGCGATACGAACAGGGAATGTATCGACAAACACTCTGCAGTATCGGGCCAGGGCACTGATCGGGGTTCTTACTGCTTTCTTCTGGATGTGGCATGCACAGCGGAGACAGCTTTGGCGAGCTTGCTCTGCTCCAGAATGTCAAGCGTGCAGCGACAGTCATTACCCTCATGGACACTGAGTTTCTTCGTGTCAACAAAGGCGACTTTCTTGATGTGCTGAAGAGTGAGTCCGAGCGTGATCTGACCGAGAGGCTGGAGCTCCTCGAATCGATTCCGCTGTTCAAGATGTTCTCCAAGTCGGCTCTCATTCATCTGGCTGCCACCAGTCAGTCACGAGACTACATGGCCAACCAGACAATCATTACCGAAGGCGATTTCCCCCAGAGCATCGTCATAATCAAGTGGGTATATCGTGTGCACGCATTTCCTGAGCAGGGGGGGGGGCGCACTGTCCAGCGACCAACAGCATCTCACACTACAATCTTGTTTGCCGCAACTAGGGACGGCCATTGTCGACTCCTGAAAGCAGTTCGTTTCCTCAGCATACCCTGTTCGAAAGAATACCCAGATCGGCGGCAACTCATGCCCTTTCCCGAGGAAGTCGAGACCTCGAGCCGATCAATCCAGACAAAGGACCCGCACACCGAGACCTTTATCACCGGAACCAGCTTCATCGAATCCGGGCCACAGATTCGGTCCGTGGACAAGATACTCAAGATAAAGGACTGTACAAACGGAGACTACTTTTTTGACGTTGCTGCCGTCGTCGCCTTAGGGGCCCCGAATGTGATCCGAGCCACGGCCCTGAACTTCCGGCAGCAACTACACGCCAAGCGAAGCCCGTTTTCGATTGTGTCGTCCACGAGGGTCAAAGCCGTCTTGGTCAGCCAAAACGAGTTCATCCGCCTGGTGGGCACTGAAATAGCCTACCAGATCGGGCACAAGTACCTGTCGGACGCTGTCGATCTGTGGTCGATCCAGAAACTGCAGCGCGAGTACTTGCGGTCGCGCGGATGGAAGCTCTACAAGCAACGACTTATGGATGATCTGCTGTGGCAACGGAAGCTCAAATCGCGGCCCCGAGAGCACGAAGCCCTTCCCCGCATTGCCTAGAACTGATCAGCAGTCGGTAATCGGGTCCGCACCGCTTCTCGGAGGCGGCATTCGATTGCAGATAATGGAGCGGGGTATTCGATCTCGGGATGCTGGAGGATAAACACATATATTCACGAGTCGGAAGCAATGCCCGGCCCAAGTCTATCCAGCAGCGCTGCTTCTCAGCAGTCGTTTTGGTAGATCCACACCCATTCGCCTGCCAAAGTATCCAAATCACATTAGAGCACTCTTTTGGGCCATCTCCACAGGATGTGGCTGTCGATATGCACAACCCACCGTTCGGATTCTGCTGGCACTCAAGATACTGATGGTCGTGGCAGATGTTGGGAGACCCCTTTTCACAAATATCGCCGATGGAATGGCCGTAGCTGCCGCTAACTTCTGTGTTATACGAGCAGAATTGCCTGTATTGAGGATTCTGTGTGCATTCTTCGCCGCATGTATTTTGCCTCTGCCAGTGGCCTGCCATCAAGTGAATCAAGTCAGTTCGTGGCTGGGCCGAACCGGGCATAATCGGGTAGAACAGAGCACACAGCCCATGTCTGCGTTGGTGATAGAATCGCTGTGGCAGAATCGCTCTGAGAGCCATACCTGATTCATCGCAGACGAGGAAAATGTCCTTCCAGCAGGCATAGTAGTCGGCATTCCCCACACAGGCGCTGTTGCTCGAAGAGCAGCATTTCCCACCGAGGACTGGGGTGTGGGAGTGTTCGCATATGGCCGAGACGGCAAGGAGCGCCGGGACCAGGAGAACAGAGATGGCCTTCATGTTGCGATGCAAGAGCGATCGGCGTGGCAGCAGGGAGGGCATCTTTTATAGATGCCGCATCCGTTCCCGCCAGCGCAAAGCCGTGCCGCCAAAGCCCGGGCACGGCCGACCGGGGTGACAGTGTCGAACGCTTTCCATCCTTCGGCGGCTGCGGGCTGCTGGCACTCTATCGGGATGCTTCGACATGGAACGGAGCACCAGCCATCGAGGTCCGCCACAACAACCAGGGCTTGGCTTTGCGCAGTCGCACCGATCGGATCTGGGCGCGGCTGGTGGGCATCTGCCTGTTCGCCTGCTTGTCTGTTCGCCTGCTCGCTGACCCGCATCGCCAGCAACCCCCCTGCAGGACCCTGCCGATTTCGCCCATGACTGCCCGGGCAGTCAAATCCGAGCCGACCGACGACGTCGCTGCCCCAAGCGACAGCGCCAACGCCGACAACGCCAACACCTTCCGCATCCTGATCTCCACCGACAATCACATTGGATATCTCGAAAAGGACCCTGTCCGGGGCGACGACTCGCTGCGATCGTTCGAGGAAGTGCTCAAGCTCGCCAAGAGCCACAAGGTGGACGTCTCGAGAGGGCTGTTGCGAATCGGGTTGGCGCAGACATGGTGCGGATGACGACCGCTGACCCCGTGTCGTCAATGCACACAACTTCTTTCGCCAGGTCGACTTTATACTGCTTGGAGGAGATCTGTTCCATGAGAACAAGCCCTCTCGAAAGGCGCTGCACGAGGCCATGGTGATGTTCAGGCAATACTGCATGGGCAGCGGCTGCCACAATATCGAGCTACTGAGCGACCAGTCGGTCAACTTTCGGGACAGGTCAGTTCGCCGGATCCTTTGTGCCCGAAGCGATGCCTTCGACACCGACCCTGCCGATTTGGCGGATTACGGTCTGTGGAGGACAGTCGAGCATCTTGCCGAAGACTCACGCTGCAGACGGGCTCGAACAGGTTCAACACGGCCAACTTTCTCGATCCCAACTTCAACATCTCGATTCCGGTGTTCTCCATCCACGGCAACCACGATGATCCCTCGGGGGTACGTTTTGAGATCCGCCGCCCCTGTTCGATCTTCTGGCTGCGTCGTCAGATTGCCTCGATTTCGACCTCGCCGGCGTCTCCCAGTCGCATCGGTGTCCAATGCCGTCTGCAGCTCGCCCACAGTCTCATTTCTTCGGAAACAATGGATCCTTGTGCTTCACCCAGGACGGTGCCTTGTGTGCCCTGGACCTACTCAGTGTCGCCGGCATGGTCAACTACTTTGGCAAGTACGATCGTATCGACGACATCGATATCGCCCCAATCCTACTCCAGAAGGGCAGCACCAAGCTGGCGCTCTATGGCCTCGGCAACATCCGAGACGAACGGCTGAACCGGACCTTCCGGAAGGGTTGCGTGCGCTTCCTGCGCCCGGACCAAGATCCAGACGGATGGTTCAGCCTCTTCACCTTCCACCAAAACCGGGTGGCTCACGGCCCATCCAACTACATTCCGGAGACACTCCTGGACCCGTTCCTGGACTTGGTCTTGTGGGGCCACGAGCACGAGTGCCTGATCGACCCCGAGAAGAACGAAGAAACACAGTTCTGGATCACCCAGCCTGGCAGCTCGGTTGCCACCTCGCTCTGCGAGGGAGAGTCCAAATCCAAGTGCGTATCTTTTCTCTTTGCTCGATCAACTCGCACGACCGGGTCGATGACTCGGTCCGCCGTTGTGAGAAATCGGACCAAAGCACTCGCGGCTGATTCTGAGCCCATTCAGGCATGTGGGCATTCTCAGCATTCGTGGCCGTGACTTTAAGCTCGAGAAGATTCCCTTGAAGACAGTGCGGCCTTTTGTGATGGGCGAAATTGCGCTATCGGAGGCCCGCCATTTGTCCACAATCGACACCAAGAAGATCTCGTCCTTCCTGGCCAACAAAGTCAACGAGCTCTTTGATCGTGCCTTTGACGAGTGGAAGGAGAGCAATCCAGAGCTCACCGACGAGCACTTTCCTAAGCCACTTATTCGCCTCAAGGTAGGGGCACTTGTGAATGTATTGCGCTTACCAGCGATAGACAAAGAAACAGACTGTTCATGGCTGGCGGCTGTCTGATGGCTGCTGAAAGTAACCACGCAACTGAATCTTTGCCTGCACAGGTCGAGTACACCGGATACACCACCATCAATCCACAGCGGTTCGGGCAGCTGTTCATCGACCGCGTCGCCAACCCCAAGGACATCCTGCTCTTTTATCGAAAGCGGACAACAGCCCATGTCAGCAAAGAGGTCAAGATCTCGACCGACGTCGACCTCCCGCCCAATCTTCCCGACAAGCTGGAGTCGGGTCAGGTCGAAGATCTTGTCAGCGAGTTCTTGACGTCGCAGAGCCTGAACATCCTTCCCGAGAATGCACTCTGCGAGGCAGTTCGGCTCTTTGTGGACAAGGACGACAGGGATGCCATCAAAGAGTAAGTCGATCGAGTCTTTATCACGCCATGGAATCGGAGGGACACGCCAAGCGATGCGCTTTGCAAGCAGTCCTGCCGGTGATGTTGGCCCTGAAGTTCCATGCCAAAGCTCATGGTCATGATCTGTGCTGCAGTTTTGTTGCCGAATCCCTCAAGCACACTCGGAGCCACCTCCGCGCCATCGATACCAAAGACGACCAAAAGTTGAACTTGGAGGTACATGCGCATGCTGTGTCTGTGTGTGTCTTGCAGTTGCTTTCGCATCTTGTCGGCACAGGTTACCGGTGTGCATTGTCGTCGCCATGTTGCTTACTGGCTGTACTGCCTCGGTAGATCGAAAAGTTCAAGACCGAGAAGGAAACCGAGTTCCAAGCTGATGGCACCTCGATCCTCTTCAAATTCCTGAAGGTATTTGGCTTGCAGTGCGCCATTTGCCTCCCTCCCACCATGGCGGAGCTTCAGCACCCACCTGGACCCCCGATTCGCCGTACCCATGCTGATTTGCACGGTTTTCATCTGTGTATTTGGACGTGAATGATGGCCGTATGACATCCTTCCGGTTGGCCATCAAAGGACAAGACACGGACTTCGATAGCTGCACCCGCGACCAAACGCGATGATGGCGGATCTTCGGCCAGCGACACTGAGAACCCGTTACCGCTGCCTGTGCCTTCGGCGAGTCGTGGCCGTGGCCGTGGTCGTGGCCGTGGACGAGGCCGTGATGCCGGTACAGCAGCAACTGCCCGGCTTGCCTTTGTCGATGATGCGAAGAAAGGGCTGGATGCCGCTCCAAAGCAGCAGCCGCGCTCGCAGACAGGGACAAGCCAAAACAACGTCAAGAAACACGGCGAACCCGCCGAACCAATGCAGGAGGACTCTACTCTCGACGACGATATTCTCGATCTGTTGCCCGCAAGTGCCAGGCTGCCAAAGCGGGGGCGACCGGCAGCGATTTCAGAGTCGAGTACAGCCTCTGCCTCCGAGGAACATCCATCGAAAAAGAGGTGAGCTTTGACGTTTCCGCCGTTGATTGCAGACAAGCTTCGTCGCTGGCCATTCAACAAAGCGCAGAATGCTTGATTAGTGGCGCTGTGCCTTTCTAACAACGTGAGTCTTTAATGGACCCCTGGTCGTGGCAGCAAAGCATCGGACTATCGCCAAACCAAGATCGATCTGGCGGCCCTGCATCCGCCTGCACGACGAACCAAGCAAGCCGCGCCGGCCGCTGTCAAGGTCAAAACCGAGCCGGTCGACGATCATGCCGCTGTCCAGGTGATCAGCAGCACCGACGAGGACGATGAGATCCCGGAGGCGGCCGGTGCTGCAGCAATAGCCGCGGCAGTCATCCCTTCTTCCCAACCGACGCTATCGCAAAGTACATCTCGAAGACTCCCACCGCGATTCAACGAGACGGGGGCCAAGGGCAAGTCTAGGAAATAAAATGCAGTGCAACCGCGACAGGGTGATCATTGCACTATACAACGCTTAGAGCAGAGGGAGCATCTGGCAGTGGTCTAGATGAGCCGGAGATGTCGGATGCGAACGGGAGCATTCAGGGGATGTGCAGGGTGGCGGAAAGCGGGTAGCTCAGATGACCGGCCGTTTCCGCACATGCGGCGATACGGTGGCTGAGGAGTCATGCATCTCATCGAATGGTCGTTTAGGAGCTGCAGCAGAGTGGCTCGAAGCGGCGCTCTCGACGGCTTCGACGGATAGGCCGCACTTTTCCAGCATCTTCTGGTACAGTTTGGCGAGCAGGTCGCGTTGGCTCGCAATCCACGGATGCTCAAAGATCTGCTCGATCGATAGCCGGTCCTCTGGATTGCTGCGCAGGAGCGAGCGGATCAAGTCCTTGGCTGGCGCGGCGATGTCGATGGCAGTTAGATTACCTACCCATGCTCCAATCGTGACGGCCCGAGCGCCACAGCCGCGCCAGACATGGTCAACTTTGCTGCCACAGGTGCGAGTCCACATACCAGAGTCTGTGATCTTGTCCCAGCCATCTTTGTCCGGGAATGAGTACAGCCCATGCTTGACCCGGTGGTTGAGCACCGCAAGGTCCTCGTCAGAGCCAAACGGCAGCGTCGCCGACAGCATGGTGAAGAGCAAAACCCCTGTCGTTGATGCGCGTCAGCTTGGGGCTGCACACGGCATTTGCTTACAGACTCGGTACTTGCCTAGCGACCAGCAGTCCACCCGGGCCGAGTATCCTTGGCAGGTGTTCTTGACCTCGAGCACTTCCGGTGCCTGACAGTTATCACCGTTCAGCCGTTGAAACGAAACGGCAGATGCTGGTCAATACCAGCACACCACAACTAATACGCAGCCACCCCCATGTCGGCCCGGCCTGCATCTAGGTCGATCAGCCATCAGCGATGAGCACGGGTGGAATGCGATTCAACCCACCAAATAGCTGAAAGTTCCGCACTTGGTCTTCATCCGGCCAAGGTAGTCATTGGTCATCTTGGCCAGCCCAAAGTCTGTGAGGATGAGTCGGCTGAATGGCTTGGGGGACTCAAACAGGAAGTTTTCCGGCTGTTGTATCAAATAGTGATGTGGGGGGGAAATGTCAGAGCTGGCACACGGTCCGAGTGATGCTATGATGCACCCACCTTGAGATCACGGTGGGCAATGTGTCGGTTGTGCAGATACTCGACAGCTGGGGCAGTAGTGTAAGCCAGGGCGTTAGCGGAGTGTGATTCACAGACGAAAGGCGTGCTACAGCTTGCCATACCAACGAGCGCTTGATAAAAGATGAACTTCTGCAGAGTGAAATGAAGAGGACTTGTTGGTCAGGGAGCCGCATGTAGCCGCGTCTCGGGGTTGGCCGTGTGCTCGGCGTCAGATCCGTGGGCGCAAGTGAGCGGGATGAGGGGAGCATAACCCACCGCTTCATATTCGGGAATGCCGTTGTGGTTGATGATATAGTCGAACAGCTCGCCTGGACGGCGATGCGGCCAGTGTCAACGAAGAAACATATTTCCCATGGTGGCTGCACATGCCCGAGATGGCGCGGACCTACCGCCTGCCATCCGTGTCAGGAAGATATATGCTGCCTGCTTGTCTTCGATGTAGTCGTGGATCGATACGATATTGGGGTGGTTGATCTCCTGCAGGATCGAAATCTGAACGGATCGATGGCGGCATGGAGCATGAGTGAGCATATCCAGGTGAACTCTTCCTGCGTGGGGATACACTAGCACATTGGGTTGCACTTGGATGCTGCCAAGAACTCGATTTGAGATGAGCATCTTCAGAGTCCCACACTTGACCCCGAAGCCAACCTCCTTTTGGATGCTCTCCGTCTGAGCAGAGGAAGCTGCGTCTCCTGTTCTGATTGAAGCACCCGGCCTTGTCCTTGGAAATATCTTGCATGCCAGCCGGAGCCCTGTCTTGACGTTGATGGCCAAGTAAACTAGTCGCGACGAAGTCAAGAGCGAGTCGGTGAGGTTCCGAGAGGTCTGCGAATACCTTTGCGAGAGGTACAGCTGTCGCATCAAACATGCCATGTGCAGCGCGCAACGGACTGCATAGTCAGGACACGGACTGAAATCGGCACCTTTGGCAAATGTCCCTTCCCCAAGCACGTTTGACTTGAAGATATAGTAGCGATTGTCGATCATCTGCGTGCATTTCGAAGCGGCACTGGCGCCATCAGAGGCTGATTCGAGAGGCGTCCAGCGGCCTGAAGTGCCGCTCGAGCATGAGCTTCGCGAACAGACACGTACCCCCCTGTCGTCCGAGGAAGTCAGAGCGCAACCGGCCTGATTGTAAAACACCATGACTGCTCAGATAACCCAGGGGCTCGCGTCAGCACCGTCGCAGATTCGCCTGATGCAGCCAAAAGGGGGGCATGGCAGATGCATCCGAGTGGCTGACTCACAGAGATCCCACTTGATTTCGATTTCAGCTCGGTCTGGCAGGGAGATCTGGCGGAGATGCGTCAAAATCAACTTGGTATGCCGTGGGCGGTGGTGTGGCGGTGATGTGGATGGCGGTGATGTGGTTGCACCCCTGACTTACTTTGCGCTTGTGGATCTTGACACCGTTGACGTAAGTGCCGTTGCTGGACATGTCCTGGATGCACGGCATGTCATCGACCTTTGGTCGAGTTGCAGAGTCAGCAGATGGAGCGCTTATGCGTCAGGCACCGACTGCGGAAGCAGTGCACGGTATGCAGAAGGCGCACCATGAAAATGCGAAAGTGGTCCTTTGAGCAATGAGGTGAGTTGATGACGACATCGGCGCTTCGGGATCGGCCCACGGAGCAGACTGGGCCAGTGAGGACTGACAGACCGGAGATAGAGGGAGAGACGGATATATCTATCAGATACATGGCAGGTGGCATGGCTTCCGCTGCGGGGCTGTGGATTCTGGATTCTGGATTGTGAATCGTGGATTGTGGATCGTGACGAGTGGATTGTGACGAGTGGAAGCGGCGCAGGAACACTTGCCATGCTCAGTGGCTGGCCCGTTGAGGACAAGTAGTTTGCCCCACGGGGTCGCAGACGCTGGGGACTGTGCTTGCTGGGGCATCGCCAGGATGGTATGATGCACGGAAAGAGCGGCTGGGCGATGCTCTGCGGGATGCATTGCGGGATGCACTGCGAGATGCATCGCGAGATGGATCAAGGAGCGGCTGGTGGCGCTGCGAAGCCAGCCCACCGGGGCGGATGGCTGCATCCGGCTGCATCCGGCTCGACCCGTGCGCCTTTTGTCGCCGCCATCGCCGCTCCTCCGAGATTTCTGCTCTTGGGCTTGTTTCTCCCCACCGAGAAAGGAGATCCGTCGACGGATGTGCAGAATGCTTTTTGGTTTGTCTCTTCTCCCGCACGTCGCCCTGCGCTGCTGTGGCTGCTGCACGAGCGCCGTGTGGTCGGCTGGGGTGGCGGAGGCCGCTTGTCTCGGCTCGGCGTCGTCCGGTGTTGACCAGGCTCCCCTCCCTCCCCATCCGAGGCTGGCTGTCGGTTGCTTGACTGCCCGACAAGTCGCCGGTCGCCTGCTCCCTTGATCGCATGATCTCTGGACTGGCTCGATAATTGCTGTTGATCTCTTTGCTGCTCAGGCACGCGCTACCGATTCCACGCCGGCTGAAGGCACATCTGGGGAAGCCTCGCACCCATCGCCTGTCTGTTGCTGCTCCGTAATCAATCCGCCGATTTGCACGATGAAGAGGAACGCCAGCAGATCCGCTGTGGCATCAGCCCGTCGTCTCCTGCATCGCATCGCAGCGCACCTGGTCTTGCTCTCCTTCCCTCCACGGTCATGGGCTGAGCTGGGGGCTGTCGTCCCTGCGACGGCCCCTTTGTAACCCTGACTTCCTCCCCCTCGCTCTCGGATCTTGGCCGGCGTTCTCGGGGGGCTGTCTGCTCACCGAGCCCGCCGGCCGAAACGATGAGAGCGGGTGCTACCCGCAGCGTGCGGCGGGCGCCTCGGCCCACCCTCTGCACGTCCGCGGATGCCCTCCCGACCAGGCTTTTTCGATGGGCTTTCCACTGGTCATGGGCTGGTTCGCCAGCCCGTCTCCCAACCCCACTGCTGCCCCACCCTATCCAGAGAAAGCCAATCTGCTCCTCATGTCGGTGGATGGCGAGGCATAGCAACGACCCTGGGTGCCCGCCGATTGCTGCGAGCGACGGTGCTGTTCCTTCAATCTCATTACACTGCTCGAGTCCGGAAAACAGGATGCGCGACAGACCAGACGATTGGCAGGGGATCTCCCAGGTATGGCGCTGATGCCCACCGTTGTGCTGGATTCTGCTGCGTGCTGCATGATGCCGATGGCTGGATCTTGGTCTCCTTGCCCCTGGCGCAGAGCCTGTCTCAAGAGCAGCCCACGTTGCGCGGCGGGGTCGCCCTCAGTCGTTTGCGTCTCGACGTCCGCTTCACCCAGTCAATGTGCTGGGCAGAATCAACATGGCGGCCAGTGCGGCGCCCATGGTTAGACGATCCTCCCCCAACTCCGTTCAGGCTCCCGTCCCAAGCCCTTGCCGGTCGGCTCAGGCTGGCTCTGCATCTGTTTGGATCCAGAGACATCGGCAATAACTCAATGAGGAGAATGCCGATGAGAGATCGCTCGCGCTCTGGGTCCAATCGGTGCCGATGCTTGCTTGCTTCCCTTCCGCAAGACTGGCGACCGGGTGCTGATCGTGGTCGGGTTGGCAAGTCTCCGAAGTTGATGGTGCGACCCTGGTCATTTCTGGCTGGTAGTCATTCGCTTCGCGTCTGGTTCATCGGCAAAGGCTGTTGGCGGCTTCCCCCCAACGTCGATCCTTACTGGCACGGATCGAGACGCTGTTTCTGAAGACAAGCTCGGGAGCCAAGCCTCCATCTGGTTCATGCTGAGGCTTTGAAGGACATGATGGCCGCCGAGATGAGACACACGGAGCTCAAGCATCAGAGCCAAACTTCTGCGCCCCACCATCCGTCGTCGTATCTTCCCCCCATTTTTTTCCCTTCTGAAGCCAGTGATACGGTGGATCTGAGATGATGCGCATATCGCGAATGCCATGCATCCCACATCCCTTCCGCATCTCTGGCTCTGACGGGTATGCCACAACGGTCTTTTATCGTCAAAACGAAACAGCAAGCCATCAAAGGAGCACATCGATGAATCCCCCTCTGCGACCAGCATAAGCCAAGCAGCAAGTGGCAAGTTAAACAGGCAGTGTTTGTCTCCGATCTGCCCCCCTCCCTCCCTCTGACCTAATCGCAAGGGACTACACACGGATCGCCCTCAAGCGGACCCAGCGACCCAAGGCCATAGCTGCAGTCATGGCCCTTGCCCTGCTTCCACGGACTGAATGTGCACACTGTCGACGACGCATATGCGGATTCCCATTCAATAAAATAAGGGCGCCCCAGTTCATTTCGCAAGCGCGCTGTCCTATAAAACTACATACAAGCAACGAAGAAGCAAATGGATCGCATGGGAGAGCAGTGCACACAGTATCACATCAGACGCAAGAAGTGTAGATAACTCGATGAGCCAGCGATGAACAGCAAGTCGATCACAAAGCAAACGGCGGAGGCTGTTTGGAGGCCACCGACAACGAACGATGAAGGGAAGGGGCAGATGGCCGGATGGCTGGATGGCAGGCAGCGGCATCGGATGATCGGAGTGACCAGGATAAGATAAGAAAAGGGAGAGGAATACAAGCGGCTGTGCTCAAGCGAAAGAGGACAGGGCGCAAGGAACAAATCTAGTTTCAAGAAGGAACGGGAAGGGCAGAGGAAGAGCGGAAATGAATCAAAGCCGACACAGCAATAAATTAGCCGGCTAACAACGATCGTACGCTGTCAGCGAGGCGGCAGAGGCTCCCCTCCCGGGGCTGAGAACAGGTCAACCACCGGAGAGGCAGCAGTCTATGGGTTAAATGGGAGCAAGCGCAACAACAAAGGATGGAGGGGAGGAAGGGAATTGCCAAAAAGAAATAGTGAACGAGAAAAGGAATAGAGAAATGGCAAGGGACAAGAGCAGAAGAGCATGGGCGAGATCCGAGGGGAGGGGCTGTCCGCATCTCGTTGCCAAACCATTGGTCGCCCTTGCCCAGCGCCATCCAGTCCGCCGAGTTCCTGCCACAGGCAGACTGCACGGGGGGCAAGGGAGGGGGGGCAAAGTTGGAGTGAAGAGAGTATAGAGCAAAACGACAATGTCCGGATGGCATTGAGTAGATCGGGCGCAACTTGGCTGTGTGGGGCGAGTGTGGAGGATGTGCTTGGAGGGAGGGGAGAAAGGCATGGGGAAATCGGGTCCACGGTGACCGGCTGGCTGGCTGGCTGGCTGGCTGGCTGCGATTGAAATCGAGACCGAATCTTGATGAGCAGGATCTCGTGCAGGATGGGTTCCATCGGGGTTGCTTGTCACCGCACAACTGTCGAGGCCAGCAGCGACTGCGTCAATTGGAACCGTGTGGTACACACACGGACTAGTCGTCACCAGCACTGGCATTAGCACCGGCGCCGGCATCGCCGCTTGATCAGACTCGAAGCGGTTGCGGCTTGTCCACGGGGTCGTCGCCAGAAAAGCCGTCAAGAGATTCCTTCTTCAAGTTGTTGAGCGAGCCCGATGCATCGGTCAGATGGATGCTTGGCGGCACAGCACCCGGTCGCTGGCCGTTCGGATCGGGGGCCCCGAGCTCAATCGTGGCCCGGCGAGTTTTGGGCACCGCATCCTTGCGAGTGTGCACGGGCGCGCCTCCGAGCTCGCTCAGGATCTCTCCAAAGGTGTCGATCAAAGTCTGCAGGCCAAGCAGATATCCCATATCCGCGTCCTCGGGCGCTGGCGGGTACGGGGCCGAAACATACTCGACATTGGGCTGGATGTTGCGGCCGTCGGCCAGGTCGCTTGGACTGCGCAGGCGATCGGCGTTGGAGATGCAATGGGCAAAGTCGATCATCCGAATGTCGGCCTCCCGGGCCTTCTTGTGCGGATGCCAGTCGGGCGACGTCAGGGTGCTTCGGCGTCGGGTCTTTCGGCTATAGTTGAGCTCGGACCCGCCCATGCTGGTGCTGGGCGACTCGAGATCGCTGAGCGAGTCGTATCCGTCGTTGCTCGCGCCGACCCGGGAGCTGCCTGTATCTCCTCGGCGATGAGGGTTCTCGTCTCTGCCATCGTCGTCGTCGTCGTCGCCATCGCCGTCGTTGTTGCTTTCGTCTTCATCCTCCTGCGCATATCCGTCCGCGTCGCTCGACTCGCACGACTGCTCGGCCTCCTCCAGGATCGCAGCCTCATCGGCCCACGCGCCATCGTACAGAATGAGCAAGCTGCTGGCATAGAATCGGTACGTCGGCATGCTCTTGACCGTCTCGTAGAGCTTCTGAAGCTTCTCGACGATGTGCGGGATGTATCCCAGGAGATAGCATTCGCCGTTGTCGAGGTACGAGAGAAGCGTCTGCTTGAAGTTGACGGCATTCATCTGGCGACCGACATACTTGTCCAAAAAGGTGAAGGTGTGGGTGACGGTGTTGTAGACCTGTGGCATGAGGCGAGGGAGTTCGTGAGGGAGACAGAGAGTTGATCTCGAATCAGAACGGCATTCTCAGCCGGAGGACGGACGTATGAATGGACGTATGAATGGACGCATAGACGGATGTATGGATGGATGATGATCCGATGAAACGCCTGTCTCTCAAACATCGATTTCCACCGACACTCGAGCAGATCATGCTCACTGACACACGCCAACTAACAGCAACGTCGTTGAGCGAGCCAGGCAACGACCATGTCGTGCAGATGCTTCGGGCACTTGCCATCTCACCACGCCCACTGTCCCGCTCCGGCAATTCAGCTGCGCTCAGCTAAATAATGGTCGGATACGTACCTGCATCCCGCAGATGCGCACGCCCAGCTTCTTGCTCGTCGAGCGCTCGCACTTCTTCTCCTGGGAGAGCTTCTTGGCCTCGGTGGCATTGACGCCGTACTGGCGCGTGCCCATCTTGAGATCGAGGATGCACGGCGACTTCATGCCCTCGGTCAGATCCTCGAGCAACAGGAACTGGTGGAGCTGATCGCTGGTCGATCGTGACTTGGAGAGCCCGCGTGTGTTGTAGACCCGCATTGACCACGGGTTGGCCGACCCGGCAACAAACGAGTGACCCTCGGGCTGGGATAGGGCGTAGAGGCCGCTTTCAGTCTCGGCGTGGGCACTGCCCTGGGACGAGACTGCTCTGGGACTGTCGTCGGGGGGAATCGAGGAGGCGGCGGCATGTTCAAATGGCCGATTCGTGGGCAGGTTCCGAAAGTCTTCGTCCTCAGACATGTGGAAGACCATGGGCGATGTCCGACCGGTCTGGTCCTGAGCGAGCGAGCTTGCCGGCGGCGTGTTGCACGTTGTCACAGCAGGTGTACCAACGGACTGTGGGCGCGAGCGTGAGTGTGGATGCGAGTGTGGGTGCGGTGTTGAATGCGATGGCGATTCCGACTGGGGCTGCGGCTGCTGCTGAGGTCGAGCCAGTAACGATGGTTCTCCGTCGCACGAATCGCTCAGATGAACCTGGACAGGCAGCGAGACAGCCGCCTTGGTAGACTGACTCTTGTGTGTCGATGTCGGAGTCAGGGCCGAATGCGCGGCTGCAACCGGAGCGGCGTCGGTGTCGCTGGCACAGGCGTGGGCCTTGAGGCTGGACTTGAGCTGGGCAAACCGAGCCCGCAGACTCTTGGGCGAGAACGCCTCGCGGATAACCTTCTGCTGGAACTTGCGGTTGAAGCTCCGAACAAAGCTGATGGACTCTTCCGAGGCGTTGTCGGAGGTGGCCAGGCCGGGCGAGTTGGAGAGGCCCAGGAAGCTGTCGGGCAGAATATGGCGGTTTTGGTCAAAGATCACCATGGGCGTGGGCTCGGACGCCCACGAGTCCACGACGCCATCCGGGAGCTCGCTCTTGACCTTGCGGTAGGTGACATTGACGACACCCAGATAGGTCGCGATGAAGGGCTTGAGCTCGGGATGGTTCAGCTCGACGTTTTCGTAAAAGTCGCGCTCGACCGGGTCCAGAGGCTTGCAGAGGGCTCGCTCGGAGAAGCGCAAGAAGACGGCATGACCTCCGACCTGGTTATTGAAGGGGGTCAGGGGCAGCGACGGCGATGCTCGGAAGATCTCAATGTCGCTGTCCTCGTCGTCGTCCATGATCTCGCCAAAGGAAATGGACCGCGAGAACTTGGACTTGCGCAGACCCTTTCGGCTGCCGGTGCTCTTGCTCAGCTTGCTCTCGCTGTGTCGCAGGGGCGTCGAGTCCATGTTTTCAGAGGGGTTGAGCGAGAGCGAGGCCGAAGAGGTGGGTCGCGGCGGCAGCGAGTAGTTTGGGATGGTGATGGGCGTCGAGGCCGAGGGATTTCGGGCGGTGACCGAGGTGCGGGAGAAGACGGACGAGTCCGAGGAGCCGTTGGAAGAGGAGCGACTCTTGGTGTTTGGGAGAGTCGGCACCAGCCTCGAACCAACCAGGGCCGGGGACTGGGGCTGGGACTGCGACAGCGACTGGGACTGGGACTGGGACTGCGATTGCGATTGCGATTGAGATTGAGATGGCGGTTGTGTCCGAGAGTGGGACTGTGAATGCGAGGACGCCTGCGAACGAGGGTGAGAGTAGGAATGCGACACCAGTGGAGGACCGAGACTGTGCCGGCGATCGTGTCGGACAGACGGCGGTGTGGTGGTGCCGTTGTCGGCACCGGCTGTCGATAGAGCGATGGCCTCGGACGTCCGTGTCGTCGAGATGGCGGCGGCAGCAATCTGTTGAGCCAAGGCCGAGGTCGAGTAGAGGGGGGCGGCTGGAGGTTGGACCTTGGTTGGGACGACGATAGGAGCGGCGCTGGCGGGTTGCCGTTGGAAGGCGTCCCTATTCTTGTCGGAGATGGGGTTCATTTCGTGCAAGGGGCTGGTGTATGGACGGGTCTGGGTTGGACAGCAGCGCCGGCGGTGGAGGAGCTGGTGCTGATGGGGGTGGTGGTGGTGGTGGGGGCGCTGGATGGGATACCGACGCCAAGGGCGGAAAGGGAGGAAGCCCCGACGAGATGGTCCGAGCAGCCGGGGGAATGGCGAGGGAAGCGATGGTGTATTTGGGGGAGGGAGACGATGCATGCAGCGAAAGGACAGCAATGGTGCCAGAGGACCGATACGGGGGGATTGTTTGAATAAAGGTGAGCGGATAAGAGTGAAAGGTTAGTCGAGGAGCAACCACTCGATTGCGACGATGGATGAGAAAGAACAGCACATCCAAGCAAAACACATCAGGCAAGACATATCCGAGTGAGGCACATCCATACCGGGAAAGATTGCGATCAGAGGTCAGGGATCCGCCTCAAATCCGAGCTGATGGGAGAGGCGGAGGAGCTTGGGCAAAGGAAGAGTGTCGTCCAAGCGGAGAGGACGAGAGGAAGGCTGGATTAAGGGCGGTTGGATGCCTATTTTTGAAAGCGAGGATCTGCGTCGGTCGTTCGGTAGCGAGTTGGATCCACGATGGAGGAGACGAAGGGCAAGGAGCCAGCACAGGCGGGTGGTGGACACGGGAGAGCGAGTGGATGGGGCATATACAGAGAAATTAGCGACGGTGGTGGTGGTGGAGAGCGGCAGACAGGCACAATATCGAGTGGATCTCAATCAAGGATGTGCCGACACAGCCAAGTGTAGATCAGAAGCCAGGGAGAAAGCGAGACGGGCCAGGCAGGGTGCGGGATACAGGAGCAACCGAGAGTCGATGAGTGGCGATCGAGGGCGATCGAGGGAGGGGGGTGGATGCGAGGTGAACGAAGGATGGCGAAGGGGCAGAAGCAACTGGCGATCAAGACAGGCTGATGGCAAGAGAAAGTCAAAGGGTTGTTTCCAAATGGCTTCCAACGGCTTCCAATGGTGTCCAATGGTGTCCAATGGCCCCGGATGGATTGGAAATGGTTACAAAAGCTTTCCAAACGGTTTCCAAATGGTTACAAGCGGTTACAAGAGGTTGCCGTGTGGTTACAAAGATACAAGCGTCACAAGAGACAGGGTCGAGATGGAGTTGGCGAGGAGGGAGGGAGGAAGGGAGAGCCGCATCTAATATATGCACAGATCTTGGGGGGAGCAAGGCCAAGCGATGGCAAATGCACCAAACAAGAGCACACCAAGCAGACAGGATCCATCTCAGCCCAGGACAATTCGCACCAACGAGAGCACCGGACGATGGCATCGGAAGGCACAGCAGGCGGGACAGTGCCCACGGGGACAGCGATGCACGGCAGAGGCAGAAGCGGACTCACTCTGGATTGGGTCAAAAGCCAGGGCAGGAGGGTGGATGAGGACGAGAATGGGCAAAAGGTGTTAGAAGCACTTTGAGGGGTATGGATGCGCCGCCGGAACAAAAAAACGCAGATCGGTGCTCTCATTGGCCCAAAGGGCCACCCGATCCACCAGCCCGGAGGAGCAAAGCGTGTGGGGTCGGAGGGCGAGCCGGAGCCCTACTGGAAATCCGTCAATCATGCCGCGGATGCAAGGAGGGGATGGACAGGTGAACAGAGGGATGAACAGAGGGATGAACAGAGGGATGAATAGGCGAATGAATAGGCGAATGAATGGAAGTCATGGATGTGCGGCATGGCAGGGCAAGCGATGAATGGCAGGGCAAGTGATGAATGGCAGGGCAAATGATAAATGGCAGGGCAAATGATAAATGGCAGAGCGAGACAACACATGACGGGCAAAGCCAACAGACCATGAACGAGACACTGCCGGAGCAGAATCGGGGCACGGCGAGTTGGCAGAGATGCCGATATCCATCATGGGGGGGGGGTCGCGAACGCAGTAGATGCAATGGATGTAATAGATGCAATGGATGAAGTGTGTGCAATAGACGAAGTGGTGTAATAGACGAAATGGGTGTAATCGACGAAGTAGATGCAGTGGATGCGATCGAGTCGATGATCAAGTCGAGCAATGCCGAGCAGTGCCGAGCAGTGCCGATCGCCGTCGCATTCACTTTGCTCCGGGTGGTTTCGACAGCGCCCAATGCCCCCCCCCTTCGTACCTTTTGCAGAGCGAGGCCAGCCGGGGCAAGCGGGAGAAGAGCTGCCAAAGCCGGTTCGGGGCTGCTGGTCCTCAAAAAGCCCAGCCGCCGATGGTCGTCCCTCCCCCCCCCCAACCACCCAACCACCCAGCCGCACCGGACGGAAACGTGGGCGTGGCCGTTCCCTCCTGAGGCCCCTTCAGCTCGGTGGTCCTGGGACAACGTGCGCCGATCGAAGGATTGCTGATGTGGCGGGCAGCACCCCGGCGCTCCCACGCCGCTCTTGCCAACGAACGCACGCGAGCGCTGGGATTGCTGGATCGGCGGGTGCCGCTGGGATTGCGGCCGAGCGGCTTTGTTGGGTCGGCGTGCAGACCGATGCAAGACATGCGCAGATGCAATGTACTCACTCCGCTGGTGTACATCCGCACCATCCCCGACATCCACCCCCTGCATCTCCGTCTCGCCGGCGCTCACAGCATCTGGCCGTCGCATGCCAGCCGCTCGATCTTGGCGGCCTCCTCCTCCCGGCCAAACACCGTGGCCAGTCCGTAAGCCTGCATCGTCTCCTCGCCCTTGAGCAGGATCGAGATTGCACCCTGGGATTGGCAGAGCAGCATTGCCTGGTCAGCGTGCGTCCTCTCCGATCGGCAGCTTTGTACGCCGCCGGCCGCCTCCAGCTCTACCTCCATCTTCATCTCCATCATCCCAAACCCACCTCGAGGTCGTCGATCGCCAGCTTGAATGCGGCCGCGAGCTTCCATTGTCGTCGCTGGCACAGCTTCGCGGTGCACATGTCCACCGTCCATGCTAGCAGCCCGCTGCCGTGCGTCGGCGCTGCCATCTCGATAGCGCTGTCTTGCACTTGCACCTCATTCTTGCGGGTTTCGTTCGAGTCGCATGTCGCCTTGGCTTCGTTGCTGGCCTTTGCGACCAGGTAGGCGGCTTCGAGTTCAGAGTTCTGGACAAGAAAGCCAATCCACTGGCCCCGGCCACCGGGGATCCAGGTGGGTAAGCACCTATGCCGCTGCATTGTCGCAGCCCAGCCCAGCCCACCCGGTCCAGTCCAGTCCAGTCCAGTCCAGTCCAGTCCAGTCCAGTCCAGTCCAGTCCAGTCCAGTCCATGTCTCGGGATGTCGGCGGGGCGGCTGGTGGTGGCTGATTCCTCTGTCCGCTTGCCTCGGGCGACAATGTCCAGCCGCACTCTGGCAACAACCAGCCCCAGCAGCCGGGCTCTCTGCTTACCTCCTGAACCATCCCTGCGCTGGCGCACCAGCCTTCGATCTCGTCGTTCTTGGTCTCGGCGCCCTCGCGATATTCCGCCAGCATCTTGGCTGCATATTGCCGTATGAGCTCCTTCCAAAACTCGATACCCACATGCGGCGCAAACGCAATGGCACTCTCCCACCTGCCGAGCGCCACCAGCAGCTGGCAGTACTCCCGGAAGAGCCCCAGCCGGATGTACTGGCTGGCCATGCGCTGAAGTCGGCTGCGAGTGGATGGCGACAGGATCGTGGACCCGACCGGAGCCGACACTGATGCGAGCGAGTCCTTGGCGGCCTGGACAATCCGACTGTGGTGCTGGATGAGCGTGCGGCTGCTGGACGGGTCATTGTCGAGGCTCTCGTCGTCAGCGACGGATTGCACAATCTCCCATATGTCCCGAGTTCCAGTCGAAGGCTGTTTGTCGAGTGGCGAACATGTCAGAGTGCTGGCCAATGGAGTTCCCATCCACCCATCCATCCATCGGCAATGTGGTCCAGACAGTCCCATCCAGCCAACAAGCCCGTGTCTTCCTCACCATGATGAAGTCAAAGAATGCCGCCCATTTTTTGGAGATGTGGACGGCATCGTTCGTCAGGATCTCGAACAGCTTCTTGGACTCTGTCCCCGAGAGCCGGAACGGACCGTCGTCGAGCTCACGTCCTTTGCATTCAAGCATAGAGAAGGTTGACGAGTGACTCGGATCAGATGAATTGAACACTGAGCAACAACCATCACTTGCGGCGCTCGGCCAGCAGCCAGTACCATTCCGCGCAGAGTATAGCAGCACAACAGCGTACTTCCGACGTTGCCGCACGTCGCCTCAACTGGACTGACCTGACTCGCAGAGCATCAGCGCCCGTATCTTCTCCCGCTCGACACCGCCAACGTCCCGGCCACGGAGCGTTGTGCCGAGGCTCTTCATGATCTTCCAAGAGAGCGAGCGCACCAGATCATCTGCATACCAGACTCTCAGGGTGTTGTCGCGCGATGTCGATACAAACCCGAGTGGGATGGACGGGTGTGTCGATAGCCCGTAGACATCGGCGTGGTGGTGGGTGACGATCTGGATGCACTTGGCCGTCCTGACGGTGTCATCGAGACCGGTTAGGCATAAGGATGGGCGAACCACCAAGGTCGTTGCTGGCGCTGGCATGATGTCGGGGCTGCCAGAGAATCCTCCCTCCCCCCGGGCAGCCGCTCTCGAGGGCCACGGGTACTCACCGAATGTCCCAGATCCGGATGGTGCTGTCCCAGGAGCCGGACAGCAGGACATGGGCGATCTCGCTGGACCAGCACAGGGCCCGCACGTTCTTGGTGTGCCCTTGGAGAACGCCTGTGCACTCATTCTATGAACAGAAACGTCGATCGGCGTTATTGCATGCGCAGGGAACGAGGTCCGCCAGCGCAGAGTCACAGACGATAGCGCAACCATGGCTCTCGAGACATGGTCCTTTGTCCCGGTGCATGCAGCCCCAGAGCCGGGCATATCATACACAATGCAACCATCGCTCGGCAGCAGATTGCAAGCATAGTCCGTGCCCGATCTACCTCGTATATATCCCAGATCCGAACGTCTCTGTCGTCCGACCCCGATGCCAGGATGTTTCTGAGTATTGGTGACCAGACAACCCGGAACGACCGCTTCGTGTGCCCTGCACATGGCCCGAGTTCCCATCAGTCACAAACCGGAACGATACAGACAACGAACGTCCTCGCACGACACCACCATGACGGTGCCCGACTCCCCAGACGCCATCCAAGCCGGTTTGCAAGCCGCATTGTGTTCAGATTTGGCGAGAGCTGGGCTGCAAGTCGTACCTGAGAAGGACCGCAGCACCTGCCCGGTTTCAATGTCCCAGATCCGAATGACGCCGTCCATGCAGGTTGTCGCAATCACATTCCTGGGTGTATCGTGAGTGCAGATTCTCAGTTACCTGCAAATCCGTGAGATTGCATTCGGGCATTGTTTTGGGGGGGGGCAGCGACAGACAATCCACGACTTTCACACCAAAGATCCCACACCTGCCTGCCTCCATAGCATCCACCTCCGCAGCTACGTACCTTCGGGTGGGCGACCAGTCACATCCAAACACCTTCTCGGGATGTCTCAGGCTCAGGAACTTCTCGTAGTTGGACTCCACAGCCCACACCGCACACTCGCAGTCTCCGGCGCTTGCGACGAGCTGATTTGACCCCCACGTCACTCGATAGACTGCTTCGTGATGGGCCTGGATCTTCTTGACCTTGATGCATCGTGTGGCGTCGTAAAAGACCAGAAAGCCGAGCGCAGTCCCAAGGACCAGGATGCTCTCTGTCGGCGACCACGACACCGAGTAGATCGCCCCAAAGGCCGTCTTCATCTTGCCCTTGGAGACCTTTCCATAGTCTAGCGCCGGAAAGGAGTCCTGGAGGGTGATTCGGAGGCCCGACTGGCTGCCGGTCTCGTACCCAAGAGAGGTATCGAGGGTCCCTATGCACAGCTGCGACAGTGACGGCGGTCGACTGGGGGCGGTCCGTCCATTGACGACCCTTCGGGCGCTCTCGCTGCCAGAGGTCCCGATGCCCCATATCTTGACAGTTCCATCAAACGAGGCGGTGGCTGGAGAGCCCGGACACCGGGAACAAACGTGAGCATGGCAAAAGATTGAACTGCAGGTTGTGCTCGACTGTGTTCTACTGTGCTCGACTGTGCTCGACTGTGTTCTACTGTGCTCGACTGTGCTCGACGGTACTCGACTGTGTTCTACTGTGCTCGACTGTGCTCGACGGTACTCGGCGTCGCTTGCTCCTGGTCTTCACCCTCCCCTCACACTCTCTTATCACTCATAACGAGAGGGTCAAATCTCCGCTCCAAAACCACAGCCCAAGCTTACCCAAGAGCAACTCAGCGTTGGACGTGTTCCGCTTAAAATCGCATTCAAAGATCGTTTCCGTGTGTCCACCCTGTTTCAGGAACAGCCACGACTCCTTCTTGAGATTGAAGACCCCGATCGATCCGTCCAGAAAGGCAATCAAGAAGAGTGGATCGGAAAAGTTGAGGCTCGACGGAATCGCGAGGATGGCGTGGACTGCGGAGGGGAGTAGTCGGTGTAGTTGCTTCTCGGTACTTGGTCGAGCACGAGTTGGGGCATCAGCAGTTGGAGGAAGAGAGCCAGACGTCCAAGCATCAGGGAATGACGCAGGTGCAAGTGCAAGTGCAGGTGCAAGTGCTAGCGGTGTTGCATACCTCGATGAAACCGTCCAGGTCCGGAGAACACCGGAACGCACGTCCGTGGTCAAGAAGCCGCCCGGTATAGACGGAATCCACGACAGTGTGCTGATCCCTGTGAAACGAAGGGAGCCAGCGGCACATTGTTGGGCAGAGCAATATAATGTGAGTCGATAGGCGGATGGTTGCGCTCTAATGAGGACCACACGATCAGACAAAGCGCTGTTGCGCTGGTCCAAACGAGCCTGGTCGCATCCAAGCTTGGTCACTTTCCAGGAAGCACACTGCATCTTACCTCCACTGGGGATGTCAAATATCGACAGTGTGAGGCAGGTGTTGGAGTCGATCAGGACCACCCGGCCTGCGAGCCAGGGAATGTTAGTCGCATGCTGCTGTGCGGCTGACCAGCATGTTTCCACGGCCTTGCCGCAAACCATTCTATCGAGCGAGCAATGCCACTGTACTCCTCATACCATTCCGGAACGCTGCCAGGAGATAGCAGTCGCTCTTGACGTCCCACTTGAGGTCGGTGACCTCGCCCATGCCACCGCCCATGAGAGACGCAAACGGGTTGGTCTCGGAGAGTGTCAGCGCGGACGAGGACAGATCGATCTTGTTCTTGTGTGGCCGCTCGCTGTGATGTAGATCTGATATGTACACTCGCCCTTGGCTGTCGCCGAGGGCAATCTGATCCTTCTGCTGCAGATACCATGCCGACGCGACCGAGCCATATGCAAGTTGTGAGTGAGTCGAGCGTAGGATCATCGACTCAAGACCCTGCTCGGACGGCCACATTACCTTGCCGGGGTTGAGTGCGCAGACAGCAATGTTGACATCCATGTAGTAAACCGCACCCTGGACATATGCGGCGCTACCAACCGTTTGTATGTAGGTTGCTGCGAGAGAACAGTGTCGGTGGGAATGTCGATGGGTGAGGAAGGCTCTCTTCTGCTCCACCCCGACTCCAACTCCGGTCGATGGCCGCCATTGCAGCCTGGTGGACCTCAAGCCCAAGAAACGGGTCAGATCGCTTACCGTCTTCTTGCAGAAACAAAATCATGCCCGGGACCGAGTAGCTGTACTGCATCCACACGACGGGCGCAGAGATCTGCACGGGGTACGTGCGCACGAACTCGCTCGTGAGAACGTTGACGACAACGATGGTCTTGTCGATAGAGGCCACCGCGAGCAGATCGTGGTCTGTGGGATGCCTGGAAGCATCACAGGCGGTCGATTTGTATCAGCAGATCACAGGCGATCGCAGAGAGTACCAGCATACGTTCGAGACTCGACTTGCACCAGGCATACTAGAGCTGGATCCGCCGTGCGTCGCGATGACAACCAACCAACAGATGCAAGTGATGTTCTGCTTGTGCTTGGCGATAATGTTGATCAAGCGCACATGGCCTGCGAAAGGCTCTGGTTCGTTCGGCTGGAGGAGCGAGCGCATACTCTCGGCGCAACTGCCCAGAAACGGAGTCGATGCCGAGGCAGACGAGGCAGCTGGAGCCGGATATCCTGCTGAAACCGAGTGTCCTCCTGATGCCCGAACATCGCTGGCCAGCGCCGGCTCGGACTCGACGGCATATATGTACAGCGCCAGCGTCGAGCAGTAGGCAAACCGGATGGCATCTGCAGGCTTGCGCTGTGTTGCCGAGGATCGCACCGTCGGCGCTGTGCTCGTTCCTTGGCCTGCGATACTCGGCTCGGCGAGTTTGGGCAGTGTAGCTGGCGGCCCTCTATCCCGAATCGACGTTGCAATGACATTGCGGTGCCAGGGAGCACATCCCGACGGAAGCAAGGCGACCTGTCGCATGAGCGTGGCTCGGAGGCTGCTCCAGAAGTTCTTGGCCCTGCAATTCGCCACCGGCGAGCGAATAGAGAGAGTACCCTTGGTCGGGGGGAGGGCTCGTTGGTCTGAGACAGTTGCTTCGTTTCCCACCACTCGCCTGGGCGGCGGATGGCGCGCAAACGGGCCAGATGAGTTCCGGCTCATACCCACGGTCGCATCCGGGCTCTAGCTGCATTTCGGCAGACAGATATCAACGCATTCTTCCTCAGGTCGGCAGCGACCCCCCCCCATCCGGTGCCGCTATCGCAGTGTCTCCAGCGACCAACACAGCACACGTTCCGGAATCGATCGGTCGCGGCCACAGCTCCAGGTCATGGATCCCGCGACAGAGATCGACGTCAATGGAGCCATCCGCGAGGTGCGGTGTTATTCGGCATCTGCCCTGTTTTAGGCGATCTGTCGGCTGCGTCGCTGTTCTGCTGTGGATTCTGAGCGCAGGACGATGCATCCACAAAGACTGAGTACACCGACTCTTGTTCCTATCGATGATGCAGTACCTGTTGTTTGCGGACTATCGATCGACCCTGGCGTCCTTCGACTTGGAGTGCACTCGCAAAGGCCGATCGCCCCAGAATCCCGGTCTCCATGATCATAGCCACCGCGAGCGGATGGACCAGATTCAGGAAGACGTGGTGGGTGCAAGTATAGCTCCTAAATCACACTGTTCGCGCATCCGATGGGCGAAATCCATTTCTGTTGGTCAGATCAGTGCCTGAGCAAACGACCCATGGTGCTGGGGGGGGGATCATGCAGACTCGAGCCAAGTCCTCACTATGCATCCCACGCAGGATCGATTCATGATCTTTTTCCACGAGGGCAACCGAGCCGATTTTTTCCAAAGCTGGAACCAGGCGTTTGACTCTGAGACGCAGCTCTCCGACCCAACCTTCCAAAAGCTCGAGTTCAACCTGCATGTGTATTTTGCCGTCTTTGCCATCCATCCTTTTGTGGGTCCGACCCATGCAAGAGTAGGTACCTCCACTCTACTCTTTAGTGGAAGCAGCGTTTGCGATCGAGCTGCAATCTAGTGGCAATCGACCATTCGCATCGTGCAGCTGATCCATTCGCATCCCCTCCCTTTCCACGCCCAAGTCCGTCGACTTGGCGGTCGAAATGGATGCCTTCAAGGGCTTCCTCGAGAACCGCGGCCGCGAGCTCTGCAAGACCCCGCAGTTTCTACCCTTCTACGCTCTGCCATATGTCGTCAGTCCCAAAGATCATCCGTCCTTCAGCGACATATTCGACCAAACCTGGACACAGAATCTGCAGGAGCGACTGAGGCACTTTCTCGAAGGCGCTCTGAGATCCCACCAACGCCCTCGGCTCCTGACCCTGGTTGCCATGGTGCGTTACAGCCCAGTTTGCGGGCTGGTTTTGCGGGCTGGTTCGCAGGTGTTCGTGAATTGACGACCAGGCTGAGCCGCTTCTCGGCTGCCGGCTGATTCTACGAGTGCCAGTTGGATGTGCTGGTTTCTTGGACGTCAAGTATCATGCCATGTATAGATCCTGTGGGAGCAACGACTACACACCCCGGCCAAGGGACGAAACAGTATCTAATCTTGCCAACGCCACTGCTTCTTCCGTGCTACATTCGTTCAGGGCGATACCGGGATTGGAAAGAAAGGTACTCGAGTTTGAATGATGGGCACCCGACTCGATCGCGGTGCGCACACGGCGGCATCCAAACTAACCCTCCTCGCTTCCCATCTTGAGGAAGATTACTACCAGGAGTGCCGAGTCCTCCGGCAAAAGAACCAGGCTCTGGTTGATCGCGAGCAGTTTCTTGTCATCAAGCACCGGGGTCTCCAGGTTGGCAGCGCCTCGTTTGGCATCGGCCCCTTGGCATCGATCGCTGCCCAGCGCCATCGCTCTGATGCAGTTATGTTCGTCAATGTGAAAACTGACGCCAATAACCACAGGGCGACTACCACAATCTCATCTCGATTGCCTCCGAGCTCGTCCAAACCCTAGCTTCATGTATCAACGGAGAGCAGGTGGGCATCTGACACCCTGAGCTTGTCAGAATACCTTGAGTGCTACCTCTTTGCTCATCAACGCTCTGCGAGGCTGACTGGTGTCTCGCTCTTGTGTGAAGATCACGGCTGCATATCTTGCCAATATTTGTGCGCGATTGAACTCCTTCAAGGCTGATGGAACCACACGGCAGCTCGAGCAAGTGAGTTGGTAGCCCAGAGCACAATCCATTCCGAACTGAGCTCGCCCGCCCATGTTGCACACTGAAATCCACATTCCTTCAACCATTTGCAGTCCGGCACCAATCCTGCCAAGATGAAGGAGCTGTAAGGAGATGCAGTCGAGTCCAATGTCACTCCGCCTGTGCTGGAGCTGACTGGACCAGCGTCTGTCGGTCCACCGCGGTGTCTGTTGGTTCGTCACGGCGCATCCCAGCTGCGAGTCTTACCGACTGACTTGCTGCTTCTCGACACAGACAAGAAAGGGAGACAGCTGGATCGATGGAGATGCTGCTCCAGCAGCTGAACTACAAGCTCTTGCTCGAGGACTTGGATTTGGGGAGCCAGCGAATGCCCGCCAGAGACAAGGCGCTGCTTATACAGGCCGTGCGGATGGTACGTTTGACACCCCTGTCATGCACATGCACACAAACCTGGCCTGCAACAGTTTCTCTGCCCCCGTTTCTATGCGAATGCATTTTCCTGAGCTTCCCAGCGACCACAAACGATCAAGTGACTCAGTACAAGCCATCCTCTGTTCATCCTAGTTGTTCATGAAGCACATCAAGAGCCATACATCCGCCCGGATTCTGAGCGCTCTCATTTCACGCGACTTTCTCAGCATCCGCTCCAACCAAGTAAGCCTGAAGGCAGTATGCGTTGATGGGACACGGGTCTTATGGTCATTCATCATTGTCGGCCGTGTGCCACGACTCAGCTCGGCAACTATCCCTTTGTCAACTCTAGGGTGTCCTGCCGAACCTCGCCGGCACACCGCCGTTGGTGCTCAATCAGCTATCAAAGCTGCTCAACGTGGTGGCGTCGCACTATTCTGGTCGAGAGTATCTTCTTGGACAAGGACAAGAGGGCCGGGACAATCCAATGGTCTGCTCCCTGGTCGAGCTGCTGCAACAAGAGGAGCGTGACACGGCGACCCGGCAGAATCTGCTCGGGACATTGCAAAAGCTCAGTCTAAGGTACAGACCAAAGTCATGCTCTTGCCCTCCAACCCTTGGAATCCACACCGGCATGAGACGGCCAACAAGCGGGGGCTGTCAAGTCGGCGTGTTGCCCATGAATGTGCCCACCAACGGCCGTATCGTGCCTGACAGTGTCGGTTCCCAACACACAGACGCTGTGCACAATCCACGATGAACAACCTCAATGTCGTCTTGTATCTACACGACATGCTCGAGGACCTGGAGAATCTGTCCGAGTATAGCATCGAATACGGCACGGCGCTGCTGATGAACCTGTGTTTGCGCTCCGGTGGCAAGCGCCAGTGCCTCGAGGATCCAGGACGGACGCTGCGACTGTTGAACGAACTGATGGAGCACGATAATCTCCAGGCAAGGAGCAATGGTCCAAGCATCTGCTCTACTTTGCCGTATCTCGACCAGAAAACGGCAACGAGGCTCTCGCTGTACCAACTGACCGCTTGCAGGATGGCTTGTGCAGGTCAAGACATACGTCAACGGCGCACTATTCAGCATCCTAGCCGAACCAGCGATCCGCGAACATGCCCGGGCCATGGGAATGGGCCATATGCTCGAGTACATGAAAGGCTCGCTGGATGAGCAGCTCGTCAAGCAGGTCGATTTCATCATCGACCAACTCAACTCTGGTAAGCATCCGACAAGCAACAATTGGATGTGTCTTGCTCTTGCCTTGTATCTGCGTTGCTCGCTGGCGACCATTACGGGCTAGACAGAGTAGTATTGGATTTGGCTGCCAGCTAGAATGGGTGGGATGATCAATGCCAGTTCGGCACACATTGGCGCCCGTGCTGCTCCAGATGCAAGGTCGCAGCATCTTGACCAAGCGTGGTGGCCGTGTTTCCGGGCTGTCTGCAATACTGACTCTTGTTTTTGGATAATATAGAGGAGCAGGGTGAATCCAGTGCCGATGCCGTCTCTGAGGACGGAGAGGAAGACGACTTTGAAGAAGAGGTATGCCCCGAACCAGTGCGCTCAAGACCTCGCACGGTCCGCATCGGAATCGACTGTCCGACCGCTAATCGCAGTATTCCTTGGCAATTCTGCCCGCACCAGGATCTGGACGACGAGTTCGAAGAAAGCTTCGAGGCAGATGATGCCAACGTGCTGGCAGCGCAGCCGAACGAGCTGTGTGGGGAGGAGCTACTGCACAGACGGTATCTCCTCTCCGATGGCAGCGGCTCTTCATCGGCCGGAGGACTAGTAGGCCACTCGGACCGTCGCAGTGCCTCTGCTCGAGCCCCACAGGCCCGACCATCGTCGGTAGTCGATCGCCCAGTGTCTCGACCGGGATCAAGGGAAATGGACGATCATTTGAGACGGTCTACCAACGAGGTAATGTTTCCGATGCCCGCAAGTTAGAGCTGGGGTATGCTGCACTTGCGACTAAAATGGTTGTTTGATCAATCTCTGTCTCTCACCCTCTCCTCCGTCACGAACAAGATTCTCGCAGCGACTCAAAGGCGGTCGGTGACGCCCTTCTCTCGTCCTGTGACGCCCTCGAGGGAGCGCTATGGACCCAAGGAAGAGCTGATGCGCGAGTCCATCAAGCCCGCCGCTCGCAAGATGGATCCATCATCGCTCCGACCAATACAGAGCCCGATTCCAACGACGGAGCCACCGCCGTTGCCAGCTGCACTAGAGAAGGCGCTGCCGCAGATCACCCCGGCCTTTACACGGAAGGGCAAGCCCATGGAAGATATGTCTGCGAGGGAGTAAGTGTCTTGCTGGCAGTCGGAAACGATGGTTGCCAGTTGCCGAGAGAACAAAGAGGGCTCTGCATTGACTTTATTGACCATAAACAGGGTGCAGGAATTCCAGACTGCGTTTGGCACTCGCCCCAAGATCCCTCGGACGCCGCTGACGACCTCAATGAACTCGGTCACCGAGCAGCAGTGAGCAGCCGCACAGGACAGCGCCAGAGCTGCCGCTTTGGCTCCGGCGCGCAATGAATACAGGCAGCCATCATTGGCGTGCGTGGGAAGCAGTAGAGCCGGTGGCATATTGCGCGCCGCGGATTGGCCAAAGACATGTCTTCGCGCAGCAGGCCGCTGACGAAGAGAATAGCGACGACGATCAGAACGTGGGTAACAGCAGCAGCCTGCAGGCCACGCCAACATGTGCAGGGCGGCGATGGCGGAGAGGGGGAGCCGCGGACAGTGGCTCAACTGTGCTTGTACCTCAGAGCTTGGCCTTGGACTCGGAATTCACATGAATTCCGGTTCGCTCCAGGAACCTCATCGCCTTCTCGACGCCGTGGGTCTTGACGAACACGTCCTCGATTTGCTGGGCGACGACGAGGTCGCCGAGGATCTTGATGCGCTGGCTCACAAACGCCTTGACTCCCGTGAGGCCGCCGGTGATGAAGTTGAGGATGTCGGCGTCCTCAATCTCGACCAGGACGATCGGGAGCGTGGTCTTGCTCTTGCCCTTGCCCGAGGCGGGCAGGACCGGCCGGGTCTGGGTGACCACAGGCACGGCCTCCTGGCCCTGAAAAAGAATGTACCTGGCGAGCGAGGCAGCCGCGATGAGCGTAGCCCGAGTGTGGGACGCGGGTATTTGCTCGGTGGTCGGCATGCGAGGGCGTAGTACTTGCTGGAGAGAGCAACCGCATCTGGTACACTTGCGGGCGAACCTCCCCTCGAGATGTGCTTGAACGGAAGGGCTGCACGCCAAAGCCGCAGAGACCATGTATGTCCATCTCACGGCACTTACCACTCCTCCTTCTTGATGCCTTTCTTGAGGACGGTGACGATGAAGAGGCCCTTGAGACTCCCAATCAGCTCAGGATGGGCTTCAAGCTCCTTCTGGAGCTCGGGAAACAGGATGGACGAGATGAGCAAGCGCTCAGGCTTGGCAGGCAAGAACTCTGCGAGCTTGTCTCTGCTGCTCATGGCTTCGATGCGTGTGGGCGTGTGGGCGTGTGGGCGTGTGCCGGCGGTGCTTTCAAGGACAGAGGTCGTTCTGGGAGCGGCGCTGTCGGATGTGTCCAGGGTCTGGTCGGGAACGGCGATGAACGAAGTTGAACCGCTCCGCGTTCTGGGTTTGGAAGCGCGTGCCAGGAGGCGGCTGCAGCCGGCTCGATCCGGCTGGGATCCTGGCTCGAGGGTGCACGTGGCTGCTGGTAAGACCCGGCATCAACCTGGCATCAACCTGGCGTCAACCTGGCATCAACCCGGAAGCAACTGAGCTGGGGTGTTCACCATGCCAAACCCAAACAGAGCGTCTGGTGTGCTACGATGCGGTATAGTTATATTCATAAGATCCACGGGGCGGCTTGGCATCGACGAACAAGTGCCCTGCAAGACCAACTCATCCCGTCGCAGGCACACGCCTACAGTGACCGCTGCAACTGCTCCCTGGCGACTTTAAAGGCCTTGGTCGCTTTTGCTACTTCCAGAGCAGTGAGGTCGCGATCAAGGAGTCTGCTGCAGAGCGAGCCCACAAGCGTGCTGCAGTCTTCGACGTACTGCCGCGCCTGGGCAAGTGTGACTGCACCGAGATTCCGCTGCTTGGCCCGCTCCCACGACGAGTGGAAGGCCTTGATTTTGGGTATGCATGCCCGGAAGTCAGCCTGGTGGTAGCGTGAGACTGCTTCCGACAGCTTGCTCTGATGTTCGGTAACAAGATCCATCATCGCGACTGCTTGCTCGAGCTCGCCTTTGACCGTCTGAGATACCGACACTGGGCGGTCGGGATACGACTTGGCCAGCAGCACAGGCACGAGGACTTGCAGCCCCCGGGCCAGAGCCTTCATGCATTTCAGACATGGCGCATCCCAGGGGTCGGCTTCGATCGATCGAACACCCGGTTCCGGATAACTCTCCGCTGCAATGCACCATGGCCACCGACTGTCAGTCGCTTGACAAAAGCCTTGGGTATTCTCCCAACATCGCTGTCGGCACTGGTCCCGCAACGATCGACTTACGGATGGCATCAATATGGACCGATGTCCCATCGCAGTAATCCATACTGTCGTCGTATGGGAGCGCGGCGTAGTCGTCCGAATCGTTTCGGAGCTCGGTCTGGTGAAAGACGGCAAACGATGAGGAGAGCTACGGACAATATACCTATAGCCGGAGAAGGGACACAAACCTGCTTGGTCTGGACCAGCGCCCGGAGCGACGAGTCTTTCGAGGCTCTTGTGTCAGGAGCCTGCAGCAGCAACTCGCCAAAGTACGACGGAACAAGCCCGCCGTAGGGAATAAAGTGCCGAAACGACTCGTCATAGAACTGACGTACGGTCCCAGAGTAGTTGGAGATGGTCAGGATTCTTGGCACTTCGATCTGCGCCTTGACGCACAGGTTCTTATCTGAAGATCCGCCCGGGAGGAGATGCGGTCCAGCGTCGTCAGAAGGATAGCGTCGTCAGAAGGACAGCGGATGACCAAGGCACACTGTCTTTCGAAGTCGACCGATCGATGCTCTCGCCGCAGCCATAATACCGTTTGATAGCAGGACAACCCGCAGGACCGACTCTGCTACCCAGCGGCAACAGTCCACTATCCGGTCGTCGTTGGTCATGGCCTGCCAAGATATGGATGGGATTGGAGATGATCGAATCGCAATGAGGGCTGCATATTCAACAGGCTGTGTGCGGCGACCATCTGGATCGATGCAAGGGCTCTGCAAGAGCAGCAGATCCGCCGACAATCACACACCTGGCCAAAGCTCTCCTGTTCCAAGGTTTGTCCCCGCAGGTACGGCGTCTTGGTCTGCAAGGCATTCAGCAGAAAGTCGTTTGCTCGCCGGGCCTCCTTCGAAACTGGGCAGCCTGGGTTCGACTGGGATGTCAAATCGCCGCAGGACAAAGCTCGAGAGGGTGAGCGGCTACCACGGAGCGGACACATTGGCTCGAGAGCGACGGGCCCTTGGACTGCTCTCGGCAGGATCGAAGCTGTACCTTCAGAGCATCCAGCTCCCGGACGACGGCTTTCGGAATCAGAATGGTGGTGAAGAAGTGGTTGGCGCATTTGAGCACCTCGCTGACGAATCCGATATCGCTGATCAGGTAGTTTGTGTCGATAACAATGACGCACTCTGGATGGACATCGACCGAGTCCTGGCGTCGGTTCGCGAGGGGCAGTTGCGCATCCGACACCACGGCAAGGAAGGGAGGCAATCGAGTAGGAGAGAAAGGCACTGGTGAGTATCGGCGGCTGCCGCTGCGAGCCGATGTGGGCACGATTCCATTTCCAGGCGACTGGTTTAGATCCGTTCCGTTGCATCAGGCTCTTCTCGCGGGGGGGGGGGCGATCTGCAGAGGAGATCAGCCCAGCGAGCGGCATCCAGGCGCTCAGTCTTGAAGCGGCCGGTTCAGGAACCAGGAGTTGCCCACTGCGAAGCCCTCGAGACGATCAACGCACCAGCAAAACGACGCCGTGACCTGTGCCGGGGACCAGCGGATGTGCACGGAGCGTGTGGATGATGTCGTTGACCTGGTCAACGTCCATCATGTCCATATCCCCGCTGCCAGACATTGCGGCTGCTCTCGGCAATGCAGACGGAGCGATGTCGATGCGGTCCGTGGAGCCAAAACGAATCCCGAGACGGCCGCTTCCAGAGCGGCGTCACGTGGCGTGAAACAAGTCGGCTCAGGGACAGGCCGGCTGCGGTGGAGGGCGGCTCCATGCAGCAGTGCCACCGGAGATGAGCAGCGGTATATTTGCAGGATATGAGCAGCTATGCACGGCTGCCGGTGCATTACACCGGATTTGCCTCGTTCAAGCGCATGAGTGTGTCCACGAAGCCCCATACATCGTCCAGGAGCGTCGCCTGCGGCCGTTGGCTTGCAAGAAAACCAATGGACCTGTTCGCACTGGCACTGGTGCTTGAACTCGCAGAGTGGTGGATCCATAGTTCTTGCCTCAGCTTCAGTGACGGGACCGAAAAGACATATGACATGGATTCCAGCACTGAGCCCTTTGCCTCGATGACATATCTGCGCATGAGTGAAGCAGTGGGAATTGATGCAGAGGCTGGTGAGAACGGTAGAATGGATATCCACAGGCCCGCAAGCGCTGCAGCAAAAGTCATTCGTCACTGACCTAACAGGTCCAAGTTTTGTTGGTAGCTTGCCACTGCGGACCATGCTTTCCACAGTGATCCAATCCTCGCCGATCGACAGGCTCTCGAGCTTCACCTTCGAACCCGAACCATTCGGCTGCCAAATCGTCGAACTGGCTGAGCACCATCCAGAAATAGTCCTGTCGAATTCGTCCGCAAGGAGCCCCAACAGGAAGTTTTGGAGCTCTTGGAGCAGTGTGCTGTAGAGGCTCGAAAATGGCAAGGGCGTTGATTTGTCCCTTGATCGAGGCGGTGAGTCTGATCGGCCATGGGTCCTTGACATGAACAATAAACCCTGGGTTGACAGACTCACTTCCACAAAGTGGCTGTGGACACAATGAAAGCCGCTAACACATCAGCACATCGCGTAGAGATAGAGATGGAGCCAAGCTGTTTTTCAGGTGGGAACTCGTACCTGCCGAATACCGAAAAGAGCCAGCTCGTATCGTTGGATCCGCCGCTGTGGGTGGTGCGCCTCAGCCGAGCATGTAGTCTGCTCTGGATCCCTCGGAAGAGTGTATCAAAGACATCCTGGATTGCACTGCGCTGTCTACTGAGACACACCTGTCCGATGACATGGTTGAGAACACCCGAGGAACTGCCGCTGCTAGTGCAAATGTGAGCCCAGCCGACAGGAATAGTGTGGTATCGCAGAGAAACCGAAGCGTAAAGATGTGGTGTTAGCCACGCGTGCCGAATGCCCGAGTTTGTCGCGAGATTATTACATCTTGATACAGCGCACGGAGCAGCGCCGGATCAGTGGGATCGCACTTGCCGCTTTGCACCGCTGAGGCCTGGGATAATGTGCTGCTGGCTGACAGCCCGCTGGGTGCGATGGAGCTTGCGAAGAGCTTGCCGTGCGTGGATCTCCAACAGCCGTGAGCGGTCATTGACATTGTCTTGGGTGTCTCGCTGTCCCAGCGGCATTGGATTAGCTCCTGCAGCTTCCCGAGCTCCTCTAGCGCTCTATGCTACACCATCTCTGGCTCACGCTACAACACCACCTCGGATCATTCCACAGCTTCGAGGAGCCTGCTTGCGGTCGAGTCAGTGGTGCAGCTAGATACCTGATTTGTCAGTTTGATTTCCACGGTCGAGGCGCCGTCGATGGCGATGGAAATGGAGTTTGTGGCCACAACTGAGTTGCGAGCCAGACCCAGTCCCCCAGCGGCATCCCGCGAGAGCTGGAGATTCACAGTCAAGGTCGGCATGGGACCGTCGCAAGTCGATTAGTGATGTTCGTGTTGGAGTTGGTTGGATCACAGTCGCCAGCCATAAACACCATGCCAAAACTAACAGCGAACCGTGTAGCCCATGGCCGAATGGGAATCGAATGCCATCGAGTGCCAACGCTGAGGAGCACCCTGCTCTGCGGCCCTGGGCAGCCTGCTTCGGACAGCTCACCAAATGGAAGAGCTCGGCTTCAAAGATGCTGTTACGGCCCGTGAGGAGTTTTTGATGGATCCATTCGTCGGGGCAGGTGGTGCAAGGGGATCCTGAAGTCACGTAGACTGGCCGTTAGGCATTTCAGAGTGCGGAGAGTCTGACATGCCAGAGGTAATCAAACGTCTGGCTTGCTTGCCTTTGCCACCGCAGTCCAAGCGCTGCAAGCACTACCTGCTTCATCGCCGATATCATCGTCGTCCATGCTTGACATGTCCCTCGAAACAAACGGCGGGGCAGTCGATGCTTCTTTGCGCAAGCTATGCTGCCAGTGGATCGTCAGCCGTTTATCGATCGTATGCGGCATCACGACCGTCACATCTTGCACAGATGTGTCCTGGCTTTCGCCGTGGCTGGTGCGGATATCGCGAAGGATGTCGGCCTCGCCGATTTCATAGTACGTCGATCCGGCTGCAGCGGGGGGGGGCGGCGGGATCTCAGTAAGTTCGTTGACCAAAGACAGCGAGACCACAAAGAACTGAAGGTACAGCCGTGGGTCGACGGCATCCAGCTAACCCACCGTTGCTGAAGCCATAGTCGATAAAGAGCAGTCGGCCGCCATACTCGCCGCGCGCCTGCAGAATCCAGCTGTTTTGTCGGAGTCGCAGGGCAGTCTCTCCATAGAACTGGTTCTCGCGAGTGAGGGCTTTCAGGATCCGCACGGAGGAGTCGGAGAGCCGTTTGGCAGTGTCGTGGAGATGCTGTTGATCCAAGTGCGTCAGCGCCACACATCAGCTTTGACTGTTCGATTGGCATGATTCCTTCCCATCGCCCCGCACTCAACGCACCTCCTTTTTGGCGGCTAGAGCATATTGCAGATCGTCGATCTGCTTGTAGATCGGGGTCTCGAGCTTGCGCGGAACGAGCCCGAGCTTGAGATGCGCCTGTGCAGGAGGCGGCAGATCGCTGTACTTTGATGCGGCGGGAGTGTTGATGAGCAGCCGGCTGACGATATCGTGCATCAGCTTGGTTTCTTCCTTTGCCAAACTAGGATCGGAGTGGAGATACCATTGCTGTCAGTGCGGATGGCTTCTACTGCTTAACCAACGAGCGAGCGAGCGGCTTGTCCGCACAACCAGAGAGCGGCAAGCATGAGACCAGTGTTGGACCTACAAGATCCTATGCTTCATCGGTTCGAGAGGATGGACAGGGACGGGAGGCTGATCGGGCTGGTCCTTTTTGTCGGCTGTTGTGGCGGCCGCCTCGCTCGATTTGAGCTTTGCAACGTTGCGGGCAAAGAGCTCGGACGGAGACGGGCTCGGCTGGAAGATCAACTCTCCCGCGACCGAAAAGTCAAATGGGAGCGACTGGGTGCCTTCGAGGCCGATTCGGGTGTTCATGGCGACGGCCGCGGATGCTGAAGCGTAGACAGCGACACTGCGAAGATTGCTCCAGCCACGACCGAGCGAGCGAGCGATCTAAGGCAACAGCAGATCGATTGTGTGTCCTGGCTGCAGAGCGGACCAAGAGATGCGGGACACAAGCCGGAGAGCTGGAGACGGACGAGGATCTGGGCCAAGCAATATCAACCCAGCACCGGCGCGAGATGGGTTCGAGCCGACAGACGAAGCATCGCCGTGATCTTGCCAACGATGGCAGACGACAGATGGCCGTCAAGACAGGAGCGACGGATGATGGTCGGATCGCACACCTGCCGCTACGGTAGAGTAGGAGCCAGGGGAAGCATCTATACCATCGGCCACGAGCCAGGCCCTCGCTAGAACCACCTTTGAGGCCCAAAACTACCGCAGCAGCCAGCCCGTCGCCTTGGAAACAGCGGTACCGATGCAACCCACACGCAGTCGCCATGAAGGACGACCAAGAGCACACCGGCAATGGTCGCAAGCAACTCCGAGGAGTGTCGGCATATCAAGAAGAAAGGGCATTCGTCGTGGACTGTGACGGGCGACAGTCGACACCAACCGAGATCGTCCTCACACAATCAAAACACGACCCAAGCCGGTCTTGGGACATCGACGGCAGCGATAGGACCAACAGACCAACAGACCAGAAGCAAGTGCAGGACCCAGAGGCGCTCTGGCTCTGGCAGCGGTTGGACGAGCGATAACACTTCATATCACAGACTTCATTTGGGACCAAGCGCCCGGCTGGCTCTGTGCTGAGCGTAACATGGATGTGCAAGGTGGAGTACAGGGACAGCAGGACCTTCGCCGTGGCTTGCGGACGGGAGAAGCCCTATCGGCAGGCTACTTGAAGTGTGCGCTGCGTGGCGGGACTAAGGGCAAGGACCGGTCTGAGTCCTCAGGGCCGGTTGATGGAGACGACGCGGTGTCCGCCAGCGACGCAGAGGCAGCTAACGACACTGTCAGGCGCAAGCCCGCGGCTTCAAGAAAGAAAGAAAAATGAATGGGATGCAGAGTTCGATCTACGAGGCCTCGGAGGGATCCGCCGTTCTCTTTGCCCGCTTGGACTCCCAGTCCTTGATCGCCGACTTGATGGCGTCTTCCGCGAGCACTGCAGGAAGGAGAATGGAACAGCAGGTCGTTAGATCAAATGCGCAACCGCAGGGTCGCCGAATTGCATTGGGCAGACCACCCCCAGGGCCAAGGCGAGCATGGGCCGTGAACCTACTAGAGCAGTGGAGCTTGACGGGCGGCAGCGATAGTTCCTTTGCAATGTCGGTGTTTTTGATCTTGACTGCATCCCAGACATGCATGCCCTTGATCTTTTCGGTGGCCAGCGACGACGAGGCGATCGCGGAGCCACATCCAAACGTCTTGAACTTGACGTCCTCGATCATGCCCGTTTCATCATTGACGAGGATCTGGAGCTTCATAACGTCGCCACAGGCGGGGGCACCAACGAGGCCGGTGCCGACGTGGGGGCTGTTCTTGGACAGCGATCCAACGTTGCGGGGCTTCTCGTAGTGGTCGATAACCTGGGCCGCCACATATCGGCCAGTGCCGGCATACCCTTGTTAGCACAGTGCCTGCCCCAAAACCACCAAGCTTGGCCGTCTATGTTCCATCGGCAGCAACGACGGCTTTGGCACATCAAGATGCTACCCAAGCCCCCCGCTGGTGCCCGCCTCTGATTTCCGGCTGGTTCTGCCTGCGATTCTCTCCGTGCGCAAGGTGTGCATCCGTCTGCAGATCGATCTGGCTATACCTTCTCGTGGTAAGATCGGAATTGGATGGCGACCGGCGACTGGGCCGCGGCGATGGCGGAGGCCTGGGGAGCAACAGCTCGAGAGGCCGATCGGACGAGGGCAGACTGGTGTGATCTGGCAGCAAACATGGCGTCGATGGGGAGCTGGATGACAGATTGCAGTCGGCAACGGCAGCGCTGGCTTCGGGCGGGTCGACTTGCGCATCGGTTTAAATATCGCTTTTCAAATGTTGATTCCGGCGGGGCTGATACACTCTCGCCGGTGCCTCGCGGGCGTCTCGGCGTGCTCTCTTCTCGCCCGGGTGGCTGCTCGCGGCTGACTAATCCACGTGGTTGGCACTATCCGCCGCACGCGATTGGCCCACGGTTCCGTCCCTGGCGTCATCTCACGTGGCGGCACTGGCTGTCACTCCCGGTTTGCCGCGGATGCAGGCAGGGGGGAAATGTGACACCCCTGTTTTGAGCCATGACAGTGGTTTTTTCTGTGACCTGAATACACACACCCATCCACTCATTGCACTCATGGCCAAACACAGCGCCCTCGATTTCCGCATCTCTGCAGTGCGGTGTGGTACATTCACGCGACTCTCTGGTCTGCTCCATGGTGTCTCGATATCACGATACTCGGCCTTCTCGAGTCGCTTGGCTTCCCGACACTGTGGGCGCACCTGGGATGTATTGAACTCGTTCACCGAGCACACATGGACGTCTATGGTGGCGGATGAACTGCTCAAAGTACTTGGCGAACCCGAGTCTCCTAGGACTGGATGCATATCCCTTCCCTTGCTTCCAGGAGGCATTCCCAAAAGCAGTCACAACCTCAGTCTCCTTGGACATACTTGTTTGGCCATGATGGCAATGAGCGGGTGTATTCAGTTCCCAGAAAAACTACAGTCCTGGCTCAAAACGAGGTGTCCCGTTTCATTCCTGGAACGCTGTAGCCAGTCCATGTTGATGGAGCATCGCTCCGGACGGCCAGTGTTGTCGGGAGGCTGGATGCACCGGACGTGCTGTTTGCTGCATGAGCCGGCTGGCGCCCGCCCAAGAACATCATGCGGCTACTGCCTCGAATCTTTCGGGGCAAAGTACTTGCCACGGAAGCCAGCATGTGCCGGAAGCTGCGCCGTAGCGTCGCCATCGGCAGAGCCTTCACCCGCGTTCTCCGTGCTTCCGATCTTCTCCATGGTGATGAGCCGGCGAGCCCATTTGCCAAAGTTTTGCTCGCTGTTGGCGATCAATCGGAACTGAGGGTGCTGCGGAACATCCTCAGGCTTGTATCTGTGGCATAAAGGTCGACAAATTGCATCAAACAGTGATATCGTTGCTGATCTCCGAGCTACAGGAATTGACTTCAATACCCGCCTCCAAGCCATACGGCCTCCAAGCCATGCGGCCTCCAAGCCATACCACCCACCCTCTCGGCCCAGCTACTTACTCGCTTGTCACTGTGGGCAGCCAGTAGACGAGCCGACCTCCGGGTCTCAGGAATTTCGCTGAGAACTCGACCAGGTCCTCCAGCACATGATGCATCTCGTATGGAACTGTTTGTGGATACCGCGGCTCGCCATTCCTGATGTGAAATCGAGAGAGAATCAGAGTCGAGTCTGATGAAGCTACAGGCTCGCCGGTCCGGCTGTGCCTGTTTCATTGTGGACTGCTATTACGATTGCCACAGCCGGAACGGAGGCAACGTCATCGGTGGCTGCCTCAAATCCCACAGTTCCGCGCACTGTCATACGCTTTGATGGCATCAGCCGTCGGCTTGACCTTGGAGTTGTGTCCAATCTTCTTGGCACCAGCCCGAACGCCGTATGGAGGATCGCACACAATGGCATCCCAAAACTCAGCCTGGCGCCACGGATGGTGTGCTGGATTGGAAGTGAATGTGTTCAGTCCCCAGGGCCTATGAACAGCAGCAGCAGCTTGCATCGCCTCAGGCTCAATTGCAGCTTCTGTCAGTGCACTGGCATACCCATATCCGTCACGATATTGTCGAGAACCCGTCCCTCGAGATTGTACTGCCGAACATTCGAGGATATGCTCTTGTCATCTGGTACACGACATAACGATGGGTTTAGCGGGCAATCCAGACGGAGAGCGTGGTCACTCAAAGGCAAGCACAGAAAAAGCATACTGCTCGATACGTGGCGTGAGCCTGTGCCTGACGCAAGCCTACGTCGCGTTGGATAGACCAACACTCACCCTTGCCGCGGATCTGACGGCCGTCAATATCAGCACCCATTGTGAAGGCCCCAAAGTGGGCACAGGTGAACAGGAAGCTTCCAGTCCCCACAAACGGATCCAGAACGAAGCTTCCGGGCTTGACCTGCACACGAGCAGAGATGAGCGAAAGTTGGGTTATTGGAGCAGCATCGAGATGTCCAACAAAGCCCAAATCAGATGGCAGACCTCGAGGCAAACGCGCCATGCGATCCGGCCGTGCTCTCGATGGTGATATGACGGTCGTAGTATGTGGACATATGGTCTGAAGCTGCGCCCAATAGCGACATCATCGGACAAGACAATCGAGATATCTTGTATCGCCGGCCTGGATAAAGGCACGGCTTTTGCTCACCTGGGCTTGGTTGGCCATGACCAAGGACAGCTCGGCATCCATCGAGGTGATGCCCAGATACTCGCGCTTCTTCAGGTCGTATTTGGAGACCAGTGAACGGTTGCCCGATGACACCAGGACGCCAAAATAGGTCATCAGGGGTGCCTCGGGAGACGGAATGCCATGCAGGGAGTTGTCGCCATAGTCTTCGTAGTATGCAAATGTGACATCTGGGGTCTTGAGATCGATCGGGCCGCGGAAGTCCAAGAAAGCAAAGCGGTTGATCCGCTCCACCTGCACCTTCATTGGGAGAGTGACGCCGAAAGTCTCGACATTGAATTTGAAGGAGACATCCATATAATTCCCCTGATCCGAGAATTAAGTCGCCCAACTGAGTCAGTTCTCTGTTGACGAGCACTACGGTGGAATCGGTACGCTCGAGGATGATATGGCATTCGTATCCAGTCTTGGTTCTGGGAAATGGCTCGGCATGGTGCCACTCTGTCGCCTGTTCAGCCAGCTTGTCGGCCAATTCATCGGATCGCCATCCTCACAGATTGCCCACGAATGCCTTGCGAATCCGGGCAAACAAACAACCGCGGGAACTCACCCATCGATCAGGGTCCGCTTTGACAAGCTCGATCAGTTGATCGAGCGATTCGGCAGCGCCCCAGAGCTCCACGATATCCCTGGGGACAGAGCGGCAGGGACTACATCAGCAAACGAGGAATATCTGTCGCCGCTGCGATCGCTGTATCCAAGGCGAAGACAAGGCACATCCATCGGCGATCGGTCTCCTACTTGATGAGAATCGAGCGCTGGATCAGCTTCCGGGCATCATCCACAGAGTCCAGCTCGATCTTGAGGAAAGGCGACTGTCGCGGCACCATTCGAGCGTGCAAGAGCATTAGAGGGGTATTGCGGTTTGGTTCGTTCGTCAGATACGCCCAAAGAGGCCGACACAAACTGTCCGATCGTCGCACTGCGGCGGAGCGAGACTGGCCTCGAATGGGACAGAGCCGACAACTCGTCTGCGCAACTTACGGATGCAAGATAGTCTCGCGGATCGTAGCTCAGACGAACGTTCTCCAAGGTGGCAAGGGCCTCCAGCTCTACGGAGTGATATAATATGAGCCATCCGGTCGAAGCGCAGGTCACCAATGAAAGTAGTCAAGGGAACAGGGAAGCTTGGCCCGCGGGAGGAATCGGAAAGCAGATCCGAGCGTCGCATCCTGCCATCCGAACAGCGGAGGCGATGATGCACTCACCCGCCAGGCGGAAATCGAGATGGAAATGCGCAAAATGCACCACGAACAGCGGCATTGGTAACGGGGCGACGGGTCGAGTTGCCGAATCGAGATACTGGCTCAAGCGGGCGATGCTCGTCAAGCAGATGATGCAGAGAACCAGATCAAAACCTTTGGAATGGAGCGCAGTGCTTTTTTTGTGGCGCACGTGACGCATGTGTGGCAGTGCCGCCTCTCTGGACCGACATGGACAGGGGTTGCCTCGACGAGCGAACGCTGTCTCGTTTGTTTTTGGATATGCTGTATATTGCAAGCTTGCGACATTGGGCACGCTGGTCCTGGAAATGAGGAGAGTGCGCGAGGCTCCGAGCCCGGCACAGAGTAGTCGGTCTTGGTAGGCTCTTTACAGGAAGGCAACCATCATGACTCCGGCGAGCAGAACGACGGCACCGCCGATCCGCATGGGGCTGATGCGTCGCTTGGGCAGGCCAAACAGCGCAAAGTGGTCGAGTACAAGAGCGGCCGAAATCTGACCACAGACGACGCCGCTCAGAACGGTGGTTGCGCCCAGGTGCGGCGTCAGGATCAGCACCGAGAGCACATAGACGGTTCCAAAGGCGCCGCCGAACCAGGCCCACCAGGAAGCTGCGGGACATTCAATCGATATCGAGTGAACACGGTTAGTTAGTCAGTCCTTCGCACGATCTCCCAGTGCCGACTGCGATTCATTCGTGTGCGTCGGGGATCGATGGGCGAACTAATACCTTTGCGGATCGTCTGGAACTTGAGTGTTCGGCCAAATCGGGTGGTAATTAGGGCACATAGCAGCATGAATGCCGTGCCCGAGGCATATGAGAAGATGCTGGCAAAGGAGCGGCTGCCGGCAACTCCGAGGGCCCCGTTCGAAGCGGCCTGGAGCGAAATGAGGACGCCATTGATGACGGCTGGAATGAACAGGATGGGTGGAATCTGGGGATGAGGAGCGGCCTTGGGCACGGGTTGAGCCTGCTCGGCTTTCTCGGCATCGGCGTCGACATCGGCGTCGGAGAGTGTTTGTCCCGCAGCGACAAGGGCATCGTTCGGGTCTTCGATTTTGATCGATTGGCTGAGGACTTTGACTGGTTGGGCATTCGGGTCACGGTCACTATCGGCATTCGCTGCCGCTGCCTTGGCGTTCGTCTCCTTGGAAAACATGCGCTTTAGGTTGCTCCACTCGGTGGCCAGCACGACGGCAACGACGCCGCCGACAGTGAGCACGACTCCAACGATTCGTCCGGCCGTAGCGCTGCGCTGATGCAGGCCCATGACTCCAAAGTTGTCCATGATAATCGACGAAACCATTTGGCCGAGCACGGAGCAGCCCAGGACCATAGAGGCGCCGAGTCGCGGGACAAGCATCGTTGCTGAAGCGACGTAGCTGCTGCCAAAGATGCCGCCGAGCCACATCCACCAGGGAGCTTCAAGCGACAGTAATGGCAAGTTTCAATCGATAGCCAAGTCGAGATTGAAGTCGTGAGCCCACAGGAAGGTTGAATCGCAGTTTGGGGGGGGGATGAATGGAGCAGCCCGAGGCCCACAGCAAGCCGTGGCGAACAGCGAGTTAGAACATCGATGCTGGGCCAGGAGAGCAATCGGGCGCAAATCGACAGAAGGTGAACATAGCCCAAGAGGCTTGCAATGCAGCGACACCGAGGAGAGCGACATGTCCTCGGCGTTAGTCCCAATGCTTACCATTCTGGATCCAGTCATAGCCCTGCGAACGACCCTCGAAGTCAAAGACCCAGTAGAACAGCACGAGGATGCCGCCCGACAGAAAGTTCCAAAAGGAGCCAAACATGCCTGACTGGGCGACCTTTCCCAGGTTCCCAGTGCACGACGTGCCGGCGGCAAGACCCCAGCCTCCGATGATACAGATGACGATGGTCCAGTCAACGAGCATGGTGTGCGATTGTCAGCCGATGAGGTATGGAAGAAGGATTGAGCGACAGGCTGAGACGACGGCCAATAATAGGGCAACGACCGCGGGGAGGTGGACAGGAGTGCGAGAGGAGTGCAGGACGACGAGGAGGGATGGGGAGGGTGGGCCTCATATAGAAGAGGCAAACGGGCCTGAAGGGAGCCGTCGAATACAAGACCGGCGCTTTTTTTGTCATGGGGCGGAACTGTTTGACAAATCGGAACAATCAGGCTGAAAAGGGGGCGCAGAGTGGCAGGGTGGATGTGCCAGACGGCCAAGCACAGGCACCTATTGGGCAAGCATCCCTGAGAGCCCGCAGGCGTCGTCGGCCCGGCTGTTGGGCTGACAGCGCCCGGGTTGGACTGATGCTGGAGCGATGTCGATGCCGAATTCCTCAGCAGGGCTCGGGGGATTCCGGGAGCGCAGGCTCGATCTCGGGGTATTGCGGAGCATCAACCCTCGGGGCTTCCCGGCAACGGCGCTGGCTCGATCCATGCAGCCACGTGCTGGCCAGCCACGACTGGCTGGACGGCTGGATCCGGGTGCTGCGCTTTTTTTGTTTTTGGTTTGGCTTGGGTTGGGGTTCTTGCTGGGGAGCACCAAGCAGCACCAAGCGCCATCCATCCGCGCAGATCAGCGAACCAGCACCCCGCCCATCAAGCTTCGGCACGCCGCTGACGATGGCTTCCAAAAAGTTCTTCGCGGGCGGTGCCGTATTCGACCCGCTTGCCATCAGCACAATTGAGGACGACGAGGACGTGCCCTTCTACGACGACGATGAGCTGCCTGATGCTGATGAAGGCAATGCTGTCGCCGAGACCGTTTCCAAGCCGACCGAGGCCGTCGAGACAGCAAGGCCCTCCGCTGATGGCAGCGGCGACGACGATGACAGCGAGGAGCGAGAGCTTTCCAAGGAGGAGCGCAAAGCTCTAAAGCGCAAAGCCCGACAGGAGAAACGGCAGCGCAAGCAGCAGGCACAGACCGAGACCAAGGAGGCCAAGGCGACAGGCAAAGTTCCGGCAAAGCCACAGAAGAAGGGCCAGGGCGAAAACGAGATGCAGCTCAACCCGAACTTCCTGTTCCAGGCCGACGGTGGATTCAGTATTGTCGGCCCTGGCCATCCATGGGACTTTACTGCGGCCAAAGCAGCCCTCAAGCTCCAGCAGAAGGTGTGTTCAGCGAGACGGCCAGGGTCGATGGACAGACCAAGTCCGAGGCGCAGATCGGATGGGCGCATCGACGCACGGCTAGATACCGACTGCATACCGGTCATCGAGGTGTGGTGTATGGCGCTCAATTTACAAAACTGACCGTGTTGTATATTCACAGACTGGTCCTGGATACTCAAGTATCGACGACAAGATTGCCAAGGCCCAGCGCCTTGCCAAAGAACGCACAGTCAAGAAACCAAGGGTCTCTGCCGATGCTGCCGATGCCCCTGCAGATTCAGGCGAAGAGCAACTCCAAGGCGATCGTGAGGACGATGACGATAAGGGCAAAGTGGAGCTCGACGATGAAGACGGATTTGACATTGATGGCGAGTTCGAGGCGGGTTCCGACGAGGACGATGAGGAGCCAGATGCCCTCGAAGATGATCTCCAAGGCGAAGACGCGGCAGAGGACGCGGATGAGGACGGCGATGCTGCTCAGGAGGAGGATGGCGAAGACGATATCGATGAGGATGTCGACGAAGACGAAGATGATGAAGATGAAGATGAGGATCTCATCCAGGAAAAGGTTAGCCATCGCCAAGCATTTCCTGTGGTCACGATCAGCAAAGACCATGCGCACCTTGCCCGTGAAGCTGCGCGCTTGTCTAATTGTCGTTCATCCTTCTGCTCGCTCTGGCTGGCGACCATCACGGCCATAATCGTTCGTTGATGTGGCATCAACAAACCAATGTCTGCGCCCATGTTGTCACGGTTAGCGCAAGGCCGAGTTCTTTGCCCAGGATGTGCCGGCTGCGGCAGATGCCAGCGAGATCGAATCGTTCACCCACATGAAGATCTCGCGCCCGATTCTCAAGGGCCTCTCGGCCATGGGCTTCACCAAACCCACAGCCATTCAGGCACGAACGATTCCAGTCGCCATGCAGGGCAGAGATATCTGCGGTGCAGCCGTGACGGGCTCCGGCAAGACTGCCGCCTTTACCATCCCTGTTCTGGAGCGACTGCTCTTTCGCCCAAAGAATATCCCTACCACCCGCGTGCTGATCCTGGTCCCCACCCGTGAGCTTGGCGTCCAATGCCACTCGGTGTGCCAGAACATCGGCAAGTTCACCGATATCCAGTTTTCGCTCTGCGTTGGTAAGTGACCAGGCATGGCACTGATGACCCAACGGTGCGAGCGGGGCTTCGAATGTCCGAACCGAGGGACCACGCTCGCACCCACAGCCTTGGCACTGGGTTCTCACCAGTACCTCGATCCGCCCAGGTGGTCTCTCCACAAAGGTTCAAGAAGTGGAGTTGCGAAAGCGGCCCGACGTCGTCATCGCCACCCCCGGTCGTCTGATCGATCATATCCGGAACTCACAGTCATTCAACTTGGACTCGATCGAGATTCTGATCATCGACGAAGCCGATCGGTACGTGTCTCGCCCTGTGCTCTCTTGAGCAGAACGGCTTCGGATGAAAGTGCTGTCTGCTGATATGACCGACATCTTTCCGCCGTCTCGGCCCTTCCTCCCAACTCACCAGCATCCTCGAAGACGGATTCAAAGACGAGCTGAATGAAATCATTGAAAACACACCCAAGGGCCGGCAAACCATCCTCTTCTCAGCCACCATGACGGACAACGTATGATGTGTTCGATGCAGCGGCGTTAGTGCCTCAGGGCAGGGGTCTCGGTGGTTTGGTCCACTCCGGCGCAACTCGGCCTGACATAGTTCAGTCTTATCGATCTCGGTGGATCATGTACCATACGTCCTGTACCTAATGCTTTCCTATCGTCTCCAGGTTGACGATCTCGTGAAGCTCTCCCTCAACAAGCCCCTCCGGCTCTTTGTTGACCACAACCAGTCGATTGCCAAAAAGCTCGTCCAGGAGTTCATCCGTGTCCGCTCGCACAAGGAAGACTCGCGCCCCGCTATCTTGGTTGCGCTGTGCCGCCGCACATACAAATCCGAGGTCATCATTTTCTTCCGGAGCAAGGCTGCCGCGCATCATATGAAGATCGTCTTTGGACTGCTTGGACTGAAGGCAGCGGAACTCCATGGCAACCTCACCCAGTTGCAGGTCGGTACCTCTGTATGCCGAGTATTGGGGAGTGCGTGTGTTGCCATCACTTGTCTAGGACGCTCTGCCACGGATGATGTCTAATATCTCGATCGCTACAGCGCCTGGAAGCCTTGGAGGCCTTCCGTGATCACCAAGTGGATTTTTTGCTCGCAACCGATCTCGCCTCGAGAGGTCTCGACATTGCCGGCATCAAGACAGTCATCAACTACGATATGCCCAAGATCTATGCCCAGTATGTCCATCGCGTCGGCCGAACAGCCCGTGGCGAGCAAGGCGGCCGGGCGGTATCCCTTGTAGGCGAGGCCGATCGCAAGGTGCTCAAGATGGCCGTCAAGAACTCCCAGGATCAAGTCAAGCACCGTGTCATCCCGCCGTCCGTGGTTGCAAAGTTTGAGAAGAAAGTCCTCGCCCTCACGGACACCATCAAAGACATTTACCGTCAGGAGAAGGAAGAAAAGGAGCTGCGACAGGCTGACATGGAGATGGCCAAGGCCGAAAATATGATCAAGTACGAAGACGAGATCCGCAGCCGGCCTGCCAAGACATGGTTCCAGACAGAGCAGGAGAGGACAAATGCCCGAGGTAAGCCAGCTGCGTTGGTATCAAAGCGAGCATAGACTCGTGAGTTTGCCCCAGAAACCGACTGTATTCTGCATCCATGTCCCAGATGCACTGGCCAAGGCACATAGCGAGAAATACGGCACCAAGAGAAAAGCTGACGACGAGGTAGGACTACGCTACGGCGAGCCATGACTTTGGTATCGAGCCCTGGATGCGCTTCAGCGAATAGCCAGACATCCCAGTTTGAATGTCGAGGGTCGGTGCGTGGCGCCGCCCCGGTGTCGTCGCACTCATCAGCAACGGCCTGACCCGTCTTGGCCCTCCTTCAGGATAAGCCACAGCGCGGCAAGTTCGACGGTCTCTCGCGCCACCAGAAGCGAACTCGGCTTGCGCGCGAGGAGGATGCCAAGGAACTGGGTGCCCAAAAAGCGGCCGCTCGATCAGCGAAACGAGGCCAGAGACAGCCACGCCTGCATGCCATCTCCGAGGGCTCTGCGAGTAAAGCTGGGCCGGCTGCTAAAAAGAAGAAAGCCGATATCTTTGGCGACGAAATGAAGAAGGCATCGGCTGGAAAGAAGTCTGGCAGCGGACGCAAGACCAGCAGCAGCGCGGCATCGACCAAGAGCGATGCTCGAGCCAAGCCCAGGCTCGGCAAAATCAAGTCCAAAAACGCATTCAAGAGCAAGTCCCGGTACAAGCGACGATAGTCTCTCGGCCACTGGTCACTTTGCTCGAGAGAAGCTGCTCTCGGCTCATAATACTCAATGGCAATACAGATCCACCTCCCGGCACATTCCCGCCTGCACCATCGAACCCTTGCCCCATAGACTATCCCAAGGCACTCTTTCACAGTATCCAGGGCCGCACAAAGTGGATTGTGCCCAATCGCGATGAAAAGCAGACTGCGATATGCCAATGCGAACTCATGTGGGAAGCGCCATTGATTGAAGCATATGTATTCATGGGATGGAGCGCGGCGTCTGACTTGCTTCCCAAGAAGCACCGCATTTTGCCCTGCCCTCTGCTGGGGATGCTTGCCCTCCTGCGATTTGCAGCGGGCGCTGATCAGTCGGCTTCTATACGAGCGGGCTCTTTGGTAGATTGGTTTTGCCCTCCAAGCCAGACGAGGGCCGCGACTTGCTCCCAGAGATCATGAGATCCTAGATGTCCACCGCAGGTTGTTGTCGGAAGCGGATATGTTGTTACCATGTGCCCAGTGCGTTTGATGGCCGTCGCAGGAACAAAAGAGAGGAGAGCATGGACGAAGGCAGCTGTTAATTCCCAGCATCGATTGGTCCAGTGCCTCGAGCAAGACTGGTGAGCGACTCGGAGCCCTCAAGTACCTCAAGCTGGAGCACTGCCGAGCCCGGAATAGGGATGCCCTGGGCTTCCAGCGCTTGCATAAACGATTCAAATGTGACGTGGCCGTCGACAGGCAGCCCAGCGTCTTCCAGGACTTTGTTAAGGAACTCGAGCGAAATGATGTCGTCGATGCTCTGGTCGGTACCGAATCTGTTGGTGGTATCGACGAGATAGAACTGAGAGTGGAGGGCCTAAAGTCCCGAAGGATGTGAGCGGAGCTGATCGCAGCTGATGTGCGGCCGAGTGGCTGGCTTGGCATCACCAAGACATACCTTGTAGAGCTGGGCCATCGTGATTCCGCTGTCTTCTTGGTCGGCCTGGAGGGCAAAGAGCTTTTGCAAAGCCACTTTGGGATTCTCGTCCGAACACGCCATCAACAGGAACGAGTCCACATCGAACACCAACGCAGGATCGTCTGGAAGCCTGTCGTGCTCGCCCAAGATAGCGGCGCCCCGGAACTTTCTTGGAGCCCCTGGCGCAACAGCATCAACCTGCGGCGAGTCGCTCGAAGGGGCATTCTCAAGTTTAAAAAGCTCCCCATCATCGGTAGGCTGCTGTTGTTGCTGTTGTTGCTGTTGTTGCTGTTGTTGCTGTTGCTGCTGCTGCTGTTGCTGTTGTTGTTGTTGTTGTTCTTCGCTCGGCTTCTCGGGCATGCTTTCCTCGGGCTCTAGCGGCAAACTGGTGTCTACCGGAGCGGCTGATGGGCTCGGCTCGGCTACAGCAGGCGTGCTGAAAAAGTCTATCGTCCCGCGACATTCAATCTCGATCAGCGTCCGTTCATATGGCGGTCGCTTCCGACCTCGGACAGCCAAGCTCAACACCGCCGCAGTTACAGCCGCAACTCACAGAATAGCGCATGCTTGAGCTTGGAGGGGCGATTGAACTTGGCAGTTGTGCCATCGTCTGCAGCGAGCGGGTCGTCGGATTCGTCCTCGAACCAAAGTGGTGTCTTCATAAAATCATCTTTACTGACCTAGATATACGTACGAGGATATTTAAGCATCGCACCGGACCAAAAACACCCGCAGTCATCGGCATGATTCGAGCCTTCAGAGGCTGCCCCTACCTTTCCGTCTGCAAAGGACGAGCACAATCGGTAAGTCGTGCGCAAATATATGAGCTGGTAGACCGCAGGAATGGGCAGGATTCTGGCGTTGCAGATCAAGAACTTTCTCCAGTTGACATATCCAGTCTGATACGGATCCAACAAAACGGCAACCTAATGTTCGCCCGTGCTGACGGTTAGCGACTGAGATGAAGCCATATCGTTCGAGACGAATAGCGTGCAGACCATCCACAATACGTCAGAAGGATCAATCTTTAGACTCTCCATATGCCAATGGCCCACCTGCTGGAGCTGCGCCATGTCGGCCGAGAGATAGTACTCTGGAAGGATGTCCATTCCAACCTGGGGCACATGGAATCATGAATTAGTACCGCGGCGATAGCGCATTTTGTCGATAACGAGCAGAGGCGTTTGCCGTGATCTCCCCCGTTTTGAGAAAGCTTTGGAGCGATCAGACGATTCAAGCCCGGGCTGGAAAGAATGGGGACGCACCGAAATCATCGCAAGTCGCTGGATGCCGTCGACAAACTCTTTGCAGCTGACAAAGCCTCCTGGGCCAAGCTCATAAAACTGCAAGCACAGGTTGAGCAGCTGTAGGACCGTAAACTGGTCAGGCACTAGACGAGAGAACACAGCAGATTAGTCGTGACTCGTTTCTGCAGCTCGGCGAGCAGACAGAGCATCATAGTGTCCTTGGACGATACGCACGCGGCTTCTCGACCGGGCTCTCGGGTCGGGGCTCAGGTTCGGGTTCGTATGTCATGACGTTGTAGTCGACCTTGAACTTTTCGCCTTCCAGAACGAGCTCGTTGGGCAGGCGACTCTCTGACTCGATTGCATCCTTGATAACAACGAGCATCTCCTTGATGGCATCCATCTCGGCCTGGAAACGCATTCCAATCCATTCGTCGAGCAGACTGTACACCTCGATTCCTTTGTTGCGGAGCTCCTACATGCACAGTGTGCCGCAACAGTGGTGAGCTGGAATCAGCGGATGCTGCCAAGCAGCAGCGACACACCTTTGAGCCGCACAAGTCCCGTGCGCACGAGAAAAACCGATGCGTGCCCACATACCTTCAGATGGTCGCTGGCATGTTGCTTGATGCGATCCATTTTTTTGTGAAATATTGCGTCCTCGATATCAAAGATCTTTTGGATATCTGACGAGAGCTCGGGCTCGGGTTCGACTGAAGCGGTATCCGGAGCACGGACGTGGGCGATCAATAAGTGTCAGAGCAACGACCGGGGTGGCTTCGAGGCGTCGCACCTCTTGCATGAAGCTTCTGCACCCATCCATGCGCTCCTACCTTTCTGGTCGGGCGAGTCTGCGGCTGCCGGTTTCTTCTTGTCGATCTTTTTGTTGCTTTCCTCCTTGGCGCTGTCGTCGTGGTGCGAGAGAGCCGTCATCGCCATCTCAATTGCGTTCTGGATATCAGAGAAGAGACCGACGTCGGCATCGCCAGGGGCGTGGTCCTTATCGACGTGCTTGGCGTCGACGGCCTTGGATGCTGTGCTCGGTGCCAATTTCTTGGAGGTCGAAGAGTTGGGCGGTGCTGCGGCGACGCTGAGGTTTTTTCCCCCTTTTCCTCCGGCACCTGTACTCACGCCACCGGCAGCCGAGGCGCTGGTGGCCTCCCGCTTGTGCGATTTTTGGAGATTGTCCGATGACGTTGAAATCAGCGCTGAGCCAATGTCGATCGGAGGCTGAGAGCTCAGACTCAACATGGGGATCTTGATGGGTGCCTTGGTCGATTCGGACAAGGTCTGATGATCGAGAGGCACAGATGGTCCATCAACTCCTTCAGCAAGCCGCCCGCTTTGTCCTGTCAACCACCGAGCAACTCTGATATTGCATCGTACACTTCACGACCAGCACTGCCACACGCATGTAACTCACCATGGCGGTGCTGTCTCGGTAGTAGTCGAGCACAAGTTGGCGTGTCCCGCAGAATCGGTCCACTTCGGCTTGGATGATGGTGATGTAAATGTTGGTCATGATTGCAAAGTGGTCCTCGACCCATTTGTCCTCGATGATCATCAGCCGCTCGGCCTCGGCCTCGTCCTTCCGCGTATCGCTGATGTCCCAGAGTTTCTCGCGCAGGTCCTCGGCACGCTGGTGAATCTCAGCTTTGGCATCCAGGTCTGACCGCAAGTCGTCTTCGATTTGGTTGTATTCGGTCTGAAAGAGCTGAACCAAGGACTGCTTCCGATCGGGTCTTTCCAGGAAGGCCTTGAAGTCAACTTTGCACTTGTAAAAGTGGCGAATCATAGCCTCGCGCTCGCGCCGCAAGGATCGGAAGGCAAACTTGAGGGCATCCGTATATGTGCTCTCTAGTGTTGACCATTCTGGAATGGGTTTTGGATAATCAGATCGCCAAATCGTCAGAAAGGGCTGAAGAGCACATCGATACAGCGGAGAGGACAGGCACAGCGCCATCGAGATACTTACGGTCTGCTAGGACCTCTGCAAACTCCTTTGATGGCATTTTCTTGCCTTCTGCTGTCGTTGGCCGCGAGATCACCGGGAGAATCGGATCGGGGATGTTCTCCAATATCGCCAAGGGCTCTGGACCCGATGTTCCGGGTGTCTGCACCCGCTTGCCCTCTGTGCCCATGTCGAGAACCCAGCGTCAGCGCGTTCTCCGAAAGTATGCGCCGAGTCGTTGCTGCAGCCACTCACCTTTGTCTTTGTCTTTGGAGGCACTGGAGATGCGACCCTTGTCGTTCGGTGCGCTGCCACCTCTCGAGCCCGACTTGGCGCCTGCGCTGGGCGCACGTCCCTTGCCCGAAGCGGGCTTGCCGTCCTTGGACTTTTTGTCGTCGTCTCTCTTCTTGTTATCGGCGGACTCGGTGTTGGTTTGTTTCGCATCAGGCGCCTCTTCGCTCGGTGCCACTTCTGCTTCTTCTGGATATCAAAGCACAGAGTCCGCGGCGTTATTCGGGGTCAAGGGCATCTCGGTCAATCGGTTCGTCATACCTTCTTCCTTGATGCACTCGGCTTTCTTCTGTTCGGCCTGCCGCTCCAGCTCCTTGTCTCTCTCTTCCTTCTCCTTTTCTTTGCGCTTGATCAGTTCCGCAGTGTACGCATTGACGTCGGCAAACGCCATGTCGAGGTCCTTCGCTGCATCGATATTCTGGGGATTGGTCGCTACTTAAGCAAGTATCCTCATCCGCACGCTCACACATCCACGCCGGTCAAAGCGAGGATATTCCAGTCGTATTCTGTCAAACCTACATGGAGATTGTTAAATCGCGAGAACCAATCTTTGAGCAGCTCCTCCTGTTCCTCGAATGCTGCGATCTGGTACTGCAACTGTGTGTCGCTGTTTCCCTCGCTCTCGGACACAAAGAGTCTGTCGTACGTTCCCTGATAGAGAGACCAAGAGTTTGTCGTCAGTTTTTCGCAGAATCGATCAAGAGACAACCCAGCAATATTAACAGATTCACACATTTGCACAATGTCAGCTTGGCGGGGCTGGGCTGGGTACATGCGACAAAATGGTCGACAACAACCAAGGAATCGCTCCGGAAGCGCAAAGCCGATTCGCGATAGTTCCATCGAGAGACCGAAATACGCAACCAGAAGACTTTGGTGACACCGTCAAGGTTCCCACGACTACTATCGATAGGGCCATGATACGGCGGTACCCAGGAATGGACAGCGTTGCTTACCGGATTGTTCACCGGAGGCGCATTCAACTCGAGATGGTAGTTATCCCCCGTTATGGTGTCCACCCGTCGGCCGGCCATGCGCTTGAACGATGTTTCGTTGTCGATGTCAAGCAACAGGACGGCATCGATGCCGCTCACTGCTGCTGGCAGCTTGGTCTCGATCTTGTTGTCCGTCAAAGGCGCAATCATGGAGCGTCGGCGATCCTCCTTGTCGCCCTTGGACTTGGCTTCCTTTTCTTTCTCCTTTGTCTTTTCCTTTGGCGTTCGCTTGAGGTTGCCCAGCTTGACTGGCTTGGGATCCTCATAGCTACATGCCATGGAGAGTTTGGCGTAGGTAAGTCTCTGGAGGTCACAGTTTGCTTTGTCTCATCGTGCTATCCACCCTCGATGCTTAGAAGGAACCCTACCCAGAGAGCTCCTTCTCGAGAAGCTGTGCCTGATTGCGATTTGCGGGAAAGTCCACCAAGACCCAGCCACCAGAGGAAATCGGATTATCGTCGCTCGGAGTGGCCTTGCGGATAGCATCAACCACAAGGGAGACCACAAGATTGTCATCCGCCGTCCCGCCCTCGAGCATCGAGAGCTGTAGCTTGGCCCCAATCTGGCCCTTGGAGGCCGCTGGCTTCTTGCCGCCTTTTCGATCCATACTGCTCAAGGGTCTCGGTTTGTCGCTGACATCGGCCAGGCTGAAACACGAACCGGCACTGTGAGCATGCATCGCCGGACTCATGGGAAGCGGCACAAACCCGCCGAACAGCACGGAGTGCTCTGTAGTCACTCTCCATAGCCTCTGAAAATTCCACCTGCATGGAAGCCACTCGAAAGCAAATCATACCGAATGGCCTCTTGGACCAGCTCGTCAACCAGCAACACCTTGAGCGAGTAAATGGAGGCTAGTTTGCGGGCCATTGTGTGCTTGCCAGCAAACGGCTTTCCCAACAGAGCAAGACGGATGGGCACAAGTGGCAAGATTGGGGTTTCGTTGGTCGGCTCGGGGGCCATCGTGCTTTCCAAGATATTGTTGACCAGTACGGCGAGAAGCTCGTTGCTGATTTTTGCGTTTTCGGCGCTATGTCCATTCGGCCGCACAAACGTCAGTCGCAAATAATCCCGCTTGCCGTGTGCCCCACATTGCCCGTGAGCGAGAACGAATACCTTTCTGAGATCGGGAACATCCAGTCGCCCTCGCCATGGAGATAGTCAGTAAACTCTTGTTCGTCCAGGATCTGGACACCCTTGATAATGTCCGGATCCACATCGCCACCAATATCCGTGGTGCTGACGGTGGGGAGCTCGATCGATGGAATCTCGTTCGCCATCGTCTGTGTGGGTTCCTGGATGCTGATCCTGTCCACTTCGATGACGATTTCATATCGATTCTGGACCGGCTGGCTCGATAGGAACAAAGTCTTCCACTCCCGAAGCAGCTTTTTTGGGAGTTCGTTGCGGTCGTTGTAGGTTCGGTACTCGGAGATCTGGATTTCGGCACGTCGCCAACAGAGTGTGATCAGCAATCGGTTACATCGTTCAGGATGTGTCAAGTACGGGTGTTATATGTCAGCAACTCGGCCACCAGATAGAGCTGCTTATACGATGGCGCCACATGCTTGAGAGCGCATTCTGTGAAATATGGGGCGATACATCAAGCAGAACATACCCTGACGGACAGGTCGACGATCTGGTTCACGATCTCGAGACAAATCATCGTATTTTTCCGATGCTTCTTCTCTGCCTTCATGTTGAGGATGCTCTTGTGCTGCTCGAGCTGCAGCGCCGTTTGGCGGTTATACTCCTGTCGTGCCAGCTCGGCAAGCTCGTACTCACGCTCAAGAGCGAGCTCATAGTCCCGCTGGCGCCGTTCAGCGTACTGGTTCTCGCGGAATATGCGGTTGTTCTTCATCACTTCCTTTTCATGCCGAACACACATCAATCTATGGATAAATCATCCGAGTCAGCTTTGCCTATACCTCGAAGGAGCCTGTGGAGATCCATGGCTCGATCAGTGCTGCAGACAAGGGCCCCGTCGATAGCTAGCCGGACGCACTACGTACTGCTCAGCAATCCTCCTCTCTTGCTTTGACTGACGCATCAGACTCGACAGGATGATTTGCTCAATCTGGGTCTTCTCGATATCTTCTTGAATCTTTTGCTGGTTGAGAAGGACCCGGCGACGGCGCTGCTCGCGATCCTTCTTGGCCACCTGTTCCTCGAGCTTCTTGATCTATGTGGTGGTGTGGAGAGTCTCGGCTCAGTAGGCGGGAGGATCATTTGCAGCGCAATATGTGTTTCGCGATTCGCCACTTACACGGATCTTTTCGAGATAGGCCTGGCTTTTGAGCTCGCTAGCATCGCTCGAGGGTAGCAGGCTGGCTAGAGTCTTCATGTGGATGGATGGCTCCATGCTTGCTTTGAGCGAAATGAACTTTGAGATGTCATGGGAGTCACCCGGGGTCTCGGGTCTCGACGACTCGCCATTCTCTATTCCGGCGACATCGGCCGTCTCGACAAGCGCGGCCGGATCTTTGGGCTTGTACATGTGCTGCAGCTCGAACCGGTCAATGTCCCGCTGGATGGCCCCCATCAAATGCGCACGCCGTGCCTGGAAGGAAAGGCTCACAGTCAGCGACAAGAGTAGTCCGGGAGCCGCTCCCTGGGCCTCCAAAATCATTCAAACCGCAGTGTAATCAAATGAATGCAGATGACTCTGGCTCAAGACTGCCGCCATGACAGCAGACCATGGCGGTTCGGGAGATCAACAATGGGTACCTGTGCGATCTCGGCATCGCGCTTGATTTTGGCCTCAGCACGCGCACGCTCCGAGAGCTCAAACAGAGTCGTCGGCGATGTGCCCACAGGTTTGATGGCCTTGACCGGGAGGGCCGGGATCTCATCGTCGGCCACCGTCGCAGCCGGCCGGGGTGACTTGCGGCCCTTGTGGGTGTTCTCCTTGATGACGAGCAGAGGCTTCTTGATCCGAGTTGGCTGTTCGCGAGGCGTTCGTGCCGTCAAGACGTCCTGCCCGCAGATCACATCGTCAGGGAAAGTAATCCATATTCGTGTCCGCGTTTCTTGGAGAGCTTGTGCCAGGGAAGTAACGAGCACCGCTTAAGCAAACTCACCTTGGACTTGGGCTTGAGTTTGTAGCCCGCGCGGTCGCAGTTCCGCAGCTTGGACCGCAGCATTTCGGCGAAAAACTCGTGCTCCTTTTCGTTGTAGAGTCGCTTTGGATGGGGCTCAGGATAGACGCTGGTTGGCACGCCGGTATCTGCGGGTCGCAGCGATCAACATGATGCTCGGTCTCTCGCGCGTTCCCACGGGTGCTCCTGGCTCCGATGTCTTCGCCCAGCCGCTCCTGCTTTGGATGTGCAAGGAGCCGCATGCTTGCAGACCCTCCATGCCACATAGGGCCATCTTATCCCCAGACAGCTGCCGCACCCGCAAAACGCATGAGCAATGGCACGCCGCGCTCGTATCCGCTGCCGGCAGTGCTTACCCTGTGGACTGGACGGGTAGGAAGCCTCGGCAATATCGGCATCCAACGGCGACATGAAATACCCCGAGTCGACGTGCCCGTCGACGGCCGACGAGGCCTTGGCCTTGCTTGCAGCGAGGCTGCTGCGACGAACCGCATCGGGATGCGCCTTGTATCGCGAAAGCGCAACCTTGATCTGGTAGAGCAGTTTCGCAGCGCATCCGGGCTTGGCCTGGATGAGATCGTATGCCTCGTTCGAGGACAGATGGATGTCGAGTTTCTCACGCAGGGCCTTCTCGAGGAGGGTAAAGTTCTTGATGGACGACTCGACCGAGTACGTCGAGGAGAACTGATTGTTGAGTTCGATGAGATCGAACCGGTTGAGCAGCTCGGCCAGAAGATACCCCGAGCAGAATGCGTCGTCGAGCCCGGTCGGCGAGACCTGCACGGACAGCCTGATGTCCGAGTTGAGCCACCGAGACAGCAGATGCGACATGACGTTGAACGCTCGCGGATGCGACGAACAGTGCGAGCGACGGTGCGGGTGACGGTGCGAAAACGATGGCGAAAACGATGGCGATGGCGATGATGGCGATGGCGATGAACGAAGACGGGCGAGCGCCGGCGGCTATCCTGCAGCCGCTTACGCTTGGGCATTTGCCGCCCAGGCACTACCGGGCCACATCGCTCCTGTGCCGGAATCAAGCATCCCTGCCAGAGAAGATCGGCGACACAACTGAGCGAGGCGACGAGACCCGGGCCGTCGTCTGCGAGCTGCCTCTCGCCCTGCAGACGCCCAAAGGCTCCGCGACGATGCCGAGCATATCGGCCGGCGGTCGTTCGCCGGACGACACCCAGAGCGCATGATGGCCCAGCGGGCGGTCGGGCGGGCAGGTCTCGGATCTCGGGACTTGGTCGTCGCGCCTGGGCGGATTTTGCGTTTGTTGTCCTGGGGCGCCTGCTGGATCGATCTGCCTGCGTTTGCGCTCATCTCCCCGCCGCTTTGACCTGCCAGCAAGATCCAGGCCGATTGAAACGACACTAGCCCCATTGCCACACGCACATCAGCATCAACGAGAATCTTATCCATCCTCGCCCGAACCCGAGACGGAACCCGAACCCGAACCCGAACCCGCTACGCATCGCTCACCCCCCAACCCCCGGCCATGTCGATTCCTCGCTCGTTTCGGCGGCACATTGCACCGCTATCGTTCTTTGGCACGATGGGCATCGGTATATGGTACTACATCTACTCCCGGTCGGTGAACTCGCAGCTGGTCGGCTCGACCTTCTTCAAGGGCGTTCTCTTTGCCGTTCAGAATGATCCCCGGGCCATCGAGTTGCTCGGCTCCAACATCCGCTTCGATCCCGCAGTGGCCCCTGCGAAAGGCTTTGCCAACACCCTGAAGGGAAGAGCCGAGATGACCTTCCCCATCGTCGGCAACAACGACATTGTCGCCACCGTCAACTTCAAAGGTACCCAGCTCAAGGACATTGTGACCTCCGAGGTCTTCACCGTCACAACCAAGGAGGGCGTCGTCGTGGATCTGCACTGAGATGGCTGTATTTTCCACCCAGCCCGGCTCGCACGAGATGCGGCCTGGATGTCCTTGGCTCGCCAAGCCAATATAACGACGACTCTGATGTCGCATGTATCAGAGCGGTCTGATCAGTCAGATGCGAATGAACGTAGACGCCCCAAAGGCGGCGAGCAGCATTCAGCACAGCGAGATCAGGCACTTCAGAGCGAAAGATATCGCCCTCGGCCCCATGTGGCACCGACAGAGTCCTCAGTACTCCCTATGATGCCAGGGGGAGCATGCATGAGCATGCAAGACAGAGTCAGTCTCGGTATATGCGTCATCGCCGCCCGAATCCGGTGAGAATGCTCGTCACTTACCATGCGTGCGCCATGTATTTCCTGAACGGCCGGCCAAGATTCAAAAGAAACAGCTCAGTTAGATCAGGAGCACGCGAACTGTCGGCATGGTTCTTTGCAAGAGGCGTAGGAAAGCATCGCAGGAAAGCATCGCAGCCGGGCCCACCCCTCCGAACGGAGATAGCACATACTGGACGGCCAGAAGGGCCTGGTAGCGCACATCTTGGTTCTCGTGCGCCATGAGCTCCATGATCTGTGTCTTGGCGCCGATCTCCTGCACATGCCTAGAAAAGAGACCGAGGCAAACACATCAAGATTCGACCGCTGTCAGTGCTGTCGGACAGCAGGGGTTGCAGGCGACGCATTCTTACCTCTTGCCGTTGGTCGCATACTTGACATACTGGCCGATATCGTGCGCGGCGACAGCAAGGACGACCGGATTGGCAGATGTAGCGAGCAGCCTCGAAAGCATTCTATAGTGATGATGCCCCGCCCCGCAGTACACAGGTCAAGGTGTCAGACAGGGCGATCGGTTCCCAAGCCTTGTCATCGTGGTATCCACGGCGGAACCAGGATTGGTCATTCAAAGGGCGGTGCAGTCCAAGAGCAGTCCACCAACAGCTGCCAACCATTCATCCGCAAAGGTACCTCAGGAGTTCAAAGTCCTTGTCGTTCAGTCGCGATGCGTTTTGCTTCCAGAACTGCTCCGAAATATGGGGGGGCGACCAGCTCAGGGCCCCCGATCGCACCTCGGCAGAGTACTCGTCAAAGGTGCTGAGGTTGGCGACGTTGGTCTGAAGCTTTTCCTTGATAAACTCCAGATCGTCGGCAATCTCGGTGTCCGACCACTTGCGCGAGCTGAGGGTCTCAGAGAGATTGAGCACCTTGTGGGCCAGCATGGCCATCAAGTTCTCCTCCGGTGCCTTGACAAGCAGATTCTAAGGGAATCCAAAGTGGAGTGAGGACCCAGCGTAAGCGCGGGCTCGATGGGGCACGGCCGCGACAACAGATATCGAATCCATTCAGGACTATCACTCGGGTATGGCGCTCTTCGAGAGCCAGTCACTGTCCGTATACATACCACAAACGTGGAGATGACGACTCGGACAACCTTTTCCTTGATGGCACTCTTGGCAATATCAATCATGACGGGCACAATGTCATGCTTTCTGTATGAGTGCCAAGAGCAGCAACACAGCAGAGCAGAGCGGAGCAGCGTCAGCACCCATGATCCACCGAATAAGCTTGCTCCCCGCATCGACTCAAGTCGTGAATGCGTCCGCTTATCGGCCCCCTGGCTGTGGCCTCGGTTATTGCCCTCACAGCTGGCCGTATCCATGACTGGCAGATCCTCTGACCTGTCGATTCGACATACTTTGGAAGCTACACACACCGTCCAGCACCAGGAGCCCGGCGCTCCAGGTGCACTCAGCTGGAAACCGTGCCTACCTCTGGATCTCCGCGGCGACATCTTCGTCAAAGGACAACAGCCAGAAGTTGTAAATGACTTGATACTGCATCTGCGCACTGGGGTTGCCTCGCTTCAAGATGTCGACCAGGCTATGTTGTCGAAAAGAGTCGAACGGCAAGTCGCATGGGGTCGAGAGAGCGGGTTTGGGTCGGATGGGACCGGCCGTGAGTTAGCACCACAAAACAGCAGCACAGTCGGCCGGGCTAAACAATAACATTGGAACGTGCGCCGACACAACACGGCCGAGAAATAGTCGCGACGGCTTGCCTGCTAACACCACGCTGGGTCTGGAAGAACAGAGGCCGGTAGTTGACAATTGAGAGGAGCGACTGGACCAGTTGCACAGCAATGTCGACGACGTTCTGGTTGGGCGCGCTCATCTGGTTGATAGTCCACGCGAACAGTTCCGACGGATCGTACTTGACGGGCGTCGTTTGCTCACTGCGGAGCCACATATACAAAGATTTTTCAGTGCTATCCTTGCAGCGCTCTGGCGCCCAGCAATCCTCGCAGTGGCGGTCCGCCAATATGGGAGTTTGAACGAATTCAACTCACAGCAGCAAGAACGTTGCAATCTTGGCAGCCTTCAGCTGGAGATACTCGTCGTCCTTCTTGAGGAGTCTATCGATATTGTTCGCCGAGTTCGGCATGAGAGCCCGCATCTGGTGCAGCTCCGCATGACGCAACGGAGGGTGCGGGTTGGTGGCCATCACACTTACTTGACAAAGGGAGCGTACGGCAGATTCGAGTCATTGGCCTGCTCTGCAATCTTGAAGAAGATCGATGCTCGCTCGCTATCCTCTGAGGAGATCGTAGGTAACGTGGCGAAGACAGGGTCGCGAAATGAGACTTCCCAGCTTCGCGGCCAGATTAGCACGATATGTGCCTTGGATCGCTCGCGAATACAACTCACTCTGAAGCATATCGTCGATGATCACCAGAATGTTCTGGATGGTGTCGGTGCGCACGAGCTTCTGCAACAGGTTCAAGAAAAGCAGCACATAGCGCTCGCCGGCCTGGATTCGGGCGGGGTATGGATTGGCATCGCGTATCCGGCCAGGAGATCGAGTCCGAGACAGTCGTTAGCCACTTGTTCGCCCCCATAAAAACCATCCACGGGTCACCACAGGCATGGCAAGCATCGGATAGCCGCCATCGGTGCGAAGGTGTGAATCAGGTGTGATGGCATGCATCAACAGAAGGGCATAACGGCTGTGGGGCAGAGGACGGATGCGGTGATCATTTGGAACAAGAGCCGAGGCCACACGATTGTCCCGGATGAGGTTTCGGATGCAAATCCATAACATCCGCGAAATATCGAGCAGCTTCCATAGAGCCACGCGCCCGCAAGTACCGAGGGACTGCAGCACCTGAACCACCTGAACCTGAACCACCCATGCGCTGCTGCCAGTGGAATCGTAGAATGCGACGGCGTGGATTGATGCGCACCTCGGCAAGGGCTTTATCGGGGTTCTTCTCGTACTGCCGGATCTGCATCAACTCGTCCTCAGTGATCAAGGATGCGCGTTGGTATCCCTGTGGGCCGGAGTGTCGGGTGCGAGACACATGCCAGAGCGCCGTCGAGAAGGAGGTATAGGTCAGGCATCTGGCAGCATGTTCGGGCGAACCCATCGAAAGGCACTCGGGGAGGACTCGTTGCCACGACCGCCTTCTGATATTCGAGGGCAGCCCAGGCCCTTGCGATGCAGTGGCTGTGTCGACGTGATGCACACACGATGCAGCATCGACTGATATACCTCCCAGGGGATAACTCTGGCTCGGATAGCCAGTGTCTGCTCGTCCATGTGGCTGTTGTGAGAAGCCACGATGGGCGCGATGATCGACACATCGGCGTCGTCCGCGTTTGCCATTTGTGCGGGAGTGCCGGGGCAACAGCGTCAAAAAAAAAACGGGATGCAAAAAAAAGGACCGGCCTGGACCAGCGTGTGTTTGGCGGTGTTGTCCTGCGCTCGGATTCCAGAGGAAGCAGTCTGCAAGCCGGCGCACAGAGGCAGATGGGGCCTGGGTGGTGGTCGTTGATGCCGGCAAAAGGCGGAGGGCGAGCTTGTGCAAGCAAGTGGGTTGCGCGAGGACGCAGACAGAGGAGCCGGATCCAGCCGCGGATCCAGCCGCGGATCGAGCCACAGATCCAGCCGGGCACGTGATGTGATATATAACCCGCGCTGCTCTGCCGCTGCTTGGCCAAACAGCGCACCCTCGATCGTCGCCCAGACCCCGACACCAGACCGAGCATGGCCGACCAGCGCGATCAGCCGAGAGCCTCCGGCAGCCGAGGGCCCCACAGAGATATCCCGCCCTCGAGCAGCTCCGGCCGGACCAAGGACGCCGACTCCACTCGCCGCGACCACCAAGACACCGTCGACGAAGCGGCCTCAGCCAGAGCCGAGCCAGCTTCGGAACGAAGCGAGGACGAAGATGGCTACGAGGTTGAGGCAATCTTGGACGAGAAGAAAGACAAGCACGGGCGGACTCTATACTACATTAAATGGGTGAGTCCGATCGGGATGCGTCTCGAGATCCCATCGTCCATCGACACGAGTGTCGGTGTTCCTCCAGACGGCCCAGATCGGCAGGCCCGATTGGTAGTCGCGGGCCAAGGCTCCTCCCATTGCTCACAAACAGGAGTCCTGGGTATGTGGTGGAGATCAAGTGTGTTGCTCATGCTGAAGACCCTATTCGTGTCTTCATTGGTTTGCAGAAAGGATGGGACGAGTCGTGGAACGAGTGGATTCCCCACGAAGACACATCCTGTCCCGAGCTGATCGCGGAATTCAGGCGCTCCAAGCTCAAGAAGCGCAAAAAAGAGAAAAAACTAAAGAGCGAAGACAGCCAAACCCCGCGCAAACGTCGGACACCCGATAATGCCGCTGAGGAGCAAGAAGACACCGCGGGTTCGTCCCGGGCCAGCAACGGCGCAACCCAGCAAGCCTCCAAGTCAAAGCCTTCTGCTGCGATTGTCAATCGCTGCCGCAATCCGCCCGATGAAGAGACGATGGCTTTGGATCGACTGCGCCCCTACCCACCCAGCGACTCTGTGTCCAAGCCACCTCGGCCTCCATCGCCGTCGCCACCAATGTCCGTCGTCGAAGCACCCGTCCCAGAGCCAGTAGTAGCCGAGCCAATCCCGGTGAAGGTCTTGACACAGCGGTCCACCAATATCGGCGACGCTTTCTACTGCGTCCTTTGGTCCGATGGCGTCGAAACCTGGGTGAGTCTTGGAGAAAAAAGTGTGACTACTCCTCCGTCCGCCATGCTGTGGGATACCTTGCATCTTGAGCTGACCCCGTTGATTCTCCCGACCATCAGGAGCGGATAAATCATATGAACAAGTATGTCGACCTCCTGATTGAGTTTGAAACAGCTGGGCCACGGAAAGATCGACGCGAACGCACCACGGTTCCATTCTCTGTAAATGCGCCGTCTCGACTCGGCGGCTCTGCGGGTTCCCAGCGGCAAACTGCTGCAAATCCTCTGTCGAAGAAGAGTGCGCCAGATTCTGTGCAAAAGAAAGCCGACCCAAGGGCCCTGTCAAAGGGGGCGAGTCCAAAGCCCTTCCCAAAGCGAGCCGGCTCTCCTGCAGGCACACCTGCAAAAGCACCGCTTCCGAAGCGTCACAAGTCGCTCCCCATCAGCTACGAATCTGATGACGAGGACCAGGCAGCGGTAGATACGCATACTGCCCAGCAGCACCCAGAAGCTGATATGGATGTTGATATGCCTGGCTACGTTGCGGACTCGGACCCTGGATTCATGGAGACCGAGGTGGTTGATTCAGGACAGCAGGTCATCTCAACTTTGTCAGCAGCAGGAAATCAGCGCAGCCAAAGGTCGAAGCCAACGGTCAAGCACCGCAATATGGCTGTCGTCTCGGACTCGGAAGACGACGGGGCTTCTCCAGTCAGGTCGATCGCTGGCCGTGTCCACCAGAACGACCAATCGTATTCTGATGCTTCGATGTCAAGTGAAGAATTTGAAGGAAACCGTCGGATGCTCTTGCTGGATTCATCTCAGGAGCAGCCTCGGACAAGTGCCGGCTCGTCCAGACGCAACCCTGCAAAGCTGAAGAAGTATCAGGCGGGCACCGAGGACCACATGCGCGTGTGCTACTACTGCAACTCAAGGGACTCGAAAGACGAGCTGGACGTTGTGTAGGAGATGGTATCTCCGACGCTGTGCTGCGCGTACTGCGCGTACTGCGCGGCGCAGTGGGTCGTGACCTGTGCTGCGCTTTGCGTTTTCACGCACCGCAGGCAGGCCACCGCAGGGTATACCTGCGGGTTGCCCCCGTTCCCCCCGTTTGTCTGGAGTTCGGTTTTATCGTGAATAAACGTAAGTGCTCCCCGAGCTCACCCGTCCGCTAGAGTAGCCTAGCACCGCCCTGTTCTGCCCCGTCCTGTCTTGTCTTGTACCCCCTCCCTCCCCGTCTTGCCCCAACGTCCCAGTAGTGGACGTTACATGGTAGCATCGGAAATCCTCGTCTTGTTTTCGTCCTGTTTGTCCTCTTTCTAGATCCTCAAGCTGGATCCCGCCTCTCTTGCCGACCGACTCTCCTCTCTGTCCCTGGAGCCTGCCCCTGCCATGAGCAACCCCCGCCCACTTCCGGAAGCCTTCCTCAAGACCTTCCGTGCCCCAGTGTTTACTGGGAAGAGCCGCTCCTCCTCGGTGGAGGACTGGCTGCAGCAACTCGAGGACTACCTCGATGCTGCCCAAGTCGCCCCCACCCACCACATCGTCGCCGCCAAGCTCTGCTTAAAGGACCAGGCGTACCGTTGGTACCGCCGCCAAGGGTTCGACGAGCAGAGCGAAGGTGTGTTTGACGACTTCAAGGACCGCCTCCGTCGCCGCTTCGGCAGCCCCAATGCTGAACTCATTGCCCGTGACAAGCTATACTCTCTCGTGCAGCGTGGTTCTGTGACCCGCTACATCGAGGAGTTTGAAGACCTCTCCTCCCAGATTGAGGAGCTGGGCTCTGCTGATGCGATGTACCTCTTCCAGAAGGGCCTCAAGCCCAAGATCAGAGAGTACATCGCCAGCAACCCTGATGCCCGCAAGTCCCTGGACGTGATGATGGACGTTGCCGAGAACCTCGACAACGTCCAGTACCATGGCCGCCAGTTCTACCCGCAGCTGGCAGGCGGCCATCGGTCTCATCACGTCCCAGCCCGTCCGCCTCGCCCGGCCCCGCCCGCAAGACCCATGCCTGAGCCCATGGACGTTGACGTCAACGCCATGGAGGCTCGTGGCCCTCCCCGCTCCCGGTTCCAGCAAGCTGCCACTGTCTCCCCCAAGGACAGACAGAAGCAGGAGGACCTCCGCCATGGTTCCTGCTTCTTCTGTCACCGACCGGGACACCAGGCCAAGGAGTGCCCCATGAAGTCGGGAAACGGCCGACCCTACTAGGTGGCTCTGGAGCCCTAGTAGGAGACCAACGCCGTGGATTGCTCAATGCAGTCCACGCGTCTCCAGAGGAAGTTCACCTCGCCCCCTCCCCCGAAGGAGAAACAAACCAAGTGTTGTGCGTCGTGCGAGAGGTGCATGGTGGCGCAAGCCGCCTGCCTCTCCACGAACGTGAAGAGAAAACCAAAATTGAAAACCAAAACAAAAAAGAAAATCAAGAACCCTTGAGGGACAGGACCGCCTGTGCCCTCACCCCTGTCAAGTCGTGTGTGTCGGATGCTTCCGACATGTGTCCGCAAGCCGTGGACGTCGTGTGCAATGGCGTGCTGACGCCGCAGGCCCCCGCAATGGCCGAACCCTATCCAAAATGTCCGAGTGGCCGTGATGAAGCCAACCAAGACCAAGTGTCGCCCGTTCCCCCAAGTCAAGTCATGGTGCAGGAGGCTGTGCAGGAGGACCATGAAGAGTCCCTGCTGTACCTCCCTGCCACCGTCCAAGGTCACACCGTCCGAATGATGGTGGACTCTGGAGCAAGCTGCAACTTTGTCAGCAGACGCTTGCTCCAGGAGCTCAACATACATGCAACCAAGAAGAAGTCGCCGATGAGTGTGGCGCTTGCAGACGATCGTGTGCAGCAGTGCACACACCAAGTGGTCCTGCGAGTGGCCCTCCATCCCAAGTACCATCCTGTCCTGTTGTTCCAAGTGATCGACACCAAGTTCGATGCCATCCTCGGCATGAGCTGGCTTGCTCGTGCCGAGCCGACTCCAGTCGTCGACTGGAAAGGCCGCACTGTCCGTGTTGGCCCTGACATTGTCCTGCAGGGCATGGCCTCACCCAACATGCCACCTCTCCTCTCAGCCATGCAATTCAAGAGGCTGATCAAGAAGGACACGTCGTTCCTCTGTGTCGTGCGTGAGGTCGACGACACCGACCAAGCCGGTCCCGGTCCCCCGCCTGTGGTGACCAAGCTGCTCGACGAGTACAAGGACGTATTCCCCGACCAGTTGCCACAATGCCTGCCACCCCAACGCACCGTCGATCATCGCATCGACATCGAACCAGGCTCGTCGCCTCCGTCAAGACCGACGTACCAACTGTCGCTGACGGAGATGGACGAACTCAAGCGCCAGTTGGATGACCTCCTCGCCCATGGGTTCATCCGCCCGAGCCAGTCACCGTATGGTGCACCAGTGCTCTTTGTCAAGAAGAAAGAAGGTGATCTCAGGATGTGCGTCGACTATCGCGCACTAAACAAACAGACCATCAAGAACACCTACCCGTTGCCCAGGATCGACGAGTTGATGGATCGTCTGAGTGGAGCAAAGGTCTTTAGCAAGATAGACCTCCGCTCAGGCTACCATCAGATCCGCATCCACGAGGATGATGTCCACAAGACCGCCTTCAGGACTCGCTACGGACTGTACGAGTTCCTAGTGCTGCCGTTCGGATTGACGAACGCACCTGCCACGTTCATGCAGCTGATGAACGATGTGTTCCGCCAAGAGCTCGACAACTCTGTCATCGTGTACCTGGATGATATCCTTGTGTACAGCAAGGATGAAGCGACCCATGAAGGTCATGTCGCCCGCGTGCTGGCCAAGCTACGCGAGCACAAGTTGTATGCCAAACTGTCCAAGTGTGAGTTCTTCAAGAATCAAGTCCCGTTCCTGGGACACGTTGTCTCAGGAAGAGGAATCGAAGTCGACCCCGCCAAGGTCAAGTCTGTGGTCGAGTGGCCGCCGCTCGCATGCGTCTCTGACGTGCAGTCGTTTCTCGGTCTCGTCAACTACTACCGCCGATTCATCCCCGATCTGGCGCGCACTGCCGGTCCACTCACAGACCTACTCCGCAAAGAGTGCCCCTTCGTGTGGGACCACCCACAACGCCAAGCGTTCGAGACCCTCAAGCACGCCTTGACGAACGCTCCTGTCCTCGCTGTGTTCGACCCGAACACGGATGTCTCCGTGCACACCGACGCCTCCGACTTTGCGGTGGGAGCTGTTTTGATGCAGGAGGGAAGGCCCGTTGCCTTCGAGTCGCGCAAACTGTCCCAACACGAGATCAACTATCCCGTGCACGAGAAGGAGCAGCTTGCGATCATCTACGCGCTGCAGAAGTTCCGAGTGTACCTCCACGGTACCGCCAAGCCCTTCAAGATTGTGACGGACCACCAGTCACTGCGTTACCTCGACACCAAGAAGAACCTGAGCCGACGCCAAGCGCGATGGATGGAGTTCCTCGCCGAGTACAACTACGAGGTTGTATACCAGAAAGGCAAACTCAATGTGGTGCCTGACGCACTGTCCCGACGCCCCGACTACCAATTGGCGTCACTGTACGAGTCGACTGTCAGTGTCGACAACACGATGCTGGATGTTGTCCGAGACAACATCGCCAACGACAAACAGTTCGGAGAACTGTTCCGAAAGGTGTCTAAGCTCCCCAAGGACGACGAATCATCCGAGTACACAGTGCGTGATGGCCTGCTCCTCCTGAAGAAGGACAGCCGTGTCTGTGTGCCGGACATTCCGTCGTTGAAGACCAAGTTGCTCCAAGAGGTCCACGACTCGCCCCTCGCTGGACACTTTGGAGTCGAGAAGACATACGACCGACTGGCCAAAGTCGCATACTGGCCTGGAATGAAGCGCACCGTCGAGAAGTACATCGAGTCCTGCCATACCTGCAAGATGGTCAAGTCACGCACGACCCGAGAGCAAGGATTGCTGCAACCCCTGCCTGTTCCCGACCGCCCCTGGACCAGCATGTCCATGGATCTCATCACGCATCTACCGACGACCAAGTTGGACCACGATGCAATCGCTGTCTTTGTCGACAGGTTCAGCAAGATGGCACACTTTGTGCCGTGCCAGACGACATGCTCCGCGCCTGACCTTGCACTGCTGTTCTTCAAGCATGTGTTCAAGCACCACGGCCTCCCAAAGTCCATCGTCAGTGATCGAGACCCCCGATTCACCTCCTTGTTTTGGACAAGTCTGTTCGACCATCTCGGCACCAAGCTGAACATGTCAACCTCGCACCACCAACAAACGGATGGACAGTCCGAGCGGACGATCCGCACCCTCGAGCAATACCTGAGGACATACGCCTCGACCAGCCAAGACGACTGGGACATACAGCTGAGTCATGCAGAGTTTGCATACAACACCGCCAAGTCGAGCACAACTGGCTTGAGCCCCTTTGAGGCGCTCTACGGATTCCAGCCTGATGTTCCCACCTCCTTGACACTGACCGAGTCCACGGCTGGATTGCCTCCCAAACCAAGTGCCTTTGTCAAAGATCATCAAGTCCGACACAAGATGATCGCCGACGCGCTCACGGATGCGCAACAAGTGATGGCGAAGTACTACGACCGCCGACACCAGGATGTCTCCTTTGAAGTTGGAGACCTTGTCTACCTGGACGCCGACAACATCAAGGTCCCCGAAGCCCAGTCAAAGAAGTTGTTGCCCAAGTACCGAGGACCGTTCAAGATAGCGGCCCGACCCAGTCCCCTCAACTACCTGTTGGACTTGCCACCTGGAAGCAAGCTCCATCCTGTCTTCCATGTGTCCAAGCTGCGTCGCCACACGACCCGCAGTCCAGCACAGTTCCCCGACGCCGACGAAGGTGTCCCGGACGACGCACCACTGGAAGACGACCTCGGACAATACTATACTCAAGAATATGAAGTCGAAAGGATCGTGAGGCACAAGAAAGTGGCTGATGGGTCACTTCGGTTTTATGTCAAGTGGGTTGGTTACCCACACTCGGGCAACACATGGCAAACACTGGAGGACTTGTCCCATGCACCCGAGGAGCTGAGTAAATACGGTAAACACCTCGAGGAGCCCCAAATAAAGAGCACACGCAGGGCTCCTCGCAGGAAGCCTTCT